AGCTCTGGTGCTACGTACGGTACCAGCAGCTGATGGAATGAAATGAACTCAGCCGTTGTTCCGTTGAATGTAGTATCTGTACTTTATGGCTGCAGCAGTCTCTGCGCTACAGCACATGTACGAGGTCCCTGTGCAGTAGTCTCAGAAGAGAGACAGGGGTTGCTTCCGCCTTGGCTCTTGTTTCTTTGCGTATTGGTGTGGCAGTGGTACCAGAGCCATGGTCGAGCCGATGGCAGCAGGCAAAACACTGGTACCGGTACCTTGCGCGCCGGTTGACCAATCCATCGCTCTCATGCCGGCGGTGCACGATACGCTGGACGTACAGCAGCAGCCTGTATCATATAGGAGGCAGGACAAGGCAGGACAAAGACAGGCCGGCACAGGCAGGCAGAACAAGACAGAAACGGGAGAACGGGCCTTTTGCTCTTGGCTCTGCATATGCATGTGCCGATGCTGGTGCGGTGCTGGCTGGCTGGTGCTCACTCACCTCACTTGGGGAAAAAGGACCGCGGGCGATGCGATACAAGCATCGATACCTTGGGCTGCTCGAATCTCCAGGTCCGGGCCCGGGTCCAGGTACCTTCCGCCTCGCTTGATTCAGGCAGGATCCCTCCGTCCCCTCCTTCTCTTCTGCTCTGCGCACCCTCTGGGACTTTTCGCTCGCCTCACCCCCCCGGCAACTCGACGCTTCAACCCAGAAAAAGAGCTGCGAAGCTAAAAGCCTCGAACTCCGTTAGCCTCACACACCAAGCAAGCCTCCAAAATCGCCCCTCTGCCACCCCGGCCATAGCGCCAGCACCAGCAATCGCACCAGCGCCAGCGCCAGCAGCCAGATCCAGAGCCACGACTTTCTGGTGCAACGTCCTTTGGGGTCCTTTGGGTTCCTGCGAATGCTTCCATGCATAAATTGTCGCTTCCCGGCCTTCCTTGTCGACACCGCCCTCTCAATCGGTATCCCTGCCTCACTCGGTCCAGAGGGTTGTTGACTGGTCCCCGACTGCATCTGCATCTTTTCTTTATTTAGACCAATTGTCCCCCTCATCTCTCGTCCCATCTCTTCTTCTCCTCACCTCCTTCCTCTCTCTCTTCTACCTTTTCCTTTCCCTTCATCCTCAAAGACACAAGACACAAGAAGAGCAACACCAAGGCCTTCATCATGTCGAAAGAGGAGAGTGGCCATGTCACTCCCGAGAAGGGCGACAATGTCGTCGACTATCAGGCCAGCACGACAGTCCTCCCCAGCGAGGGCCCTGAGCGCGACGCCAACTGGTTCACGCGCAATGGCCTCAACGTCGACTCCTTCAAGAAGAAGCACTATGGCCCGGGCATGGTCGAGCTTGAGCGTCCCATGAAGGCTCGCCATCTTCACATGATTGCCATTGGTGGTTCCATTGGTGCTGGTTTCTTCGTCGGCTCGGGCGGTGCTCTGGCCAAAGGTGTAAGTTTTACTGTCTCTCCCGATGCTTCGTCCTTCTGGTCTCTTTTTGGCGCAAAGATGTGAACGGTTTTGCTCATCATGTCTTGCAAACTTATAGGGCCCTGGTTCTCTCTTTGTCGACTTCCTCATTATCGGTATCATGATGTTCAACGTCGGTAAGTGCTATTCGTCGCGCAATCTGTCCCTGGTATGACTGTGATCTGACAAGGCTTCATTAGTGTACGCTCTCGGTGAACTCGCCATCATGTACCCCGTCTCTGGTTCTTTCTACACATACTCTGCTCGTTTCATCGACCCTGCCTGGGGTTTCGCCATGGGCTGGAACTATGTTCTTCAGTGGGCTGCCGTTCTTCCGCTTGAATTGACAGTTTGTGGTATTACGATATCGTACTGGAACTCGGAAATCACCACAGCCGCTTGGATCTCTCTCTTCCTCGGCGTCATCATCATCATCAACCTGTTTGGCGCTCTCGGCTATGCTGAAGAGGAGTTTTGGGCATCGTGCTTCAAGCTGGCTGCCACCGTCATCTTCATGATCATCGCTTTTGTCCTTGTCCTCGGTGGTGGTCCCAAGGATGGCCGATACCACGAGTACTGGGGTGCCCGCTACTGGTACGACCCGGGCGCGTTCAAGAACGGCTTCAAGGGCTTCTGCTCCGTCTTCGTCACCGCTGCCTTCTCCTTCTCCGGTACTGAGCTGGTCGGTCTTGCCGCTGCCGAGTCTACTAACCCCACCAAGAACATGCCCGGTGCTATCAAGCAGGTCTTCTGGCGTATCACCATCTTTTACATCCTCGGTCTCTTCTTTGTCGGCCTGCTGATCAACAGCGATGATCCCGCTCTGCTCTCCTCTGCCGCCTACGCTGACTCCAAGGCCTCTCCCTTTGTGCTTGTCGGCAAGTACGCTGGCTTGAAGGGTTTCGACCACTTCATGAACCTCGTCATTCTCGCCTCCGTCTTGTCCATCGGTGTCTCTGGTGTGTATGGTGGATCTCGAACCCTGACCGCTCTGGCTCAGCAGGGCTATGCTCCCAAGCTCTTCACCTACATTGACAAGTCTGGCCGTCCCCTGCCCTCTGTCATCTTCCTCATCCTGTTCGGCTTCATCGCCTATGTCAGCTTGGATGCCACCGGTCCCGTTGTCTTTGACTGGCTTCTTGCCATTTCCGGCTTGGCCGCTCTCTTCACCTGGGGCTCTGTCTGCCTTGCCCACATTCGATTCCGCAAGGCCTGGAAGTACCACGGCCACACTCTGGATGAGATTCCATTCAAGGCTGCTGGCGGTGTCTACGGCTCATACCTCGGCCTTTTCATTTGCGTCATTGTCCTGATGGCTCAGGTAAGAATATGCTTTTCTAAAAATCTGATACAAGAAGACGACATTTTACTAACCTCTGTGGCTTTAGTTCTATACCGCTATTGCAGCCCCTCCCGGATCACCAGGCGTTGGTACCGCAGAGGACTTCTTCAAGCAGTACCTGGCTGCTCCCGTCGTCCTCGGTTTCTGGATCGTTGGATGGCTGTGGAAGCGCCAGCCTTTCTTGAGAACCAAGAACATTGACGTTGACACTGGTCTCCGTGAGTTTGACTGGGACGAGATCAACGCAGAGCGCACAAGAATTGCTGCCCTGCCTGCCTGGAGACGCATCATCCACCACACCTTCTAAGAGCCCAAGCTCGACGATAATTTCTTTATCCATTTCTTTTTTTTTTATTCAACACATGTGTTGTTCCTCCGTCGATACAGTATGGCATCATGTTGGATGCAGACTGGAGTTAATGAGGCGGAGTGAATTCGGATGACGATGATGTAACGCTGTATATGCAACCACGCCTACGATGCTGTGGGCGACTTCTTCCTGTAAACAATTAGCTTTATTTCTATTATGCAACATGATACCACGGCGGCTGTAAGCAAGCCTCTAACGGGGATGGGAATCAAATCAATATATACCTGTTCATACAATCAACTATTGATCCATGATATGTTTCTGTGATGATCGATATCGACATAAACTGGTTCAGCAACAGCACTGTGACTATTGCTCGACGACGTCTCGATGTTTTTGGTTGCTGACATTTCGCGGTGCATCTTGGTCAAATGTCTGCTGCTTGTTGGCAACGAATGAAGTCGCCAGAGTCAGGACGAAAAAGAGCTGGAAAGTTTGAGACGAACAACGGTGCTGTATCGATGTCGAGTTCGTAGCGGTCTCATCGGGACATGAGAATCGTGAGAATGTTATTGACATGGCATATGGAAATCTGTTGACAGTTTGGATCAGGTAAGAGGAGCTGCAGAAAGAATGCAACGTAAGACGAGAGAAAGACTAGAAGTTTTGAGAAGGGAGTTGAATATGATGGCGAAATGAAGAAAGAAGTCTTCATTTCCTTCTTGTCCCTTTTCGTTTGCATTTTTTGAGAATGAGAGAGACTAGGAGAGCGGCAAGGATTGTGTGCATGTTTTCTTACTTTTTTTCTCTTACCTCTTCTCATTTCTTGCAAAGATTAAGGTCTGAAAAAAAGCAGAAGAAAATATATGGGTACAGACAATCTACCTATCTTTTTCTTGTTTTATTTTCATCTCATCGAAAACCCCGATGGACGGCGGGAACGGGGGGCCTGCGAAAATATTTAACATGTCGTTAAGGCGCGCGCCCTAAACTTTTTTGACATGGACTTGTTTGGATGGATCGTTTCCCCCATGACACACCGCAACCGCAGTGGCATGGAAGCGGCAATAGCGGGACGACGTAACCTGCGCCCTATGGGCGGACCGCGGGTTGTAACCGGAGTGGCGTGGGGTCTTGGTCGGTGTGGAGAGAGCTGGGAATCGAGCCGGGGGAATATACGAGCTGGGGAGAGAGTGTAAGAAAAGATGATGAAGAAAGGGAGGTTGGGAAAATTTAGGGGAAATGGCAAAAAGTAGTATAGATATAGATATAGAGAGAAGATAGATTGTGTGAAAGGAGTTGAGGGGGGCAAAGAGGCTGAAACGATTGAGCTGCTGATTTCATTTCTCAACATTGGGAATTTCTTATAGGCAAACTTACCTACAAGGGGGAATCCACTAGCCTCTCCACGCGGACGCATCGCAAATGAGGAAGTCTAGGACGACAGCCGCAAAAAAAAAAAAAAAAACGATATGAACAGGAATAAGCTACAGCAGGGGCTTGCTACGATGGATATATGTACGTATGTATTTCGCATACATAATCTGTTCTTTTTATATTCCGTAATCTAGATCGGAACACAACACGAGAGGGCCTTTTTGTGGTGGAGACTTTTGGCGGGCGCTGAGTAAACAAAAACGTGTCAGGAGGACTGGATTTTGAGTCTTGAAAGTTTAGGGCGTGGTTTTGACTATGACTAGTCTTGGTACTTTTTGGCAGATGATGGAGAAGCACGAAAGAGAGGAGAGGAGAGGAAATGTGTGTGAATAAGTGCTTGTGGGGAGTGCAGGTTGACGCTTTATACTACGAGCACTGCTGCTTGTCTGAGACATGATCAACGTCCGTCAGCAAAAGGTTGTCAACACACCGCAAAAGAGAAACATGGCCATGATTAAAGATTAAAAACCGCTAGTAGAAGATTAAAACAACTAGTAGCTCAAGAACAAAAGGGGCAAAGAAAATGTTTTATATACTAATCAGGAAGCAAAAGTCAGGCTTAGTAATTTTGTCGCTCCACCATACTCATCACATCGCCAACAGCCGTCCTCCCTAGCTTTTTCAACAAAATCTTCTCGTCCGCCTCTCGGTATCGCTCCCATCCATCCAGACCTTCCTTTGCCTGGATGCTCAGCGTCTCGTAGCCCTGCTTGATGACCTCAGCCACCTGGTGCGTCGTCAGGTTGGCCGGCAGCTTCTTCTCCGAAGAGCCTCTCTCGGTCAATATCTGTTTGTAGTGAGCGCTGACGTTGATGAGCGTATCGATTGAGTTGCTGTTGCGGTTCCCCAGACGATAATTTTCTTTAAAGGATGTGAGGACTTCGCCTGATTCGAACACCTTGTAGAAGAGATCGTCGTATGCGGCAGGAGTCGGTAGGAAGGCTTCACCAGCGGATAATGACAGTGCGACTAGATTGACGACGTGGTCGAGGACGGTTTCGATGTGCTGCAAGTCTTTCAAATCCGAGGCATACGTGTTAAGGAAACGTATGAGCGATAGCAAAGACCGGAAAAACTCTGACCAATGGTAATCCAATCGTGTTCGTGACCGCGAAAGATAGGAAATGATTCGGAGCATGATACCCAAGCAGAGAACGTATAGACTGACGTCCAGCCGTCTTTTCAAATTGTGGTTGATACCATCTAGCATCGTATCGAGGACGCACGTTGCAAGAACACGATCTCCCTTTACCAAGGGCAAGTGCGGTGGCCGTTGTCGACAAAGCCGTACATGCGTCTTGGATTCGTCGCTACAAATCTTCTTGCAAATGGCCGGGTCTTCAATAAGAAGACGGAGCACCATCAGATTCAGATGCGAATAGTACGTTGCTCGAGACGACAGGTGAGAGTGTTGCAGAAGATAGGAGGTGAGTGATAGGAAGCTAGATATTGGGCGCTCTTTGTCTTTTTCGCTGGGCAGGGTCACGAGATGGAAGCAAAACAGCTTATTTGCGTGGGAGAAATCATATGTTGCTAGGAGAACAGCAGCAGTTTGGCCGGGCCTTGGGGGTAAGTTAATGTTAGACTTCTGACGCAATATTGGTTGAAGTCTGCCTCCAATGAGGGCTAGTCATCACTTACAGTTTTGTAAACAGTTGCTTTGCCGTTGTAGCATCATACACTGGCTTCTTCTCGGGCTTTGGCCCAGGCGAAATGACTCCCAAGCCAATCATGTTCAAAGTGCTGCTCAACGTCCAGCCCTCGGGGAGATCCTCTTGGATGTCGACATAATCAGATCGCAGTGTCTGGCATGCGTTTCCGATGCAGCGAACAACCTTTTGAATGACGGCTTCATTGACAAAGTCGTTTAGCCGTAGCTGGTACGGATTTTGGAATTCAAACTTGTTGTAGTTGGCAAGTATCCCCAGCAGAATAAAAGGTTCCAGGTCTTGATCAGGTTGCTCCGAGCTTTGGATAAACTAGAATGAGAAGCATATGAAGATTTAGTTGGTACTCCTAGTCTCAGGCGCCTGGCTTTCAATGTTGCCGCCCTACGCACCTTCATAATTGACGGGAACAAGTCCCTCTGTATCATGTACGTCAAGAGCGTCGTCTGATATGCTCCCGCCGAGACGGCCAGCAGCACCTCGATAGCCTTGTGGCGCAGATCCACTCCATCGCACCATCCGTCAGCTTACAGCACTTGTAACACAAGCTTGTTGACAGGTGTACACACAGTTTGTCCCATTCCGTATAATCCCGTCGAGAGTGCTCACAAAATCCGTAAATACCGTGTCAACGTGATCGAGGCCGGCCAGTATAGTTATGATGTCGGAGCTCGGATGCGCGTGTTTCTTGGTCAATACGCATGCGAGGAAGACGCTCAGGGTCTATCCAGTCCAACGTGTGATGTTAGCGGTTCGTCCTTGTCTGGGGAATCGGATCTCGAATCAAATGCCGTGGCGCAGCGTACATCAAGAGCATACAACGGAGCTGAGCCCTTGCCATCCTTGACCGCCGCAATCGCCTTGCTGAAGAGCTCCCTCGTGCGCCCCTCCAAGAGCAGCAGGTCGGCCGGGTGGATATCGTTTAATATCTTCCTCAGCGTCGGCCGATCGGGTCGCAGCAGGAAAAACTCCCGCCAGAAGCCTTCCGATTTGTCGCCGTCGTCATCGTCCTAGTGCGTTCGTCTTCGAATCAGCGCGGGCGCATTGCAGAGCCGGAAAAGTAGAATACCTTTGGCGACAGGCTGATTTAGCTAAGATGGTCTTGCTTTGACACGACGGCCAGAATAAAAGGGGGGCGCTGGGCAAACCTTGAAAAGGGTTGAGTAGAGCTCGACAATCTTGGGGACAAAGACCTCTGGCTGAGGCTGGCGAGTCAGCGGTGACGCCTCCATGGGAATGCGAAGTTGGCGAAGAAGAGAGCTTCAGCTGCTCCTGTCATTGAGGCGATGGAGACGACGTGGATGTCATTATCGTGAGGTGGGGCAGCCGATAAAGAGAGCACAGCGCTAGACAGTTGGGTGCTCTTAGCACTGTATAAACACTGCGATATGGTCGAGCGTCTGACAGTAATGTCTCGGGTTAAGCACTGTATGCACCCCGGACTGTAGCCCCAGGCCAATCACAATCTTTAATTAGAACTTTCACGATATCGCTCCTATACGGATGTGCTCAGCTACTAGTAGTAAGTAATACTCCGTATATATGGTGTACATAGGGCATGCATGCACTTCGGAATCTCCCCAAAGTAGAAAGCCCGAATCTGGCTTCTCGTCAACATACCAAATAAAGCTAGGCAGAGAAATGGTTGTCGTTTCACGTCCCACATTTGCTGCCCAGGAGATAGCGTCTGGTCTAATTACGATAGTACGTAATATCTCTCAATAAGCATTATTCACGCGCGCAGATACACATACAATGTCAGATTAAAACAGAGTTGAGCAGTCTCCAGTGGATTTTTGTACAAGTTTTGAAATTTAATCAAGGGGCTTTTTGCGTAAATACAAGGCTAACTATTCGTGCCTTGTGGCACTTAGCCCACCTCTCTAGTGAAGCAGCTTTTTGTGACGACCGTGTTGTTGAGGGATAAAAGGTGATAAAACAAGGCTTTTTGGCTTAGGAAACCAGTAAGAGGTGCCTGATGCGATACCAGTCGCATCTACTTGGCGTAGATAACCCCTTGCTGTAAAATCGTGAAGCCCAGATACAAGAAGAAACAGTCAGTCAGCTACATAAGTTGCAGCGCAAATCGAGCCCAGCAGCCACCACACGTGAAGCAGCAATCTCCTCCTCGTCTCAGCCTGATCTTTGATAACTTCTTCAAAGTAGCAGACAGTTCCCTCTGGCCCTTGCCAAACACGTCATCTCCCCAATATTCAGTATCATCGTACACAACACCTCGCTTCTGAATCATGCATCAGTGCCGAGTTACGCCGTTTTGTCGTAGAAAGTCGTTATTAAAACAATGTAGAAAGTTCTTTTCTCCTCTCGTCCCATCACATCATACGCTTGGGACTCTCGTCTTGTTCTCATTGGGCCACCTGCCACACAGCTTCATTTAACCAAGGATGGCAGCGCCGCCAGACTCGATGGCCTCAATCTCGCTCAGGTCGATAGGCTGGCGACGGAAGCGGGCAGGGAGCTCGGAGACGTCAAAAGCAACGCCCTTGGGGGCCAGAACAGAGCCCAGCTTGTGGCCAGAGGAGCCGCCGATGCCAGCATCAGAGCCAATGGTCCTCTGGAGAGGGCCGTGCTGCTGAGCGTGGTCACGGTAGGCGCCGAAGGAAGAGTGAGTGGAAGCAGCATCGCCGCGGCCGTAGGCTGTGAAGTCCTCGGGGAGCTTGCCTGAGGGGGAGGCGGGGTGAGGCTGGGGAGTGTGGTCGATTGAAGCTGAAGGGGGTGTCAGTACGCAATGTCCCTCATTTTTCACATGGAAACAAGACAAGGCGATGGAGTTGCATGCACTTACAAGGGATGGTTCGGGGTCCAAGGAATCGAATCAGAGGCGTGCGCTCGGCGTGGACCGCAGCCTGTCGAAGAACTCTTGTGGCATACATGGTTGGTTTGGATGAGTTGATTATGTGTCTAGAGGAGAGCAGAGTAGAGTAGCGAAAAGCTAGATGCCGAGGATACGATGGCGGGGTTGTCGTCGAAGTGTGTTATAGTGGTAGACGCTGTTCACAAAACTTGGAAGGATATATTGGAGATTCAAGTTCAACTTCTAACAGGCAGCGGGCAAACGGCTATAAGAGGAGCTGCAGGTTGTCAATTAGAAAGCAAGCGATGTCGAGATTCGCGCGGCGCGAAAGTGGAGGTTCTCTCGAATTAATAAAACAGTCGGCCGGAGTCTCGGATGGGGGCTTTTACTAGCACGTAGCTGGTCGCGAAGAGGAAAAAAAAAATCAAAAATTATTAAAAAACGTGCGTAATGAGCGCTATCCCACCTCATAGCTCTTCTGGGAAAGCCCGCTCGTCCAGGGCTTTTGCAGGCGTTAGGCTGCCAGTTTGCCAGGCCGGGAACAACCTGTTAGCGCGCCCATGTCCGAATTCGGGATCTCGGAATCCACCGCGGCCTCACAAGCTTGCAGTCTCACGCCTTTCTATTACGCAGTCTGAAGCAACACTGCACTGAAGCGAAGAGAATCCACTCGCACCGTTGCGCCCCCGTCTTATCTCTCCAGGCGCCAGGTAAGAAATCGTCCCACGCATCTCCTGATCGGCGGGAAGTAGCAGCGGAATCGCTCGCGGAGGCTCCAGAGTGGAAGTCCGAATACTCCTCTTCCCCATGTTTTCTTTGTTTTTGGACGAGCCAAAGGCATAATCTGGAGACTCGTGCCGTCTAATGCCGTGTAATCTTGAGACCGGGTCATGGATCCTACATACTTGGCAGTGCTCCTGTAAATAGGGCGCGTCTTCCACAGCTCAGCACTTCAAAGCAACGAGTGCGCCACCAGAAATAGGCCGTGGATGATGCTTTGGAAGCGGATATACAGGAGGGTCTAACGGAGAGAATCGGAGCTTCAACCACCAACTCTACTTACTAGCGAGATGGTCTAATATAGTACTATTCCGTACTCAACTTGCGTTTACTATATGTGTAGTTACTTGAATCATACAATCCTCGTCTGCTGATCCAGGCCAAGCTCTGCTGGTGGAATACAGCCTTTGTGTCGAGGTTCGGGCCACGCAATCGCCTCAATCACGATCATCTCGGCGTTTCCCCCATAGTTCGGAGTCTTTGTTATCGGAATCTGATCCTGGTCTGTCGCCATGCATACTCATGCAGGCATGCATGTTCGTAACGAAACGGGCTTCCCCACCTCCGCATGTCGCAGTGCTAATAGCCGTCAGCCCTGGCCTATCGGCTGCTGAGCGTGAAACCCCGCGGTATTGTTTTCTTAATAATATTGATTAATTTTTCATGTGCCTCGAGATGATGCTTCTTTGCTCAAGCGCTTACAAGCACAGAGGTGTGACGACTAAGATGTCTAACAAATACTCCCACCAGGAATGAGACGACTCAACTTGTTACTGTTATTGGCAAAACCTAGGAATAGGTGATAGTACTCGTAAGCATAGGAATGAGCGCTTACAGATCTGACAGATGCGACAGAAATGACATGTGCCTTGTCGTCGCAATGCCTTGTTCGCGCTCAGTTACCCAATCAGGCCACCTTGACTAATCGCCAACCGGGCAGCCAAGCCACCGTGGACCGTTTCAACAAATTTCCCTTTTTCGTATAGTCCAGCGTTATTACTGTAAGTGAGCCAAGAGAGCAAAAGAAACTCCAATTCTTCTAGAATTCACGCCACGAATCGCGGTACCTGCCGTTCAAAAGCTTGTCTCGGTCTGCCGATTTGACGGCTGCGCCGGTATCGTGTTCGCCACTATATCCTGGTCAACTATGCAGTGTGTAATAATGCCTATCTCAACGTCAACGTCACATCAATGCCAACATATGCGCTTCTGTCTGCTTATTGCATTACTGCTTTATAAGAATCTTACTGCGTCGCCGGACGCATCGCCGATAACCGATCGGTCCCCGGGTATGTGATGGCGCAATAGCCGGCCACTGATCTTATTGCGCCGTGAATAGTGACATTGTTTGTGCATGCACCAGAGCTATAAGCTTACCCATGGATGCCAATGCTCTGACATCTCTGGCATCTCTGATTCTCATGATTGACGGGTGCTGGTCATCAAAGCATAACTTCTTGATGCTTCATATAATATTTTATAGTCTTTGTAAATCAATTGAGAGCAAATCAAAGCGTGCAGCGATTAACATCAACGTCCCGCCCTACCCTCCTGTCCCATCCGTTTTGTAATAACACTCTCGCTGTGCCACTTATCCTGGTATTTTATATATATGCTTTAATCCGTTTTCTTCTTCGATTGGTGAGTGAATCATGATGGTGAATCATGCATCTTCCCCGCAAAAAAACTTGCCCCAGCCCCAACTCTTCTATGCCCACGACTCAAGATTCTGGACAACACATCCTGCCTGGCCATCTTGTCTACGAACCAGTCTACCAATTGTGTACACGCGCTCGTCGCCACTGCGCAGAGCCGACACCACAGCGTCAACTTGACTCGCCTCGACGGCTACCACCATGCCGATACCTGAGTTGAATGTTCGGCACATCTCTGCCGGGGCGACATTACCAGCTGCCTTGAGCCACTGGAAAACGGGAGGCATTTCCCAAGTGCCATACGCAATCTCCGCTGCCAATGAATCGGGGAGCATGCGAGGTACGTTCTCGAGCAGTCCACCTCCGGTGATGTGAGCGAGACCCTTGATTTGGCCGAGAACGGGCAGCAGGCTCTTGACGTAGATCTTGGTGGGTGTCAAGAGGGACTCTCCAACGGTCTTGGAAGAATCCCAAGGAGCAGGGGAGGAATAGTCTAAGCCAGCAGCCTGCACAATTCTTCGCACGAGGGAGAAGCCGTTGGAGTGGACACCGTTGGATCCGAGACCCAAGAGAATGTCACCCTCGGCCATGGCATCCTTCCGGGGAAGCATGCTGCCGGCGGTGACAGCACCCACTGCGCAGCCAGCCGCGTCGTAATCCTCGTCCTTGTACATGCCGGGCATTTCGGCGGTCTCACCGCCTACCAAAGCACAGCCGGCCTGGATGCAGCCGTTGGCGACGCCCTCCACAAAGTCAGCAGCGGAAGCAAGGTCCAGCTTGCTGCAGCCGTAGTAGTCGAGGAACATCAAGGGGGTAGCACCCTGGACAACCAGGTCGTTGACGTTCATGGCAACGAGGTCGATACCCACAGTGTCGTGCTTCTTCATGGCTTGCGCAATCATCAGCTTGGTTCCAACACCGTCAATGGCGCCAACCAAGATGGGCGCGTTCGGATATCCGCACTGCGAAAGATCGACTTCGCCTCCAAAGCCACCAATCTCGGCGCTGGCTCCGGCTCTTTTGGTGCTGGCAACAGCCTTCTTGATCTTCTCCACAAAGTCATTGCCGGCCTGGATATCCACACCAGCCTGAGCATATGTCATGGAAACCTTGCTCGTGTCTCTGAAAGCACGGTGGGCAATATCCTTGCGGAAAAACTTGCCCTCAAAGTCAATGACATTCGACGCCAGAGCAGCATATGAGGCATCGACTGCGGCTCTGAGTGAATCTCCGACAGAGTTGATGGCAATCACGCGACCACCTGATGTCTTGAGCTGATTTCCATCAAGCTTTGTGCCGGCATGGAAGATTGTGCTTCCCGCAGGAGGCGTCTGAACGGTCATTGGGGTGCCCTTGGCGTAAGAGCCAGGATAGCCGCCAGCAGCAAGCACTACTGTAGCACTAAACTTGTTCTCAATGGTGATGTGGACGTTGTCTAGATAACCGCCTGTACAGGCCAGCATGATCTCGGCCAAATCGGTGTCGGCGGAGAGCAGAGGCAGCACGGTCTGGGTTTCGGGGTCGCCAAATCGCACGTTGTACTCGAGCACCTTTGGTCCAGCGGGGGTGATCATGAGACCCGTGAAGAGCACGCCGCGGAATGGCTGCTTCTCCTGTCTCATTCCGGTGATGGTAGGTACCAGGATGTCTCTATCGACCTGCTGGACCAACTCAGCAGTAGCAATGTTTGTAGGCGCATAGCAACCCATGCCGCCAGTGTTTGGGCCCTGATCGCCATCGAATATCCTCTTGTGGTCTTGAGCCAGGGGGAGAGACTTGATGGAGTAGCCGTCGCAGAAAGTGAGGACGCTGAGCTCATCACCCTGAAGGAACTCCTCAATGACAACTTCGTCTCCAGCATCGCCAAAGGCCTTGTCAATCATGATTTCCTTCAGCGCGTCCTTGGCCTCTTGCTTGGTCTGCGGGATGATGACACCCTTGCCAGCAGCCAGACCGGTGGCCTTGATGACAACGTCGTGGTTGATGCTGTCAATATAGGCAATCGCTTGGTTGTAGTCGGAAAAGTTTTCGTAGGCAGCGGTAGGGATGTTGTATTTCTTCATGAAGTCTTTGGAGTAGGTCTTGCTGCCCTCGAGACGAGCAGCCTCCTTGGAGGGTCCGAAGCAAGGAATGCCGGCATTGCGAAAGAAGCCCTCGACACCGTCGACGAGGGGGGCCTCGGGGCCGGGGACGGCGAGATTGACGCCGTTGGCCTGAGCGAACTGGACGAGGCCGGCGAAGTCCTCGGCAGAAACAGACGAGACGTTGGTGACCTTGGGGCAAGTCGCAGTGCCGCCGTTGCCAGGGACCGCAAAGATAGCGTCGACTCGAGGCGATTGGCTCAGTTTCCAAGCCAAAGCGTGCTCGCGGCCACCGTTTCCGATGAGGAGGATTCGAAGGCCGGCCATTGTGGGAAGTGACGAAGTCTGACGGTTCCTCCAATGATATCAAGTCGAGATATCTCCGTTTCGAGATTCAGGATGCGAACAGAGGTCCGTCCAGCACTTGGAGGGGCCAATGTTAGAAGCCACCCGAGAGGAAAAAAATTTTGAGCTCGAACGGCTGCTATTTTATCTCTCTTAATAGCAGCCAATAAGGGCCGTCGATTGTGTCGAGCAGCTAATTATTTTTCTTTGGATTGCACGTCGAGGTGGGGTGGAGGCGGGGCATTGATCAGCGCGCTACGATAACGGATTATCGGCCACTATTACTCAAAGTACCGGCGCCGCCAATTTGCTTGAGACTCGCCTAGTAAAGCTGCAGGACCGGTACATAACTGACATGATTCGCCATATCCACCCAACGGCAGCAAACCACTTATCAGCTCAAAGATTTTTTTTTCGCGGGGTCTTGCCAACAGCAAAATGCCCCTCCATGGCCGATCGGAGCCATTCAGTCACTGTTAAGAGTTGGGGCTCCACAGCAAGCACCTGAATTAACGAGAGCAATTGGGAGATAATCTCAAGCTGCTGCATCTCGAGCTTCATCTTGTCCTTTTAATTGTACCACATCAATCCCGGCTCTATCTGCCCAGATATCCCCAATTGGGTCGATTCTGCCTCACTCTGCGCATAAAATGGCGTAATACAGGCGGCCTGAACCCTTGATGGTCAAATACAACAAATGTTTCTACTTTGACTGACTCCTTTATACGCAAGATGTCGCGAGAAGCATCGCTTTTGTCCGGCAAATGCAATTTCTGGCATCATCACACAAGAAGAGCAAGATAATCTTGAGCAAGGCCTCCGTGAGATCGAGAAAGAGTGAGAGTCCGGCACATTACCATTGTCCCCAGTGTTGATGAAGATATCTCTACTGCCAACGAGCGCGGGCTCGGTGAGATCATGGGAAAGAATATTGCTGGCAAGCTTCACGCTGGTCGCAACCGCAATAAGCAGGTTTTAAATGGTACATGGATCGGATATCGCTCCGTGATAAGCTTCGAAAGATTGAGGAGCACCTAGTCAGCTTCCTCAACGTCATTGCAGCCCGTGTTTAGCAGGAAATTGACTATATCATGCCTAGATACACCCATTTCAGCGCGCTCAGCCCATCTGATGAGACCATTGGACGCTCTCACACGGATTAGCTTTTACCAGCGATTTGGAGAGGCTTGGGGAGGCTATTAAGCGCATCAACAGGACTGGACTGTGGCATTCTTGCCGCTATCCCCTTTAGAATCGGCCGTGATGTAATTACCAAGGAGCTTGGTTTCAACGGCCTAGATTGAAACTCCATGGCTGGTGTTTCTGACTGTGACTTTGTGTCAGAGACCCTTCAGTGGGGGCGCAATATTCATGCAGCACAGTTCTCGCTGGCTGAGGATTTGATCATCTACTCTACCGCTGAGTTTGGACTCGTCCGTCTCTCGGATGCTTACTCTGCCGGCAGCTCCCTGATGCCTCAGGCCCTGGCAGTCTTGAGCTATTATGAGAAAAGAGTGGCCGTGCCTTTGGTCACATGGCACACAAAAGGTTCTACCTAGCACATATAACAAGGACCTCCAAAGATCATTAAGCCGGTGCTCGATCACGTCAAAACTGTATCTGGCAGCATCCAGATTGCCAACGGTGTCCTGTCCACCTTGAACGTAGACGCTGCAAAGATGAAGGCCGGTTTGGATCTTTCCATGCTGGCTACAGATGTTGCCAAGTACCTTGTCCGCAAGGGAGCTCCCTTCCGAGTGACGCACCACATCTCGTCGCCAAGTCTGAAGAGACTGGCATCCCCATGAATGAGCCCCCTTTTGAACAGCTCCAGGCAATTGATGGCTGCTTCAAAGAGGATATTGCCAAGGCGTTTGTCTAAGACGAGCATGGAGAGGAGGTCAGCCGACGTTAGAGCAGATTCAGGTGATTGAGGCAGCGCTGAGCGAAAAGCAAATCCAAGGGCACGGCATCAGCTTGAAATAATTGGGAATATGTAAAATAAGGCCAACAAATTCATCCTTTCTTGAAGGGATGAAAAAAAAAATCGTAACAACATATATAACAAATTTCAGGCGGTGCAAGCTTTGACCCAATGGATGGTCTCTATAACACGGCTTGTTTACCCATATTAAGCAACCCAGCCAGTCCTGGATTCGCCCTGCTGAGGCAACCGAGCTGCCGGGAATCTGCTGATGAGATGAAAGGCTAATATTAACCAACATTGAACCAACACTTTCCCACCTCCGCACCCAGCTATTAACGCTGCCATGGAGGCGCCAGCGAGGCCAGCTGACCGAGTCTATAAGCGGCACGGGACGACGTCGATGAGGCACCGCGGCCACGGGAAGGGCTTATGCAAGGCACTCGTGGCATTACGCACCAATGATGTTCTCGCCACTCGCCCACGACTTTTCCATGTCGCAATGGAGACCTTCTAAAGGATCTGCTTGTCTCTGGGTCTGGCTGTGGTTCTGATCACTGCGGAGAATCGTCCGCAGCGCTCAGCTACCCCACCGCCCACCATCAGCCTCTCCGTTTAGGTCATAAGAATCTCGCGATAGCGCCCTAGACAAGGGGCCGCGGGACTATCGAGGGCAAAACGGAGCTGAACCCCTCCCCGGAATCTGCGTTGCTCGCGGCGACCTTTTTGTTTAATCATCCCCCCTTGCGTCTCATCTCACTCCATCCTGCGTTTCCAAATCGCATCTGCATTGGATTCTGCTGGCTGCGGGTGATGCTCCTATTGGCCACCCCCTGCTTCCTCAGTGCCTTGTTAGCCGTAGTTGCATCGAGAGCCGTTTCTATTTAAAAACAAATCGCCCCTCAAGGATCTTGGCTGTTGTAATCAATCCACAACGACTACGCAATAGATACTTGAACAGCCCTTTTTCCTCTCTCTCTCTTGCCTTATTTATATCTTCCATCTGCTTCTTTCTTGTCATCGAATCTTGTGCCGCCTCTTTTTCTTCCTTTTCTCTTTTGCATCTGACGATATCGAGGGCTGTGCACGAGGCCTCTTGTACCTGTACCTGCTGACACCTACGACCTTACTACAACGAGATCCGAATATAGTACACGATACCATATTGTTTGAACGCCTCACCTAGACTGGCAGCCACCTTTTTCTGAAGAGAATTATTCATATATATATATACGCTATTGGCAGCAGTGCTCCCGCGCTTTCAAGATGGACACTCAAAAATTGGATTTTGTGCCCTCTCAGATCGCCAACGACATGCAGATCCGCACCAGACAGCACCGAAATTTCGACAAGGTCGAAGGCCAACTCGTCGACCCAAAAGACTCCGCTGCATACCAGCTCTCCATCAGCGGCGTCCTCAATGAATTAAGCCTGTGGAACCCCTTTGCCAAGGCAATCGTCAAGGGCGACATTGTGTGGCTGTTCGACAACACCGCCTTTAAAGAGGCTGAGAACGAGGAATGGCAGGCAGAGTTTATCATGGCCGTGTTTGAGAACGAGGCAAAGTGCAAGGTCGCCGACATAGTTTCCAGCATTGCTGGTGCTGTCGGCCTGGCTGACGATGCCGATGAGCGCAAGACGATTGAGCAGAGGCTGATGCCGTTCCTGTGGGACATTCGGACTGCGAGAACGACGACTGTGGCTCAGGGAGATTTGTCTCTGAAGCTGGGGCCGAGTGGTTTTAATGGAATTGCAACGAATGTCTGCAAGCTTTTGCATCATAGCAAGGGGTCGTTTACCACCAAGAAAACCACCCTTGACGTTGAAGGCGTGGATGGTGTTTTGAGCATGCAGACGCATTTTGCACTGCCTGAAGGCTGGGGGATCATCTCTGGTATGTCTGGACAACTAAATATATACTTTCCGTTATGAAACTGACTTTGATCATAGATATTGACGACACAATCAAAGTCACAACAACCAGCGACCCCGTCAGCATTCTCAAAGAGACTTTCATCAACTCTCCATCTCCCGTCCCCGGAATGCCCGAGCTCTACGCAGGCATCAAATCCTTCCTTCCGCATGACACGCCATTTTTCTACCTCTCCGCATCGCCCTACAACTTGTATCCTTTCCTGAAAGAATTCCGGGATGCCTACTACCCGCAAGGGACTTTTATTCTTCGAGACTCTAGCTGGAAGACCGTGTCCGGACTGCTCTCTTCTCTAACGGTGGGCACGGAGGAGTACAAGGTAGACCGTATGAAGAAGATCAACTCGTGGCTTCCCAAGAGGAAACTCATCGTCTTTGGAGATTCTACACAGTCGGATCCCGAGGCCTACGGCGAGATGTAAGATGATGCCTCCCTTTCTCCCTTGAGTCATGCTAATTCTAACCCTTTGGCAGTTATCGAGCGTTCCCGGGTTGGATCAGAATGATCTTCATCCGCAAAGACACCAATTCTTTCGCCGTGGGGCTCGAGGAAAAGAATGAGCCAAAAAGATTCGAAAAGGCATTTACGGGCATCCCCCGGGAGGCCTGGCACGTCTTTGAGAATCCTGATGAGTGTTTGGATCTTGTCAAGGCTGCGGTCAAGAGAAATTCATAAGAGGTGGATCAGATGTTTAGCTATTTGTTTGTTCATTTCACATGTCTCTCTCCTTTTCATTTATAGTAGCGATTTGATTTTACGCACTTTAGGCACGTGTCTACGGTTTGAGATTGATTCGAGGCTGTACCAAGTTATAGATATCTCAATCTCACATCTAGGGCCAACTTCTCCCTATTACTTAGTAGGTATACCGCATATCTAAGTAAATATTACATGTACGAATACACAATAATCCTATAACTGCTTCCTTCTCCCCTCATACTAAAAGAGAACATCATTCCCTTATCCAAGATTCTGTAGAGAATTCCCAGGCATGACTCATCCAGGCACCTAACGCTGACAATCCCTGGCCTATCGTGTTCCCTTTTGTTTTTATGTAACATTAAAAAAAGCCCTGCTGAAAAAACGCCTTTCGCCAATCCTGTATGCAGTATATCACGCCCAACCAAACTTATATTATATTATTCCCTTCTCCGTGCATAAACCCCGTCGTCCAAGAAAAGAGTAGCCATTTAAACTCTTCCTTTAGCCACGAGAAAAAAGAAACAGGTAGCCAATTCTATCATGCGAAAAGCTGGTCTTTGATTTGTTGAGCCGTCTTTTTCGCCAATTCTTCCTTGGCGCGCTCTCCGAAAGTAAATCCATCGTAGAAAAGGTGGTCGTTGGGAACGTCGCATTCGCGGCCGGTGTGAGATGCGGCAACGCCAGTAATGGCTCGGTTATCGGCAATACAAGGCGTCCAGACGTCAAAAAAGCGCATGGCGCCATCTGCGGGCATGGAGCCTCGGCCTCTGCTATCTTTGAGGCCTGATCGCTGCATTTCTTCTTCCGTCATGGCATCCAGGACGTTCGCGACCAAAGTGGATTGCAGTCCCAGTCGTCGTGGATATGGCGCATAAATGATGTCCTCATCGGCAGTTCCCTCTTTATTATCCGCGTCTTTAGGCTGAAGTGCTCCTGGGAGATAGCGCAGCAGAGATGTCATTGTCGGGACTGCCATGGCTGTTTCAATGCCTTCATCTTCGATGCCCTCGGGCTTGGAGTCGGCCTTCTTTCTCCACTGCTCAATCTGCTTGGCGACTTGAGAGTTCCACCTCTGGGTGAGATATGCAGCGTTGCGCATCTGGACACCTCTCGATTGCGGTTGAGAAGGGATGGGACGATTCTGCCAGCCTGGGGCCAGAGTGATGTCGAAGAGTTGCGGAATGATGATTCGGAAGCTCTCCATCCTGCGCTCGTCGGGCTTTTTGTCGGGCTCTGGGTGAGTGAGAGCCTGGACCTCGGCCTTGGTAACATTGGACCAGAAATCAGAAAAGGCAGGAGACTTTGGGTTTAGCGATTTGCGATACAGCAGCTCGATCTGAGAAAAGATGTTGGCAACCGATTCATCGATGAGTCTTTCGCCCGAGGCCCGTGGAAGCGAAGCCAGGTTCCATGTCTCCCATGTACCAAACGAGAAAACCCACAGTGTCTCACGCGGCGGGAGCTTGGGAGGGGCCATTGTGAGAAATCTTTGGACCTGCGCCACTAGATCGGGCGTCTTCTTGGGCACGGGATATTGTTCCGAGATGTATAAATTGTCAAGCGCGGGCTTTTCCGTAAGGTTGACCTGCTCGGTAACCATCTCTAATGCTCGAATCTCGGTGCCATAGAGGCTGTTGGAAGCCAGGCCGGGCTGCAGATCGATCGGAGGGACAAAGGATAGCACGGAACGACAGTTGAGCTAGGGGAAGCATGTTAGCAATTCTCTATGTCCAGAAGGGCTATATGAATAGCTGTAATGACAGCGCACTCACCTGTTTGCAGAGATGCTCCGGCCACGATGTCTGTGTATGCTCGGCATCGGGCGCGCTGCCCAGCAAATCCTGCGAGCCGAAAACCACGATGCGCAGGTCGCTAGAGGCAGCCGACTCGGGCGCAGACCAATTGAGAATCTGCTGGTAGTTGTCGTTGAACTGCAGCGGCACGAAGAAGAAGAGCATGAGCAGCGCAAAGGCAACGGCGGTGATCTGCAGGATGGACCGCGGCCCGCCCCGCCACATGCGATGCGAGCACACGACCAGAAAGGCCTTTGCCTGCTGACTCCATCTTGACGACCCGTCGCTCGGCAGCTGGAAATCCGACGGCTTGATGAACCCGCTCATGCTGCCACAAGCTCCCGGGTTTGGCGAGGCTGAGGAGCCTGGGAGGTGGTGCGTGGAGGAGGCGAAAGGAGATAGCGGCTTCACAGAGCGAACATAAGACGAGGTTCAGGCGAAGAGCTGGCGCAAAAAGCTCTATGGCGGTAGATTGAAGCAGCCTGGGAATTATAGAAATGCAACGGCGCAGAGGATATGGTTTTTTCCTTGGGTCTATGCAAAGAGGCCAATGCGAACCCTATGGGACGGACCGTGGAGATGCAAAACCACGGGCCAAGAAATAAGGAGATGTTATTAGCGGCAGGAGGAAAGTTGGATGTACCAATAGTTGAGAGGAAAAGGAACAAGAATGAAGAAGCGAGAGTCACGGCTGATAGTCGAGCTGCGGAGGAGAAGAAGTCGGAGGTCCAGGGGAAGAGTGGAGGATGCAGGTAACAATACGGGGGATATTTTCTCTTGAATGGACTGGCGACCCTGCCTTTGTGCCAAGTCTGGAGCACGGGCACACGACCAAACGGCTAGGTAGAAAAGTAGACTGGACTAGGTGCCGAATTTGGGGTGACGGCAGCACTTGATCCTTGCCCCCAAGCCTCGAGCTTAACGCAATGGTACGTACGCCAACACGTAAGTCGCCATTGCTGCGGCCGACGTACCGTGTACTTTGCTCGCCGCCGTAATCACGTCAATGTGTAGTAACGGATTGTGCTGTTATCCACTAAGAAGCTATTGCAGATATTACTCCGTGCTCTAATATAGCGCCACATACGAAGGGGTGGATTCAGAGTGTCTGTTCTTTGTGTTATAGGCAGATCTATAGGTAGGCAAATCCGACAAATGTGCATCCCTCTCCAGGCAGAAGAGCTCTTCCGTGCTGCCAGTGTGCCATTTTGCGCACCGCGCTTGATTACCCGGGCGGCCAGAAAGCAACTGAAACGCTGCTTTGAGGGCACAGAGGCTTCATCTTTGCCGTGTTGCCGTGCTGGTGGGCGCTTTGATGACGCCGCTTTCGGGGAGTGGGGACGCCTCTGGAAACACGATTGCAGATGCTGCTAGATGTAATCCAGAAGGTCGGCCACGGATGATCGTGGGCAGCTAGCCCCAAAGCAGGAGCCGAAGAAGGGATGGACAGCACTTACGAGTTCTGCTGCAGTGCTAGGTATGTGCTTGTGGGATTTATCCGACAATTGGAGAGGAAACAAGACATGCATGTTGGTAGAGGGGTAGACAATGCTGGGCGCGCGAGAGCACTAAGGCAAGTGCACAGATACAGAGTTCCAAGACGCATAACATGTACAAGTAATACGAGCCTCATCCAAGTCTTGGCTTACGTGCGAGGCAGCCAAGCACCACCAATCCGATGGACGCAGCGACTTTGCTCTCTGCGGCGGCCGTCTCATGATCCCTCCATCTGGAAAAGGGGCACGCGACAGACAGCACGTTTAGAGTGTGCCAAGACTTTTGGCGCGACCCCCCCCCCCCGACTTGGTCAAGTACTGTCGACTTTGCGTGCCATCGTCGGTGACTCGATCCAGCGCAAATCGACAGCAGGGTCGCGCAGCATCCCCTAGAATACACTAAAGAGAGAAGCTCTCAGCTTGCAATACCAGAGTGTGGGGAAGTGCTGTAGAATTCCAATAAAAGGTTAATACTAAACGCTGCACTAGGAAATGACGGTGGAAAGAGGCTTAAACGGCCAATTTCTACTTCGATGCCTGGCATGTTTCATCTGGAGTCCAAAGTACATGTACCTGCGCTCGTGGTCTTAGACTGAGCTCCACCCGCCCGTATCAGTTCCCGGGTATCCGTCCATATGCCCGTTGCATCTCCGCTGCAAAAAGGGTGCTCTTGGCAGCTCAGTGGCAGGTTAAGCAAGGCGAAATACTGCAGAGCATGAGACAAAAAGAGGAGTGGGCAAGGCATTGAATAATGCTGCAACTTGGGGAATAACGACGCCGGTATGAGAGCCACTGCTCATAGGTACGCCAAATTGAATGCTACGCGCGAGCTGTCAAGTGTCACGATGTTTCACTGGGATGCAATCAGCCCGGTTTGTTGGCAGAAGAAGCTTGGCTGCTTTCATCCTGGCCTTCAACGCCATGTTCTTCTGGTGACATCCAGATCTGATCAAAGATCTTTCATCGTGTTGATACCATCAATTAGTGTCCCGTTAGCAAGATCAAGTGTCGTGAGGCTTGGAGAAGCCCAAGTCACGTAAAGACCGCGGCTGGGCCTACCCCATACTTTAGATGCTGCCCTGGTCAAGCCAGCATTTTTTTTCTCCAGCAGAATACGAAGTAACACTCGCAGCCGTCTTATTGTTTCTGCATGTCTAGCCTGCAACAGAACGGGCTCAGATCTCTCCGAGACCCAGATTTGGTCCCAGCGTCCCGTCGGAAGCCTCTTCCGATAAGGCTGCGCCAGTCAGCTGTGTACATAAATCGCCGAACCCTGCCCAGTGGACTTGAGGATGACTTTTATACGAGTTATAAGTTTGTGTGAACAGTGTCTCTGGATGCGCATTCAATAGCAGCGTAGGGATGCATTCTTTTCCCATACCTACCTAATAATTCTACTAGTGATAGAATATAGGCGCTTGCTGAAAGTTCTGGCTGGGCTCTAGATAGTGCGTTGTATAAGGAGCCTCGTAAGACGTGAAACGAAACGAACATGAATTGCTCATTTGGAATATTTTTTTGCGAATCTGTAAATTCTGGGCGGAAATTACACGCTTCGTGCCAATTGACGAATTAATAGGCAGCTAGTAATATAATTGTGAGCAATTTGTATATATTCCGTAGGAAATAAACAAACTGAAAACTTAAAGAAGTAGGACAATTAACGCAACTAGAGCAGCGAGAAGAGCTGTTTCAGCGCATATTACATATGAGAATGAATGAAAACGAATTATAAAGTAATATTGAATAATTCTCAGGGCATCTCAGAAATGCATATACTGACTGAACATGAGAATAGCGGCGTAGCCGGATTAGCTCAGATAAGCTGGAATCTTACACCTTGCTACTCTCCATCATTGAGCAAGGAACAGGTGAGCAATTCTTTAGTATCCCGCACGTATTAGTTGATGCTAGCATTTGTTTTACTACGCCTCATTTACACAATTCTAATTTTCGCTACTTCTTTTTGCGAAGAGCTTCAGATGGATCATCACTGAGCCAGCCCGAGCCTAGGATCCAGAGTGGAGAAAAAACGCTTTGGAACGTTTTGGGCGTTTTGCCGCTAGGACTGCGGGCGATTTTTTCAACATTGAAGCTTCAAGCTCTGTTAATAGTACCGAATGGCTCGTGGTAGGCTCGTGGTTGACAACCAGCCACAGTTGACGTTAAAATTGACAGCCTTTTGTAGAGCTGCTGAACACACAAAAGTTGCTACTATTGAAGGAGCACCGCAAACTCCCAAGCGCAAACCCTCTTTTGCCAGGCCGAGTCCCTTTTTCTTCAGTCGTTGCCCAAATTAGTAGTACAGCGGGCAGGGCGCTGTGCATCTCAGATGCGCCGGCAATCTCCTCCCTAGCATAGCATAGCCCTGCGTCTAGTCAGCCTCTTGGAGCCAAATTCTTCACCAAATCTCAGCCAAGGCGGCTGACCTCATCTTCCTCACTCAATCTCGGTTGCCCCGTCGGTTTCATGCTCACGGACCGCTCCCTTGGGCAACCAGGCGAAGCGCACGTGGCTCGACTGGCATCTGGTATTGTTGAGACGGCCTAGAACATGATGCCTGAACCCAAGGAATGCTGCCTGCTCGCTACCGCTACCTGCTGTATCTGTGCCTAGCAGCTGTCAACACCGCCCTGTTAGTGCTTGTTGTTAGTGGCGCCCCTGCCTGCTTACCCGGGCCGTCTGCAGTTATTTATGGGACCTCCCATCGTTCGGTCGATCGCGCCTAGAACGGCGTCGCACACACACCAGCTTCTTCGCGTTGAATTGTCCGGACGGCTCGATTGCAGAGGCATCCATCGTCGAGCGCCCGCTTTGCTTACTCGAGATAGCGCCAGATCTTCGACGGCGACGGCGACAGCTTCAGGCTTCTTGGCCAACGTGCGCGGCGCCTGGCAATCTCGTGGCAGCCACCGCCGATTGACGCCTCAAACCCCTCCCAGATCCATTCAACAATGTACAGGGTGCGCCGCGAGCTATGAATGCGCCTGCTGCGTCCATCGCTCTCCGAGTCTAGGATATCTTGTGCAACCGCCTCTAGTCATCGCTGACGAGGGCCGCTGCGGCTCCGTCGCTCGACGACATGCTGTCCCATTTGCGCTTCCACCGGCGAGGGCCCTCAACCCCGACCTCGCCGGCACCAGATCAGCCCTCACCTTCGTCTCAATCTCCTCTCAACGCCGACTCGCCGTCTCCTCTTGACGCGCAGCTGGCGGCGTCTGCTTCTGCCTCTGCCGCCTCTGCTCCCGCCTCAACCTCCCTGCCGCCGACTCTGCCGCCAATAGCCCGCGTGACGTCAAACGAACTCAACCTAGATGCTCCCCGGGTCGAAGAGAGGCGGGATGTCGAGAAGCCAGCGCAGCCGCCCGCCAACCGCCCGCCACAATCCCAGAGGCCTGGATACAGCAGCACTGGATCGGGATTCATTGGTGGTGTCGCTTTGCGGAACTACCAGCGGAACGTGGCGGCACAACAAGCTGGCGACAGCTCCAAGTTTGACGGCCATGCCCAAACTTCGCATCAGGCGCCCGCCCTGAACAACGTCGATCTGCCAACAAGGCCATCGCCGCAGACGCTGGGCGGTTCAAAGGCTACAGCTTCGCATAGTACCAGCAGCGTACCTTACTCCTCTTCATCCAACCAGCGACTCCCCGGATCTACACATTCAAGTAGTGTATTAAATATTGAGCCTCAAAAGGGAAAGAAAGGGCTGCCATTTCTCAAGAACCCAATGTCTACGCTGTTACTGAGGAGAAAGAACAACCAAAGCCTTCAGAATGCCCTTCCTCCCCCCCTAAGCGGGCGATCGGAGGAATTCACCTATGATCCTCGTATCAAGGGCACTCGGGTGCATGACTTTAGTGCGCCAAGGCGCAAAACAAACGCTCCTGCCAACGATACCGTTGCCATTCGCTCTGCTTCCTTGGCCAACATTGCGCTCGAATCAGGTGTTGGCCCTCGCGACGGAGCAGATAGCCGGGGACCTGTAGTATTGGATGGACAGCAACAGCGTCGCATGCTGAGCAGCGCGTCAGACCCAGCCCGCCCTGAATCTGGGAGTACGAATTCGCACACTATTGCTCAATCATCCAGCGTATCTTCCGCTAGGACCGGCTCTTCTACTGCAGAGCAAGCCTTCCCGTATGATGACTATATGACTATGAAGAAGAATGATTCGGCTCTCCAAGCAAATCCCTCAATAACCTCTCAGATGCCCGCCCAGGATACCGACGGCTCCAGGACGGTGGCTGGTTCTATACGAACTACCCGATCCAGAAACGTATCTCTTTCATCCATACCGAGACACATGAAGAGCACATCTTCACGATTCAGCTTTGACATGATCGGGGCCGCCAAGCAGGAAAAGCTCTTGGAAGAACGACATCGACAGCGAGAGCTGGAACAGAAGGCAGCACAGACTGAGACGAGGGATTCTCGCTTCGACGACTTTGACGAAGACTCGTTTGATTACGACGCTATGATGGATGACGATGGACTGGAAGAAAGGATACCAGGAGTCAACGCCGATTATGATGAGGAAGAAGAACCTTATTTCGATGATCAATATTATGAACAAGAGGCCCAGTACATCGAAGATGAGTTGGATCCAGACAATGATCAAGAGAATTTTGCTGGCTTTGCTTTTCAGCGATCTGACGTGGATTCCTCCGTAGCAACTCCACAGAGCGGAGGGATGATGGCAACACCTAGAGACATTGACGGCGAAGACATTGGTTATACAATGACTAAAGATGCGACAGAGTTGCCGATGGACTCTTTGTTGCCCGAGTCTGGTTTGGTTCCCAATCAGGAGACCGATGCTGAGGTGTCTGGTCTGGGGATCCAAGGCGTTGATGTTGATGCTCCTTTCCAAACACCAGGCGACTCGAGCTCGGACCCTATGGCTGTGCTACCGGCAGCTGGTATACGCCGTAGTATCAGTGAAGACGAGCTATATTTTGATGGAGAAATGGCGGGTTTCGGAGGTGTATTCGCCGAAGATTTAGCCGGGGGCCCTATAGAAGATGACGTGCCTTTTGACGAGTCGTTATTTGACAATGATGACACTGATCAGTTTGGTCGGCCTCTGGCTGGAGCTTTTGCATTGGCGAAATCTCAGCGTGAAAAGAAAAGCAAACAAGGGACACCGGATCAAGGGACACCAGGTCAGAAGACACCAGATCAAAAGACGGCGGAGCAAGAGCCAGACATACCAGAAGTACCAGAAGTACCATCTCAAATCTCGGAATCATTGCATACTTTTCAACCAGAGACGCAAACGCCATCAAGCATCGATGAAGAGCAGTTGGATGAGACTGCTGTTCCTGACACTGACGCTGACGCTCTAAGCGACTTGCCTCCTATTTCTGGGACTAACATCGTTGCGCCCCAACCTACGACTTACAATGCGAATCCTATTGTTGCCTACCAGGCTGCTCTGGCTGCAGCCGCCCAGAAAGCCGCCGAGGCTGGCATGTTTGAACGCGTGATGCCTCAGTCCCCCACCGGCGCAGATGCCCAAGGCCAGCAGCCCTCTGCAGACCTCGACGAGCTGGACGCGACTTATCACGATGACCCATACGACGATTACGGATATGCTTATGACGATATGGATGATTTCGAGATGGATGATGATGCCATTATCGCGGAAGCAAATGCCAGCGCGCTTGCAAACGATGCCGAAGGATGGTATGGCCAAGAATTCGGCTTTTATGCTGCCCCGGCTGGCAACAACGCAGCTGCCAACTTGGAAAGTTATGGATACGCTGCTGGTGGGTTTTTTGGTCCCAAGGGCGCAAACAGTTTGAATCGCAGCGTTAGCGGCCGGGTAATATCAAGAGAACCCAATCTGACACCCATCACCGAGCGATCTGAATATTCCAATAGAAACTCTCTCATGAGTCTCGGCATGCCGCCAATCAGCGGTACACCCATCATCCAGAGCCCTGGACTAGCTCAGCTAGCCATGATGGCAGACCGAGGAGACGAGATGAATTTGTCAGCTCTCCTTCGACTAAGGTCTAGGGCGTGGGGAGGGTCACAGGCAAGCTTGGCTTCTAGTAATGGTGGCTCCCCACGATCCGAGAGAGGAGATATTCCAAGCTCGCCACGAGGGTCTGTCTTTATTCCCGGTTTCCCTCCTACTGTTGGTCATACACGCAAGAATTCGGCATTCTCCGTTGTAAGCCGCGAGTCGGACACTGGCAGTGCCCCTGCCAGTCCTACACTTACAATGCCAATGTCGTTTCTCAACCACAGATCGTCAGCTGATGCTACTTTCATCAACCGCGAAGCAGACCTGCCAGCAGGCTGGGGAGCGGCCTCAGTGTCGCCCGTGCAAATGGGATCGAATTTTTTCCAAGAGGGTGTTTCCCCGCTTAGCGATCCTCAATGCCCGCCTCCTACTTTTACAATGCCCTGTGGTGTACATCCGCATGCGATGAGCAATAATCAAGGAGCTTCAAGCCCAGAAAAAGGCCACCGACGACAGAAGGGTTCGACTGATAGTGTATCATATATGATGGAGGAAGAGAGTGGAGAGACGCGGTGGGTCATGGAACGCCGGCGAACGGGAGAGTTTGGACAGGTGGAGATTTTGGAGCGAGAAGTTGTCGAAGGAGGACGGATATAGGAATACGTCAATTCGGTGGCCGGCTTGAGCGAACGCAGAAGTGACTCGCATATCGACGACGATGGTAATGAAAGCGATTCAAGCGGACTGGAAGGTATATATAATATTGGAGGCTTAGGGTGGCTTTGGAGCGCGAGGTCTGCTACGCGAGAAAGAAAAGAAATTGCCTAAATTTATTTTGGATGTATATAAAGAAGTTTTGGAGCTGGGTTATTTGGGTAGCAGATGGTAATGGTGTTTAGGAGTCCCCCGGAGATGGCTACGGCGGGCTTTTCCAATAATCAAAGGGCTTTTACAGGCGATAGGCGATCTTGAAAAATATCACATGGGCAGAGAGAACACGGCGCACTGGAGGGAGCGTTTTTAATGCACTACATTCTAGAACTGCTACGCACGAGGAACGGCGGCTCATATATGGTTCTGCAAGATTGTTTTGCCATACCACACGATGAGCTGAGACAAGATGGATGCTTCAGCTGTGGTGTTTACTTGAGCTTCTGTTTCTGATTGCTACATGCTGGGGAGATGTAAGGAGATTTGAAGCTTGGGATACCCCTATTTTTCTTTTTCTTTTCTACGGATCGGGTTGACGAAGGTGGGCTTCTATGGAAAAAAAAAAAAAAAAAAAAAAAAACCGCTCTGGAATAAACATTTACTTTCATTGCTTGAGTTGTCTTAATCCGTGATTTGGTGCTCCGAAGTAAGAACAGTTCCCACGAGCTTAGTGCTGCTACGAAGTGAATGATAGAAGCACTTTGGCTTCTATACTTCAATACTTCTTTCCATGTCAACAACCATTCTGAAAACGACAATCTAAGCACTGCATTGCTTGTACGAAATATGGACCGTGAGGTAGGCAGATGGTAAGAAGCAGTTATCAGGCATACCGCCTTCGTCCCGGCGGCAGAATCACATGATAATCAAGATGATGCGTGCTAAGAAAACGGGCTAATACAGCTAGTGGCATGGAGTAAATAATGCCCCTTGCCCATGTCCCCAGGGCCAAGGCGGTGAGCCCCGATGATAGCCGGCTAGTGATTAATTTGTTTTTTTGTTGGGAAAAGAAGAAGGCAATCAAAAGAGCGAATAAGATAACTGATGGGATATTGGTGAAAAAACTCACAGCAGCCTTGCATGCGAGCTTAACCTCTATGGTGCCCTGTGTCCGATGACGAGGGCCAAGACCGAGAACATGGGATACAGAGCCCCTCGTCATAGCGTGGGGGAAATGGGGATTGCAGCCTATGAGAACGGCCGTTTTGTTCTGTTGGCTTCAAGTGGGGGCGGGAGATTTACTTGGCTTCTGGCCCGGTGTTGGTTTTACTGGCTACTGTAGTCTGTATTAGTCTGTATTTACGAGTACGGGGCTGTCAATCTATTTCCAAGGTTACGGGTAAAAGAACTTTTGAGAGAGTGAGAGAGAGCGAGTCTTGAGATCTTGGGAGAGAGGGTCCAAGTAGTGTCTCATATGAGAAACCCGTTTGTGGTTGCAGAAGGATGAAAAAGGCAAAGGCAGGAATGTGCTCTGTGTATAAATGATGACACCCCAGCAACAACAGCAGAGTGTATACATGCATAGCAGCGTTGCAGCGTGGAGGAGGCTGAGATGTCTAGGAAAGACAAAGACAAGACGCCCGCTGTGCATAATCGATATGATGCATGCTTTAGGTAATTGCCGCGCTATCATGTATGTCATCTCGGCGCACACAGCAGCTTCTCCGCAATTGGAAAACTGACTGGAACTCGAGCTAAGCAGCACGAGTCGCATTCCATGGATGGTTTTTCTTGCCGGGTAATAAAGGCGCCCCAAACTGTGAACCATACATGACGCAGTGCTGTCGTTCAGCTTTCGGTTTACAGGCTGGCCAATCAGGGCTTGGTGTCGCACAAAGGCGCGCCGCAAAAGGTGCCTTTGCCGTGTAGAGCTAGACAATTGACCGACGGGAATCCATGTCGATGGCATGGCGGGTTTGGAGAAGGTGATGGCACCTACCGAATGCGATGTGATGTGAAGGAGAAACGGGGATCGAGATGATACGAGAGAGTGGGAGAGTGGGAGAGGAGAGAAAGAGATGGCTGATGTGCTGAATGCAAGAGAAAAGATGGAAAATCTAGACCTGGATCTTTTTTTGCAATCGGGACGGACTTGGACCCAGTCAATGGTTGATTGCCCTTGCTCTGCGCAGACATGTGAGCCCAGCATTTTGGTGAAATATATCTCGCAAAGGGCCCTCGTCCAGCCAACGAAGCGAGCCCGCGATGCCACGGATGCTCGCGACTGCTCCAGAGCTGCTCTGCTCGAGTCTGGCCGAAGCTTCACCAACCCCACTGCGCCATGCCCCTCCAAGCCCCGGGTCCGGTTTAAAGGCTCGCGATGAGAGCTGCGCCTATCAGCGTCGGTCGTTGAGAGCACGGGGGAGACGCTTTGCCGCATGCTGAGCGCTACAAGACCGATTGCCCCCACCCGCTTGGAGTCTCGCTCAACTCTTTTGCTCCGCTGATTGACTCGAAATGCCAGTTGATTGAGGAAGAAGCACAGTAGAGAAAAAAAAGAGAGCTAAAACAAGAGGTGAACACCCCCCCAGCCTGGCCTGGCGCAGACTCCACCACTGCAGAGACCGGCCGTGACGCTGATTGGTGTCCCGGGCTGCGTCTTCAATGACAAGCAGAGCACGAGGCAACACATGCTGAAGATGGGATCTTCGCGTGGTCTTTTACCAACTTAGGGTCCCTGCATTGGCTGCGGTTCCCTAGCCTTGGTCGTGTGCCTGTTGATTGCTGCGTCGCGTGGCCGTTTCTGCTGAGGTTTCCTTCTTAATACGGCCTCGTCGCCCGCACTTTTCCTGATCCCTTTCCCTTCTTCTCTTGTCGGTCCTACTGTATTTGCGCAGGACAGCCGTATTGTTTCTCCTTTTTATTTTATCTTCCTCTGTTGTGGTTCCTCTGGCAACCTCAGCCTTTCTTCTACCGGTTTCTTCTTTCTACGTCGTCCTCTGCCGCCTTTGACAAACTCTGCCTTGTCGAGGTCTAGACCGTCGCCCAGAGACCGCAATCGATCACCTACAAACCCCTCCTACTCCCTTCTCTCATCCTATTTATATCCCCTCGCCGGCAGCGCTCCGCTTCTGGGTGAAACTGGCCGGAAAAGGCTCAATTGGCTTTTTGCGCGTGACGCTCTGTCCAATTCAATTTTGCTACGGGAGTTTGCTGCTCTCGCTAGGTAGTCGCTGCTTTTGCTCAAGGCGGCTCTCATTGCTCTAGGTTCAGGTTCAGATTCTATACGCTGTCTGCCCCTCCAGCTTCTTTTCGCGGGGTTTGGCTCAGCTGAAAATATCCACCTTTTTTGGATAGAGGCGTGCTCGACTATACATCGTCAGCCAAGTTCTTTTTTCTTGTGCTCTCCTGCGAGGCCAGGAATTTTCTTGCTCTTCCGTGTGATAAGCTAGCGCATACGTTTTCACGTCCCAGCCTCAATTCGTGCTTGATCCTCAGTCCGCAGCCATGGCTTACGCTGCAAGCCCGGAAAAGTCAGCCCTTGACGCCAGCTCAATGGAGAAGAACCTCGAGAGCGGCCACGCTCAGGCTCAGGAAGGCATCTTTGGCGATGTCAGAAACGCCGACGGCTCGTCACTGCGCAGCGGCGAAGATATCCTCGCCCTGCAGGATCTCGACCCGGCCCTGAATATGAAGATGCATCTTGTGAACAACGTGAGTGACGGGAAATAGAGAGGCTTTCATGTGATCAATGCTGTGAGCGACGAGAACACCAGTCTAATCTAACCTCAAAAATCCCAAAAAATCCCATTCTCTTCTGCGATATCTCAGCACTGACACTGGATTTTTAAAAGGCAATTGATGAGATTGGGTGGACTGGCTACCACTGGAAGCTCTTCTTCCTCAACGGATTCGGGTCAGTTGCTCCTCTGCACCAACACCATTACAATCAACACCACCGACATCACTATCCCGTTAATATTCGATTCCAATAGGCTTTTCGAGCAAATACCCTTCCTAAGCCCGTATACTGCAACATGAGACGTGAGAAATGTGTTTATGTGCTAATCTGGCTCGTCTCGTAGTTATGCTGTGGATTCCATGATCCTCCTCTTCCAATCCATTGTTGCCACCCAGGCCTACCGCGAATTTGGCCAACACGGTTACGCCAATGCCCTCACCATTGCCGTGTACGTCGGTATGCTGACAGGCGCCCTTTTCTGGGGTTTCAGCGCCGATGTCATTGGCCGCAAGTGGGCATTTAACATCACCCTCTTCATCTGCTCCGGAAGCTGCATTCTTGCTGGTGCCATGCCCAGCTGGCCCACGCTCTCGCTCTTCATCGCTCTCCTCGGCTTTGGTGGAGGCGGCAATCTCATTTTGGATACAACCGTCTTCCTCGAATATCTTCCGGGCAACAAGCAATGGCTCCTCACTTTCCTGGCTGCTTGGTGGGGTTTTGGACAAGCCATTACCGGTTTCATTGCTTGGGGATTCATGGTGCCCGAGAAGTGGAACTGCGTGGACGTTGAGACCTGCACCAAGGCGAACAACTGGGGCTGGCGATATGTGCTCTTCACCGGTGGCGCCATCGTCTTTGTCATGTCGATTCTCCGAATCACGGTCGTCAGACTGCGCGAGACGCCCAAGTATCTGCTCGGCCTCGGCGACGATGCCCAGGTGGTCGAGACTTTCCAGTACCTGGCTACCAAATACAACCGTCCATGCTCTTTGACCGTTGAGAAGCTCGAGGCCTGTGGAGAGGTTCGAACGGCGCATAGCAAGAACCGATTTTCCCTTTCCGAGACCCGAATTCACTTTGCCGGGCTCTTTAGCAACAGGAAGATGGCCATTTCCACTCTTTTGGTCTGGTTCAGCTGGATGTTGATTGGTCTCTGCTATCCGCTGTTCTATGTTTTCCTCCCGTATGTTGTTTACCCAAGGCCTTGAAATACCAGCAGTTTTGCTAACTATAATTCACAGTACATATCTTGCAAACCACGGCGCAGTCTTCCACCGTACCGTCTTCGAAACCTGGCGCAACTACTGCCTCACCAACATCTGCGGTATTCCCGGCCCCATTATCGCAGGCTTCATGTGCAATACGAAACTGCTCGGCCGCAAATACACCATGGCGATTGGTGCCTTGATTACCTGTGTCTTCTTCTTCGCTTACACGGCCGTCAAGACCGCTGCCCAAGATACGGCCTTTACCTGTTTGATCGGATGCTTCCTGAACATTTACTACGGCACGCTGTATGCTTATACTCCCGAGGTCTTGCCCAGCGCTCATCGTGGCACTGGCAACGGAGTTGCCGTTGCATTCAACCGCATAATGGGTATTGTATCCGCAATTGTCGCAACTTTTGCAAACACTCAAACCTCGGCGCCCATATATATTTGCGCAGCTCTCTTCGTCGTTGCTGCTGGCGTCGCAGTCATATTTCCCTACGAACCATATGGGCGTCGGAGCTCATGAGGTACCTCAAATGAGGCTGGTGAGCTCTATTTCAACAATATAGTAGCCCCAGCTCAGTCTTTTTTTTCTCATAGAGCGTTGCGAAGGAGGAGTGTGGAGCATCGTATAATGAAAAAAGTTATAGATATAGTGATACCCAATAATAAATAAATATATATATGTTATTTTACGCAAGATTTGGCTGAAAATGCTGTGAGAATATGTAGGAGAGAATCTGTGCAAGTTTACAATGCTGCGTCGTGATTGGCTGACTAAGATGTTATCATAGACTTACGCATATCCAGGATTTTAAGGCATCAATGTCGCATCCATTTTCATCGCAAATCATCAGCTATGAACAAGCGTCTCACATTAATAGCTTTTGGATCTGAACGAGCTCCTCAATCGAAATGTTATCCAAAGTTCCAGCGCCTTTATGTAAATATTGCCTGTGCAATTCGGCTCGCTTTGGCCCACAAGTGGCGCGCCGATACACTTCGCAGGCAAAGCCCTCGACAACGCAGCAGCATCAAGACGCCCAGCAAAGTTCACCTCTAGAAAATGACGATTCTCAATCTACAAGAGATGGCAATGCTACCCATTCAGAACCCGGGGCAATGACCCGGAGGCTTCAAGAGGCAACTGAAGAGGCGCTGTTCAGCGGCGGCTCAGCCGGTAGACGTGCCGTGCAGGATGCGGGATTCTCTGAAGACTTGAAGGAAAAGCTGCTGAGCAAAATTGCGAATGCAAAGTTTCAACACGACCATTCGAGTGCGCTGACCGCAAGGGATCTCTCTTCTGCGGCGGGCGAGGGGACGAGGCATATTGCTGCTGCTGCGCCGTGGACGGGAGAAGAAGACGCGGTGGATACAGTGTTGAGGATGTTGGATGATGCGAAGAAGCCCCTGAAGCCGGAGTTTAGGGGCACTTTCCAGCCGCCTGTTGTTGATCCGCGGGTTAGACGGGCTCCTGTGGTGCATCCTCGCCAGAGGGTGGTGAATGCTCGGGAGAGAGCATCTGTTTACACCGGCATGGGCATGAAGGAGGATAAAGGGTTGAGCGATAAAGAGAAGGAGGAAATGAGAAAGGAGTTTCGGTCGAGGTTTGAGCCAACTGCGCGTGTCATGCCGGCGACGCCGTCAGGTTTGGCTGCGCTGGCGAATGAGCAGATTGAGAATGCCATTGCGAGGGGCCAGTTCAAGAATATTGCTCGCGGTAAGGGCATCGAGATTGATCTCGCGAGGAGTAATCCCTTTGTCGACACGACGGAGTATCTCTTGAATAGGATCATTCAGCGGCAGGAGATTGTGCCGCCGTGGATCGAGAAGCAGCAGGAGCTTGCCAAGACGGCGCATACGCTCCGCTCGAGGCTGAGGACTGATTGGCTGCGCCATGTTGCGAGGATGATTGCTTCGAAGGGGGGTTCGTTGGAGGAGAAGATGGCTAGGGCGGATGACTATGCTGCGGCGGAGAGGCTGCATAATCCTAAACAAGGGGCTGGAGCAGCAGCAGCGAGTAAGCCAGAGCAGGACTCTGTAGAGAACACTGATGGATTGGATTTGAGACCGTTGCCGAGACCGTTTCGCGACCCGGACTGGGAAAAGGCGGAACATGCGTATTTGAACCTCTCGATAGAGCAACTGAACAGCATCACGAGGAGTTACAACCTGATGGCTCCCGAGCTGGCCAAGAAGCCGTATTATTCTCTGCAGCGAGAATTGGATGCTTGTTTTGCAGATGTTGCGCCTTTGGTTTCCAAGGAGATTAAGGATAGGGCTACGGCGCCGCGGGCTACTACGAAGTTGACGTCTAAGCCGTCTCCGTATTCGGGAGAGGGGATTATGAGTGGGTTGACGGGGAAGGATAGTGTGAAGATTTATGATACGAGGGCGCAGCCGTATGGGTTTAAGGAGTGGTGGAAGGATGTGTGGAAGAAAGAGTAGGAAGGGGACGACTGTTTGTTCATAGATTATGGGGAAAGTTATCCAGCACCCCAGTTGCGATACGGCACTCAAGCTATAGCTAAATAAAGCAGTTAGACTGTATATAAAATCCGGTTTTAACTACACAGTATTATATATACCTACTACTAGCAGCAGTAGCCCATTCCATAGCTGGAGTGCTGGATAATAGAACTTGGGCGCCGGATAACTTTTCCCTAGATTGTCGGCTTTAGAGAGTCGTCAACGAGGTCCGTTGATGGCCAAGAAGAGTGGAAAGCCAAATGAAAGTACATGTATAAAAAATAATAAGAACATTAAAACTATCGAACAGGTACGTAGTGATATATATAGAAGAAGTAACAATAGTAATAGTACACAGATACCGGTGTCTTCTGGCCCAATTTCCAGATTTTTTGCCCTTTAGTATAATAATTACACAACACCGTTTCAAAAGCTTGTATAAAGAAAGAAACATAGTAAAGAAAGAAGATCAAAGAGCCGTCGAGTCTCGCGACCAAGAGCTTGAATTTGTCGAGCTCCTGCTGAGACTGTATTTCTCCGTCAATTTTCCGTCATAGAGCCAATATGAATTCTCGTTATTTCCTAAGCATCTCTCCAAGAATTGTTCAACCTCTTTGGCATCCACCCGAGTGTTTCTATCGGGATGAAGCATGGAGTTTTGGATAAAACTTAGAAATTGTGAGAAGAATGTATTTTCGCCAAAGCCCCTAGTGAGGTCCGTAAACCACTTCAAGTATAACAAGGGTCAGCCTTTATAAAAACTTAGGGAGCTAACGAGGAGGTGGCACGATAGGTCTGTGTTGCACATACCTCTGCGACAGAGTCTTTTTGTTTCGGTTGCCCGGTCCTCATTGTGAAGAAGTGGTCTTCAGACCATTCACCCTTGTTTGGATCAGGGGAGCGTTTGTCTTCTTCTATTCGCAAGTTTTTGAAATGGTCAATCCCGCCCTGGCCCGCAATCGCCCACGTAATGAACTCGGCAAAAAGACAACCAAATGCCCATATGTCAACTTTCCTTGATCGCATCATACCTGTGTCGTGTTCAGGTGATCTGTATGTCTGATAGGCGGCACCCATAGACTTCGACTGCACCGTTCGAGAGACGAGTCTGTGGAATTTCATAAGGCCCAAGTCTGAAACCTTGAGAATCCCCAATGGCGTACCATCGTCAGTAAAGTGTAAGATGTTGTCCGGCTTGATGTCGCTGTGAATTCCATAGAGTTCATCATCATCAGCTTCATCTTTTGTTTGGGACGTGTCGTGCGGGTCATGGATAGCTCGGAGATCTCGAATAATTCCATGGCATTGCCTGCAAATCCACTGACTAAATTCTGGCCATTGCACTTGTTTCTTTGAAACAATTGTCTGTGGATCTTTAGTCCACAAATGATTGAGGGGGCCTCCATCTGCCCACGGAAACAGAAAGCTATAGTTCTCTCCCTTTTTAAACGCGGCACAGATATCTATAAGATGACTGCCTGGTTTAGCTTGTTGAAAAGCCTTTAGTTCTTGCTCGAACAATGCTTTCTTCAGATCGAACCGCATCATGGAATGGATAGTTTTGAGAGCAAAATGCGGGTGTTTCTGTGGCTGTTAGTTAGCGTGATTGAGGATTAGAAGCATACGATTGAACTTACAAACTCATGATGTTCCTCGTGTAACTGTACCCTTTCAACGACCCCAAAGCCACCCGTGTGCTTATTCTTTGAGATTTTGGTGATAGGTAATATCGTCTTGTCATCGAACTCATAGAAGTTGCAACGTGAAGAGCTAGACTTGGGAGACTTGAAGGATGGTGCTAGAAGTTGCCATTGTACTCTGACAAAGTCTTCAATGAAGTCATCATCAACTTCCTCAGGAAACTGTATATGGTCTTCTTCTTCCTTGTTTTTTGGCCACATCTTTTTAAAGTTAGAAGTGCTTTGAAACGGAAGGTCGTCGTCGCATAATGAATGCTCCTGAAAGAAGTCTATAAGCCCAGCTTCGTCAATAAGAACAAGAATGGCGAATATGTTGAAATATGATTTAGAGATGGTGGATGAATTTCGAGTTTGGCCATGGCATATCAGCGATGCGAGTTGTTCGCAAAAGCTAGGGTCACTCCTAGGATACGCCCTTCTTAATTCTTGCACTACCGCCTCTATATTGCATTTTATTTCCAGCTGCCGACGTGGTATAAAACGCTTGTCTTTGTTGTGCTGCGCACAAGGCACCAACGAGTCTCGTAATGCTTTTCTCAAACGCGACTTGGACTGTGCCATATCGGATAATAAAAGACAGAGTGGTGGATGTTATCTTGTGTTGAGAGGGTGGCTTGGAACGAGATAGGGATAGGGTGCTGATCAACTGGAGTTCGTGCTTTTTTGCTGTAACATTAGTTTGATTCAGGTTCAAGATTGGATGTAAAATCAGCCTCCGGAGGCCTCAGCCTTCAGTTTATAAAGTCTAAAAACAATAAACTAATGCGGCTTTTAATCACATTTGACCATGCAGTCTTTGGACGCCTTTTGTTGAAGATGGTGTTCTGACCAGGCTGCCGATATTATGCCACCACTAGCTGATATTGCAACTAACAGCCTCATAATTTGCATGTATAAAAGAGCAGCTTTCATATTAACTCGCTTGCTGAAGTCAAAGTTCGACGTTCTCTCTTGGTTTCTCTCCTTTTGAAACTTGAGTCTGAGCAACACAATACTGCTTCATTATTGTCTTTTTTTTTTTCTTTTTTGAAAAAATGTCATTATGTCATTCCGTAGCGATAAGGAAAGGGATGAGATGCCTAGTAGCATATCTTCAAGAAAAAACGCCTCGCTTGGCATCAGCCTTTTCGATCCTTCGCAGATATTTAGCAATGCTTCGCTTTTTGTTCGGTGAGGCGTCTTCACTCTAAGATGCGAAACCCGGCATAGGTGCCTCAATATCAACTCCTTCCATGCAACTACGTCTAGCCAATGATAAGTCGCTTCGGTGTGATAACTATTCAGGGGGGCGTGGGGCATGTCTCAGCGACTTCCTTGCTGCACAATTTGCATGTAGTTGCTGATGACTGCCTGAAGCTAGAGATAGGTGCCCAACATACATGTAGTTGCCCACTGTACAACGCAGCAAGCATAGACACGCACTTGGGACGATAAAAACTTCTGGCGTCTATGGAGTGCGTTATCCGAAATTATAACCTTTCATCTCTCGCCATGTCTCCAATTGCCTGGATCCAAGACCTTTGAAAGGCGAATGTCGGCTTGCCACGCACGGCGTATACATGTAGGGATATCTGACCAACTGGGGCGCATGAAGTCCCTTTTTTCAACTCCTTGCCCCGGTAAGGCTCTTTTTCAAAACGCCTAACTCGGGGCTGTGCTTTAGAATAAAGCTTGAACATTTCCACATTCTCGAGTCTCTCTGTCTCTAGTCTCAAAGTTTCTTCTCATAAATCTTTTTAATGCCGAATTTTCTTCTTTTTATAAGATTAGAAGGGGATACGGGATCTGCACCAATCAATCGCAACCAAATTATGTCCAGGGATCGCACCCTTGGCCGAAGCCGATCTGGCGAAGAGTGGAGATCTAGCGAGCCACAGTGCATCCCCGGAGGGTACCTCGTGCCTCGAAGGTTGGAGGCAGCCCTGAAAGAAAAATGGCCCAATCAATATGTTGTTGAAGTAAGTTGAACAGTGATATATATTTGATGTATGTTGACCATGTAAAGATGCGCTCAAATATATATCGCATCCGAGCGCCCGGCAGACTTACCGATGAGGAAATTAGCACATGTTATTCGTGGGTCTATTGAAAATTGCTGCTGCGAAAACTATATACCCATTGATTGACAGCGGTTAATTCTCACAAAAGAGAGTTTTCGTTACTTGCTGTTCTCCATCACTTTTGTACATACTTATGTCCTCATGGACTGCATCTTGATTTTAGAGACTCGCGTCTGGAAAGCGTATAAGGAGGCAATATGGTACTGGTTTTTAACAAGACTGATGATCATCGAGTATACATACAAACTATCCTACGACCCCCCCTGTAACCTGTCCTGTAGTAATACTCGCCTTTCCTTTTTACGCTAAGGAAGATGATCTGTCCTATGGACAGGTGAATTATTAAGTTTAAAATTCACCGCTGCAGATGAGGATTTTAATTGATAGACTGCTTTAGTTAACAATCTAGCAACACCTTCACTCCCTATAGTCATTCCGGACTAAATTACTCTTGCGCTATTATACCTGTCCATGGGATAGATTATCTTTTGCGCTAAGAAAAGGGAATCTAACCATTACTACAGGACAGGTTACAGGGGGGGTTATAGGACAGTTTGTTATAGCACTTATAATCATCAAGGCAACTTGCGATAAATAAGTACTATAACAAACTGTCCTACGACCCCCCCTGTAACCTGTCCTATAGTAATAGTTATATTTCCTTTTCTTAGCGCAAAAGATAATCTATCCCACGGACAGGTATAATAGCGCGGGAGCAATCTAGTCCGGAACAACTATAAGGAGTGAAGGTGTTGCTAGATTGTTAACCAAAGCAGTCTATTAATTAAAATCCTTATCTGCAGCGGTGAATTTTAAACTTAATAATTCACCTGTCTATAGGACAGATCATCTTCCTTAGCGTAAAAAGGAAAGGCGAGTATTACTACAGGACAGGTTACAGGGGGGGTCGTAGGACAGTTTGTATGTATACTCGCGATGAATTAAGCGAATGGATAATAAATTCATTTTACTACCTAAGCAAGGAAATATGAAATATGAAGTTAAATTGTGCGCGCTCTAGTTGGGCATCAAGTACAGTGGATACCTCGTAAGTAGTCGGTACATGATTATCGATCCGATTGTATTTAGGCTGCTATCTGGAGCCCGATGCCCTTGCAACTCTCGTCGGCCAACTTCGCACTAGATAGTCGGAAGATAGTGGTTCATCATACGCATCTTGACCTGGCCAATTTCTTCCTGTTCGAAAGATATAGTTAGAATCCACTTGCGTCTCCTCAAGACGGGAATCCTGGACTTGTATCATACGTTGGTCAATCGTCTCACTAGCTTGATTTGCCATTGATTCGATATGCGCTGCCAGAGCAGATTAGGCAACTGTTTCCAGCAATGCAGAAATACGAGGAAGCCTTACCTGTACAAGCTTGAAGTTCTCTTCGCCAAGTATGCCTTCAAGAATTTCGTGCAGCCTGTCCTTGGAGCCATAATCAATGGCAATAACTTGTGTCAACATTGCTTCAGAGTAGCAAGGCGTGATGGAATGAGCCGCGGCGGCAAGGCGTACACTGGAAGATGTTGAGGCATCCCCCGAATGTTTCAGGCGATCATTTATTTCTCTTCCTTTGGGCATCAGATGCTAGGGCTTGGGCTCACTAACAAAACATGTGTGGCACCATTAATATATGCGTCTCGCCATGGTTACTACAAATGGTCGCAACGGGCTCTGCTGGCGTTGCACAGCACAAATAGCTTGACTCATCTGCGTCAAAAGGAGGTGGCCAGGCTGACCACCCTCTGCCCACCCGATCCGGCCCTCGTCGGCCAAAGCCGTGGAAGGCTGCCTCGTCGCAATACTAGTAGTGTTTGAAAAGACCAAGTCCATACAATAATATGAAGTGCAAAAATTCGTAGGCAGCATCGCAGTTTGACGAGCGACGGACTCTTTTATAATAAATTGAACTCCCCCTTTATTCTGCCTTGAGGCTATCGAGCGCGGAGCGGCAATATTGAGATATTACAAGCTCCTCCCAGTGGCCAATTTGAGCAGCTGTATGACGAAGTCTGCCTGACCATATTAAAAGCTAATGCAGTAATACCGAATTGGTTCAGAACTCCGCCACCTCAATGGAGCGATTATATATTACAGGATGTCTCAACAAGACTGTCGCAAGCCTTAGGCTTTATGCAGCAATCACCTTGATCTTCCACCGACTTCGAATTCTGCGAGCATATTTGGTTATTCCGACGCGACCTGTTATCCGCCGCGAAACACCGCATTTACTCCAGATGTCTTGGCTTTGCCGCAATCCCGAGCCTGATGCCAGCGACAGAGCTCTGCTCAAATTTTCTCAGGGACAAAGCGAAGCATTCAGCATTAGAAAAGATGAAGATGGGTGCGATACTGAGGTGTATATCGCTGGAGAACGATACAGTCAGCCATTGCATCTATCCAGTGAACATGAATGGGAGCACTGGCTGCAGCAGTTTGATGGCGAGTCAGCCGGACTTCCAAATGAGAAAGGTGACAGGAATGGTCCTGTCAGCCGCAGTACGGAAGTTTCCAGTGCTATTAATTTGATTATGAGCGGGAAATCGTCTTCATTGTCCAAGGTGCCATTTTCGGAAGGGACATTCCGAAAAATAATCAGCGGCTTAAAATTGCACAAGTCAGTTATACGAGCAATTAATAGAAACACAAGCTGTACATTTGCAAAGACGACGCGTGTTCTGGAGAGTAAGACGTCTAGTACTGAGGCAATAGGTATGCTCTCTTAAGTCACCAAGCAAGTAAAATCTGCTTACTCAGTAATAGTATATACATGCAGAACGGCTGAAAGCTGGGACGACGATATGGCGTTAACTGTAACGTTTCTTCCAGAGACGATGACAACTAATGCGCTCTGGTTTGGCTGCAATTTGAAGGAGCGGGATGTCCATGGGCATTTACTGACAGACTCTGCCATTATTACTGGCAAGTTGCGTAATTTCGATGGAGAAGCCTTTCATCCAATGATGCTGCCTACCATATTTGCGGAATTCGAGCGAGGGAGGCATGCTAAACTGGTACGCGAAAGTAATACGCAATTTGTGCAAAGAATTCTCGATATCGAACAAAGAAGCGATGCATTTTACGGATTACACCAAATTCATCGAGAGACTCAGCAGACGATAGAAAAAGATTTTCAACCGTCCAGAACTAACTCACGTCTTACTGATATGAAGGGAAGAGTCGGCAGCTTCCTGTCAGGAAAGACTCTATCAACATCATGTAAGAGAGAATTTGACACATATTGCAAAGTGCTCATCTAACTTTAAATTCTTTAGCAACTTTTAATAGCTCAGTTGGATCTGATACAACACAAGTCGAAAGCGAAAGCGACTTCACTGCGGCTGAAGATGACGAATCTTGCGCAATGCTCTGGATTAAAATTAGCCACCTTAAGAACGGCTTGGAAAACTGGAAAACGCAATTGGTCAAAATGATTGATCACGTACAGGAGCTTGAAGATATAGACTTTGGTATAGATTATAGAAACATGGCAGCTTTGAGAGGACGGCGAGACGCACTGGTGGAATGCGGCAAACGAATTGGAGAAAGGCTCCGCGATTTGATTGACGAATACGACAATTTTATAAGAGAATGTGATCATATTATGGCTGGAATGTCGCTTGCAATGCAGCTGGTCAATATCCTCCCTATTTTATGCCTTCCTGTCTCTCTTTCGCTATCCTATATCGTTGATTGCTAACATTTGTCGCTGCAGGACCTAAACAATATCGGCCGTAAAGACGCACGGCTTAATGAAAACATATCCAGAAGCAGCCTGGCAGTCGCAGAGACGGCTCAACGCGACGGAAGTCTAATGAAGTCAATTGCGGTTCTCGGAATGATCTATTTGCCAGCAACATTCGTTTGTGTACGTCGCCCAATTTATTTATGTCTTGCATAATCATTTTGCATCTCTCAACATTTACTGATGACCGATCTGTAGACATTCTTTTCTATGGGTTTCTTCCAATGGAGTGGACAGAGCGGCGACACGAGAACAGTCTCACCTGATGTCTGGATATTTGTGCTTGTGGCAGTTGCTTTTACTTTACTGACGATAGGAGTATTTGCAGCCTGCACCATTGGCAGAAGCAGCAGGGTCAGGGCTAAACTCCATATTGTTTAACCGAAAGGTGTGATGGAACCAGTTACCAGTATGGTAGAATAATCTCCAAGTAGAGAGGTTTATGAGATTCATGACGACCTGCGAAATAGGTTGCTTTGACCGACCGTCGTTATACAAAGAAGCCGAACGGCTGGATAGTTAATATATACGCATGCATGTATTACTTCTGATATACCTTACAGTATCAAAATCATCCCAACCGCGCTACTAGATTAATCTGAACATAACTACACCTCACTGAATCTAGCTGTTCACTTTTCTCCGAATGGGGTTCCATGTAAGAAACTGCCTTTCTCAAACTCTAACCATAAAAATTGGCCCAACCCATATAATGAACACCAATAACTTTTATATTATTTGGTTTTGTTTCATAGTTATAGCCAGTTATAAGGTAATGTACGTATTCTGTCATAGAGACTGCCAAGGAATGTATCTTACAGTCTGCTGGCTGGTGAGGTACACTCTTTATGTTGCTTGGGAAAGGGTATCATTCAGCGTAGAAGCATATGTCCGCGGAGTTCTTAATTGATACCTTTGTATATTGAGACGTCATGGTAACGCTGGCATTCATAATTCTCGTCGGCACTGCTCATATCCGTCTTGGCAAAGTTACGTGGCCGAATGCTAACCGAGCAACCCTTATTCCTTTGTACAACTCCAGCCGCAGCTTAAACTGCATTGGGATACTGCACCGACCTATCTTAATTTTAACTCGAAAGTCATGATACGTCAATGCTTCGTGTATTCATATGATTTGTCACTGGATTTCTCAAAGCCGGTCTTACGTAATACTATTACTACCTTCTAGTACTCAATCCATATACACTTACTATTAATTTTATTATTATAGTAATATTTGAAGAGACTTGGTAAAGTCAACTTGTTGTACCTATTGACTTAATAGATATTGACAGTGGCATCTGGTACACCGAGTACAGTCTCAACTGTAACTCCAGGAATTTGGCTTCTTGCAAATCTAATTATCTGCAGTTGGCTCCTCTGCCAAGTCTCTTTTCCTCCATTTGCTGCAAGAGTAAAGAATGTCTCGGTCCCTTTTTGATCAACATTTCCACCGGTTTTAGTAATGCTGACATAAATGTCTCCTGCGGTGTTGTTGACAACTGTAATGATACCCATTTTGTCTAATATATTATATATATATTAGTATACATTACGTATGGCCACATACACAATAACTTACTTGTGAGGTTGGTTATCAACACGTCTGGACTTTAAGAAACAATAACGTTCGAGATAAAGGCCCTTTCGTTGGCTTTAAAGATATGGTTATAGTCGGCAATGGAAAGTATAAGATCTTTGAGAGTTGAGCCAGGAGAGCAGCTGTCCTTGAATTTAAATAATTTTACAAAGTACAAAAGAACAAGATTATGCTTTGAAATTAAAACTACCCCGCTTGAAAAATGGTTACTGAAAGTACGTCATAAGCTTCAACTATTTACTGTTCTTTGTTTGAACTATATTATCTGCCCACCACTATACATTATGTTGTGTGTTGGCGAGCCAAGGACATTTTTTCGAGTGCAGAACGGCACAACCCTTCCGGATTGGTATCACCCCCCTCACCTATCTTATAGGACCAGATGGATACAAACACTTTCCTTTGTTTCGTATGACACGTAGTGAACGCTGACTTCGAATCTGCAACTCCTACCCTCCTGTTGCCCAGACGGGCTTCATGTAAGTAGCTTACTTAGTGGACGTTAACAATAAAACAAAAAGACAATACATTATGTTGTGTATCCACCACTCTCTATTCTATTATCTATCTATTACTATAGATTTACACTACTACATTACGTATGCATTATCATCTCTTTGTATTCTACTACCTACACATATAGAAGTAAGGATTACCTCGCCTAGAAATTAGTACTGTAAATATAATTAGGGATCACGATGCGATTACAAAAAGAAGAGCAAAAGAACTCGGTGCATGCCCTCGGAGTATCATCCGCGACATCTTACAACGACGGAAAGCTGGAGGGTAATTTAAGGAGAGCCAATCCGTATCTCACTCTAAAAGGAATAAAATCTTGGTTGAAAATTACTATCAGAGTCAGAGAAGAATTCTTGGGCATAGAAAACCATGTAGTACGGATTGAACATAGGCGGGAGTCCATGGTGTCCTTTCTTCCAGACACTGCAGAGGAAGATTTTGAGAGATGTATAGAAGACTGGATTACTCTTCACAGAAATAATATCGGAGGGCTTACTAAGATACTTCCAGGATATTTTCGGCCAAGGATAGCATTCAACGAGTCAAGGGAGGATGTGTTGAGGAAAATGAACATGGATTACATATTATTCTGATCCTACATTCCATTTTTCATTAGTTCAATGTTAAATCTGTGTATATTGGCGTCTCGTATAATATCCAAGGATGCCTTGAATCAGCACGCGCTTTTATATATACATATTTATAATTCTTTTTTTATTTATTTATATGTGTACATGTGCGTTGGCCACATAACGATACCATTTCTCTATCAAAGTAACGTGTATCGACTACAATCACTGAATTTCGCAATGAGCAAGAGATACAACATTAGAAAGAACTTTTTTATGTTGGTCATTCGGCAAATCCAACCGAACCAAGTTAACCAAATGCCATCAGGGAACTGTCAACTTGGTCGACTTTCTAGAAGCTCTTCCTCCAAAGCCCCATCCTATCTGGTGCGCAATAGTAATGGATACTTCCAATTCATCTGCCCACGCCCATACTAAGCCCGGATTCTTTTGAAACATGCGACCTGCGGCAATCAAGTCCAGGGGAGTATCATCGGGATCTTCACTGCCGTTGATAAGCTTCTGCGCTACTTCTCCTGTCTTGATACTTCCCACAGAGCTGACCAGCATGGAAGATTGAACTGCGGCCTTTATCTTTTTGGCAAACGGTGCTTGGTAGCCAGGGCCGCCAATAACCTTTTGCTGCACATGATTGCCACCAGTTGATACATCCAGCACATCAACACCACGTTCGGCGAAGAGTTTGGCGAGCTTGACGCTCTCATCAATGGTCCAGCTTGGCCCGCCTCTCCACTCTGGGTTCGTATCAAGCCAGTCAGTGGCGCTGATGCGCACAAACAATGGCATTCCCTTTGGTAGAATCATCCGCGTAGCTTCAACAAGTTCCAGTGCTAGGCGAGCACGATTCTCAAAGCTTCCACCGTACTGGTCCGTTCGCTTGTTGACAGCCGGAGACAGAAAGCTGGAAACAAGATAGCCGTGCGCAAAGTGCAGCTCAATGACATCGAAGCCGGCGCGAACGGCACGGCGAACGCCGGAGAGGAAGTCATGCTTGAAGCGAGCAATCTCAGCGAGGCTCATGGCACGCGGCTTTGGGTAATGCTCGTTGAAGGCCTCGTTGCTTGGCCCAACGACATCATCCGGCCAGCCACCAACTGCTTCGGTTGCTGTTGCGCCGGAGCTGAGCCAAGGTGCAACGGTGGAAGCTTTGCGTCCAGCATGAGCCAATTGAATGCCAATGTGTGCATTCTGACTGTGGGCGAAGTCTACATGCTTCTTTAGAGTATCGATGTGCGCATCAAGCCATATGCCCGAATCTTCGGGTGTGATGCGGCCATTGGCCTGCACAGCAGTGGCTTCAATCATCATAAGTCCAGGCTATTATTATACGTATCAGCATTTTTAAACATCCAATTTATGGAATAGATGAAGAGGCGAGAACATAGCCAGAACGCCAGAGACTTACACCACGCTGAGCCATGCCGCCATAGTGAGTGATGTGCCAAGGCGTATGAAACCCTTCATGTGCGCTGTACTGGCACATGGGACTCACCCAAATGCGGTTTGGCAGCTCTATATCGCGTATCTTCAAGGGAGTAAACAGCTTAGGCACAGGTTTACCGGATGGCTGAGGCTGAACAGCGCTTCCGGGCACAGGATCCTGCTCAGGCGTATAGAAGGAAACGCCTTTGGCGGCAGCATTGGAGATGGGCCCTGCACATTTGGCTTGCTTCTCCGGCGCCGGTGTTCCAGCGCGCGAGACTGTGATTCCGTGATGGGGATGGCAGATGTGTGGGTGTGCGATGCGCTGTGTGAGATAGGCAGCCATATTGACACAATACGATGTAGGCTCAGATGAAGATGGAGTAGAGTAGTGGCAGTTTGTTTGAGTGTGAAGAAGGAAGATGAAGTAGAAGATTCATAGGGACTCGGTTGGAATTCTAGTAGTTATAAGTCACTATAAGAACATGGCTGAAGCATAATATTGTCTAAACGTGAGGTGTTGCATTTACCCAATATATCGGCAGCTTCGGAGGTGGCGCCCACAACCAGCTGAACTTTTAACGATAACCTTTTTCGCTGATCGAAGCTCTATTATAAGCTGCAAAGGGTTCAATTGCATATATGTTAATTATGTATTTATGACCCGTTAAAGAGAGAGGCCTGGCGTTTGTTGCAAGCGCGAATTGTTTGTCTCGTTCCGCCGCATGTTCTCTCTTATAAATAATTTGAACATAATCTGGCACATATCACGAATACATCATCACAAGGTATTCTGTCGCCTCAAAGAAAAAGTTAATCTCTAGAGCTTCTACCCGTGTCGCCCTAATCCAAAGTAGTTTAGCAGCCAAATGTTATTCCATGACACTCAGGCCGCAGTTAAACATGGCAATATCTTCTCAGGTTTCGGATGCGATAACATGTTAATCGCCTTTTCTATTTGTAGCAGTTTGACAAAGTGATCAACAGTTGCCATCTTCGACATACAAAAGAATGAAGCAAGAGATGAGTGGCATTTGGGTTATGAGGACGAATAAGCTATGTGCTTATGAATTGTTTCTTTACTCTAACTATAGAGACAATATTGCTCAATGCTAAACCTACTAGGCTGCCGAGCCAATCGCCGTCCGTGGTGGCTTCAAGTAGCCCAATAGAAACACAAGTTGAAAGCTAGCAGTTCTATAATACGAAATGAGAGAACCTTGGCGTCGTGTATAATACGGATATAATCGTCATACATTAGGTCCTTCTAGGTCAATAGTCTACCGCTAAAACTAAAGACTCGTTTATGAATCGGAACTTGAAAACAACTACATACAAGCGGGTAACATTATCCTCTCATTTTACAAGCCTTCATCTACCCAAATCCCACAAAGGAACAAAAGCGAAGTGGCATCAGAATGAGGCAATCCGCGAAGCAGTAATTCGATGTTAAAAGCAGTATTGAAGTTGGTAGAATGTTTTCTTGTTCATGCCATTGTCAAAATGCAAGGAGGTGCATGTAACAACGAACGCAGGGTTGAATAGCTAGCGTTTCCATCTATATGAAGTCAAGTCTCTACGCTTGGTCCACCAAAAGCAGAACGCGTAAACATTGCTGTTATTCTTTTTTTATTAATTTTATTTGTATATGATCAAGTTAGAACCTGTGATTCATCTAGCGCCGCCCGGCGAATATACCTACAACTCCAGTCCTTCATTGCGAATCTGTGCACATCAGCAGCGCCTACGTTCTTTTCACAACGCTTCCATTACTATTAAGAGCGCTGGCGCAACCAGATTTCCCTTCTTGTATCAACAGTGATCATACGCATGATCTTCACTTGCAGCTGCAAGATGCAGGCATACACTAATTATAATTACATAGTTTCGGTCGGCATGGGTTTATTAAATAGCATCTGCTTAGTTCATTCGCATTTGGAACAAGAAATAGATTGATGAGCAAGTTTTCTTTATAGCCAGCACTTCTTAGGGTTATATAGCCAAAATATTAGGTACATTTGCTGGCTGCTTATTCACACTTAAATATGGCCGACTTCGAGCGGCATATTAAAAGTGCCCAGGCAGTAAAAGATAGAAGAGTGAGCATTAACCAGTCATGTATTCAATTTGGCTGAATTAACCATCTCTTAGACAGCTAGTCTCCATTTAAATCTCGAGGGTAGAGTAGAGTCGCATCAACACTTTTGCCGGCCGTGCATAGTGGCAGGGTTAATTAACATTGAGCGATTCTTTTTTGCCATTTTCCTCCAGATCCCGTCTAACTTCCGCAATAAGACAACTCAATTTTGGCAATAGTACTAGCAGTATAATGCGCGCGGCCTCAGGGCCGATGTAACATGGGCAGCTCCCTGTCCGAGGCTCAATGGCTGAATAAGTCGAATTCAGGCATAATCAACCCCTGCTACACGCCACATCTCTAATTTCGCCCTTGCATATATGCATATGTATGAGATATGAGCTTGTTGATCGCAATTTCCATGTTTAGCTTGTAAAGGCTGCGTGAAGAAAAACAAGAGTATACTATGCAAACGAAGGGGACATTGTAAACGAGCTTGAAAGATTGTAGCATCGTGGAGGTTATGTGGAAAGTGCCAGTATTCTGATGGACACTGTAACTGACGCTTCAAGAGTACAGATAGCCAAAAGGTTCGGACTTTCCGCTTGGCACTACAACTTCATATGGCTATTTAGTTGAGGGATTTAAGCATTCGAAACTCTCCTATCACGCATACTCGAAGAGTAATAGCCTAAACAAATATATATCACACTGATGCTATGGGTATAAAGCTGCCTTGCAGTTCGATATTTCTCAACCACAGCAGTGCTGTTACAGTATCCTTTAGCTTTGGGTAGACACTTGTTCTTTTCCCTTACTTCAGTTCATTCACTGCACCAACGACCAGTTGCTGCTCTTATTGTTCCCATTTGCATAGCCGTCATGATTAACAACAAGGCGGCACTGCTGTTTGCAGCCTATGCTGGAGTGAGTGGTGTTGCGGCACAGCAGCAGACCACCTGGGGACAATGTGGAGGACAAGGCTATTCAGGCCCGACAAGTTGTGTTTCTGGAGCGGCCTGCTCGACAATTAATCCTTACTATGCCCAGTGTATACCTGCTACCGGCATAATCACCAGCACCACCACCAGAGCTACATCAGCTACATCAACACTAAAATCAACCACAGCCTCGGCATCAAGTACGCCTCCGCCGTCCAATGGCTCAGGCACCCAGTTTGCCGGTATCAACATTGCAGGATTCGACTTTAGTTGCTCCACTGACGGAACTTGCAATGTGTCCGGTGCCTACCCACCGCTGAAGAACTACGACGGCGCAAACAACTATCCAGATGGCGTTGGGCAGATGCAGCATTTCGTCAAAGACGACGGATTCAACATCTTCCGTCTTCCCGTCGGCTGGCAGTATTTAGTCAATGCTACTCTTGGTGCCACTCTCAACCCTACCAATCTGGGTTACTATGATCAACTTGTCCAGGGATGCCTGGACACGGGTGCATACTGCATCATTGACATTCACAACTATGCCCGCTGGAACACTGGAATCATTGGCCAAGGCGGTCCTACAAACGCCCAATTCGTTAACCTTTGGACCCAAATAGCCACCAAATACGCCTCAGAGCCAAAGATTTGGTTCGGTGTCATGAATGAGCCGCACGATGTCAACATCACCACCTGGGCCGCCACCGTGCAGCTTGTTGTTACCGCAATCCGCAATGCGGGCGCTACCTCACAGTACATCTCACTTCCTGGTACTGACTGGCAGTCTGCTGGAAGCATCATCACTGATGGCGGTGTCGCGGCTCTGGGTGCCATCACCAACCCTGATGGCTCAAAGACCAACCTCATTTTCGATGTGCACAAGTACTTGGATTCCGACAACTCTGGCACCAACTCGGTATGTGTTACGGACAATATCGATTCCGCATTTGCGCCACTGGCTACTTGGCTTCGTTCGAATAACCGCAAGGCCATTTTGACTGAGACCGGTGGCGGCAATACTCCATCGTGTGAACAGTATCTTTGCCAGCAGATCCAGTACCTCAACCAGAATGCCGATGTCTACATGGGATACGTTGGCTGGGCTGCGGGTTCGTTTGATCCCGGCTACCCATTAGCAGAGACGCCGGTCCAGAATGCAGATGGCAGCTGGACTGATCAGCCCTTGGTGTCGCTTTGCCTTGCTCGATGATACAATCTTGTATATAGCAAATAAACAGTCCTTCAATTTATTATTTCCGTTTATATTTGTATGCGTATGCATATTTGTGTCATAAAAATACCGATAGATGAAATTGATCTTTTTACTTTCTTCTATGTTGCTTAATGTATTTTCACCGAAGCTAGGTATGAAACGCTGCTGTGGCAACATAAAATTGAAGAGAAAACTGAAGAAAAGAGACTGGCAGAACCCTGAGTGTTCTGCTTCAGATAACTGGTGTACATGTACTCGTTGACGAAATACAGTGCATTGAGAAGCAACGACAATTGAGAACCCAAAAATCATGCCATCTTATCGCAAATCTAGCTTCTGTACTTTAGACTTCACCCTTCTCATCATTTTACGGAGACTGGCTATCTGTAGCAGTCGAGTATTATTATGTACAGGTAAGCGGCCACCGGCTGGTACATACCCATGTCTAAACGCACGGAAACTGGCTCAGGCCAATAAGGGCATCAGAGACAAGCAGGCAGCGGATGGATTTACTTGGCTGTTGATGCTCCCGACAAATTCCCGACTATCGATGCATCCTTGGACCTGCAAAGTTACCCCGCACACAATCCAGAGAAGCTGATGCACAGTTAGTTTCTTCATCCTGGATGATGCCACTTGATGCAATATTTTGTTGGTATGACTGAATGACGTTATCGAATCATTAGCAAATCCATTATTCTGTTTTTATTTCAATGGAACAACAACAGCGGCGCCAAATTTCCGATAGTCACTTTGGCGATTACAATACAATCCTCCAGGGCGATGTTCATAACCACTGGCCCAAAGACCAAGAGGGCGAAAAGGCCCAGTGTCTATCGGACTTGCGAATAACAGACCCCCGCCACGATAAACTTCGCATAGAGAGTACAAAGGGCGGGTTGCTTGAAGATTCATACGGCTGGATCTTCGAACACGGTGATTTCCAGCAATGGCACGATAACAAAGACCGCCCTCTGCTCTGGATCAAGGGTGATCCCGGCAAGGGCAAGACCATGCTCCTCTGCGGAATTATAAACAAGTTGCGGAATCAGCGTAGTCCCAAGACGTTAATCACCTACTTTTTCTGCCAGGCGGGCGACTCGCGCATCAATAGCGCGACTGCGGTGCTTCGAGGTTTGATCTATTTGGCCATAGACGAGCAGCCACAGCTCATCTCCCATATACAAAGCAAATACAAGCACGGAAAGAAGACTATGTTTGAAGACATCAATGCTTGGACTGTATTGTCTGAAATTCTCTCAGATATACTTAATGACACAAGCTTAGAGCAGAGCTTTGTTATTATTGACGCACTCGATGAATGCGCAACAGATTTACGGAACCTCCTCGACTTCATCAACACAAAATCCACTCTATTTCCTCAAGTCAAGTGGGTCGTATCGAGCCGCAATTGGCCAGAGATTGAAGAAAGTCTTAATTCTTCTGCGAGTCAGCAAACAAGGCTATGCCTGGAACTTAATGACAAGTCTATCACTATGGCTGTTGATATATATATCAAGCATCAAGTCGAACGGTTGAAGTTTAGAAGAAAGTTTTCAGAAGAAATACAGCGCACTCTCTTACATGAATTATCCACCAAATCTAACAACACCTTCCTTTGGGTTTCCCTGGTCTGTCAGAATCTGGAAAAGACCACCTCGCTCGATATCCTTGAAAAGCTAGATGAATTTCCATCTGGGCTTAATTCGGTATACAGAAGGATGATAAAGCAAATAAATGACATAGACGGTATTGACGCAAAGCACTGCTTTCAGACCCTTGGCATCATATTGCTTGTATATCGGCCCATTACATTGGTCGAGCTCGGCTGCCTTTTCAAGCGTAACGACGGTAATCCTGCAACTGCTGAATTTATTTCCAATACGATAGCACTTTGCGGCTCGTTCCTAACTATACGAGAAGGAAAGGTCTATATTATACATCAATCGGCGAAAGATTATTTAATTGCTGCCGCTTTTACTGATTCCCAACTTAGCTATGCTAATATCCACAACATTATCTTTGAACAATCGATCAAAGCCATGTCCGTTATACTACAACGGAACATGTATAATTTGGACCCCCTTGGAATTCCAATATCTCAGATTGAGCGCCCAGATCCTGATCCTTTGGAACCCATACGCTATTCTTGTACACATTGGGCCAACCATTTGTGCGATATGTATCTCAGTAATGATAATCTTCATTATGAGAAACACAATAAACAGCATCAGATAGCTCGCAGCTTCCTTCTAAAGCATTTTCTATACTGGCTCGAAGCTTTGGGCCTCATTGAATGCACAGAAGACGGGGTCATCTCGATAATACGACTAGAGAGTTTATTAAAAGTAAGTGAAAATTATGTATGCATATATCCCACGTTGATCGAGGCTGAGCTGATTCCAACAGGAAATGTTAGCACACAACTTACCTACAGAGTCAAAGTCGGAGATGGGAGGTTCTCGGACTTTCAAGAAATTAAAGGATGCTATCAAAGTGAGTATGATCGGCAAAAATAATAAAAGATAAGTCTGACCAATAAAGGAAAAATCACAAGCGTATCTGTCGCCAAGCCGTCAATTATCAACCCGAAAATCGTCAGATCATCAACTGCCCAACTTCCAGTTTTTAGAGCTTGTACAAGATGCACGGCGATTTATCCAGCAGAACAGGTCAATAACTGCATATAATCCTCTCCAGGTTTATGCATCAGCACTTATATTCAGTCCATCGAGTAGCATAATGCGCAAATTGTTTGAAACCGAAGAACCAAAGTGGCTAAAGGTTAAGCCTAATGTGGATTACAATTGGACTCCTTGTTTGCAAACAATTAGTGGCCATGACAATGTGGTTGGATCTGTTGCTTTCTCTGCAAAGGGCTATCTTGCTTCAGCGTCAAGGAATGGAAAAATAAAGTTCTGGAATGCGACAACAGGCAGAGAACGGTACACAATTAATAACGGCCATCACACCCATTGCATTGCTTTTTCAGTAGATGGCCGATACCTCGCAGCTGGCTTTGGAACTCTATCTACAAACATCTGGGATGTTACAACAGGCAAGAAACAGCAAACTTTTCGAAGTGAGAGTCAAACAACTCGAAATTATCATGGTTGGGTCGTTTCACTTGCCTTTTCAATAGACGGTCGTTATCTCGCTTTGGGGGCGGCTGGTGGGTCCATAAGGATCTGGGATATTGTTTTAAGTAAAGAGCAAATACTCGAGGGTCATACGGCCCGCATTCATTCAATCGCCTTTTCAACACGTCATCACCTCGCTTCAGGGTCAGATGATGCGACTGTAAAAATATGGGATGTAACAGGCAAAGAGCATCAAACACTCGAGGGTCATAAGTATTCAGTTCGATCAGTTGCTTTCTCAGCGGATGGCCAATACCTAGCCTCTGGATCAGCTGATGTGGTCAAAATATGGGATGCAATAACAGGCAAAGAGCAGCGAACAGTTGAAATTAATGAAAATCTAGATTTGATGACTTTTTCATCTGATGGTCAATATCTCGCCTTTGCAAGCCATAAGACTATCAAAATCTGGAATATGACAACGGGCAAAGAACACCAAACACTCCAAGGTAGAAGTGGCTTCTGCTCGATTGCATTCTCGCCAAATCGCTATTATCTTGCGTCAGGGCAATCGGATCATTCAGTCACGATCTGGCAAGTGACAGTGGGCAAGGAAAGGCATATCTTCGATGATTATGAAATTAACTCGGTTGCCCTCTCAGCAGATGGCAATTATCTCGCCTCCGGGAGTAGTGATGGGGTTATACGAATATGGGACACAACAACAGGCGAAGAGCGTCGAAGGCTCAAGGGCCACAGTTACTCAGTTACATCAGTTGCTTTCTCCGTGGAGGGTCGATACCTAGCCTCAGTATATTGGGATTGTACCATAGAAATATGGGATGCAATGACAGGCAAAAGGCAGCGATCGATTAGGGACGCTTCTCCTGGCCGCTATTGCTCTATTTTTTTCTCCCAGGATGGTTGCTATCTTGCTTTCAGCATGTTCAATCGCGATTTAGCCATCTGGGATGTAAAAATGGGCAAACTCCACCAGACAATTGAAACCCGTGGGAGTGATTATAGCTTGCTTACCTTCTCAGCTGACGGCCGCTATCTTGCCTCAGCGGTAGACGGTACTAATCTTCGTGCCCATGGATTCAATAATATGGCTATAAGAATCTGGGAAATAGAACCGGGAAAAGAACGGTATATCCTCAAGGGCCATAGCAAATGGGTTACCTCAATTGCTTTCTCACCAGATAATCAATATCTCGCCTCAGGGTCAATAGATGGGGCTATAAACGTTTGGGATATAATAACAGGTGCAGTGTTGCAAATAACTAAGAAGCAGACTTTGATACGTACCATATCATTTGACGTTACAGCCTCATGTCTGCGTACTGAAACGGAGTCTATATATCTCGACATGGAATATCTTTCTACAGTTACGTCTCGAGTTATACCTCCAGCTACCAGTTCGGCCAAAGATGAATGCGAAAATCGGCTTATTGCTAATAGCACTAAGAATGGAAATGATGTGGGCTACGGTCTAAGCCTTGATGCATGCTGGATTACTTGGAACGGCCATGCTATACTGTGGCTTCCGCCTGAATACCGGTCTCTCCAAACCATTGTGCGGCCTTTATCAGCTTCTACATCATCACAATCACCAATGAAGGACGTGCTCATTGCTCTAGGATCTCGTTCTGGAAGAGTAGTGATAATGAGGATGCCGGGCTCAGGACCATACTCAATGTTGTAATTCCATTTTTAGCAAAATTGTTGGATAACAAAGGAGAGTTCAAGAGCAATTCAGTATTTCTACATCTTTCTGCTGAAATAAAAAGCCTAGACTTTACATAAAGTTCATGTTGTGTCTTTCTCTTCCTGTCCACCCATCATCAATCCTAGATTTGCTAAACGATATCTAGCTGGACAGACACTGAGAGTAGTACGGATTCGAGTATTTGCAGGTGCCTGATGAACAGCACGTAGCACCGCTCCAACCGGTGCCGCCGCATTGTCCATACAGAGGAGAGCAGCTACCAGTAGGACCAGAGGGGGGCTTCGATGTGCTCGTGGCCTTGCTCGTGGTCGTACTTGAAGCTGGAGGAGGTGGAGTTCCGCCATTGATGGCCGCCACATGGTCTGTAACCAAGCATGTGAAGTCTGAAGTTCCATAGTAGACAGTATTTCCATCATCAGATGACTGGCCGTTGGAAAGGGTATCACCCCACTGCCACAATAGATCGGCAGCCATGCCTTTGCTCGCCAGAGCAGTCTGCTGCCACGGAGACTCAATAGCACAGTGATTAGTTGTTGCGCCGTCTAGTCGTCAGGCATTGGGTTAGCTAGTGGTTCATACCACCGTCTCCTTCGTTTTTGTTTTGTATAGCTGTAGGAACGGGTAGAGAATAACTTACATTCTTCCAACATGCATGGCTTGCCTGATGCCACGCATGCTTGAGCATGGGTTTCAATCCAGCTACTACCCCAATCGTAAGCTTCACCCCCTAGAAAGGATATTAGTAACAGTTTTGTCTCGTATCTTTTTGTCAGAAACTCACAAGAATTCGGATACAGGTGAAGAGTGCTAAAGTCGAGCGTAGTGATGTTCATATAGCTAGCAAAGTCTGTGCCTTCGCCGTATGTATATGGGTAAGAACCATCTGATCCAGTGGCGAGGCCCAGTCCTTCGTCTCCAAGTGTTACCAGATGGTTTGAATCGAGGCTCTTAATGTACTGAGAGACACTTGAAGCCCAGTTCCAGACAACACTGGTGGCACAACCGTTGCAGCGAGGCTCATTGGCCAACTCCCAAGCGAAGATAGCAGTCGAGTTGGTATAACGACTAACCACTGCCTGGATATACTTGCGGTATTGAGCTTGCGCAGCAGTATTAGTATACCAGGAAGTCGCATTGCCACCAAAAGCGTTTACATAGGCATTGATTCCTCCATAGTCATTCCAGTTGTTGACAAAGTTAATAATGAGCTTAAGACCATTTGTTTCAGCCGACTGAACGACGTAGTCAAGATTTCCCAGTCCAGTGGACCCGGTATTAATTGTCGAACCTGATGCTGATAGCAGCTGGAACCAAATATTTCCAGTCCCAGGCTGTTGGTTAACATCGTTAAATCCCCATATACGGACAATTTTAAGGCCAGAAGAAGCCATGTGGCCAAAAGTTGTATCGATATCGGCATGGTTAGTGAGGAATGAACACCAGTAGCAGTTGGTGCCTGCAAAGTAACCTGTTTTACCATCAATGTTGAATTGGAGGCCCGATACTGTCACGTAGCTGCTGGCGCGTGGCGATACGGATTGCAACGGTGTAGCCAGCACCGAAGTTGCAGCCAACAAGGCTAGGGCCTGGCTCTTTAGAAACTTCATGCTGCAAAGATGAGCATCAGACAATGCTAAGGATGTACTCGCAAGTATAATGATGACTATGGAGGGAGCTCACTCCATTTATATAGTAGCCATATTGATGACTGCAAAGAGTACTTTGACGATGTGGAAAGAGTGGAGAAATAGAGCAGCTGTAGGTACTTTCCATGCCGTTTGCTTTAACAGTCAACGAGAGTATCACATCAGCACAGAGGGTGCTTACCTACAGGGACTCGGACGCCATCTTCCGCGTTATTTCTGGGTTAATACTAAGCCATAACAGTATGTCACTGTTATAAGCTACTCAACATCTTCCACATTCTTTACTTGACATCAGGAAATAGCGCCGTATTCACACAGGTGAAGCTTGCCCGCTGAGGGCTCGGCTGCCCATCTTCCGTGCTAGTTCTAGACCAGGCGAAGGCGTCGTAATTACAACCTTCCCCAGACTTGAGTAATATCTCTGGCAGATTTAAAGAAGAAGGTGTTAATCTGGCGAGAATCAGGCCATTGCTGGGACGGAAGGGCACTTCCGAGCTGTATAAGGCTAGCGAGCTTCGCATTTAATCGATGTATAGTCTAATGGACCAATAGCAACGGCAACAAGTTGCATGTAAAGACATTCATAACGCATGGGCTTGTGGCGTATTTACGCTGGTTTAGCCGCCAAAGGCCTATAGGCGCGGTAACAGAGAAGAGAACAGCCGCCAACTAAGGCAGCGTCAGGCTGTTGTGTTAGCCTTCTATACAGGTTTGCTCAAACGACAAGTCCACGTACAAGCAGTTGTTGTATCTTCAAGTAAGAATCCGGCGCAAGTGTCTTCGTTCCAAAAACCAGACTTCGACTTATCTTCTCCAGCAGCAGCATCTGTCCTTTAAATCATCTTGTCAATTGCTCTTTTAAAGTTGGCAACGAGACACCAATTATCCTGTTTAGGCAAATATCTCGGCTAGTCTAGCGGAAAGCGGGTTCAGATGGAGTAGATTGAGCGGAGATTCGGGGCTTTTGATGAAATGATTGGCTGGGACACCATCACTAGCTGGATGCCGCTTCGGCTCTTAAAAGTGGACTCCCGATTCCGTCCCGGCTATTGTTTGCAGTTGATCCGCCGGCTTAAGAGCAAAATGCGGAGGTGACATGATAGCTGACGCATCGTCGCAGTAGCAGAGTGTGCTATTTTCAATCTAATCTACCAGGCTTGCTGAGATTGAAAGCTGCTGGAGTGTACACTAGTGTTGGCCTCCGCCGAATGTCACCAGCTGGGAAGTTGGAGTCTCAAGAATCTCCATATACCTGAACCCTGTTCTACGTACTCTCGCATAACTTCAAGTCGAGACAGTACCTCTATGGAGTTAAATCAGTATATCTTTTCATATCTTAATACAACTTGGTTCAGCTCATGGATCTAGATACACAGTCGTGGCATATGGGGCCCACATAATAAGCATAATCTTCTTGTTCCTTACCTTGGCAAGATCATATTCTGGACTTATTAAATCTGTAAATCTGTTTCATTGTGAGCTCTATTGCCTCATCATTTGAGAAATGTGTACCCAAAATGTTTATATATACGCCCGTAACAAGCCACTAAGCAGACATATACGGCCATATGATTTATGTAGGTCGAGTAAAGCCGTAGTCAAGCATTAGCAACATAATCTCAGATCTTCATCTCACCAGACTGCATTCTCCGCTCTCCTACCGCGATATGAGCGACTGATATGGTCCGTCATATCACAGAGCATAGCCCAAATGATGAAGCTGTCGCTAAGCCATGACGTGTCTTGCCGGAGAATAACATGTGGGTTGCGTCGGTACTACTTGCTAGGCACTTTTATTTCGACAGCATTTGTTAGAGATGTATCTTGAGTAGAATATTTAGTTCAAGGCTCTCACTATGAGATATTGTGAGCATCCTTCGCTATGGCCTCGATAGTGATATCGCTTATTAACAGTTGTTATCCTAAAGAAAAATTAGGATTGATGAGTTTGATGACAGCATAGAAGACATCGGCAAGGGATAGAACCCATGTAGGATTAATTCACTATAGGCTACAGCACAGATTCCTTGCAGTATGAGTATGATGTTCTGCAAGATGATATCAGTGGTTATGAACGCCATCTGGGGTAAAATTCAGGCAGTGCGCATGGATAACGTAGATATATCATCACGTGTCTATGAACAAGCCCTAGCAACCCCCTTAGATTTTCAGTCAAGTCAATTCACCAGCACAGGAGTCATGAGAAGATAGAGGTTGTATACTTTGCTTGGACTTAGCACCTGGCATCTTGAAAAAAGATGGAGCGGCTATCGAACGCAGTTCTTTCGTATGATTTGAGACTTTCTCCAACCACATCTACTTAAAAGCGCCATGCTCTTAACATAATAGGCAGGTTGACATGATGCCATCAACCCCAGATAATAAGCAAAGAGCATTCGAGTGCATTTACGCAGTGCAAAACATCAAATATTGCACTTATAGGTCGTCTGATGGGATGTACAATGAAACTGCGAGAAGAAATATCTTAGGGTAGACATGCGCAGCAACGCTTCGAGGTGGATAACACGGCAGGTGAAACAAGAGTTGGGTGGTCAGGCAAGACGAAAGTCGGAGTGATTGGTGTAGACTACCTCCTCTCTTGCTTGTCCTGTTTCCGTATTCATGAGTCTCTGGTCTAACAGCGTCAATTTCAGCAAACATGGCGCTGAGTTTCGCCATTACTCGAAAAGCACCAGTGACAGATGTCATCTTCTTGCCGTCAGAAGATGAAGGAAGTATTGAGTGGCTTCTCTCAAGCGCAGCGTCTACCGTCAACAATCTAGAAGCGTCTAGGGGAGACTCTAGCTGCAAGGAGTAAGGCTAGCTAGCTCTGAGCTGGTGATTAGCTGATCTCGATATAAATAGACGTGCATTCTCTTGCTCCTGACAGAACGATTCAGATGCAAGTAAGTGACCTTGATCGAGTCTGGCGAATTTGTCTGAACAAAGTGATACTCATCAAACCATATCGTCTCTGCTAAGCGAGGTAACTTTGTTCAGACAGAAGAGGTAGCTCGGGTCAAACATGCCGAGTCTTCGTCTAGGTGGTTCGGTTAATTTTAGCATAGGCAGATATGGACATGATTTTTTTTTCCTAGCGAGGCGTACCTGATCTAGCTGCATGATTTTCTTCAGCCTACTATAGATGGCTTCGATTCGATGAAACAAGGGGACTTGCTCAAACAGGATACCACCGACCAACACAGTTCATGGCGGCCAAACGATGTGACTGTGTTAAAATGAGATGGCCCTGGCGTGTGTAGCAACATTGAATAGGAGAGCTCGCTCATGTTCATGCCATCTGCGCAGCCTTACCAGATCTGGCTTAATCAGCTGCGTTTTCTTCACCAGCATCAAGCCATGTAACCGTCCCACAAAAGCTGCGCGCAAACCGACCAATGCCGCGCCGTCAGATCATCAACCGTGATTTTCCAGAGTTTCTCGTACATAATGCGATTCAACCCCAGAACCCTTAATTCCAGCCCTCCGCATTATCTCCATTATCTCGCACGCGTGTGGAGGCCGTGACGAAGGTTGCGCACAGATGGAGGAGCAAAACAAAAAGTCCCCCAAGCTCGCCGCAGCCCCTGGACCCCGAGAGCGCCGGTTAGCCGTCGAGGCCAACCGTAGCAGAGCGCTGTCATAATGCTACATATACGCAGAATACGAGACAATTTAGTGGTGTTTAGACCACTGTAGCATTCCACCAACCAAGGGCCTTTTGTTGCCAATGGTTGGAAACGGCTGCTGATACTTGCCTATGTGAGCAGTTGTATGTATGTATCTGGCCATGTACGGGCAAAGTGCTGGGTTAGATGCCACTCTGTTCTGCATGCAACAATGGTGCCTGGCATAGATCCGCACCAAGGGCAGGTCAGGTCAGGTCAGCCCAGCCCGAGAGGATTAGGTATCATTAGCATCACCAGTAGTGCTCGTGCTAGCACCTGTTGCTTGAGCGATTAATGTTGAACGGTGGTGCGGCTGGATGGTGAGGAAGGCCACTGTCACATCTCAACGCGAGAGACTGACCTGACAGTCTGTCTGCCTCGAGCCGTAGACGGTACGCGGATGCCGTGCCAAGAGTGCGCGAGGCACCGGGTACCGTATACCTGCTCGGGCAATTATCGCCCGATACATCTCGACGGATGAATGACTCGCTGCTTGGGCGGTCTGCGGCGATAAAGCGTTAGAGCGTCAGAGCGTCAAAGCGCACCATCAGCCGTTCCAATGCCTTGCTGCGACAGAGTCGTATTCCGGGGCGTTGGGCACGTCCTTATCTTAAGCTTCATTTCGACGCAGTTATGCTGCAGCGCCGCCGGGATATTGTCGCAGCCATCATGATGTCTTGGAGGTGCACCGCGCCTGGAGCTGGTTTGATTAATCCCCGTCGGGCCAGGCTCAGAACGAGTACTGCTGCGGCCCTGAACGGCATAGCTGGGCAACTGGGCTCTTGTTTCCATGCCTCTGATGTGTCAGGATCGATCACTACGCGCGCCCTCTCCGGCAAAGCGTCTTGGCGATATAGCGCTGGGTAGCACTTGGCGATGCTACCGGCAATCCACCGCGGGCATCACGCACAGAGTCAGAATGTCCTGCCTGTAAGAGCAGGTAAGAGCAGGTCTGTGGCGGCCAACACGTGATCGGCCTAAACCCACGAATCAGCAGAATTTTCGTCGCGCAGCTTTACGCCCGCGGCACGGCGAATACGCTTATTGGGGATTGAGTTTTGTGCATGCTTCTTTTTTCCTCCTTCTAAGCCCGTGGCTAGTCACTGCCAAAAACTGCCAAAAACGCGCATCTGGGCGCCGCATCCTCGCCGTGATTCGCCCCAGACACTGGCCGGGCGGGGGCACTAGGCAGTCCCCTGCGCCGTCTGCAAGCCTCGGTGCGTTCATGTCTGGTGCATGAGGCCCTAGAGCGGCGAAAATGCCCCCTGGGCCAACGCCACACTTTGCCCTCGCCGCGCGCGCGACCATCTCCGGGCAATTTCCAGCCTCGACGAACCAAGGGCTGCGGCTAGTAAATTGCGCTGCGTCGATTTGCCGACCCGCTCGCAATCGGCACGCCGCATGCCGGTGGCTTGGAGGACGGAGTTGCCATGTTTTCTTGGCAGACGCCGTCTCGCGGTCCTAATTCGTTTCGGGCCTTTGGAGCGGGCTGGATCTCACAGCGCGACAAGCCTCGAGAGTGCGAGCGGCAGCAAAAAGTTCCAGAACAGGGGCCCCCTGGCCACCAGCCGGCTGTTTTGGGGCCTAGCTCAGCCATCGCAGCCAGGCATGTACCGTGGACGGGGCCAGCGAGCGAGGGGCCGGATCTCAGCGCACGAATCGCGGCACAGCGAGGCTCTCTATGACGAGCGACACCATCGGCTCAGCACCCAAGACAGCGAACTCGCCGCGTGGTGTAACTTCTGGAACTGATCCCGTGGGGAAGAGGCGACAAGCGAGGCCACACAGCGTGGCTAGTGCACAAGCTCCTGGGTCCTGGGGCAAACTCACATGTCCCCATCCTGATAGCAGCCGCTGGTGGACAACGTTGCAATGGAGACTGGCGATGGAGACTCAGACTGGACTATCCTGCGTAGCCCAATTTCCTTAAATCATTAGCATCCCGCCGCATGCCTTTCTTGCTTTTCTCTCTCTTCTCTCCTGTTCCTCCTTCATTCACTTCTCGGCTCGTCTTCTCGTTCTTTGAAGGGGCTTGCCTTGGGTCTGTAGTAATAGCTGGCTGAGGAGTAGACCACAGTCGGATCGCAAACATGGCCAACAACCACGAAGACACCGCTGCTGAGTAAGTCTCGAAAGAGGAGCTGAAGAATTTTCTTCCTCCTCCTCTCTATGCCGATCGCCATATGCTTACATATCCCGCCCAATTAGGCTCCACGAGGAGTTCAACGAGCGTGCCCACCACGGCAACGAGGTTCACGATCTCGCCGGCGGCTTCATTGCCGCTGACGAGAAGAAGGACTTCACCACTCTCTCGGCAGATGGTGCTGAGTCTGGTCCCACTCCTGACGGCGAGGAGCCCAGCGACTATGAGAGGCGGACTCTGCGCCGTATTGGCGAGAACCTGCCCGCCTCCGCCTTTCTCATCGCCATTGTCGAGCTGACAGAGCGTTTCACTTACTATGGTGCCTCTGGCCTTTTCCAAAACTACATCAGCAATGGTTCTCACATCACCACCGACTCTCCTGGATTGGGCATGGGTGGCCAGGCCGCCACTGGTCTGAACCTGTTCTTCCAATGGTTCTGCTATGGTATGTGATGCTGGTTCTGCTCTGCTTATACGCCGGTCGCGTGACTGGTTTCGAAGAGAGCAATGTTTGGCTAATTTCATGATTTCTTGGTACACAGTTACTCCTATTCTCGGTGCCATCATCTCTGATCAGTATCTCGGCAAGTACAAGACCATTATGCTCTTCTGCTGCGTCTACTGGGTTGGTCTTGTTATCCTGTGGACTACCTCTCTGCCCGTTTCCATCGCTCACGGAGCCGGTCTGCCTGGCTACATTGTTTCCATCATCATCATCGGTGCCGGCACGGGTGGCATCAAGTCCAACATTGCCCCCCTGATTGCCGACCAGTACCAGCGCCGAACCATGGCCATCAGGACCGAACCGGACGGCGAGCGAATCATCATTGACCCTGCCATCACCTACCAGCGCATCTACATGATCTTCTACTGGTGCATCAACCTGGGTTCTCTGTCTCTGATTGCCACTCCCTTCATGGAGAAGTACTGCGGCTTCTGGACTGCCTTCCTCATGTGCTTCATCATGTTCAACTTTTCCATCGCCATTCTCGTCATCCGCCGCAAGTCATACATCATCCACCCGCCGCAGGGCTCCATCATCACCGATGCTCTCAAGGCCCTTGGTTTGATGATTGTGGCTCGCAACATGGACGCCGCCAAGCCTTCATGGCGTGAGGCCAACGGCAAGACCAGGCCGGTCAACTGGAACGACCACTTTGTTGATGAGCTCAAGCGTGCTATCCGTGCTTGCAAGGTCTTTGTCTTCTGTAAGTCTTGATTGATAATGACTACATCTGATATCCCCAAACTAACATGATGATTAGACCCCGTCTTCTGGGTTGGTTATGGCCAGTTCTCCACCAACTTCGTCACCCAGGCTGGTCAGATGAGCGGCCACGGCATGCCCAACGATTTCATGCAGAACTTTGATCCCATCTCCATTCTCATCTTCACCCCCATCCTTGACCTTCTCGTCTACCCCGCGCTCCGCAAGGCTGGCATCAACATCCGCCCCATTGCCCGAATCACCCTGGGTTTCATCTTCACCTCCCTCTGCCTGGGCTATGCCGCCATCGTCCAGCACCTCATCTACAACTCTGGACCTTGCTACAAGGACCCCCTCAACTGCCCTGCTGGCACCGTTGACGGCCAGACCGTGCCCAACAACATCCACATTGCTGTTCAGGCGCCCGCTTACGTCTTTGTTGGTCTTGCCGAAATCTTCATTTCCGTCACTGGTCTCGAGTACGCCTACACCAAGGCCCCTCCCACCATGAAGTCTTTCGTCCAGAGTCTGTACCTCTTCACCAACGCCTTCGGCTCTGCCATCTCCGAGGCCCTCGTCTCCGTGTCCAAGGACCCCGAGTTCGTCTGGATGTACACTGGTGTCTCTGCCGCCAGTTTCATTGTTGCCATTGTCTTCTTCTTCCTCTTCAACCACTACGACAAGATGGAGGATGAGTCATTTGAGCTGGACCGCGAGCAGCCTACTGTTGCTCCGACAAAGGAGGTTGAGTACGAGGAAGCTAACTAATGGAGCGAGGGTGGAGTTGTGTAATGAAGTGGATGTAGATACCAAAGTGTATTTTGTAGTATTAGTATATAATGAATTATCAAGCAAAATTAGCATTGTACAGCAAGCATCAATTTGACCCCCACCCACTGATAAGAAACTTTCCATGGCCTGACTCTTGCTTCCCGTTGCCACCTCGAAATGGAGCGATGTGGAAACACCCTCACAGCAAAAAAGCTGCTGCTCAGCTTAGCTTCTCGAACATTTCTATGCATAAAAAAAATTTCTCTAGTACGGATAAAATAGCTCCGCGCCAGTCCCTCGTAAAGCGCCAAAGCCCCTGGTCCCACACTGCCGAGGCCGACTGCACTATCCGACGCTAAAGGGCGCTCCTTATTAGTAGTTCCTAGCACGGCCAAGCTTGCCAGTCTTTTTATCTCCGTAGCGCGCTACGTGGCAAATTGTCCGAACGCGTATTGTTAGCGCCCAGAAGTAAGCGGTGGTGTTCCGCCAAGGTAAAAACCACGTTTGGCCAAGAAGCGCGGCGTCTCTGCCGAGGGAAAGAAAAAAAACCACGATGCCGGGCTGGGCCGCCTTGGCCGGCAATGTGGCCGGCAATATTTCCATCGGCATTGGCCTCTTATGACGATGGACGGCGCTTGGCAGTCCTTGGCAAGTGAGATGCGCGTTGTGAGAATTACTGTGCATATGAGAAGAAGACGAAGAACGAGAGAAAGGGGTAAACTGTTCCTACTAACGTAGCTAGAGACTAGTCTGATTGATGGAGAGAAGCTAAAAAAAAGAAAGAATATAAAGTTTGTATAAGTAATAAAAAGAGAAAAAAGTAATGACACCTGAGGGATTCGAACCCTCGCCTATTTCTAGACCGCGAATCTGGAGAGCTGTTGGACAGCAACACCTGAACACGGCGCCTTAGACCACTCGGCCAAAGTGCCTTGGGATTTGATTGACAGTGGCTGTTCTAATGTGGTCCATACGGCGACTTCGCAGCGAAACCACCAACAGAAGACTCAACAAAGAGGGATGTTGGAGTGCCTTGCTCCCTCTACAAGAAGCAAAAATTTGGTATATTAATGTGCTCCATGAAGATTTCAATCTATTCAATTGCCTACTAGTATCTTCTTCTTATCTTTCATTTTCTAAAAAATAAGAATGGTCTTCTCCTAGAACTTCACTGGTAGTACTTCTTACAACTCGAAATCGCCTCATTTTAGCACCCATTCCAAATGTATCACTCTGAGCTTGTAACAAACAGCTCTTTTCCGCAAAAAGTAGAATCTATGACGCTTTCTTTCATCTTATAGCACTGGTCGTTGCTTGTCTGAAGCTTCCATGGCCACTACAGATAGAGTCAGACTCGAGTAGCCCTTTGATTGCCATGCCTTTCCTCGCCTGCGCAGAGAACTTCAGGGGTCCAAGACTTTTAATATCAACTTGTAGTCCTCGCCAAGAGAACTGATGTAGCTAGGATTAGCATCCAGCCACGTTAACAATGGCTGCTCTCGCACTCAGCCCTATGAGCCGCACCTGTGCTGAGTTTACATGTAGCGTTCCACAAGAGCAAAAAGAGATATAGGCATACTTACGAGTCAATATACACTCGTTCTATACCTGAACGATGCAAACTATATTGCCGGAAGATGGACACACCCGGGTCGCACTGGCGGTCCAAGTTTGCACTAAAACCAGCCAGCCAAGGCTCACCTGCATCCATCTAGACGACATTAATCCATCGATTAATATTCCTTTATTTTTATGGCGAAATAAGAGCAACTCCTACCTTCTATAGTTGTCTATTTGCCACCTGTAAATAGTAGGTATATAAGAAACATGTGGCAGATGGTTGAAGGCCCCTTTGCAGCGGCTGAATAACCGCCTCATGCTCGTTCCCCACCGCCCACGATAGTGGTGTCTCTCCATATCTATCCTCAACATGTGAAGCGCAGCCTAAACCGCGCTCATCTCACCACCATGATAGCTCCAAGTTGGGCCACAGAGGCCACGGACCATAGTACAGGTCATATAATATAAAAGATCAACGCCGGACGTGATCCGCCAGCATAACGGTGAGAACACGACGCACGCACGCGCGAACAAATATCAGACCGATATGCACTCTAGACCACTGCAGATCATCCGATTACCTTGGTGTTGTGAATACAGGGCAAAGTAGAGCGTAACGCAACGACGGAAATGTCCGCTGCGGAACGGGACGGGATGGCGCACGGTCACAATAACAGTCAATACATTGAGTCAACCAATCATCGCATTAAACATCTAGTAGCTATTTGGACGAAAAAAAATTACGTGACATCATGATAATGGCCATAACGGCCGCGACCCACAATGTCCCCTTGTACACTATGCCAGCCCTACAGTTATAGTCAGTAAAATAGCTGGCTACTAGAGTATATCATAGGAACAACACTTACACCGACGATGCCTAGCGTTCGGTGGCGGGGGCAGTGACGGCGGCAGTGACGGCGGCAGTGACGGCGGCATAGGCCGTGGTGATGACGGCGGTGACGGTGGTGGTGATGACGGCGGCGGTGGTGGTGGCGATGGCCGGGGCGGTGGAAGCTGAAGGGGAAACCCCTCTCTCAAGACTGATAACGTCAGTTAAACAACTCTATTCAGATCCAGCAGTAGCAGCAATAGCAATTCTAGACTCACTCAGAGGGGGTGGGGGTGGTGGTGTCGGGGACGGGGTGTTCGAGGTAGAAGGGGGTGATGATGCCTCTGTCCTGAGGCCCCATTAGGATTTGTTCGCTTTATGTGAATACAAGTTAGCAACAGCGTACGGATACTTGGATTGTAAGATGGTGAGAGGCTACATACGCCATTGCTGCTGCTGCCGAAGAAGAAGAAGAAGAAGAAGAAGAAACAAAGTAAGATTGCTGAGAGTTGGATGGATTCTAAATAATTCCAAGGCCGGACATGGCTTTCCATTAATTTGACTTTCCATTATCATCCCATTGTCGCTTTCCGTCTGTACCTAGGCTGTCGCGGTCACGGTCACAGAAGATAAGGCAGGCGAGCCAAGGTATATGCCAGTAGTACTTGCCTATTTCAGGAGGCAGGATAAAGACGACCCCAACGTGGCTCCCACCCCAAGGCCAAGGGTACGTAAACACTATCCCATATGTGGTGGATTTTGGCGACGTCGCTGTCTTCTCTCCATAGGTACATCGTCATAATGATAGAAACGCCAAAAGTATCAAGCCGGCCATTCCCACAAGAGAAGATTTACTTTTGCGTCGGGCCGATTTCTCTGGATATATAAAGCAAACGTATAACCACATGTTGCAAAGTTTCAATTCGTCAAAGTCAGCCATTTGATGGACAAGACACTTGCACAATCATCAACCATGAGTGCAACATCATCACTTTCGAGTGCAACATCATCACTTTCGAGTGCAACATCATCACTTTCGAGTGCAGAATCCTTAACCACGGGCGCAGAATCATCAGCTACATCTACGCCTGTAGACAAACCTCGCTGCACGCACTATATCCCCTGCCACTGTCCCTCGCTTCCCAAGCACGCTTCTCCGCCGCTGGGAGATGAATCGTCTCCATTGTGGCTGCGAAAACCTCACGAAGACGAAGACCATAACAAGACTATAATCGAGCGTACGCAAAGCTCGAATTATCGCCGGATAGCGGCCGCCTGGCACGATGCGCGGTTAGCTATCAAGATTGGTCGTCCATTAACACCACCCAAAGTACGATCATTCCAATGGCTGATATCAGCTGATCTTACTCCCCGGGGATATGAAGATGTTGGACAAGCGCCATGGCGCATGCTTATACGGTCCTACATTGCGGATCTCCCTAGGCAATTGGTTGCAGGAGACATCAGTTATAAGTCTGTGTATTTATGGAAAAACTATCCAAGACATCTAGGCCAACTGTATAACCGCACAGAGCTTGACAGCGCGCCTCCTGAGATAACGTGCGGGAGACGAGCAGTCTTCTCCCAATATAAGAAGGATTATAATCGCAGCTTAATTGGAGACTGGCTTGTTATAGTCTATATTTGGGCCACTGATAAAACATGGATGGAGAGGACTAAAAACTTTCTAGACTTGGTCTCTCATGATAGTGTGACTAGGTAAGTGATTGGAGCTTATGCCCTGCGTACCCTCATCTTAAAACGTCACTTACATATTATTTCCTCTAGTATTCGCGCTTGGGAATTTGTTAATGCAGTTGACGCTCCTACTAAGGTTCCACACCTATTCTACCAATGTCAAAGAAGGGGCTCTGTAGAGCAGGATGCTGTATACGCTGGGCAACCATACCAACACTATAACTCTGTTCAGATAAAGCCTGGAGACCCTATACCAGCTAGACTCGCGGGACTGAGAAGTTTGATGAACGGGCGGGCAAGACATTTGTATTGTGCGACATATGAATTCGAAGAGTGTCATGACAGGCACTCATATAAGCGTGCCCCCTAGGGGGTAGAGCTTCAAAGACACTTGAATTACCATAAGATGCGGGCTTCGTCTAATAGATCGACTCTTGAAAAAATATCTACGTACAATTATATACCATGATTTCAACGCTGCACAGATTTAATAGTCGTGTACTTTTAATTTTAGAAGCCAAAGGCGCCGAATATAAAAGACTTTGAACCGCGTTATAGACGAAGGGACCCCGAATTTTCCATTACCTATGGTCGTATGTGCTTGTCTCACTGTTGAGTCTTCTTATATAGACAACAGCCACGAAGCTAAAAAGAAAAAGAGAAAAAACATACAACAGCCGGTGTTCGCTGATGGTCACCCACTCAACTACTAATCTGCCTCTCATTGGCTTGACTCTGGGAGAGCAGACGGGATCCCGTATTTTCCAATGGATATGGTCGTATGTGCTATAAGGCCGGCTGATTCGAGCTTATAAGAGAAAATGACATAGATGCTGTAAAAAAAAGCAAAAGAACAGACATACAACAGCCGGTGTTCGCCAGTGGTCACCCACCTGACTACTAATCTGCCGGTTAGTGGGTTGTCTATCGGGGAGCAGACGGGACCCAGAATTCTCCACTACCTATGGTCGTATGTGATTGAGTTTGGAAGCAAACCAGTTTATCAGACATGCAACAAACGGTTTGATATGCTCGTACTCTTTAAATTATGTGTGGCATGCTTGTAGTTCAAGTTGATCATGCCAAACGTTGCTATCTTACTGGATATATACCTAGGTATATCTCATCCTCCGACTTATACGAATCTTAAAAGCTTCCGCCATAAGCTGAAGGCAAGTATCCAGCTTGGTGGCTCAGAGAGTTCCAAGAACTGAAAACTTCGCTAATGGTGTGTATAACTTTTCTTTACAGGTTACGATACACGATGACACGCGGTGCTCTTTGTTTGTCGTCACCACAGCTAGGAGCAGTGCCATAGTTGGCTCTCACTCCCCATTTGGTGCCGTCTAGTCACTCATAGCGCCATGTTCGCAAGTAATATGTGAGTCTTTCTTAATAAACTATCCAAATAGAATGGCAGGACTTCAAAGGGTCGCCTCCAATTTTTAGACAGCTCGATAACCGGCGTGACATGAGCTAATCCACAAAGTCAAGTATAAAGCACCGTCCAGTAATTAGCACGACTATATCATGATTAATGGTGAAACTCAGTTGTATCGTTAACTGTGAAATCTGCAGATGGTTTTTTTCTTTCTTCCGTGTTTTCATTTGAGAGAGATTCTTTAAACACCAACGAATTCTTCATTGATATCGCTTGCTAGACCAGCACCTTGGTAGCTGCTAAGACAGGGCTTGTTCTGGGAGAAACCCGCCTTAGTCATCTACAGCCCGAAAATGGCTATTCCGCTGCTTTCCTTCAGCCACTGACTAATTCTCGAGCGCTCATTGGCTCGGCTGAATCCGGGGACAATAGGTACTTGGGTACCTCTCGTAGAACGACCATGACATGATCGTTTTCCGCGGTTCCTGGAGCTGAGCCGAGAAATTGATTTCTAACATCCGCATCTACCCTCCCCACCTTGAGCCCCCAGAGCTTGAAGCCCCAATCCTTTCGACGCTGTACACCAGCATGCACTGCGTCCGCGCTGCATTTTTATGATACAATGATGAACGTCTCTTACTCTACCGGCCGCGCTGCGCTGCGCCTAAGCCGCTCTTCTTTCCGCCACTTGTGCGGCTCCAGAGTCGCCGGCTTTGCCTACCACTCGTATCCTTTGCCATCCAAGATCCCTGAGCCACCCAGGAGCGACGACATCTCCAAAGCATCCATCGCCCAGCCAGAAGCTTTACCTCGAGTCCACGAGACACGGCCGCCCTTACAGCACGACGCCGCAGCCAAGCCAACAGCACCGCCTCAGGTCCAATCTCAGTCAACGCCTTCTCCGGCAACATCATCAGTTCCTACAACCCCCAAGGCCAGCGAAGCCACTGCGCAAAGCGCAAAGCCCGCTCCACGGCCCCGTTCCAAGCTCCGACCTCGCAAGGCGGCTATGAAGCTCACCCCCGCTGCTGTTGATCAGCTTCGCGCACTGCTCAACCAACCTGACCCAAAGCTCATCAAGGTCGGTGTACGGAACCGGGGCTGCAGCGGGCTGGCATACCACCTGGAATACGTTGATAAGCCTGGCGCTTTCGATGAAACGGTGGAACAAGATGGTGTCAAGGTTTTGATCGATAGCAAGGCGCTGTTTAGCATTATTGGTACCGAAATGGACTGGGCAGAGGACAAACTGAGTCAGAAGTTTGTGTTCAAGAACCCCAACATCAGTATGTGATCTGCTGCGCACATTTTGCATTGATTGATTGTCTTTTGGAATCGATGACTAACTGGTAACAGAGGAGCAATGTGGCTGCGGAGAGTCATTTATGGTCTGAGAAAAAGTGGGAAACTCCAAACGACGATGCCAACGACCAGGTGCCGAAGCGGATACCGAGACAGACATACAGAGGAATTGTACGATGGCGATATTAGAGAAAAGAAAGTTACGAAGCAGGATCCTCGTGAGAGAGATCTGCTCAGCCAGCCCGCACAAGGGTTTCATATAATAGTGTTGATACAAGAATGTTACGAGCACGGGAGTAAATGGGCAATAGTATTATGGGGCATTGATACCGGCGTTAGGTTAGAGGTACAAGATGTCCTTGATCAAATACATCTCAAATACATTTTTATGAGCAGTCTAGCTGGAATGAAGTACAAAGTGAGATGTACCTATCTAAGCTGTCCACGATTGATATTATGACAAGAGTCATTTTGTGTGTTGCAACAGCGCGCGGAATGGCAGCAACGGTTTGAGTCACAGAGCAGCTTATTGCCAAGGTACCTTGAAGCTATGATATCTTACACATTTCGGCGCCTGTCATTATAGAGTTATCCTGCGCTATATCGGGAGCAACGCCATCCATCCAGCCGTGGCGCTGATGTCACCGCAATTCCATAGCAATATCACGTGACCTGGCGCAAGCTGGGCGTTGCTATCAATATGGCCGCCGCCGTCAATTGTTGCGTGTAATCTCGACGCGTAGCAAGGCATGTCGCCTATGCCTGTGAAATATATATTTGCATGTGTGCACCTGTAGTCCAACTTGAGACCATTGTATTTCACCTGAATAACAAAGATTACCCCAACATCAAACATTCGAAAAGTTGAATTGTATCTAAGCAACCACTCACACTTGTTCAGTACCATTCATCCCAGTCCCAACCATTTACTCTACAACCAGCAATATCCTCTCTCCAGCATCAAGCATGGCACCGACCATCCAGAAACGCAACTTGGCAATGGCAACTGCCACAAAGGCATCACCAAGCTCCAGAATCCAAAAAACTACCAAGCCTAGACCCAGAGTTCTCAGCAGTGCAGCCGCCATCAACAAGAAGTCAGCATCCATTCCCGCAGACATGCAACCACAGCTGCTTCGTATAGCCGAAAGCCAGCGCACAGATTTTGAGAAACGCGTGTGGACAGCGCTCTGCCAGATTCCTCGCGGACGAGTCACCACATACGGCTTGCTCTCTGCACATCTGGGGACATCGCCGCGAGCCGTGGGCAACGCGCTCCGGCGGAATCCGTTTGCGCCTGATGTGCCGTGCCATCGTGTTGTGGCGACGGGAGGGTCTTTGGGCGGCTTCAAGGGCAGTTGGCCCAAGGACGGAGAGGGAATTACGATTACGGAAAAGAAGACGTTGTTGAGGGGAGAGGGGGTCAAGTTGGATGACAAGGGGAGGGTGCTGGGAACAGTCTGGTCCAGTTTCGAGTAACAGAGGCATGGGATGAAGAGATTGTGACGATATGATGAGGGAATTGTACGGCGTTTACTGGTATTGCTTTACGATTTAGGTGGGATCACAGCTATTTAAATTACAACAATCTAATTGACATGATACTTGAACAAAGGATCTTATTCCTCCCCAGGCTTGTAGAGTGCCATGGGAACTCCCAGAGCAGGTGTCCCAATGAGATCGACCTGCAGCTTCTGTGCTGCCCAATCGCCACGATACTCGATCCTTTCATACCGCTGCGCTAGACGGACCACTAGAGAGAAGAGACGCGCTTCTGTTAGCTGACTCATTTGCATCCGGGGTGGAGTGCTGGATTGTATCTCAACCTACAGCAAAATGCCATTTCGGTCAGGGCAAAGTTCTGTCCAATGCAGATCCTAGGGCCTCCCGAGAATGGAATGTACGTCCAAGGCTTGGGCGTCCAATGCTCCCATCTTTCAGGGCTGAATGTCTTCAAGTCTGCAAACTGCTCAGAAGTCGGTGGATACAAATCTGCACAAGTGTGCATGCCAAGCACGTTTATCGTCACCGAATCTCCCTTGAGAAGAACGACTTCCGCTTCTCCGGGTCTACCGGGGATAGTTGTGGTCTCCAGAACCTGGCGCATATTAAGAGGGACAGCCGGATGAAGCCGAAGGGTCTCGTTGAGGACGTTTTTAAGGTATGTGAGGTCTTTGAGTATCTCGTAAGTTGGCGTCGCCTGGGGCCCTAGTTTGTTCAAGACCTCTTTGCGCAGCTTGTCCCACATCTGGGGATAATTTGACAATTCGTACATTGCCCATGATAGGGTTGCTGCTGAAGTGTCCCTCCCGGCAAATAGCACAGACATGATTTGATCTCGGATTAACTTTGGATCTCTGGTGTAGAGGGCGATGCTATGTAGGAATGAGAACTCCAAGTCCGATTTGGACAGTTCCTGGAGTCGTGTCGGACAGATGGCCAAAGTTCGTGCAATAATCGGTTCAATGAACTGCTCTATTCTTTTGATTGCCCGGTAGTATTCACCTTTGGGGATCAATGGCGCAATGGGACTGTTGGGAGTGAGTTGAGTATGCATCCCGGTCATTGTGGTGAGGCAAGGGCAGGTATACTCACTTGAGGACAAATATATACATTTGCAAACGCTGAACAGTATGTATGGCACTGAAGACTTCATTGTCTGGACTAGAAGTCAAGTGTTAGTAGATTGTAACTGTCCAAGGAGTAAATTGCACTGGAGTGGAAGTTCTTACAAATCTAAACTGCCCGCATTCTCTCCAAGCAAAAACTCAGTCGTTGTGTCCAACGACCAGCGGTAGAACAAATCTTTCAAGTCAATGGTGGCTCCTGAAGAGGGAATCTTTGAGACAAGTTTGTCAGAGCAAGCATCAAAGATGGCCAAATTGCGCAATCTGTCCTTGGAGAACATGGGCCTGATCATGCTACGGCTATCGTGCCAAAGCTGTCCATCCACGCCAAAGATGCCGTCTCCAAGAAAGGGATACCATAGTTTATGCCACATGGGCCCATGTCCAAAGTCTGGGAATTTTGTTGCCAGGATGGCCTTGATCTGTTCTGGGTCTCGGGTGATGAGGACTCTCTTGGAACCTGTAAGGCTGAACTCGGCAAATGTCCTTTTTCCGGGAGGTAGACTGTCCAACTGGCCAGTACACCAATCGACAAGTCTGTTGTGATACTGGTTCTTGCCAATCTCATAGTATAGCTTGGAAGCTGTGACATGATTGGGGAGGATTAGACGACATTTACCAATGGAAAGGAGAAAAGGATGGGTTAGCGTACCCGATAGCAGATTGCCTGCCAAGATAGGTGCCCGAGCACCGCCAGCTCTCCTAATTATGATATCTGAGACACGATGGCGAAGCCATACTAGGACAGTGATGATCGGTATGAGACCGATAAAGTAGAGAGCCATGACCAAGGAAAAAGAAGATGCATGAGAATGACAGAGGACACACGGAAGCAGACGAGACTTGGAGAGGACGTGAAGAAGATATACGATACAACAATCTACGTGACTGACCGCTCGATCAGGAAGAAGCGTTGAGGTTACACAGATCACTCGACACTAAGGGGGACATGCGGCCAATATCGCGACCAGAGCGCGCCAACTGTACCATGAAAGATCTCTCGAGCTAGACCGTAAAGACTAGGAAGAAGCTAAATATTAAGCTTCTTATTGGAGAGAATACGAAGTCCCTTTCAGCTCAAGGGTCAAGGTCCCAGACAGGGGGTAAAACGCGTGCCTAACACATAGACACAAATATGAAGCAAACACAACAGCGCAGAATCCTACGGCTTGTTGCTGCGAAAGGAGAAGCTGAAGGGTCAGCTCAGCTACTGGCCATGGCAAATACAATCGGGCATTCCGTAATTGGGTTGCTCCCTCGAACATGAAATTTAAGCTGCATGCAGATCACAGCATGTAAAGACATGCATGTATTCCTAGAGCCTTGTCACGAATTGCCCCATGCGGATCGAACGACATGGGATACTAGAGCCAGCATCTACAAGTACTCCAGCGGCACCACTGAGTCTCCAGTCGGTGTACTGGAAGAAAGCGAAGATAGATGTAGGGAGAATCCCTCAGCAAATTAGTTACAGGAGCATATACGGTGAGCCATGATTTGGATCAATGCGACGGCTGCAGGCTATGAGCTGAGGGGAAGCGGATTTGCGGTTGGCTGCAGCTTCAGCTCGGAAGGTTGCAGCTAGTTTGAGGCTGGACTGCGAATGGCGGATATACGAGCAATCAGGCAAGGGAGTTGCCGTAGCGCTGCGTTGGTGATGCAGTGGCAGGATTGTGACGATGCATGGATAAACGTGCGGTTTTGGACATTTTAGGTGGTTTTTACTGCACATGCGGTGTCAGCATATATGAGGCATCGGATGAGATCAAGATCTGTCGGATCGGATATAGCCCTTGCATAAGCTTAGGCATTTGCGCGGTGCAGGCCTTCGTCTCTACTAGGTACACAGGATGAAAGGCAATAAAAACACGGCAAAGAGGCAGAAGCAACCATTACTCGTTCTTTTTCATGTTCTTCACAGCGGTCAAATCACCTCAGTGCTATTGATGAGTGAATTATAGATAATCATTGGTAATGACACATGACAGGAGAGGCTGGCACGAGACGCCCGGGCCAAGCTAGACTTCCGAGTTCTGGCTATTCTTTCAGCGGCTACTACACTTACAGAGTCTTGCTCAAATCTAGGACAGCTCCGTCCAGAGAGCAGTAGATTATAGCGACTTGAGCCGATTTCAGAGCTGATTTTGGAGCTGACAAATATAGCCACGTCCATCAGCTGGCTTGTCCGACTTGTACTCTGAACTCGCATGCAAAACATCCTCCAATGCAACATTGTCCAGGTTAGCAGCAGACAGCTATCCAGGAACCCGGCAGTTGGCAGCTTGACAGGGCTCTTCGGCACGCCGCTGCGCCGGCACAACAATGTTCCGCTCCACCAGTCGGCGAAACTCGGGTACCCCCGTCGCCTGCCAGCCTAGGCCGAGCCAGCCAGCAGTCGGTTTCCGCATTGAGAGCTGTGCGTCTTGAGCATCAAACCGCCCGAAAAAAACCTCCAAAAACCGTCTCGTCGAGTCGATCCCGACGAGCCTCGCCCTTCTTTCCTCCCCTTCGCATCTCTCTCCACTCAATCCCCCTTTCCCATCACAATGTTCAACATTGGCCGCAGCCGCGCGGCGGCGTCGGCCCTCAGCGCCGCAAAGGTACGCAAACGGCGCAAAAGCTGCTCCCCATTTTTTCAACCCCTCGATTAGATGCGAAAAATACAATACAACACAACGTCAGACGAATCTAACCCGAGCTCACGGTCCTTTCTGCAGCTGCACGTCACCCCCTCCGTTCGACTGCCTGGCGTCGCCCAGCAGCGAAGAGCCCTCAGCATCCACGAGTACCTGTCCGCCGACCTGCTGAGAAAGGTAATCACCTCACCCTGTTCACATGCTTGATGGCATCTTTCCCGCGCAGCATCCGGCTGACACGGCATTCCGATTCCCACGACTACAGTATGGCGTTGGTGTTCCCCAGGGCGCCGTTGCCAAGACCGCCGCAGAGGCCAAGGCTGTGGCCAAGGACATTGGCACTGGCGATCTCGTCATCAAGGCCCAGGTCCTTGCTGGTGGACGAGGCAAGGGAACCTTTGACAACGGCCTCAAGGGCGGTGTCCGCGTCATCTACTCTCCCCACGAGGCCGAGATGTTTGCCCAGCAGATGATTGGCCACAAGCTCATCACCAAGCAGACCGGCGCCGACGGCCGTCTGTGCAATGCTGTCTACATTTGCGAGCGCAAGTTTGCTCGCCGCGAGTTCTATCTGGCTATCCTGATGGACCGAGCCTCCCAGACCCCCGTCATCGTCTCCTCCTCCCAGGGAGGTGTCGATATCGAGACTGTTGCCAAGGAGCAGCCCGATGCCATCACTACGACCTACATCGACATCAAGACGGGCGTTACCGACGAGATTGCCCGCGGCATCGCCACCGGCCTGGGCTTCAGCGAGCAGTGCATCGAGGACGCCAAGGACACCATCCAGAAGCTCTACAAGATCTTCCTCGAGCGGGACGCTACCCAGATCGAGATCAACCCCCTGTCCGAGACCTCAGACCACCAGGTCCTCTGCATGGATGCCAAGTTTGGCTTCGATGACAACGCCGACTACCGCCAGAAGGAGGTTTTCGAGTGGCGCGACACCACCCAGGAGGACCCCGATGAGGTCCGTGCCGCTCAGTCCAACCTCAACTTCATCAAGCTGGATGGTGACATTGGCTGCCTCGTCAACGGTGCCGGTCTGGCCATGGCCACCATGGACATTATCAAGCTGAACGGCGGCCAGCCCGCCAACTTCCTCGACGTCGGTGGTGGTGCTACACCCGCTGCCATCAAGGAGGCCTTTGAGCTCATCACCAGCGACTCCAAGGTCACCGCCGTCTTCGTCAACATCTTTGGCGGTATTGTCCGCTGCGACGCCATCGCCAACGGTCTCATCAAGACTGTCGAGACCCTCAACCTGAAGATTCCCATCATTGCCCGTCTTCAGGGCACCAACGTCGAGCTTGCCCATCAGATCATCAACGAGTCTGGTCTGAAGATTTTCTCTATTGATGACCTGCAGAGCGCCGCCGAGAAGGCTGTGCAGCTGTCCAAGGTCGTCAAGTTGGGTAAGTTTACGGCCCAATACTATGACGAAGCTTAAAACGAAGAAGAAAAAAATAAAGAAAGAATTAGCTTCAAAGAAAGAGAATCACCTGCTGACGGAAGTATTTGAATTTTAGCTCGCGATATTGATGTTGGTGTTGAGTTCACCCTGGGTATCTAGACGGTAACAGAGTCGTAAGACTGGAGGCATGGATTCCTTGTAATGTCTGTTTTTGAAGGAGGGGCCGATGGAAGCAAATCAGCCAATAGGCAAGGGGGGGTCCCGGAAATGGTGCGGCGGTCAAGGCATTTTGTTGCTTTTTCAATAGCATATGTCGACGTATTGTACGTTGTAGATGAAGTAAAAGAAACGAAAAAAGAAACCCTTTTTAATTCTGCCAAGCTGGAGCCAAGGGCGTGTTGAGCTGAGAATCCGGGCATCGATCGAGTCTGTTGGGGAGTTGGTCCGTAAGGTTCTAGTCGATGAGACGAGGATGATCTGATTTGATTAGAGCGGAGCTTTCGTATCTTGGTTCAGGCACTCGCTATCCTGTAGGGAGAAGTGAGACGCCATGTCAGCAACCAGTGGAGTTTCACGCCGATAACGAGATTGAGATTTGGGTCTTTGCAAGGACCGCAGAATCATTTGGCAGGCACCCATCGATTATATGTGCCCATATCTACGGAAAATGACGGAGAGCACAGCGCAGACGGCGCCAAGAATAACCATAAAATCGGGTGATTGTGGAATGACTCTCAAAAGGGGAGCGCGTTTTTCATGATGCGCGTTCAACAATCTGGGACAATGGAGTCTAGAATGCCACCGTCTTGGAGTTATCACGGCGTGGGTCGCCATTTTCATTGAGCCCGGCGTTCGGAAGTCGTTCGGTTATTACTTTTGGCGCTGGTTCGGATGAATGGCAGTGCGTGCAGGGGGGCGTGTGGCCAGTGCCGAGTTTGGAGAGCGAGGGTTGCCTATTGCGTGCATCAAAAGAAGAACGGGGAAGCCGCCAGTTTTTTCTTGTCTTCTTTTCTGTTCCATGTGACGCTGTGAATTAAGTAATTAATCAACATTTCTACTGATTTGGAATGACGAAAGGGGGCTATTATGGAATCTTGGCACCTTGTATGCGGGCAACTGCACAATTACTTCATAGCAACCTCGATAGCCGGGTGGAAAACTCGTTGGTCTTAGTCACCAGCGCTTAGTCATGCAGCGCCACAGCATGGCTAGATTGGGCAGCATTGACCCGTTTTGGCATTGGCCGTCTTCAGCCCTAGCTGCCGCAGTGGATTCGGACGAGCACGGATAAGAAAAAAATAGAATCGGAGCCCTTGTAAGGCTTCAAGTGATGAAAAGTATAGTTCTAACTATCAGTACTGGCTATTTCTACCTAAGTTCTCTTGATTTTGGTTGCAATTTTGCCGTTCCTTTTGTTAATATTGCAATGTACCTCTTGTGACGACGGCGTGATGCTAAGGCCATGCTAACCCCGAGATTTACTGGTCTCGCAATTGCGAAATACCGACGCAGCGCCGAGAGGCTCAGATCTGGGTGGCCACTCGTGCCGTGTCAGTGAGCTGCAGCAGGGGGGGTGTGCGCGAGGCGTGCGTGCTGGCCCTGTCGGCAGAGCTCGGGTATTGTGAGCGTGTAAGAAGAAGCGAAAGAGAATTTTGATAGTTCTATCTATAATTATGCCCATATGACTCTTGTTGTCCAGGATATATAACTCTTGTCCATCTCCCCCCTTGTGGGTTTTTACTTTTGAACTCATCGACAGGAACCCACTGGCAAACAAACAAGCTTTCCCTTTAAGCATCAAACACTCTCATTCTTATACACTTCAAACGAAGAAGCAAGAAACACGACTAAGAGGTTTACTCGACGAACCTCACAAACTCTCACTCAACTACTCGACATCTCAAAGTCACAACCACAACCACAACCAACAATCATCATGCCTTCTCAAGGTCAAAGCTGGTGGGCTCGCCACTGCACTCCTCGCCCTCCCATCAACCCCGTCGTCGTGTGCACCTGCCACTACTGCTACAACAAGCCCGCCGAAGAGCTCGACTATCCCAAATCGTCCGACAGCTCTGCCGCCGCTACGCCTGCCCCGTCTCGACCAGTCAGCCCCCGGGGCTCGACTTCGTCTGTCCACGGCAAGCAGTAAAAACACACACATACAAGATTCTTTTTCGAACGCCCGATAGATCTGGATTTCGTCTACATGGATCATAGAAGATACATCTGAAAAGCGTTTTGTTTTGTTTTCCATCACTCAACCAGCCGAATGCAAAACACCAACACACACACACACACACAAATAATGGAAAAAAAAAACCGGCACATCTCGCCGATCAATCGGGGTCGGCGCCCGGCCCCACTTTTGGGTGCTCCAGACCCAGGCAAAAACTGCAAAATCACACGCCACACATGGGAGGAAAGAAAAATAGGGGACAAGATTTGGATGGAACAGTAATTAATGGGCAGTACACGGATAATACCTATTGGATGCGATTTGGTTAGCGATGGAATTTAGGAATACCCCCTTTTTGAGAATTTAATAGCATCTCCTATAGATACACTTTTTTATACAATTACTCTTTGAGCATTCATATTTATTTGCGTCTTATTTTGTCATGTTTTGTGATGCTTTTGTGGTGTCGCATTTGCCTGTCTTCGGCGTATCCGCATCGCGCAGAAGCCTGGGGTGTGACTTACACTGAAGTCATGCAGAGGCACGTTGACGTCACGCATGGCGCAAATGCATCTCATTTCATCTGCACCAAAATAACGACTCAAATTTCACAGAGATGTAATCATTAATTAATTTGCATTTCATTGTTACTGGCATCTACAGATTACACACTCTCTACTCATGCTATTATGCCGCCTTCTATTGACAGCGCCATCCTCACTACACTAAACCTAGACAAGAATCAAACCACTATATCCTCCGCCGGCGGATCAGGCTTCTCATCCACGTTTAAGCTCTCAACCACAAAAGATGGCCAGCCCTTTGATTACTTTGTCAAAACAGGTTCCGGCGAGGGAGCTAGAATAATGTTTGAAGGTAATAATTCCGATTTTCTCTCTCTCTCTCATTGTTCAACTCACCTCTCCCCTTAAGCTTCTAGCTCAAACAGTGCTCACACTCGCCATCTCACTTACAGGCGAACATGCCTCTCTCAACGCCATCCACAACGCCGTCCCCAATTTCTGCCCCCAGTCATACTGCCAAGGCCCCATGCAGCAATCCAACAAGTACTTCCTCGCTACGGATTTCCTCCAGCTAGGCTACTCCGACTCAAAAGGCTCCGGCATCTCCTTCGCGGCAAAGCTAGCCAAGCTCCATACAACACCCGCGCCCATCCCAGAGGGCTTTGACACTCCCATGTTTGGCTTCCCTGTTTCGACATGTTGCGGGGATACAGAGCAGGACAACTCCTGGAAGTCCTCATGGGCAGACTTTTACGCCGAGAACAGACTGCGCTGCATCATGAAGAAGATTGTAAAAAACCATGGGCCGGATGGCGAAGCAGCCGACATGGTGGAAAAGGTTGCCAGCAACGTCGTCCCGCAACTCATTGGAGATGAGCGGATGAGCATCACGCCGGTGGTGATACACGGTGATCTCTGGAGTGGAAACCATTCGGCAGGTCAGATTGCCGGAAAGGGCGGTCGCGAAGAAATTGTCTTTGATCCTTCTTGTGTCTATGGCCACTCAGAGTACGAGCTCGGCATCATGAACATGTTTGGAGGCTTTGGCAGTTCCTTTTGGAGAGAGTATGAGAAGTTGGTTCCAAAAGCAGAGCCTGTAGAGGAATGGGATGACCGGGTCTCGCTCTATGAACTGTAAGTCTTTCCGGATGCAGCTCTCCAGAACAGACATGAAGATGGGCAGGTAAGGATGCTAAAGACGTCTTGTAGATACCATCATTTAAACCACTATGCGATTTTTGGGTCTGGGTACCGTGGAGGGGCCATGTCAATCATGAAGAAGCTCATATCCAAGTACGGTAGCTAAAGGTATAAAGTGTATAAATCCTCCGTTAAAGAGACCCATCCATATATAACAGAGAAAAATGATAAGTAAAGCAACGAGTATATGTACCAGTGTACAAAGAGAGATGAGAAGAAAGAAAGAAAAGAAACATCAAAACGCCTTCCCCGTGCTCGCTATGGTGTCATGGTTGCCATCTATCATCAAGCATATAACCACCTCGCCCAAATTGTCTAAATAATCACCATGCTCCAATACCAGACATAGCAAAATCTCATCTCATCTAGATCAAATCAAGACGCCAGCATCGCCTGTCTCTCCGGTCTGCTCTCCTGCGCCTGCTTTTGCTCCGTCGGCCTCTCCGAAACAGGAAGCTGTGCATTCGGGACTGTAGGAAGTTTCTGGTTGACGCCAGACATCTCCGCTTCTAGCGCGGCCAGCTCGTCTTCGACTTCTTCTTCGTCTTGCGCCGTGATACGAGTGCCGAGCATTTCGCTAATTTCCTATAAACGCACAGTCAGCATGAAAAATAAAGAGGTCCCCCAAAAACCGGAAATGGAAAAATACATTTTGATATGCAATCGCCTCCGCATTCTCCTCCATCAACTTCTCCACGTGCTCAATGCCCCCCATCTCCGCGTGAATCTCCGAAAGCACTTTTGTTCCCTGCTGCAGGCCAAATACGACGTCCTTTTGGATTTGCGCAAACTCCACGCTGGCCGTGAGCTTCTCCAGCTGCTCCAGCTGCGCATCCGTCTTGCTCAGCAGCGACTCTTGGTACTTCTTCCGCCGCAGCGCAAGCAGCGCGCGCTTTTTGTCGCCCTTTGCGAGCAGCTGCTTGGCGATTTCAGTCTCCTTGTTCGTCAGGACGGTGATGCGGCGCTGGTACTGGTGTAGCCTGTCGCGCTGGATCTTCATGTCCAGAATCGCCCTACGAGGTTCTCTCGGTTAGCGTGCGAGGTCGGCAAATGGCGGGCGCGTGATGGAGGGTTTCGTTTACTTGTCCTGCTCGGTAATCTTGCTCTGTTTGCCGCCCATTGTGAAGCGATTTCTATGCTACGAACTCGGCCGTGCGTTTCTTTGTTGACCGACCGTGAGTCCGCAGACTGGGAGTGAACTAATAGTAATAATAGAAAGTAGCAAGGGACGAGGTCGGCGGATGACGAGGGTCCTTGTCGTCATTGTCTCACTGTATCATGTGGCGCCGAAAGCTTTATCGATAGACAGGGATTATGATAGGGAATCTCACACAGGCACATGTTTGCACAGGCTCTGATCCGAATTGAGTAAGCCGTGAGTTGACATAAAGATAAACGATGTGGTACTCTTTGGTGATGGGAATAATGGGTTTTGCTCGTTTTAAATTTAGATTCTCTTAATCCTATTCTACCTCTTCTATTTCACCAGGTTTAGTTCTAAATGTATCCATTCAAGTGTTATCGTGTTGGAATTGAAGTACTAGCTGGCGAATATCCCAATATGGTTAGCTTTAGTGTCAAATCTCTACATTTTTACGTGCGGAATTGACGGCGCATTTTTTATTTTTCTGCGCCAGCAGTCGATCGACATTCATCCTCATCATCAGAAAGGCGACAACGCCGCCGGCAGGCAACATGGCACCCAGTTTCAAGTCTCGGCTGAACCTTCGCCAAGGCCTTGACCGAGATGTATATCAGATCATCAAGAAGATGGAAGACAACAACGACGGCAAGCCGTTCAAGACCGTCAGCGCCGCGTACGATGCCATCAAAAAATCAAACTCCAGCCTGAGCAGACAGAAGAAACGCCCGCTCGAAGACTCGATAGACCGAGTTATGCAATTCCGTAAGGAGGAGCTGGAAGATTCGGAGGATTCAGAAGCAGTCATTGAGGAAATGGAGTCGAAGAAAGTGGATGACGATCGATTTTTGCTGAACCGCCAATTGACAAAACACTGGCATGTCGAGTCTGCGCCCCAAGCCACCAATGAGCAGCCTGCGGCCAAGAAGCGACGGATCCAGATCGACAGCGAAGACAAGGACGGCGCAACGAGCGGTGTTGATACTGCTACCGAAGCAGCAATCAACGGCGACGCAGTCAAAGATACAGCGAGAGCCGATAGACAAGAGAAAACGGTACAAAAGAAGTCGCCCAAGTCTAGCCGCTTCAAGGTCGAGCAATTGGAAGAGCCACTGCCGCTGGGAGGTGTTGGCGAAATCCACCGCCATTTGCTTCGCCAAACAAGATACCTACTCAAGTGCCCAGAGCTCTACGAAGGAAATGGCTGGAGAAGAGTGCCTGGAATGCTCTTATTTGGACCTCCAGGGACAGGCAAAAGATCGCTTATCCGTACCGTCGCGGCGAATCTCGATGTGCCGATAATCACATTAAACGGCTGTCTCGAAGATCCGGAGCGCGTGGAGAAGAGTTTGGCCGAGGCCTTTGATACAGCCATTGGCCTGGCGCCCAGCATCGTCTTGATAGAGGATCTGGATTGGCACATTCCGAAGCCGGGAGGCACCAACCACAACGAGCACGGTAGAAAGGTGCTCAACCAAATCACGCGACAGGTGCAGAGGGTCCAACAGGAACAAGCCAATGTTCTTGCTATGGCGACAACATCAAGGTTAACCGACGTCGACCCCGTTGCGCTTGAAGCCGGCTTATTCGAAAGATCAATCCAGATGAGAGTGCCAGATCAGGAGGCTCGACATGACATTCTCAGAGTGGTAACGCGAGACAAACAACTATCTGGTAGCCTGGATCTCGCAGAGGTAGCAAAGATGACACACGGCTTCGTCGGTGCAGACATGGTCATCCTCACAACCTTGGCGGAGCAGGCAGCTCAGGAGCGAATCTTCAACACGGAGGATCCAGAGGGGCGACAGCTAGAGCTCCTTACCCGACCTCCACGCAGAGACGACATGGATGTGTCAGACACCATCTCATTAGATCTGAGACAGCCCGCATTTACAACACTACCTATAGAGCCTTTGACACTCGACGACTTCCGCCTTGCCATCAAGGGCTTCACGCCTTCTCTCCGGAGAGAAGGCTTCACCGTGATTCCAAGCGTCACCTGGGACCAGGTCGGCGCCCTGGAAAACGTACGCGAGCAGCTACACATGTCCATCATTGGTCCCATCAAGAACCCAGAGCTCTACCAGGAATTCGGTCTCAGGCGTCCTGCCGGCGCACTCCTCTGGGGCCCCCCCGGCTGTGGTAAAACACTCGTTGCGCAGGCCGTCGCCAACGAGGCACAGGCCTCCTTCATCCTCATCAACGGCCCCGAACTGCTGAACAAATACGTCGGCGAGTCCGAGCGGGCCGTGCGAGAGCTCTTCCAGCGGGCTCGCTCCTCAACGCCCTGCATCCTCTTCTTTGACGAAATCGACTCCCTCGTGCCCCGTCGAGACAACGCCTCCACCGACGCTGGCGTCCGCGTCGTCAACGCTCTGCTCACAGAGCTCGACGGCGCCCAAGATCGCTCAGGAATCTACGTCATGGGCACGACAAACAGGCCCGACATGATCGACGCCGCAATGCTCCGACCGGGCCGCCTCAGCGTCCGCCTCTTTGTCGATCTCCCTACCCCTGAAGAGCGCGCAGACATCCTCCGCGCCATCTACAAGACGGCCCACGCCAACACCAGCGAGGCCGAGCTGGCCAGGCTCGCCGCCGTGGCCCTGGATCCGCGTTGTAAGGACTTTAGCGGCGCAGATCTCGGCGGGCTGCACATCAAGGCCGCGGAGTGTGCGCTGAGGAAATTCATGCTGGGCAAGAAGACGGCGCGGGAGATTGACGAGGAGGACTGGGAGTATGCGCTGGAGAATACGCGGTGCAGCGTGCTGAACCCGGACTCGTATAGGAAGTTGGATAGAAAACTTGGAAAGGGGGAGTAGTAGAAGTAAAGCTGCCAAGTCGACAGCCTGGGAAAAAAGGGAGTTTTTTTGGATTTGCAACATGTAGATAATACCAAGCGCACGCACATAGACACAGTGCAGGTTTGCGTAGAGAGTACTGCGTACAGCATCTAGTCTTCCTGTCTTCCTATTTGGTCTTGTCTTCCTTTTGGGGTAGTAGTACCCAGCCCTTTCTCCTGCGTGCATCATTCGATCGAATGCAATACCACCTTGGCCGCATGACAACCCAGGGATTTTTAACTCAATGCGACCGGCAAACCGCTAGGATGGATTACCGCCAATGCCGAGTGCCGCCGGGCGGCCTGTCTATCAAAAACTTGTTTGCCCAAAACACCCCACCACTCGCACATTTGCTCGAAAATTCAAACCGTCTCGTGAGAAAAAGATGGCGCAAAGTGTCTGGTCGCCTATAAAAGCGGAGTTGGATATTATTGGTACAAGCACAGTGATGATGCTTTGACTATTCTAATACGTCTATAGTACAATCGCCGCACCCCGTCTATTGATATCTCTGTCATTACAATACTGTTTTTGGTTGGTCATTCATCGCTTAAGCGGTAGCCTGCTTGAGGTAGCTGCGCAAGTTGTTAGCATGTGCATTTTCTTCTTCAAACACAGTCAATGGCAACTTACGCGTTGAGGTCATGGCGATCCTTCTCCTTCTTGAGGCCACCAAAGGCCATCTTGGTGCCGGGAATGTACTTCTTGGGGTTCTCAATGTACTCGAACAGGGTGGTGTCGTCCCAGACAACGCCCTTGTTCTTGTTGGCATCGGTGAAGCTGTAGCCGGCGGTGGTACCAGACTTGCGGCCAAAGAGGCCGTGCAGGTTGGGGCCGATCTTGTGGCCGCCGTCCTTCTCGACGGTGTGGCACTGAGCACAACGGGTCTTGAAGAGGTTGGCACCCTTCTTAGCGTCACCTGGAGAGAGCCGGTTTAGTACGGGGTGTTTTCCTGTAGTGAAGAGATTCGGTGGCGGGGAGACCGCGAAGAAGTAGAGCGGTTTCCGTTCAGCGATATGGCGCAGAGTCGACGGCCAAAGAACGAGGCATATTTGGACTTGAGTGAAGCATCGTAGTGGCGGGCGTCACCATCCGCAGGTGGCAAGTGAAAATGACGCACTGCATCAAGCGGCGTTTTTGCTCGATGTGAAGCCTCGATTTACAAGAAAAGAAGTCTTCTGAGCGTTCTCATGCTTCGAAAAGTCCAAAACACCAATCGTCTCAGTCGTCGACTATCGTGGCCCGGCTCAATGGCTTCTCGCCTTCTTCTTCGGACAGGTCTCGGCAAACCGGATTGAGAGTGTGCGGCAACTTACCACCAGCCATTTTGAAGTATGGGTATGTGAAAAGACAAAAGAGTCGTTAGGAAATAAATATGAACAGAGGTAAATCCAAAGAAGAACCGAAAGGCTACTTTGGAAATAAAATTTTCTTAAAGGTGAAAGAAAAAAGGAGAAGTGAGAAGTTATGAGAAGGAAAAAAAGAAGGAGAGCCAAGAATTTCAAGGAAAAAAAAAGTTTATGACACAATGCCCGGCTGCACAGCAAACTGGCGGTGATCAGCCACAGATGTGGCGCGGGTCCGGCCAATCAGACCCCAGCAATTACACAGTCAGGCTCACTCGTCGGGCGATTGTTCCCGGGTAAAGTCGGGCCACCAGGGCGAGAGAATTTCGGGCGGCGCCACAGCTCCTGACTAGGGACTCTCTACTCTTTTTTCGTTTGTTTTCCAGCTTCACTCGCTGGTTTCCCGGCTCCACCGGATTTTCCTTCCATCCGCGTTTTCTGGCCGGAGAAAAGTCGGCTGAAGCAGGCTGCTCTGCCGCCCTCCACCTTCTTTTTTTTCTTCCAGTTCTGGGGTGGGGTTCGCAAAGGTCTCCATTTTTTTGGCCTGACATCCCGCTATTTTTTTTTTGGTGGGAACTTTGAAGAGAGCCAGCTTCATAGCAGAGGCTGCCCGAGAAAAAAAAAAGTGCCAAAGCTTTTTGGCGGCTGTTTTTGTTGTTGTTGTTATTCTTCCTCTCTTAGCCATTTTTTTTGATCGAGATATTTACTACAGCACATCTTCCCCTCTTCTGCATCCGCCGCAATGGTGACGAGAGCCGTCATCCCGCGCTTCCTGCTGCCGCTGCAGGGGCCGCTCTGGCGAGGCATCAGGATCCCCCTCTCGCAGAACGTCCACATCCGCTTCGTGTCGACCGACAAGCCCATCGTGCTGGAGAAGCCGGCCAAGTTCAACCCGCCCTCGCATGGGTCCCGGCTCAAGAGGAACTCGATGCCGAAGCACTACGGCCCGCCGCTGACCGAGGACGAGGTTGCTGCCCAAAACAAGAAGAGCTATCCCGGGCTGATGGCGCCCCAGGGATCGTGGACACACTGGTTCTGGCACAGCCGGCTGCTGCATACGTTCATCACCATGGTAGGGGACTTGTGCAAAACTTTCACTCATGGCTGGGTGCGTTGACTGACATTTTCGTGACCGCGTAGGGCGCGCTGCTGGCCATGGGCGTGTACACCTTCTTCATGAACTACGCCTACAACTCCCCCTTCAAGGATCTCGTGCCCCCAATCTCAGACCTGTGGCAACAACCCACCTACTTCTTCTCCCAGTGGAAGAACGTCATCCTCATGCACGAAAAGGACAAGGCTCGCAAGGCTGCCGAGCACCGGAACCGCCACATCGACGACGTTGCCAAGCGGAGGTACTTTATGAAGATGCACGGCATCGAGCCCATGGACCCCGTGGCCGTGGTTTTTGGCAAGAACGAGGAAAAGTCTGCGGAGGAACTCGAGGCTGCTGCCATGGGACATGAAGTGCCGCCAAAGCCCGAGACTGAAGCCCCAGCGGAGCAGAAGAAGAAGTGGCTGGGCTTTTTTTGATTGATCATCCATCAAGATCATTCTATGTGCATTGACTGAATGGGCAGGAAAGCCAGATATATATGCTTGTCCTCCCCGTTGCTATTGTAACTTTTAAGATTTTTTTGTGCCCCATCACATTAGGCATTAGGTATTCTCTCTCTCACAGTAGTGAGACCTCAAAATAGTGAGACCACAATATGATGTACCATTATATGAACAAATATCCCAACCCAAGCAAGATCCGTAAAACATTCCTTCTATGACAAGTCTACTCCTTCCAAACCATCCAAAACCTCGTCTGCAACGCCTCCCTTTTCCAAGACTGCCTGTATGATGCTATCTAGGACGGCAAACCTGGTTCCGCCTAGCGGTGCCTTCCAAACTCCCTCCTGAGGGTATTCTTCCATTTTTTGCTGTTGCTGCTGCTTCTGTGACGTCGGATCAAACGTCCCGCTGGCCGCCAAATTGCCCGTACTAGGCACCCCGGGCGGTGTCAGCCTCGATGGAGGATCGACAGTCCGCATCGACACCAGCCTCAGCTCGCGCCCAGAGTCCACCTCCATGCTCTCATCCGCCTTTTGCGTCCGGACCTCACACAGCGACACCGCCAGTGCGGAATCCGCAACGGCAAGCTCCTCTTTGGACGGGTCGAACAGGATGCTGTCTCCCACTGCAACGACCAGCAGCGTAATGGGCGGCCTTGAGCCCGCGGCTGCGCCTTGGCGGGGGTACAGGAACGGCGAGGCTTCCCAGTCGTCGTCGAACATGGGGTCTTCGTCGCCTTCTGACTTGAGGCGCGGTAGTCTTGTTGAGAGGAGGGCGAGATGTGTTGTGAGGGAGAGGAGGGGCAGGGGGTATGACAGCGGCGGTGATATCAGAATGATCTGCGAGCATATTAGTACAGACCCTTTTTCCCAAGACACGCGCTTCTTCTTGGCTTTGTAAACTCACATCAAGATACAGTCTCCAGTGAAACCGTCTATTGATCCACAGCTTCTTCGCAAACTCCCCATCCGCAAGAAGCGCCTCCCTCAGCAGCTCCGCCAAAAACACCGTCCCGGCATCATCATCTCTCAGTCCCGGAATCTCCACCGTCATCTCCAGCCACTCGCCCCTTGCCTGTCGCCTATCCTCCTCCGCATCGCCGCCTCCCGCGCCGCTCGCGGTCTTGACGTACTCCTGGTAATGCTCTCCGCCCAGCAGATCCACCGTCTTCTCGATTTCGGCCTTTACGCCCACGATGGCTTCTGTGCCGTCGGACAGGCAGACGCGCGCGCTGCCATTTGTGCCGGGCAGGATGCCCGTCTCGGCGGTCAGCGGCCGGAACTGCTTGGATGTTCTGCCGTCGGGGCGGATGGGCGGGCTGAGGGAGAGGGAGGTGTGGAGGTAGGCGAGCTCGGCGGGGGACAGGAGGGTTTGCTGGTTGGCCATTGTTCACCGCGCTTCCATGGGGATGTTGAGATTGAAGTTGCAGTGGAAAGTTGATTGTTGTGGCCGTGGCGCGGAATCGCAGAGCTGGGTATCGAGATCTTGGGGGAAATGGTTTCTGGACGTGAACAAAAAAAGTTGTAGCGGGTAGCTCACCTAGGTGAGCGATAAGATAGGATATGATGCGGGGGTGGGGCCGTCTGCGAGACAGTACTTGTCGTCTCGATCGTACGTACTATCTTAGCCTTCAAACTTTATGTTGTCATATCAGTATGTGAAAATTTGATATGAGTTTTTGCTGAACTGATTACTTATTGCCATGACTAACTGAAGCCCGCACTTATCGACGGTACCAACTGTTGGTTTACGCAGTTTGCATGCGTACTACATGTGCCTATTATAAGCCAGCCAGGTTTCTAATTTCGACCATCGATAGCCGCGAAGAAGCAATCAATTCAACGGGCGCTGTAGGTTACTTACTTGAAAACAGCTCTAAATAAAAATGCAAAGCCCATATCGACTTTTGACATAATATAACAGAAGCTAGCTATCACTCTGTCAAATGTACATGTGATTCCGCTTCTACCTATATCACACTGTGCTCTTTTGCACTCTCCGCAATGTTATCAGCATTCCAGGTTATCTTCGCTCGTATATACTTACCTCTGCAAGTGAATTCCGACGTCATATATTACAAAGCCATAATGGCTGTGCTTATGCAATGTCATACCTTTGTCTTTTTCTTTTACATGAGCCGCAACTTCAGCCCTGCTCTCGAACGTATTCCACTAGTTCAAGATCAGTAATCCCTCAGTGTAGAGTTGAAGATTAGTAATCCCACAGCGTACAATTCAAGATCAGTAATCCATTACAGAGATGCAATTGTTCATCTCGCGTAATAGCTGGGGCAGCACAAAGTTCCTACGAGGTTGCCTATTTTGAGTAATGATAGGTATTCAAAGTTTGCAAAGATTAATAATCAGCTTCTGTCCTTTTGTTAAACGAGATACTCCTGCAACGAATCCTGCCGGTCCATCTATCAAGTCAAAAACAGCTCCTCTTAACCCAAATTCCTACCATAGTCATTATAACTGTTGAAGTCATATTTTAGTGCTGAGTCAGAATTTTGTTGTACTTTAATCGTTACGAGCTCGCTTGATACTGCCTATGATTCAGTACCGTGATGTGATGTATCAATGCAGAACTATAACCCCAGCTCAACTTAAAACGCCATACACACAGACAATATTAAGACTCAAAGCCGCTAGTCAGATTAGCATCCGGAAGCTTTTAGATAATCACCATCGGAAGCTTTGCGAAAATTAAAGCTGGGTGTGTCGGTTGAGTCGTTACAATGCTTCCGAAATTGTCCCACTTGGGCTAGTGTTGACGAGTAATGCAACAAAGCAGGAATACCCTCGCAGCTTGCTAAACTAAACGGTAAAAGGATTTGTATCACTGTTGCTGCGGTAATTGCGGTATTTTGGGGGGAAATGGTGGACATATGTTGCTTGCGATTCGTTCGAAATACCGAAAGTGTTACTATATATATATATATATCTCCGCACTCATAAGTCGAGGCTATGACATTCTGAGACGGCTCGCCTATCGTATTCATTTAGCCTGTTTTGATGTATCTTGGTTTGAAATCAGCAGATCGCCCAACGCTGGGGTACTCACAATTGGAAAGTATTCTCAGGATGTGCTGAATAAATCAATATTCTTCAGGCAAGTCATGGCCACAGAGGAATTTGTGAAGCTACGGCTTTTCCCCAGACGCACATCTACTTCCCATAACACCCTAGCTTTCCTTGATAAACATAAATATACCTTCCATATTTGAAAATAATGACAGACTAAACTCTTCAATCAAGGCATTCTCTAATGCAATAGCAAAATAACCTACCCTTGGTTTAGAGTTACTAGCGGAGCTCCGCTGTTATATCTTATCCATTTCCGTAAATGCTTCAAGCAGTTCATAAGTACGCTACAAGAATTATAAAAGCAGTACTTTCTCCCCTAGAAACACATTCAAGTTCCTACCATATCTTACATCTCTAATCAACTTTCTTATATAATCTACATACTTCAATATCATTGACAATGACGACTCATCAAACTGCCAAAACAAACTACGTTCCCTACCGCGATGGCAAAATAGCCTACCGCCGATTCGGAGCTCCCAGCGGCGTTCCACTGCTCTTCCTCATCCACTTCCGCGGCACCATGGACAAGTGGGATCCTCTTCTCGTAAACAACATTGCAGCATCCAGACCAGTCATCCTCGTCGACTACTGCGGAGTTGGCCAAAGCACCGGCATCGTCGCCAACAACTTCCGAGAATGGGCAGACGACATGCTCGAGTTCCTCTCCCTCATCGACGTCAAGGAAGTCGACATCCTTGGCTTCTCCCTCGGAGGCTTCGTGGCCGAGATGATGACGCTCAACGCCGACCCCAACAAGCTCAAGATCCGAAAACTCATCCTCGTCGGAACCGGCGCAAGTGTCGGCCCTGGCGTTGAGAAGACTACAAACGACTACGTCCCCTATGCCGCCGCCGCAGATGCTGAGCTGTCTTCCCTGAGAATGCTCTTCTTCCCGCACAACGCCGTGGGTGAAAAGGCGGCCGAGGAATGGTATGCCCGGATCCATGAGCGAAACGAGTCCACGAGCGGAGAAGTCCCCAGCAAGTGGCTTTCTCTCGGGTACAAGGATGGCGGAGCGGGATTGAAAGCGCAGGCGGATGCCCTGGAGAAGTGGTTCAATCCGGAAACCAGCCGTGGTGAGGAGGGCTCGTATGACAGACTGGAGCAGATTGATATTCCCGTTTTGATTGCCAATGGCTCTGTGAGTAAACATGCTTCTCAAATAAGCATCTACCTGATTATAAGCTCGCAACAAGAACTAATTGAGGAAACCTTTCAGGACGATTTCATGATTCCGACTGTCAACTCGTTCAACATTCAGCAGAAGCTGCCTAATGCCACGCTACTTGTCTACCCAAACAGCGGTCATGCATCCCATTACCAGTACGCTGAAAAGTTTGCAAAGCAGGCTGTACAGTTTCTTGAGGACTAAATTAGATGCATAAAAGTCCATCAGATGCGAGAGTTCAAGCTCCATGGCTGCTCGACTGCAGTGTAGCTTGATGTAAAACAATAACTTGATGACTACTAGTTTGGGTTTCTCGGTCAATACTGGTCATGTTAAGCTCTCAACAGTTTCATTCCATAACAGCTCGTACCTGTATGTGAACTCCATTGTCTGGCGTGTCTTTGTATCTAGATGGCTGTAACCCGAACGTAGTTCGTAAAGTTTACATGGGCAGGACTATGTTGTATCTACTGCCAGCCAGTATTTCACAGAGCCGATGAGATTAAAAGACAAGTTGTAAGTACCATAATATATGAGTCAAAGAAATAATCATTATTCATTTGCAAGAGCACGCTTATCCTGAATATCCTATGCATCTCCTTGCAGTGTAACCAATAACCGACCCAGATGTAAAAAACGCGTATGAAGCGCTTTATAAAATAGTAAAATAACCAATCTCCTTCCAAAAAGAAAAAAAAAAAAAAATTAGGTTCGACGACGTACCAGATCCAAGCAGATGCGATTCATCAGATCAGGCCCCACGGCAGCGATCAACTGCGCAATGCTGTGCTTTACGTTTGACGGCTCTGCCAGTTTACTATGCCTCCAGCCGACCAGGTCTGACGTCTCGAACAGCGGGCCTGTAGGAAAAATCCTCAGAACAATGTGGTCCAGATCGTATTTTTCCATGTCCTTGACAGAAAGAATACCTGGCATTCCAGATTGGAAGAGGGATTTATAGGTCATGCCACTGTCTTCATCCGAATCGGAATTCTCCGAGTTTTCACCCGAAGATGCAGGTTTCTGATCTTTTCCAGCAGAGGCATCTCTGCTCATAGCGTCGGGAGAATGCAGCTCAGATCCTCTAGGACTGTCGGCTGCCGAGAGGCTAGTATAAGTATCCCTAGCCAGAATATCCAAAATGCTCTTGTCCAAAAATCGCCATTCCAGGGTATCTGGGTCAAGGATATACTGTGGCCCGTAGTCTATTTTGTATCTCATCTTGGGGCAGCTATGGATATAAAATCCAGGGTACCACCACCGGTAACCGTCTTCAATCGCGAGCGAGATTTCATAGAGAGCTCCCAGCTTGCCAGGGGCGAACTTGTGAATGCTTTCGTGGTAAAGGAAATAAACAGAGCTGACGCATTGTGGCAGTAAGTCAAGCACTCCTATAGCGACCAGAACGCCGTCTAGGCGGTAGCACTGATGGTAGGAGCCTAAGCGGCGCTTTCGCCCATCAGGTCCAACCATGGTCCGACGTTGCAGAGGAGAGCCGCAGAGGAATCGTCGAAAAGACTCGTGTGACCTGTCATAAGGCTCATCTCCGTGGACAACTCGCTGATAATTTTCATAGACTTCATACTTTTCCTTGGTAAAAGTGTCTTCTTCAAGCGTCACAGTCCACCTATGAGCTGGCTCAAGTGGTGTTTTGATTTGGCCAATCTCAGCCTCATGAATGCGCTCTGTGAGCAAAAACTCATTGTCACGCTTCTTTGTCTCTTCGCGCGACCTTGGATGGAGACGAGCAGCTTGCTTAATGTACTGGTCGCCCAGTACATGTTTATTGAAACGGTTAATGGTCTGGCGCTGACCCCTTGTTGGATGAAACTGATCTGAGTCTAAGCGAATGGTGTAATGAGGACAGCATGAAACGCGCTGGTTTGGACGGTACAATAGTTTTCCTGATCGTCTCCAGCAGCGATCGAGTAGAGTGAGATACAACTCTGGGCTAAGAGAAGCAGCATTGGCATAATACGAAAAGCCTGCATACAGCAAACAAGGTTAGCTTTTGTGAGCAAACAAATGATTGAGTTGACCAGAAAGAAACTGAGGGCCGGTGAGAACTGACTATGTCCAGTGACGCCGCAGTAGCCACATTTTGATGAATTTGTATACCCTGTGTAGCTAGTTAGTACAGATAACAGACATCAACCTGTGTGCAATGGAAAAGACATTTCGTATAAAGAACGCCAAACAGTGATCAAAACGTCACGTAATGCGAGAGTGCAATGCCAATGCAAAGTATGGAAATACAAGAGAGCATCCAATATGCTGTTTCAACAAATGGAGCAGAAGCTAAATGGTAGTATACACAAAGTAACCAGCTTCCGACGATGCTATCATCAGAGTGGCATATACATGCAGACCTGCAGCGAGAAATGAGAGGCAGAAAGCAATGTTGAGACGGGACACATGAGTTGTGAATGAGAGATGAGACGGTGGGGGGACAACAGACGATGAAAGGGGGGTGACAAGGAATCACACAGTTCGGAGCCATGCACTCAGGCCGCACTGACCAACGGCATCTGGAGTGAGTGGCATAGAAGTGTGTGGCCACGACAATCGCGGTGCCCATGGACGAAGTCACACAGGTAGTGCGAGAAGAAAAAAGAGGCTGACAGGGGTTCGCATCAAGGAAGAGGCCTTGCCAAAAGCGACTGCAAAAGCTCCGGGCCAACGACAGGCACTGGAAGCAGCACGTGTGCAGGCATCAGATCAGGGCAGCGGGAAGAGCAGCAGAGAGAAAAAGAGACCAACAGCTCTGGCTGGTTCTGACTCACCAATTGGAGAAATAAGCTCGTCGGCGACGGAGGCGTCTTCAGGGGTCTGCCCACCACCGTCTTCCTCCATGGCTGCGCTTGGCACCTCGGGTCGTCCTGAAGAGGCAAGTTGGTGCGTGAGACAAGTGAGGGCGAGGATTTTGTGTGTATTTGACGAGAAGTGATGTGTCCTGTAGCTCTCTCAAGGCCGACAGACGGGCTGGTACGATGGAGTATTTGATAGGCAATAGCTTATAGAATAGAGGGGAAATGACGGATTGCAGTCGAGGTTGGCGAAGCTCTCGGCGCCTGCACGTAGCGGCTATGACGGACGATACGATGCGCCTGGCTGCTGTCGCAAGCAAAGATTTAACTTTGTGGGGCGTATGTATGCGATCTAAACTGTCCTGATGCCAGCAGACGAGCGGCACACGAGAAATAGCCTGGTCGTCGCAGCGGGTTCAAACACACGAGCGTGGAGACGGCCTGGCCTGTAACCGCCCGAGGGAGTGCCCAGTAGGTATCTTCACTGCTGCCGGCCAGAGGAGCTCATGATGGATGGGAGGTAGGAGGACAAGCAGACAGACAGCCCAGACGCTGTAGATGCGATGCCGACAGCATTCGCAGAGGAAGAAGAGCGAGCGTCTCCAAGAGGAATCCAGTGTTGAGGTCAAGTCCAGCTGCCATCTGATGGCGGGGCGAAACGGGGAGCGAGTGAGGGGTCGCGGCGCTGAGACCACCGGGATGGCGCCAGCTACAGCGGTCCGCCTAGTCTAGTAGCTATCGACGCCACTACGAGATAATGTCTTGTCTTGACTAAGTGGAAATCCTTCCTGCAGGTGGCATACTGTAGAGCTGAGCACTGTACGGCCTTTTTCTTGCCTTCTTTGCTATATGCACTCCTTGCTTTGGATCCCCAACGAATACTTGGTGCTAGCAGCATACATACTGCATCCTTGCAATATGTAGACCGATGGAGACGGGTGACAACTCGGCTGCGTCGTTCCCTGGCTTCTTCTATGCCGTCAAAGCCGTCCTCTTGATATGCATAATACGGTCCCTGAAAGGTCGCATCCCGAAAATAGAACTGCCTCACCCGAAAAGCCTAAAAGGCGTGGCGAAACTCTTGCCTCTCGTTGGATCATGCCTTTTTCTCTGGCTGCATGGGCCTTGCTCACCGTATTTCTCAGCTACTATGTAACACCTACCAGGAATGCAAATGCTATTGACACGAAGCAAATAGTATCATGCACGCTTGCGTTTGCCCGGTAATACCCAGAATCTCTCAGCGGCAGAAAGTCTCCTGCAACCATTTCTCAATGGGGCCATGGTACGTATCATCAGACGGCATATCGGTTCTTGGTGATTGGATGGACTTACAGTATACCGTACACATGTACATTCTACTGCCTGGTAGCATCTACTTCCAAGTACGTCACCACTGCCGACGCTCATCTAGATCAGCTTACCCAGGTAGCTGTGCCTAAACGGCAAATCTCAAAGAGACATGTCGATAAGGTACAGATTACCGCTGGAGTCCTGATCTACTGGTATTGAGTCATAATTCATAAGCTGCTGCCTGTAAGCTTAATCACCTGTCTGTCGCGACGCATACACCACGGGATCTCAGCCTCGTATATATCATCCGCTGCCCATCTCAGCGGTCATCTTTTCTTTGTACAGAATACCACAGTCCTAGCCGTCGTCATTAAAGGGGCGGCAGCTAGGGATCGGGTGCAGCTCGCCTGCGCGGGAAAACAGGGGGTTTGATACATACATACATACATGCATGCATGCAGTGCTCTCCCACCAAACTCGTAACGTAGGACCACACCTCTGGAATTACAAGGCAACTATAAAGGCATATATGCTGGCGTCGGGAGGCTAGATCACTGGCAGATGCTTGTATTGTAGATAAAATTCCGAGAACAATTAGACGAACATCGTATGTTGTTATCTGGGTGTTGACGCCCTTTGGAGAGAGTTGTCTGATTTAGCTCTCGGTTAAGCTGCGAGGCTCTTGGTTGCAAGTTTCCGTTTTGAGCCAGATGTTGTCAACTCCATGACCAGCTAAACATGCCAAATATCAGCCTCCAAGGGAACAAAAAAGAACCCATTGTCATGAAAATTACTAAACTTGTCCTGATTATTTGCCATGATGCATTACAGCCAATCAAGTGCCTGAATCCCTATAGCTGCTGCTCTCTTTCCCTGTATCAAAACCGACATTATCCCGTGCCACCGCAGCGCACGTGTGTTGCCCGTCGCCTGAGTCTTAGTTCATGCGGCCGTCTGCGGCTTCGAGCCCCTAGCGCTATATTGATTGAGCCACGGCCAGACGGCCGTTGAGGGCGCGGCCAGCACGGCTGAAGCCTGTTGTCTCGGGTGGCCTGGGACATGTACCCGCGAGTACTCTTTGACGCTGTCGGTACTGCACCTCCGATATGTACAGGCAGCCTGCTGACTCTTTGACTTCGAGCCCTGAAGCCCAGGCAAGCCCGGCACTTTGCCACGGCCAGAAGCAGCACGTCAAATCCAAGTACCCAGGCCAGAGTGCGCGACAAACTAAACTCTCTCTTGGCCGTCTCCGCGTTTGGCCCCAACCTTGCAAAAGCCCTTGCTGTTAGTTGCGCTCCACTCCAGGTACCGCCAGCATTCATCGCAGCTCAACTCACCGCACCGGCGCGCGCTTATACCGACTCCAGGTACCTCCATGCTGTAGCTCAACGGCCACGGCGTGCTCCATCCTCCGTAACTCTCCAGCCCTGCTGCGTCCAGTCTTTGCGCGGTCCATTGCCACTGCGGCTAATCCTGCTTATCCTTTTTTTCTCCCATCCGTGTCCAGCTCGCGGTTCCCCGACTCGGCGCCGAGTTACATACGCATCGCTTCCGGACCCTGTCTAGAACGCCATCTCGTTCCGCGAACCCGTGCAGCAGGGAAAAAAAAAATTGGAAAAAAAAAAAAGAGCCAGGCACCGCCTAGACCTGCATCCGTTGTCCAACCCCCACGACTCTTGGTCCTGGTTATTATTCACCACCATCTCGCAACCCGGGGGAAACAGACGAGAAACAAACAACACCTTTTTACTCTATTCTTTTCTGCTTCTCTTTAGATGACAATGCAGCGCATGTCACTGTGATTTTTACCCCCCAGCCTCTCCGCCAGACGAAGCTCGCGACTTGCCGGTGAAAGTCTCCCGTTTCCGGCAACCTCTCTCTCTCCCTCGTTACTTTTTTTTTCCCCTTCCCGCGGCCGATACGCGGGCCGGCCAATCATCGCAAGACTTTTTCAGCTTTCAGCTTTCAGCAGACAGCCGGAGAGAACGCTGGCGACAACAGCTGCCAACATGTCAGGCTCGGCGTCTAGTGTCGAGGGCTCCAACAATTTGCCAATGCAGTCGCGGACCGGGCGGAGCAAACAACGTAAGTTCCATCTTGAGCGCAGAACTGCATCTTGATACTCCCCAAGAGCGCGGTTCCCCCTTTGTCACCTCGCAAACCCCTATTTCCACCGACTTCTTCTGCTCTTCTCCCTCTGTCCCCAATACCATCTCCGGTGTCGTGCGCGCCGCCTCGTTTGTTCCTTGCCTTTGCCAGTCGCTGCTTTGTCTTGCTTTCTGCTTGCTTGCTTGCCTGCCTCGCCTCCGCCGACGCCCGCAGCTCGGGATCCCACTGACCCATCTCCCTCCTTCAGGGTACAACTCGCAAGGAGAACGACTTGTCGCCGGCGTCGTACCACTCAGCGCAGACCGCAACTACGTCATCCTCATTCAGTCTACCCGGCGCAAGGGCTGGGTCCTGCCCAAGGGAGGGTGGGAGTCGGATGAGTCGTGCCAGGAGTCTGCCATGCGAGAGGCCTGGGAGGAAGCTGGCATCACGCTCAACATTGACTATGACTTGGGCAACTTTGAGGAGAAGCGACCGCCCAAGACGTCCAAGGACCGCTCCCGCTACTACTTTTACCAGGGCACCGTGGTAGAGCAGCTGGAAGAGTGGCCGGAGAAGGACAAGCGCGAGCGCGAATGGTTCACCTATACAAAGGCAATCGAGGTTCTCCAAAACAGACCGGAGCTCCAAGAAGCCTTGAATCGATCTTCGATGAACAGAACATGAGCCAGGGCAACTCGTCTCTGTCAAATTTCTTTTCGCAACGAAACTGCACCCTTTCATTTCTCCTTGTACATTTTTATTCCCTCTCCTGGCCTCTACAGGTGTCCCTGCAACGGCCATTGCCGCCTTTGGCCATTGGAAGCAGCACCATACACAGCAGACAGCTCGGAACAGAAGGAGATGGTCCAAGAGCAAGAGACAAAGGAGAGGAAGAAGGCGGTGATGATGGAAGCTTATTTGCTTCTCTGGCTGATGGCGGCTGTCTATCCGACAACTATGCCTGCATCACCGGCTTTTCTAACATACAGAAACTGCTAACCATTTAGGGTAGGATGCCTTTGAATTCGGCTCAGGCGTTGTCGACAGGTTTTATCTAATTTTTTTTTTTCTTTTCTTTCTTCGTTTTACCATAGAGCATCCACTCAGAAAAAGAGATTTCAAAGACAAGGCGCGCGGGCATAATATTGGTGTACAGCAAGGCACAAGCTGCTCTTGAAATAGGATACACACAAAAATTAATTGTTTCCCACAATGGACCGCTTTCCACGGTCAACGGAGAGAAAGGGAGATGGCCAGTCTCACAGTTTCCTTTTTTTTTTTTCTATTATCCTTTTCCTTTTCCTTTTTCTCTCCGTTTCTCTCCATCTAGAATTGAAGACTTGATTTTTAGAGTATAGAATTAATTGATATGCCATAGGCATGACGAGGGCAACTTGTCGTGTGCTGCACAAGCTAAGTACCTGCCTTAGCTCTGTGCCCCAGACACCCCTCATTTGTTGACAAGTAGGAACCGAGTACATGGGACTCTAGAGTTACCTTATGACTCAACCATTAAGTTAAACGCCGGGATCAGCCAACCTTGCTGGGGGTTTCCGCATTGGTTCAATGTGCAGCTTCAGCCGACGGTCTGATGGATTTGGCCGCTTATACGTAAGCCTGCAGATATCTACTCCTAGATGAAGCTCAGCAGTTACCTGTAGAGTACGGGCACAGAGCCGAGAAGCTGCGTCTTGGCGAAAGGAATCTACTATACTCTAATGAGGCATGAGTAGCAGCACGTTCAACTGTGTACGAGCAAGTACAGGCACCCTTCCCAACAATTGTCATCCAGCTCAGCCATATCGGCAGCCATTTTGCTTTTCCCTGCCCCTCAGTTTAAACCACCATCCAAATCTAATCACCACTGCCCCGCCATCGGGCTATGTATGTACGACTGCAACCATCTGTACTCTTCCCTGCTTCATCAAGGTATCTACTTTGGCTTAAAAAGCCTGCAACAGGTGTTATTTAACGCATGAGGCCCTTTTGGTCTTTTGCCAATTCATTCCACCGACGTTCACACTGACGTAGTTGCGCTGCGTACCTGTACTTGAACCGCCAAGAGGCTTTGACACGTGATATCCGTTTATCGATAAGCCCTGCACGCCGCATCCCGGGCCACAGCCGTAGACGATCGCAACCTACTCCATCTCTCGACTAGACTGCCATTTGTATCTGCTCCGTACAAGCCTCGTCGCTCTCCCAAAACCTCATGTTGGCCATGTTTTTATAGACAAGGGAAAGAATTCAAAACAAAACGAAATCACAAAACAAAGCCACACGTCTCCATGGACCCTTGAGCCCGACATTACGATTCAGATTTAACCTACGCTTTTTGCTTCTTCGCTCATATACGGCGCTTTTTCCCGCCTCATGCCATTATAATGGAAAACCTATCCATTGCCGATGCCCCCCCGCCTGCCGGGCCGGGTCAGCCATTCTCCCAGCTGCCGCCACAGATGTTCACGACGGCCGCGCAGCTTTTAGATCTCACAGACAGTACGGGCTTGCTTCATAATCCCCCCCCCCCCGGGGAGTCGAAAAAGAAAGCGGGCAAGGGAGAGAGACTGTGCTAACAAGTGCTGTTTGTAGAAAAACTAATGGTGGTTTTACGCGACGGAAGGAAACTGATTGGCGTATTAAGAAGCTGGGACCAGTTCGCCAACATTGTGCTCCAGTCAACCACAGAGAGGATATTCGCCCCCAGAGCCGACAACCACGACGCCCAGCAACCCTACGGCTACTACGCGGACATTCCGCACGGCATCTTTCTGGTGAGAGGCGAGAACGTGCTTCTGCTGGGCGAAATCGACCTCGACAAGGACGACGATGCGCCTCCGGGCTATGAACTGGCCGAGGTGGACGCTGTGAAGAAGCTCGCCGAGGCGAAGAAGGCGGCGGATAAGGCCAAGGAGAAGGCTCGACTGAAGAAGCTTGTTAAGATTGGCTTTGAGGGCGAGAACCTGGGTGACATTTTCTTTTAAGAAACACAACAAGATGTGGGCACGTGTACACATGAGAGAGAGAGAGAGAGAGAGATACGAAACCGAGAAAGGAGGTAAAAAGGAGAGATGAGAAGGGGAAGAAGGGGAAGGAGGGATTTAGAAGCCGGCAGCAAGGGAATTCTTTTTGTTTTCCGTTTTTTTATTTTATTTGTTTGTGTGCGCTGCGGCAGAGACGATTTCGGCGGCAGAATATTGTGAAATGCCCCGGGTCGAGAGATGAGTTGGCGGGTTAGAGAAGGAAAGTAGTAGTCTTCATACACGTTCTGTGTGCTTGAATAAACTAGAGGCGTTGGGAACAACGTCAGCGCCGGGTTTTTGTCACATATATCTATCTTAACTACAGTAGTTGATTGATAACCATGTTGGCTCCACGGAGGAGCGAATGTCTCAAGTGATATCTTGGATCAGTCGTGAAGAGCTTCATTAGCAGTAGAGAGTTGCTAGGAATACAAGAGTTATACACGCGCCATCTAAGCAACGCAGCTTAATCGTTACAAACACATCCACCACAACACCAGGCAAGGTGAAGAAACCAAATAGTAATACAGGCGCCATGCCACCAACGCCATGAAAGTCAGAGCATCGTCCCCCCTTTTCTCTCTTTTTTGTTCTTACACGGCTCCAGAATACCCTCTCCCTCATCACTGGAAACCACAACCTCGTTTCCTCTCAAACATTGGTATCGGAGAGCCAGGATCCCTCGTCATGCCACCAAGCAGCCAATCCGTCAGGCCCACAAACTTGGCGCCCACGCCCTTCTCCCAGTCGCCGCCCTCCTGCGCCTGCTCAATGGTATGCGTCAAGATCCTTCCCTCGGCATCAAAGTCGAAGATGAACAGCCCCGTAAAGGCCTTGTTCGGATCCACGCCCCTCGCCAGCCTCAGCCACGGCAACGAGCTCCCACCACCACCAGATTTGCTCTCCTTGGTCTTGCGCTTCTCGCACCAGCGCACAACGAGCTGTTCTGACGTGGCGCCGGCCCGTCTGGGCAGGAAAGTCAGCGGCTCTGACGTCATGCGCTCGGCCAGGATCTCGAGCTTCACGTTGCCGATGATGGGCACGCGGTTCCAGGCAATGGGCGAGGTCCAGAGGGCGGCGGCGTAGGCGACTCGGCCGGAGACGACGGGAAGGTGAGGATGCGTGGAGGGGAATAGCTGGAGCGAGATGTTGGGGGCGAGGATGTCTTGCGGGAGGGGAGATTGGAGCAGCGTTGGAAGGCGTTCTTGGAGGATTCGCAGAGCTAGCAGTGTATTGTATGTAATTAGCCAGACATATCCTTTCATAAAGATTCTCTTTTGAAAATATAAAAAGGTTTGAACATACTCTTGCCGAGCTTTGCTTTGTTGGGATCCGGCGGCGTCTCTCCCCGGCCTCCCATCCACACAGCTCCAGAGCTCTCAAAGTGCGTCGTCCGCGACAAGCTGCCCCGCGGCGCAGATGCTACTCCCGGCACTTTTTCCTGCTGCCGCAGCTGTAGCAGCAGCAAAGCATCGTCATCTAGTTGTGATTGTTCTGTTGAAAGGCTCTCTGTCAACGCCGGCGCCTGCACGGGAGCATTGGCCGGGCCGAAGCTGGCGATGCCACGGACTGAGGCGCCGGGCCAAGATCGGAAACATGAGCATGAGCGGCCGGCAGGGCTCGTCAGCGAGTTGCGCAGGGGCGCGGCCATTGGGTGCTGGGGGCGCTCCTGGGGAGGAGCAGCATGAGGGCCAGGAGACAAGGATTTTGCGTCAAACTTCTCGAAGAAGCAGCTTTTTCTGTTCTAGAGCAAGAAACGAGAAAATTTTCCCAACCAAAGACAAGAAAATCGTATGGCTCCGATCTCCATCGGCATTGAACGGCAGTTCCTCTCAGTGCTCTTCCCATAGGTACATACCTAGTTTCGCCTCCCAGGGCTAGGTAGGTGCGCTACAGTGGGCTGTTCTTGGGGGACCATCCATTGCGGGGCCGTTCCGCTATTCCGGGGCACGATGTTTGGGGTTTGCCGGCTTGGTGTTACGGGAAGGGTAAAACGAGCATGGATGAACAAAGACGAGATGGACTAGAAGATTTTTTTTTTCCTTTTTTTTTTTTTTTTTTTTTTTTTTTTTGAGAATTGTTCGGGGGCTGTTCGTTTGCTGATATGGGTGGACAAAGTCCAGATACCCACAGTGAGGCTCCAGACTTCTGAGAAACGTGGGATACGGGTAGATGCGGGATGTTTTTGATAAGTAGCCTGCCAACCTGATGTTTACTTGAATTTTACTCTTCTTCATTGTCTCTTGTTCAGGATTGGGTAGTGTCATGCCAGTTTGCATTTGGAATAAAAACTGTTTCAGAGTGACCAGTAATCTCATTACCGAAAACATGACAATTGCTGATTCGAATTCAAGTCATGAGCGGCTCTTCAGGTGACGCAGGACTTTTAGAGAGCAGCTGGAAAGGCTCGAATCACATGCGCCTGACCTAAACGTGCACAGGGCTTAATCGCTGCCCGTGGCCAGCTGCAAGCGCTTCGTATTCCTACAAGTATCATCACACCACAGGTCATTATGTGGAGAAGGAGTCCTAGAGAATTTGACGAGAACAACATAATTATACTGAAATGAGAACATTCTTTGTTTTAGTTGAGAATGATGCAGTGGAAGCGCAAAGGTGAAGTCATGAACATGCCTGGAGCCACTTGAGAATGCAGCCTCAGATAAGATAAGGCACTAAACCCGCTGCAGCCACAGCCAAGCACTTCTGTACTTGTACTTGGCAATGATGTAGAAAGTCGAGGGGTCCGGCTGATTCCGATGCCTTGCACCCCGTAACGTGCCCTCAAATGATGGCAGATGCTCTCTTCGCCGGTGCAAAAGTACAGGTACGCATTGCATCCGAGGCACACAATCACTGGTGCTAACGCAAGCCCCCCGTGCCATCACCAATCCAGCGCTAAGAATAAGCCTGGAAATGAGATGAGCCTCTGAGCCTCGCTGCGCTGTGACAGGTGGCCCCTGCACGTGACCAGCGCGCCCACCGCCCATCCCATTGCCCGTCCATCCCCAGCCCAGCCAACGAGCCGTCATCTTTCCCTGACGTACTCGAGACTGCGCTCCTTTGACCTCGAGCCAACCATCCGTTTCGATCGCAACCTGAAGCCTTCACCACTGATTCTCGTCTCGTCTCTCTGTCCTGCTTCTACCAGCATCCCGCTCAGCCCACGCAAACCGCCATCATGAACCCTGAGTGGTACGCGGCCCTTGTTGCCCTTTGACGGCGATATTCTCCTGAAACTTGTCTGTCTTATCCTTGCTAACATGTCCGCCGAACAGAGTACAACGCAGCCCGCATCCCTTGGAAGCCGCATATCCATCCTCCTATCCGTCCTCCTATCCGTCCCCGCGATGGAGTAGCGATGGGACGGCATGACGGCGGCGCCATTTTGTTCTTTGCAAAGGAGAAGCGATCGCTGACCCGACCCTCTTATTTCCAATCTCTAGATACGACTACCTCTTCAAGCTCCTCCTCATCGGTGACTCCGGTGTTGGAAAGTCTTGCTTGCTGCTGCGATTCGCCGACGATACCTACACTGAGTCTTACATTTCCACCATCGGTGTCGACTTCGTACGTTGACCCGTACCCCCACTTTCACGAGCTTATCAATTTCTAACACCCTGAGCAGAAGATCCGAACGATAGAGCTCGATGGCAAGACCGTGAAGCTGCAAATCGTAAGTAACACATGCTATAGTATTCCAAATTATCGACATAGCGGGTGCTGAAACTCTTTGTTTTCTAGTGGGATACTGCCGGCCAGGAGCGTTTCCGAACCATCACTTCATCGTACTACCGCGGTGCCCACGGCATCTGCGTTGTCTACGATGTCACCGACATGGACTCTTTCAACAATGTTAAGCAGTGGCTCCAGGAGATTGATCGGTATGCCACCGAGGGCGTCAACAAGCTGCTCGTAGGCAACAAGAGCGATATGTCGGATAAGAAGGTTGTTGAGTACTCCGTCGCCAAGGTAAGTTAGCGTCTCAGTTGCAGCCTGGAGCCACCGCAGGTCACCTGCAGCGGAAAGCCTTCCGATGCTGCTCTAGGCTGCCGCTCCTCAAACCAGCAAGTGCCATGTGAAAGCCTGAAGCTGACACCCCTCTAGGAATTCGCTGACAGCCTGGGCATCCCTTTCCTCGAGACTTCCGCCAAGAACGCCAGCAACGTTGAGCAGGCTTTCCTGACCATGGCTCGCCAGATCAAGGAGCGCATGGGCACCACGACTGCCAACAACACGAAACCCAGCGTGCACGTTGGCCAGGGCCAGGGTGTCGGCAACTCGTCCAGCAGCAGCTGCTGTTAAACGACTTAACCGCTATGGTTTCGTGTGTTTTCGCTTTGTCGTGGCCGAGTCCGGTGACAGGATGCTTAGAGCAGTGTGATGTCCCTTGGGAACCGACTGATCAATGTTTGTTATGACCTTTTTCCTCCGCTATTCTAGGGTTTTCAGTTTGCCCCATTTCTGCGCATAGATTACATCATGTCTTGTTGGATCTCGCCCCTTCAGACACGCACACACAACGTGGCATCCTCGCTTGCTTTTTAGGACACATAAGGGTCGGATGGGAATGGGAGAGACGGTCATACGAGAGGAAGGACGTGATACACAATTGGGATCAGGGCGCAAAATTCACGAGAAATGAGGATCTTATGGGTGCGCTGAGCTGTACTTTCACGCCTTCCCTTGTCCCCCCATAAATGACTTCCCTTCCATGGAGATTACGATTTGGGAGAATAATGGACGTTTATGGAAATTATGGCCCTTTTTTGCAGCAAGCTTTGGCTTTTTTTTTTGTTGGTATTATTTGCTCGCTATTTTCGTCGCTTTCTGCTTTTTTTCTATGGTGCTAAATTCCGGAAGGCTTTCCGGTGCCTCTTTTTCGTCTTTTCAAACCCAATCTTTCACGAGGATGGGGGTACCATTAATACACAGGGGAATTGCGTATTATTCTAGGTTACCGTTATTGTGCTGCTGCTACGTAATTACCGGTTTTTATTGCCATCTCCATGTCCCTTGGTCGGTGAAAGTGACTGTTTTGAGTATATTATCTGCCTAGGTATACACAAATAGGATACTACTATCAGTTAATGAAAACGAAATAGCATGTAAGACGCCGAAGTAACAATACAAGGGTGTATTTCCCTACGTTGTATCTTCGTATACAGCACCCGGTTCTCGGTAACCGGGCCGCGAGACAAGTAAGCTCAACCCACCACGACAAGGGTCTCGGGGTCTACGAACTCATCAATAGGGGGCAACAAAGTTCTACTGCTTCTATTACTGTTTCTATTATACTCAGTATTACGAAGCAAGGATTGATATACTGAACAACAGGGGCACGGTAAGTTCGGGGAATCAATAGGGAGGACTTGGCCAATCCCTGTCCTGGTATGCCTTCACGGTAAGCATTCCGGATGGCCTGTAGGATATTATCTCGTTGGCAAAATACTTCTACTTATAGAATGGCTGGCTTTCCATGCCATCATTAATAGATTACTTGAATCCAAGTCCCAAATTGCTGTGGTCATTTAGCAACACATGTTCGCACAATATGCACTCATCAATTATTCGTTGTTAATATGCGCAGAGTACAAAGCCAGTCATATACATTTAGTTCCAATTTTGATCAACATTGTCTTTCTATATTATTTTGATAAGCCTAGCGCCATTTCGTTGAGTACATTGCCATCGAATCGAGCAGAGTTGTGTTCTAATTTCCTCTGGCTGCCAACTACTCTACCTTGCAGTACACATATCTATCTCCGTGTTTTCATTTTGTACTCTAGTACAACCCAAGTCGCTGCAAATATCCGTCTATGATAATGACTTTTTAAAAGGAAAAGATGGAAGAAAAACAAGATTAAAAAGTAGAAAATAGGAGAGCAGTGAAAAACCACACGTTAGTATAAGGGAGAAAAAAAAAGGGTAAAGTCATAATTCGTCCGAGCAGCAAAAGCAGTCCAGGACTCAGCCTGACTATGCTTTATAAAAAATCACAACTTGGTGATTCAATTGGAGTGGGAAAAAGAAAAAGAAAGAAACAGCTTCCAAAATAGCAGCACAACGCCTAGAATAAGAGACCCTCCATTACGCCAAGCCGAGAAATTTGAGAGCCTTTCGGGTGTTACCCTGACGCTCTGTCGATTTCATAAACATTGGCATAAGTCTCCGCTCTTCCAAGTCCAATTCACTATCGTCACTGCCATGATCAAAAGTAGTCATTGATGCTGAGTCGCTGCGAAACAGCCGCCGTCGAGAGAAGGGCCCGGTAGGCATGGTATCAGACTTGGGCGTTTTGACGTCCATGAGTGATTGAGGCCGGGAGGACGACGTCAGTGATCCAGGGCTAGAAGATTCAACGGCAGAAATAGGCGACGGTTTGCTGTAAAAAGAGCCTGAAGAATGAGGGTATTTGGTAAAGGAAGCGTCCAGTGGTGCTGGCCTCGGCCTCTTGCCAACTGGTCTCTTCTCTTGTGATGAAGGCTCGGAGTCCTCAGTCTCAGGTTGAATATTCCAGACAGTAGACACGAATTTTGCAATATCCTTGGCGGTAGCCGTGGATGTCAGCAAGAAATTCGCGTTCGAGACTGTGAACTCTGAGTTTGACGATCGCGGAGATAGTTTAGGTGATTTGGCTTCCGTTTTGGTTCCAGCGCTGGGGCCTCCAATCTGAGTAAAAGGCAAACGGCCTTTGTTGGTAGAATCGACTATTTGCGCCACCTTGATCAGATCCACGCCTACTAACTTTTGCAGAGCCAGTACCGTGGGCAGGTGTTCTGGAGGATATTCTAACAAAAGATAGCGAATTTCAGAGTGGAGTGCCAAATACGTTTCAAGATGGGGAATTAAAAGTGTCGCCAAAAGATACGAATTGGTAAAGGGATTATCCGAAGTCTGGTTCGTCAAGGGCAGGGCAGTGAATGCTTGCATCGCATTGGCAAGCAAATATCTACCAAACATTTAGTCTGCCGTATAACGTAAATGAGTTCTTGAGCATAGAAAACTTACCGGAAATCTACCCGGCCGCTGCGGCCCTGGCGATCGCTGGATCTGGTCCCGATTGTCTCCAACTGCTTGATAATTTTTGACGAATACACCTTGTCCACACCTTGTTGAGACCCTATTGCAAGGATGTGGTCAACTCTTCGGTTAGTTTCTCTTGGGGAGCCTTTCGACTCGGATTCTCTAAATACAGGTTTCCAGAGTCCATCGAACTCTGGAAGGAGTGAGAATTGGAATTGTCGATAGCCCTCGGCTTCAGGAGGAAAGTATGTGCTAAGAATTGACCGCAGCGAGTTCTGGATGGCGACAGCAGTTTGGCCAGAAACAACTTCGAATTCGTAAATTTCATTCTCCTTTGCTTTGCAGGGTGGTGGTGTTTGTGCCGGCGTTGGAGGCCGAATGACGTTGACAATTGGGCCGACCTGTTCTCTCCCAAGCGGCTGGTGAGGCTGTGTATCGGCAAAAGGATCATGGTCATCATCCGTCATACTCAGCACAGAGGTTTCGTGAGACCTATTGATCATGGAGCTGTCAATGGCAGTCGGCTGGTAGAGAGAGGCTGTCGATGTAGGGATGGCATTAGAGAAGGTAAGAGTAGAACTTGACAGTATAGGGTAATTGCCAGCTTTGAAAGCTTTGATTGTTAGAGAAAGCAACACATTGGGCGTCTCGTCTTTGAAATAGACTAGCAGATCTTCCACCCATGGTAGTATTGGCTGGAATGGCATCTCAGCCGAAGTAGCAACGTCAGTTCCAAGATGGGTGTGAAACAGCCCTGCATTGCTTTGCCTTGCGTTCAGCTTCTTATCAACAGGGAGATCGATAGTAGCCGTTGGCCGACGGCCTTTGGATGCTACCGATCTTCGGTCGATGTAACTTAGTTTCCGAATAACTGTAGGCTTAGGGTCGCTAGCAACCATGAAAGAGTGTGAGCGGCGAGGAGCAGACAAGTCTGTACTCATTTCTGAAGACGTCTCCGGAATACAGAGATCTCTCAACTTTGCACTAAGCGGGTAGATTCTATCTAACGACTTCACTCTTGGAAGTGAACCCTTGAAGCTCGAGACCGATTTACTTCTATTGGGTTTGATGGGCTCTCCGTAGGCGGCGTGATCGTCTGTGCGAATATTGAAAGTCTCGGTTGTTGGGGAAAGCATCTCGGTGTTGTGACTTACTCCCAAGGTCGACCGAGTTTGTGATTTGACAGCGGTGCTTGGTGAAGCTGAAGGCAGTTCTGCAGGGCCGAGCAAGATTTGTTTCGATGGTTGGTTATAATCAACCAATGCAAAGGTTGGAGCTCCAGGAGCCAGAGGGGGATCGTCCTCTATGACTTCATCGTCTTCAATGTGCGCGCCGAAGAGAAAAAACGGAGTTGCGTCGCCAAAGCCATCCGAATAGCCATATAGCGGCAAGCTCAAGCTTCGTGGTCGAGTAGACGAAGCGAGATCGAGCATATCACCGGGCTGCAGATTGGCAGTCTGACGATCCAAAGCATCGGCAGCTCTCATGGCCCGTGTTATGGGATCGTGGAGCTCTTCATCGAACATGGTTTCGTCACCGACAGAGCCCACGCGGCTGTCAATTCGGCTCTTAGCCTCAAGCCCAGCCAATCCATCTCTCGCTAATTGGGCGTAGACGGCTTCCGCTTCAACTCTATCTCCACCAGTCTCGTGCTTCATAATCGCTTTGATACACAATGCCTGAGCGCTCGGTGTCCCGCCGTTGAGGAATGCCAGTCGCTTGTTCACTGGAGTCGCCTCTTGAAGAAAGCAGCGTGCCGCTTCATGGCGCTTGGCGAGGGCATCATGGACACTTCGAATATACGACCGCACTTCAAAGGCCCGCTCAGAATCATCATTGGCAATGTAGGACTGGACGGAAGGAAGAATGAGGATCTGAGGTGAGGTTGGCAGCAGTCGGAGCTGAGTCGATACGACGTCGGGGTGGCCTTCAAAGGCAACGATGTTGCCGCTTGCCTCCATCTTGGTCTCTGCCATTGCGGTCAGAATCCTTCAGCCGGCGTCCAGATGAAGGTGAAGGTGGTTTGAATCAGGTCCGGAGGCGCCCAGAAGTATGAGCGGAGCTAGCCAAGGGGCGTCGGTGAGAAGGCCTCAGCTGATTGACTGCGCAAAGGGCCCAGGGCCACGGCGGAGGCAGTGATGGAGAAGGAACCGTGCAAGAGTGGCGGTGGGCGAGTGACTCGCTTCTGCCTCTACCTCTGTTGACCCTTTAGAAGCTCGACAAAACCATGCCCGCGATGACGCAGCGAGGGTGTCTGATTCGCTGGAGAGAGCCAACCTGCGAGGATCCGACAAGCTACTGGGAGCTATAGCTGCGTTTTTCTATCGGCGGAACAGGTTCTAGAATGTGACAGATGACGGTTCGAGACGTCAACAGGGATAGGAAAAAGAAAGGGTTGACTTGCAGGGCCTGGATGACCAGCAGCAAGGGAGTGGGCAGGACCAGAACTACCGAGTACGATGGGGAGAAGATGGGGAGCAGAGAAGGATGATGGAAGGAGATGAGAAGGAGAGGCGAGGCGAAGCGAGAGGCGAGGGGATGGCCATGTAGATATGAAGATGGGAGGCCAGTGAAGTCGAGCAGGCAAAGCGCCGGCACATGCGCGTAAGACTCGAGCTGCGGCGCTTTTACTTGCAACGGCCTGGCAGACGAGAAGCTTCATCCAGCAGCACAGCAGGTGCTGTGTGTGCATGACACCCGGTACCTGCTGTACGTGCTCTCTGTAGCGCGCCGTACCTGCCTTAGTACCGGGTACGGGGATGCGCACAGGTGGATACGCCGCATCCGCGTACGGGCTACATGCGAGGGCGCCGCGCAGTACTCGTCGTACAGACGTGCTGTACAAGTCGTACCAGCAGGCGCAGGTGTAGGTGTAGGTGCAGCAGCGGCGCTTGGAGCAGGCCGGGAGTTGATCACTGCCCCGCCCAGGAAACAGGGCAGCAGCCACAAATTAGTGCACAAGTAACAGCTTCATCTGCCAGGTCCAAGTGTCTGCTGGTACCACAAGCGTGGAATACAGCCGCTGGGAGCTCGGTTGGTGCCCGCAGCCAGACCTTGTCACTCTCATCACAAAAAGCGCCCGAGCAACGGCGCCGGCGACGTGAGCCCTGGGCTTCGCGGAGAGCCAACCGGAACGCAGCTCCTGCTAGGTGGATTCGAGCTCGCCTCTGTGCTCAGTCTCTTCTGTCTCTTCGTTGCGACTGCGTGCTGCTGCCGTGTACAGTATTAGGGGGGCAGTCATGGTTACGCAGCAATATTACGGGTTGCCAGTTTTGGTGTTAACTCGAGCTCGCACAGCAGAGCAACACGGCTACGAGATGCCTCGCGCGGTGCCACGAAGCCTCGACCAACTCAACGGCATCGAGAAAAGGGGGCGTGGGGGACCAGCGGCTGTTTTGATGCGGGCGGGCTGTCTGCAGCAAGTTGAAGCCTCAGCGTGGTGACGTCGAGCTGCTCCAGACATTGGCCTTTGGTGTTCTTGCTTGGCAGACCAAGATGCCAATCTCGAGTGAGAAGAAGAAGCAGCATCGCCGAGACATTCGAGAGCCTCTCCAAATCTGACACGGAGCTCTCCTTTGATCTTAGTGGAGGACGACGCAAGAGACTTGCCTCCTTCAGGCTTGGGACGGGAGACGCGAGAAGTGGCTGACAGGGGCAATGCAAGATGGGAATTGGCCAATTGCACACGAACCCCTGTTGCCAACGAACGAACCAGGGTGCCAACAGCAGCCAAAAACTTCCACGTCTGGCTAGATTCAGGCATGTCCTACGGCGAATGTAGAGCCTGCCGCCAGTTCATCCTGATCCTGCTACACGATGCTACTGCTAATACCACATGCTCTTCGTAGATAGTGCGACCGCTTTATCGCCATGGAAGGGCTCATCTCCGAGCTCTCACGAAGCGACCACTAGCATCCAAGCGTCTTGTTGAAGCAACACCTCCTCCTTCAGCCAGCTCACCCACACGCCATTGAAGCCGGGGTCCCCACACAACGGAGCGGCAACCAAAGACATTCTCGCCCGCGGCCATTGGAGAGGTGCTCCAGAATGCCGCCGGTGGGGACGGCCGACGCTGATTCTATAGCATACGAGATGCGCATGTCTAAGACTTATTCGTCAAGAAACGGCTCTGCTACTGCGGCATGCAGGGCGGTGTCAGACACAACAGAGGATGGCTACCAAGGCCACAGACCCCTGCACCGGCCTTCTTCATGCTCTCTGTACTACTTGTGCTAGGTATAAATGAGAGACATCAATGCTGCTGTGCATGCTCGTCGTTTTCTAGTGCGCTACTCGTCCTACCACCACCCGGGCGCCGGGATGAGCTGATGGGGAACACAGCTGACCTCGACTTGGCAACCATCGCCCGCTATCTCGTTGCTGTCACAGCTCCACCAGCTTTCATTGGCCAGGCCTTGAGGATATGTCTTTACAACAGGTTCTAGTCGCACAATTCCCGGCGCTTCAATTCCTGTATATTCCAGCGCCTGCGGTCCTCAGACAGTTACCTGAACCAGAGAGTGTGACACCAATCACAGCCTTGCGTGTGACCACTCATTACTCGCTGGCGCGAGCGTGTACGTGTACAGGCACACTTCGAATGCGACGGCTGCTCATTCAGAAACTGCAGTTCATGCACATATGAAGCGGTCAAACCTTTGCCATATGAAGCAGTGTGACCGTTCATCCTGGGCTCTTTATTTGTCCAACAGTCCGGTGTCCATTGGTGTACCCAACAGCTGTCAATGCCGTCGGATACGACTTTCAAGGAGAGTCCACTTGACACGTTAACGACACAAATCTTGTTCTCGCAATCTGTCTTGGACACCATGTCTCGTGGTTACACAGAATCCACAACGCAGCGCCAGATAGTGAGAGCCCTCTTTCCGCAGCGTGGCTTAGTTCACCGGGTAATGAAGTCTAAGTACCTTTATGAATCCCACGAAGAGACAGTATCAGCCTAATATGAGGAAGCGAGATAAGGGACATCGTATGCGTTCTTCGCCACGCAGTTACGCGTTCAGTGTTCGACCTGAAGAGCAGACTGTGCTCAGTATGTCTTGTATCGATTCTCTGATTTGACCGCCGCCCACCTGTGGCTTCAAGCGCAGTTGATGCCAAGTGATGTTAACACAGGTATTTCTGTCCTGACAATTGTCGATTGAACATTTTCTCGCTGCATTTCACCTTCTAATTGACAGCTTTATCCTAAACACAGCGTTCTCGAATGTTTCTCTAAGATGAACTTCAGCTCTGCAACCACACAATCCTAGCAGTACCACCGGACTGCAGTGGACGGCTTGTTTCAACTTGCGAGTGCTCTCGTAAAAGCTAAACAACGTGACTCAGTGCACCTATAAACAAGCTATTGGAGAAACAGCCAGGCCAATACCAGCTGCCAGCAGGTCTCCGTAAACCCACACGCGCACGGTATTCCAATATCTAGCAAACCGCCAACGTGCTACCCACCAGTATTTCATTAACCAAATACTGCATAGGTAGGACGTTCGAACAACTTCTTCTTCCTATTTACTGGCAGTGGAATGCTGTATGAACGACGCTCAGATCAGCTTCTGGCTCCTATGCTTGCAAGGGGATATACAGCCAAGAGCACACTACTCATATGCTACTTCAGCTTGGGTTGAATACTAACCTAGACAAATTTCGGGTACTAAATACTGGAAACAAGCTTAGTCGACATGTTTCTGCGCTGTTGTCTTACTGCAATAACCGTCTCTTCTACCTTCAGCAGCTGATGGGCTTGAGTCGGCAAATACCTACACACGCAAACCTCAGGAGAAGACTCGGTGGCTTGTGTCGAAACTGAACTAATAAGTTGACTCCACCACGATTGTGACATTTAAATCGTTCAATCATTTGTAGCGAGAGCTTCATGTTGATGTCACGACGCTGAGCCTCTACTCGTGAAGCCATATAGGCAAAACTTCCCTACTGGCGTCCAACGAATACGCCAAACTTTGCCACCCATCTCCCGTCGTCCACGCAGAAGGATTTGAAGTCGATCAGAAATCTCATTCTTCACACTTACTTTAGTTGGACGATATACTCCATACTCCTCCACAACACTAGCAGCTCCAGCATATGGAGTCGGCGCTTGGGTGCCTCTTTCGCCGAGCATGCGCTGGAAATACTAGCCCATTAAAGCAAATCCACAATCCTAGACCCAAGAGCTCAGGTCTCCGATACCGTCCGGCGTGGAAGAAAACCCCGACACTGTTAAACGCTGGTGATTTCCAAATAAGGCCTGTGCCCTGCACATCAATCTCAGCAGCTTTCCGGGAGATTTGCCTCGAGGTGGGGTATCCTCTTCACACAACTCGCCTCGAGGTCTAATTATCATGCTCGCTTGAACAAATCCCTCTCACTATTGCAAAAGTGCTTGGAAATAAGACGAGACAGATAATTACTGGACTAATGCGCAGTTTTCTAGCTGTTTCAGGATAGATGGAGAAGTTCTTCAGTAGCCACTCTGTGTCTATTCAAGCTGCAGCTACTATGGCTAGCATCGAGTAGCTGTGTCTCCGTGACGATTTCTCCACTCGAGGGGTGCACAGATCCTAGCGGTAGCGGCTGATAACCCATTCTCTTGTTGCTGGCACTTGTCTTCCAGGTTTTTTTCATTCCAGAGCTTGCAGGTGAAGCTTCTTTGCCCCGATCGGCAGCTAATCGGCCAACGGCAGATGACCCGGGCCACCTTGGAGATGCCCAGGACCCCATCGCTCCACAAATACAGGGGTTCTCGCAAGAAAGCCGAACTGACGGGCTCTGGGCTTTGCAGCAAAATTCTCTAGCCCATGGGAGAAGAATGGAGGCGGTGCTGTGGACCAGGAGGAACGGCTCGAAGAAGTAAGCGAGTGACTATTCGTACCGTCGTCGAGCAGTATTACGTACAAGCGTATGATGGTTTTTTATTTTTTATTTTTTATTTTTCTTTCTCATTGTGGGTCAAGTGGTGAGCAAACGGTGGCAGATGCGTCTATACATGCATCTCATGACATTCAAAACTTGTACAATACAATACTAACGCTTGCATAGCAAACATATGACTTCAAATGATGAATGACCTGGCCCGGCCTAACTAATAACTTACCTATATATGGGTACCTGAGCTGGAGACGGCTCGCCATTACTTAGGCACGCATTCATAACACTAAGATGATGGTAATGGAGACTTACCGGAGATTCAGAGCCAACTACTGCTAGACTGGCGTCTCTTGGGAGAAGCTCTATACCAGGGTGGTAGATTGATGTACTCCATACCGATCACATTGAGAATTGATTCAATCGTAGATCAGCGAGACCGGGTCATCACCGGAAGCAGCAGGTCATGGTCTACAAGGTAGTAATCGCTTACCGCAGTCTGTTACAGCTTCAGGTCGCTCTCAGCTCCGGTCCTCGCTTAATATCGCCTCAATGCGCTGCCTAAACAACAACGCTTTCATTGCTCCATTTTCAATTTTGCTATAATTGGGCTCATATACTCTTTCTTCTTCCCCCTTTTTTACTCGCAACTCTTTGGCACTAATAGCAACACGCCGTATACATGTAACTAGAGAAGAAGAAGTACTTGTAGCTACATCTCATCACACTGTTGGTCCAGGTGCACATACCAGTCACACTCACACATTTTGTATCTCCCATGTTAGCCCCGTATTAAATCAACAAATAATGAAGTACAGAGCAACATTTTGTATTAATTTTTTTCTCTCCTGATTATACGACTAACAAAATATAACCAAAGAAAGAAAAGAAGAGAAAAGGGGTGGCGAGATCAGTCACAGTCGAGGCTCCGCAGCAAGTTCGCAGGCAGGAAAATAAATCTGTGCTCGCTTTGCAGCCTTTCTACGACTTTCGACCAAGGAGGGGGAGGAAAAAAGTCGGTGAAAGCAGTTTACCGAAGATGGTTTCAGGTTTCAATACCGTGCAATATATTCGGTTGTGGCGGATTCCGACTTATAGCTAGCCGGAACTCCAGACGGTGGAAAAGGCAGGTAGCCGTTACGAAGAAGTTCAGTGTTTGACGCCCCTGAATCAGCTATACGCCCCCCTCGGCAGTAAGTACCCGATGGATGAATAGCGGTCAAGAAATAGTAATTTGTTGGATGATGGGCTTTTCTTTTTTCTTTTTAATCAAATGTCTATATTTGTTGGCTGACAGAGTGAGAGTGCTCAATCAGTCGTCCATCAGCTCAGCAAGCTCGGCTTCCTCCTCGGCCGTCAACATGTTATCTCCCTCCGGCTTATCCTCTTCTTCTACCGGCTGCTTGGACTCTTCAATCTTCTTGACTACCTCGTCCAGATCGGTCTTCTTCAAAGGCCATGTACGGATAGTCCCGTCAATGCTGACGCTGCAGACCTTTTCAGGCAACCCCCGCGAGTCTCGCAGCAAGATGAGATCCGTCACCTCTTCGTAGTGCCCTTCCAGCGTGCAGTATAGCTTGCCCGATGATTTATCCCAAACCTTGACATTCTCGTCACGGCCAGCGGTGATTACCCAGTGTTCCGTTGGAATCACAGCGCGGACGTAATCTCCGTGTGTAAAGGTATCCTCGGCAATGAAATTCCGCGACCTGACGAGACATTTCGCAGTACCGTCTGCACTGGCCGTCCACAGATCGCCTTCGTCGCCTTCAAGATCGTAAACCAGCTTGTAAACACTTGTGTCATGTTCCGCAAGGGTGAGCCTCTCAGCATCAGGACTGTCGTGGAATGCCTCGGCCAGTTGCTCAACTCCATCCACTGTAATTTTCCACCTGCGGATGTGAGGGTCGCTGCTCGCACTTGCAATCACCGCCGCATCAGGGGTGCTCAATACGGGATCAATGGCAATGTGCTGCACCGCAAGCATGGTCGTTGTCGGATCTTGGAGGGTGTGCAGGCGCTTGCCGGTTTCAATGTCCCAGACTAAGATCTTCTTGTCTGCGCCACCGCTGATGAGAATCTCCTTGCCGGCTATCCTGGTGCACACAACGGCCTTGAGGAAGTCTGAATGACCGCTAAACTTGCGGCCAGGCTGACCCGTCTCGACGTCCCAAGACCAAATGTCTTTATCCCACGAGCCGGCAAACACAGTCTTGTTCCCGCTGCCTCCAACGGCGACACATGTCACAGGGGCTTTGGGCCCACGGTATGTAGCTTTTGTTGCACCAGACTACAGGCGATGGTGAGCATCATGTCTAAGCAGAGGGCAACAATTAGGAACGAAACTCACTGTAAGATCTATTCTGCGAGCGAATCCTGCTGATTCCGCGATGAAGATGGCCGTTGACGGAGAAAAGGGGTCAGGGACGGCTGCCAAAATCTTGGACTTCATGACGATTGGGTCTCCATTTTTGTTGCTGGCTTTGAGAGCTTTGCGCTCCCTCTCAGCATTGGAAGCACTATAATGATGATTAGAATATGAGTTTTATAAGACATTTTCATCAAGTCACTTCGCACTTACTCAGTCTGAAAGAAGGCGTCACGATTTGAGGTCTCCATGGCGGTGGGATGTGCTGCTCGGGTCTGAATGAGATTGGATGTCTTATCTGGGCGGGAGGAAATTGAGGACAGGAAATCCGATGCAATTTATACGTCGTTGAATTGCAGATCTTCAAATCCAGGCTGCCGTATAATTAAAAATAAATCGCGAGCACCAATTCCTTCGCAGAGCTTATGTGATATCAAGATCAGAGGCAAAAAAAGGGGATGAGATCAATAATACGGTGCCTGCCAGGCTCCCGCCAAACGTAGATTTCGAGCGCCAATGGCGGGGCTCAATTGCTACTGACAGCCAGAGCTGCTAAAATTCAACCGCGGGGCCGCGACACCGCCTACCACGACTTTAATTGATACGCGCTTAGACGCGTCTCCCACGACAGCAGCGCCAGCGCCAGCTCCAGCTTCAGTCTCCAGCCCGCCACGAAATCCCAGCAGCTTCACCTGCACGCTCCAATCCGACGAGCACAGGCAACAATCATGGACTCGACCGTTGCGCCCCGTCCCCGACCGAGGCCTGCGCACACCCAGGGCACGACGCGATGCGCCTACACCAAGGACGGCAGCCGGCTGGTCACCGTGGGGTCCAACAACACCATCCGCCTATACAAGACGGGTTCGGACGGCGAGCCCATCAACATTGACGACTGCCAGGAGCAGAATGTTGCGGTGGCTGCCTCTCAGGATTTCTTCGTTGCCGGCTCTGAGGACGGCACCGTCAGCCTCTACTCCCTGGCAACGTCCAACTTCGAGCGCTTCCTCGTCCGAACCTCGCTGCCTGTCCGAGATGTGGCGCTTTCTGGCGACTCGCAGTGGTGCGCCGTGGCCAGCGACGAATTGACAGTCAAGGTTGTGAATACGCAAGACATCAAGCAGCTGCGATATCTCAACGAGCATACCCGAGCTGCTCGACACATCAGCTTGGATCCCAATGGCCGCATTGCGACCTTGTCTTGCGTCGACGGCATCATATACGTCTATTCTTTGACTGCGGATCAGCCCGAGCTGATACACAAGGTGGATGGAGTCATTGGCTCTGGCGACGCAGAGTCTGAGGCGTCGGTCAAGGCTGTTTGGCATCCAGATGGCAGGGCGTTTGCCGTGCCGACACCTACGCGAGACATTCAGGTTATATCGAAGAACGACTGGGAGAAGCAGCGCACCTTTACCAACGGACACTCGGCCGACATCACTGCCCTCGCTTGGTCACCAAACGGCGTCATGCTCGCATCGGCCTGCAAAGGTGGAAAGATCTTGATCTGGGAGACCAGCACCCAAAATGTGATTCAGCGATACGACTTTTCCAATGTCATTGATCTAGCGTGGCACCCGACCAAGAATATCCTGTCTTTTACGACTTCAGAAGGAGAGGTCTACATATACCCCGACTTTCTCTCTGATCAATACTCCCCTATGCTGAAGCTTCCCGTGCAACCAGCTCCCTTCATCCACGATCCGCTTTTAGATATATCCGCCAATAGAAGAGCTCCCGCGGCCAATGGCCAGAGACGCGACATTCCCACACGCCTTCGACGAGATTCTTTGGGCAGTCTTGACTCATACCTGGATGATGAAAATTATGCGGACGGTGATGATGACGGGTTTGTCGTTGACGATGATGGTGCTGGGTATACAATTGGCCAAAAGAGAGGTCGCGTCGGCGACGATGTTGGTGATTACACCAGTAAGAGGATGCATCTCGCAGCAGAACCTCAGTACCACGAGGCCTTCCAGCCTGGATCGACTCCGTGGAGAGGCAATCGAAAGTATCTCTGTCTAAATCTCATTGGATTTGTCTGGACAGTAGATCAAGATGGGCACCACACCGTTACCGTTGAATTCTACGACCACGAATTTCAGAGAGATTTTCACTTCACAGACACCTTCCTGTACGACAAGGCATGCCTCAATGAGCATGGAACTCTGTTTTCATGCCCCCCTAAAGATGAGCAGCCGGCGACCATTTTCTATCGCCCTCATGAAACTTGGACACAGAGATCAGACTGGCGGACCCAGCTTCCCAAGGGAGAGGCTGTTATTGCCATGTCACTGAGCGATTCTTTCGTTACTGTCGTAACGAGTGCCAACTACGTGCGCATTTTTACCTTGTTTGGCATGCCTTACCGAGTCTATCGTCCCAAGAGCACGCCCATGGTTACATGCGCAAGCTGGAGAGACTATGTGCTCACCATTGGTAACGGCCCCGTCGCCGCTGACGGAAACACGCGCCTCCTGTACACGATTGAGAATGTCAAGAGAGACGAGATTTGCCAGAATGAAGATACCGTGGCACTCCCTGAAGGCGCAACATTAAAGAGCGCCTTCTTTTCTGACAATGGCGTAAGTCATGACCGATAATGAACATCTGTTGCTTGTTTAGGTACTAACATTTAGCTTTTAGGACCCTTGCATCTACGACTCGACAGGCACACTGTTAACTCTGCTACATTGGCGTCAGCCATCACGGGCCTCTTGGGTGCCTCTATTAGATACGAAGCTTCTGTCTCGTCTGGCGTCTGGGCGGAAGCACGAAACGTATTTCCCAATCGCCGTGGCAGAAGATAAATTTCACTGCATTATCCTCAAGGGCGGTGACGAATACCCATACTTCCCGCGGCCTCTGCTCTCAGAGTTTGACTTTTCTATTCCACTGCATTCACCGCAAGTGCCCAAGAAAAAGAAGACGCGGGATGACGGAGAAGATGAAGCAATGGGCGATGACGACGATGAAGAGCAAGAGGAGGGAGGTACTGAGACGAGAAAATTAGAGCAGCAGTTTATGCTCAAGGGTGTCCAAACGGCTCAGCTCCGCGACTTAATCGACGCCACCTCTAGCAGCCATACTCAGCGCTCACTATTATCACGAATGGAGCTAGAAATCGACAAGACGCTTTTGCAGCTCCTGGCGGTGGAGTGTCGCGAGGGCGAAGACAGGGGCATGCGCGCGCTTGAAATGGTCCAGCTGATGCGGGATCGCACCGGCCAGATGATGGAGGCGGCGTTCAAGATTGCTGATCGGTATGGGCGGACGATTCTGGGAGAGAAGATTCGGGAGATTGGCGAGAATCGGGCTAGTGGGATGATGGGGGATGATGATTTCTGAGGGCTGACGTGGTGATGGGATGATTTACGGCGCGGCGTGTATATTGGTTTGGGGCATTATGGGGAAAAGTATGGTATAATATAGGTTGGCAAGTCTTCAAGCAGTATACTTGGAGACAGAATGATGGTATTTTGGCTTATCCATGGATTTCGTACATGAGCTTGGCAAATAATCTCTCGATCATTTTAGATGAGGCTTGGGAGGTCTCTGCTTCTCTCCGTTCACTTCCTGACTCAGCGAAGAAGATGTGTTTATTCACATATTCAACTTTATCGAACATCTGTTTGGAAAGTAAAGCCTAAGAAGCTTTTCTTCATGGCAATCAATGGTCCGAACGGCTTTGGATGCCGAGAAAGCTCGCGACAAGACGATCCGTGAAGCTCCATCTCAATCCTTGATGTTTCATCTCAAGTAGATGCAAATTTCTTCAGGGGTTCATTCGTCAAGCATGTGAAGAATGCTACGTGGGACAGTCTACCCGGCAAAGAGCCATGAATCATCTTTTAGCACTTTGAAAATATCTAGAGAACTTGATGAAAAAGCTCTCATACGGACATGACTTCCTAACTGAACCTCAAAGCATGCATTACTCTAGCCCGAGTCCAGTAACTAATACGCTTGGGACTTTTGGCACGAGTGGTAAAAATGCCCCAAGTTTTTTTTTTCCGTGGGGAGGTTCTAGAGACAGGGGGTATTTTGTTTTTCCATTTTCATTCTCCCGAATGGGCTTCGGGAGAAGAAAAGAAAGAAGCAGGAGAGAAAGGAAAAAGGCCCGAGAAGCAAGGAACTAGGAAGAAATCCACACATTTCTGTAGTAAATGCTTTTTTTTTTACTTTTTTTTTTCTTCCATGGCAAGGATGAAACGTGGTTTTACTTCCAGCATCGGTCCAAAAGCAGCCAACATCGGCCGTCCCGATGCATGACAGCTAGCTGCAGGTAGGCATGTAATATTTCCGTCACAGTTGTCTATCGGGTAAACGGTTTGACGACACGAACAAGGTCCCTTTTTTTCTTCTTGCATTGTGCGTCCGAAGCTAGAACCAGGCAGCCGTGAATGAATGTCTTCTTCTAGGAGAGGACTGCATGGAGTTCTTTGATCCGTGGTTTTTGTGGGTTGGTTTGCCCGAGGGGTATTGTCAGGGTGGATGACGGTTTCTAGATGAGCAAAAAAAGCTGGCAATGAAGACGATTCCAAATCGATTTTTTGGGGGATTTTAATCATCAGACGGTTTGATAGTGTCATCGTCGTCACTGCAAAGGTGGTAGAGCTACGGAGAAATAACTGTAGATGGGCAGATCTGCCAACTGCTTATTTACTAGCTCCCGGCCGTGTTGTCTGCTCCGTACATGTACTCGGTATTGCATGGCTCTCTCGGCTGTCGCCATAATGAGAATAATAGCGAGGCATCCTGTGCAAAGGATGCCGACGGACATGACTGCTGCAACGAGGCTCATCGCCGCATTCTCACCCCAAGGCTCGGAGCCGCGGCCTCTAAAGGATGGTGGAATCAGACATCCTCCGCCATATGTATGAAGGTAGCAGCGGAGTACAGGATTTGACAGTCTCCATGTCGAACTCGTCTTTCGCGCACCCCGAGCAGGACCCATGTCGAGATGCATCGGTTCCTTTCCGACCAGTATTGCCAATGTCGTATTAGTGCTGCTGCCACAGGCCAGATGCTACATGCCACCTCCGGCGATGCCCTGGCAGAGAGACTTGTCAATGACACTTGTTCTGCAGGACTGCAGGATATCCTTTCCTACTCAGGTCCAACCGTCTCGGCTGCATCCGACGGGATCGCTCGAAAGAAGGCAGTAGTTCTGTTAGCTTCCCATGGAAAGAGGTGCAAAGCTCTAGGCAGCCGTTGGAGGGCAGCATCTTATTGCCCAAGCCTAGTTGGAAAAGAGAAACGGAAAAAGAAAAAGAGACTGATCATATGTTGATGTGCCGCGTCGATCTGACAGGCAATATTTAATATAATTTGCCCATATCCCGAGATCAGCATCTCTTAGCGTGTCAGCATCCTGGCATCTGGAACCAAAATGGCTACTCCTTCCAGCACCATTACGGGAGTTGTAAAGAAGCAAAGAATGCAACAGGTCGTCTAAACTATTATTGGCTGGTTCCTCTATGCTCCTGCCTTGCACGACACCGAAAACATGAGCTTCACGCTGTTGGTGCCGAGATGGGGAGATTAGAAACTCGGAAAAGGGGGCATCATACCTGTGGTTGACTGGCGAGATTTTTGTGACCTCATTCCCCCTTTGCTCACCGGTGAGCCCTTGGCCTGCAAGCTGTGTCGTACGTACATATGCACGGACGGACGGGACATGCAGCCAGTAAATTACTCGTAACCCGCATCGGCCTGTGCCTGTGCGACGGACGATAACTCGGGCTTATTGGCGCTTTACCGATGGCTTTACCGACTCGATAGCGAGGTTGAGCCGTATTGCTCCTGTATTATTGCTTCATTGCCGAGAAGAGAGTGCGGATAATTCCGTCTGTTGTGCCCCCGACGCCATTCATTGTTTGCTACGGTACAATCAAATGGGCAATGGCTACAATTGGCACATGGAGAACTTGATATATACACATAATGTATATACAGAGGATACTCCATATCTACCACAGTGTTACAGCGGCAGATAGCAAGGGACGTCTCGGCGATCATGGAACAATTTAACAAGCTCTACCTGAGCTAATCCCAGTCGTGTCACCATTTGCATTGTTGTGGTGGCGCTAGCATTATCTACGTAGGCACTGCGACTGACTAGAAGTTGGCTGACTACCTAGTCATTCACAACCTTTTTCTCCTCTTTCTTCTCTTTTTCCAATGGAACAACTGTCTATTATTAGACTAGACGAGAGGGAAAAAAAGGACGACCGGAAGGCGCTTCTTACTCCTCTTGAGATTTGACGCCGCCGACGTAAGACTGGCACTGAGAGGAGAGCTGCTAGTAGATAAGGAATGCATGTGAAAGCGCCCGGGGAATTAAGACGGCCAACCTTGGTAGAGGTACTCGTGCTGCTAGCTCGCTACCTCTTCACTCGTTGGAACAAGATGTAGACTGAGCGCATAACGAGAAATGACTTGTTTCTTTCTTGCCTTTGCGGTTTCTTTTCCTCCTCCTTATTATTAGATTAGCCCAGGCTCAGCATTTTCGATTGGGCTGTACTGTCCCATGTTCTGCGGCCGTGCTAGTCGAAATCGAGCATCACCGTATCGCCGGGAGGTGGCTTGCAACAAGGGCCTCAATAGTCGATGCCTGTCAGCAAGCCACCCAGTCCAGCTTGTCAGTCGCGGCGTGGTGGGGGAGCTCGTTCGTCTCAGCTCCCCGAGTAAGATCGGAATATGCTCGCTCAAGAAAAACCTGAATTGGCCAACTTAGTAATAGTGCTACGTTGTATTAGGCAGTTTGTCTCAAGTGCCTTGGTAGAGACGGCGTGCCAAGGAGGTAGCAGCATCAGTTGATGGGACGTACCCAGAACCCGGTGTGACCCAGGGTAGTAGGCGCCCGGCAGGTATAGCTACCTACTCGAGGTCTGGCTTCGGTGCCTGGACAAGGAAAAGAGGGACAAGATCCAACGAGTCTGGTAGCATTTCATGTATCAAAAGCGTTGTAAAACAGAGCGAAAAGGCATGCCGTCAATGCAAGCCCTCTCCTTGTCCCGGACAAGCACCCTGACGGGGAGCATCGGTCGCATTAACTGATCCCTGGCCGTCTGCTACGGTAGTAGAATCTGGAGCACCCTGGCGACGGTCAAGCAACATCCCTGGTGATTAATGATGGGGAACCTCGTCTGTCATTTGAAGCTGCATCCGATCAACAGTTGAATGAGTGTTTTTTTTATTTCTTCTTCTTCTTAATTTCGAGTACTATTGCTCCTTTTGTTCCTGCTCTCGCTTGGGACGGCGCGGCTGCTTCTCCTGCAGACAGGTCTACCTGATCCATTTATTCTGTCTTCGTACAGGACCCCGTTTTATTACGTACAAGGCGGCTCCATATTAGTCGTTGACTGGAGTCTGGAATTCTTTCCAACGGCTTGTGAAAGCTCTGCTCCCTACTGCTCGTACCTACTCCCGCCAACACAGCAACACAGAAACTGTCGTCAGCTGGCATCATGTAAGTAAACATGTCTAGTAGGGATGCAAGCTACAGGGCAGGCAAAACCTTGCAGCTTTGATATCGTACCGTCAGCCACATCAAACACCGATACGCGTACCTATGTCGTAGTAATACCCCCCAATCCTCTGTGATACTGCCAGATAATTGCAAAGAGCACATTGGTGAAGCCTTCCATTGAGAGGAGCTTCTGGCAAGTACAGTACCGATAACTGTAGAGGTACTCTGGAGCTCTACCCAGCGCAAAGTAGGCCCCCAAGGCCAAGGGCCCGGTATTGCTACAGTAGGACCTGCAACTGCTTCCCATATCCATGCTCATGTTCCATATTTTCAGTCCACGTATGTAGATGAGGCCCATTAGGCATGCAATTGAAAAGCTGTGCCCTCCATCCAACTCCATCTACAACGGTCGGCGTTTCTCGAGCTAGACGTCTCAAACAGCGCCCGGTACCGGTACCGGTACACGCCCACTCAGCTCCCAGACCCGTTTACCGACCCCTAGGAGGGAGTATTACTCCGTACCGTAGCTTGCGTGGTAGCTTACCTTGGGGAGAGCAAGTACCCAGTACGTCTAGACACTCGCGCCGCCCCGTCCCACAAGTCGCAGCGCAAGTAGCCGGTACTTGCTGCCTCGACCGATGCGCACTAACACCATCTCCATCTCTTATCCCCCCCGTCATTCCCACCTCCGTAACGGCTTGGCCTCCCGCCTTCTCTGTCCCCAAGCAGACCTGCATACACCACCGCATCTGCGCTCTTGTCTGCGCATCTGCATCGTCAGCAGCATCCTGAGGCATTCCGTGTCCTGCCATCGCCGTGCTGCCCGAGGCCCGTCACCGCCTCGCCTCGCGTCTCGCCGCCTCCCCTCGCCTCGCCAACAGCTCCGGTCGACTCTCCCGGCTGGGCCAAGCAGCTGCATCGTCGAGCTCCTCGGGCGTCCCTAGTGGCCGAGAGCAGAGCATCCATCGCCTACACTAGCATCGTGCATACAGCTACATCCGCTACATTCCACACACATACTGCTACCTTGCGTGGTGCGCCCTCGCGCCAGGCCCAGGCTCAGGTACTGCAGCTGCCGCTTCCAGAAGCAGCTTCAACAAGGGCCCTTTTCGTCCACGAGGGGCTGCCGTCGCCAATGCGAGGCTGATATCGACGCCTGTCCGAGTCCGAGCCTGTGCGTCTCTGCGTGTGCGGTGCGCGTGCTGTGCGGGCACGTCCCAGCGACGACAATTCTCCAGCAACTTTTTGCCATCTTGGCTGCCACTGCCACTGCGTGCTCTGCTTCCACTCCACCACAACTGCCACGACGCGGCAAACTCCGCCCTGTCCGCCTCATCCTGCGACCAGACCGACGTGTAGATATGAGGTGAGGTGAGTAGCCAAGGTCCCCAGAGCCTCGCTGAGCTAGCTGGCCTGCCAATGCGGCCTGTCGCAGCTCCGAGCTCTTCTTTGCGCCTCCACGCTCGCTGCCCGCCTCGCTGCTTTTTCCTCCTCGCCACATACAGGCCGCTTCTCCTGGCCGCCGCTACAAATCCTCGACCATCGCCTTTCTTCTCTCCCCCCCCACCCCCTCATTCTTCCCAATTCACTCTGCACAACCCATTCGCAGCTGGCTGACCGCAATGGGCACAGTACAGATGGCCCACAGGACCGAGACCTCTCAGACTTCGAGCCCGGCAATCGATAGACTTGAAGACTCCAACGGTGCCCGAATCGTTCCCGTGCCCATCTCCGTGTCCGTGCCGCCGCCTACCATCAGCATGTCTCCACCTAGTCCCGTTGACCATCCGATGGAGGGCACATCGCCAGAGGACAACTCCCCTCCTGGCCAGGCCCCCGACGCCGACCCCGGTGCCAATGGCAAGTCAACCCCCGGCCGGCCTGGCAATGCGTCGCCGCAGGATCAGTCCGCCGTCGCGACCTCAAACAACATGCCCGCGCCTCCTCCGGCCGCCGCCGCCGCCGCCGCTGCCGCCGTTCACCAGCCCAAAATAGTCCAAACCGCCTTTATTCACAAGCTATACAAGTGAGGATTTCTGATTGCCCTGCCCGGCCACCGTTCGGCTGTGGAGGGTGTCCCTGGAATGGGGCAACGGTTACTGATGATGGAAGCAGCATGCTGGAAGACTCCAGCATACAACATCTTATTTCGTGGTCTTCATCTGCCGAAAGCTTCGTCATGTCGCCTTCGGCCGACTTTTCCAAGGTGCTATCGTAAGCTTTTCCCTTGACCGTCCAGCCCCTGGGTATAACCGATATGCTTACCTTTGGATCTCTAGACAATACTTTAAACACACGAATGTTTCTTCGTTTGTGCGTCAGCTCAACATGTACGGTTTTCACAAAGGTACATTCCACCCGCATTCACTCTCTTTAATCAATTGACCTATAAACATGGCTCACTCTGAAATAGAACGAGACGTGTTCCACACTGGCAGCCCAGAAACAACCCTCTGGGAATTCAAGCACGGCAACGGAAACTTCAAGCGCGGCGATCTTGTTGGCCTTCGTGAGATCAAACGTCGTGCCAGCCGACATGCTTTAGTCAATCGGGAAAACAACTTCCCTAAAGCTTCTACGTCCCAACCTGGGACGCCCGTCGAGCCTGTTCAGGTACCAGCGGATAGCATTGAAGCTAGACTGGCCAACCTAGAGCACTCGCTATACGATACAGCATCGAGACTACAGAGAAGCGAAGAGGCCGCCCACTATATGCACGTTAAGAACCAGGCCGTGATGGAGACCTTGAACCGACTATTATTTTTTAACCAGGAATTGTCCAAGGGAATGCTCTCGATTGTATCCCCGGACAATCCTGTTCATCGAGATGGTGCGTTATGCGGAATCAACACAAAAGGAGAATTGAAACAGAGACTGTGATGCTGACTCAAGAGTTTTATAGTCTTGACAATCCAAGGCGAAATGCAGAGGCAAGCAGAAATGTTACGCTCACTGGAGGAGCATCATGAGCCCGTATACCCTGCCAGACAACAATTCTTTGGCACCGTTGATAATGCGCCCGTCTCACCTAGACAGATGCCGCAGGACGACACCCGACGAGTGACACTCAACGTTCCGCAGGCGCGAAACCAACCATCTTACCGGCCTGCTGTTCCCTCAAACCTTTCCATCGGTACGCGGCGACCTTACGGATCCATCAGCGGTGGCGCTGGGTCTTCGCCTCTGCGCAATGCCGCGCCAGCCCCTCCTCCGGGACCCCATCCTCTTTCCAATGTGGAATCTGCGAACAATCTGGCTAGACGTCATACTGCCGCAGATATTCGGGCACATGGGTGGCAGCCGAATGCTCCTCCGTTCCCCCAGGCCGTGCCACCGCCCGTGTGGCCGCAATCTCCCAACAGGCTTGTGCCAGAGGACCAGAGGTTGAGAGACTCACTCTCTTCCTTCTCCCTACAGCCTGCGCCCCCCCACGCCCACCCACTCTCAAGGCCAACAACGCCGCCACACGCCCCTTTTTCAAACGGCAACGGCCCTGGATCAGATACATTCGGCAGCTGGTCATGGAACTCGGCGTCGAACCGTGAAAGTAAAACAATTGGGGCACTGAAGGAATCGTCGGCGCCTCCTACTAGAAGAGGTAGCATGGCGCACATTCTTAACCCTAGCGATACAGCCGAGCGATCAGACGAAGACGAAGACCCGCGGGGTGACGATGACAGGAAGCGAAAACGAAGACTATAATACAATGCCGAAAGTCTCTGACATTACGTTTGGATGATGGGGAAAATGGTTCATGACCATGGCGTATGATCTAGCACTGTTGCTTACGACAACAAGGGGTCGCTCTCCAAAGCTGGCGTTTTTTTAAAAAAAAGAATCCACCAATTCTTTGCATTTATTTTCGATTTCGTTACTCTTTTCTTCATTTTCATTGGACACCAGATTGGATATTTGGGACACGGCAACACCAGCCCATCAAAACTCTTTTCCACCATGATCTAAAGATAATTGCTGTTCTCGAGATGGCACACCCGCATTCCCTATCTATTGCATAACAAAAACACTCTGGGCCATCTCTGGGGAAACACTTGTTACTGGAAGCTTCCTACCGCGTCTGGGGCTACACCACTCTCATCTACCCATCTTTGGTTTGAAGCGCTAAATGAAAAAAGTATCTTGAAAACTTTTTTTTTTTTGTAAATTGGACACTACTGGTTGATGTTACATGTCGTTATAAGAGGTGGACTGGCTTGAGATGAAAAGGACATGATGAGGATTGCGGGAAAAAAGAAGCAAAAAGGGAGAAGTGGCGGGGAGGATGGATGAGGCCTCGTCGGTGTTTGCTGTTCTGGTATCGGTTGACATGGGGGGGAGATTGGGATATAAGGTATCTATGAATATCAGCAATCTGCTGCAAATAAAGTATATATATATATTTACATATATTTACATAGCCGACCCTTGTATAGGGCTGTGCTGTGATATATATGGCTACCCTTTTTTCTTTTTTTGACAGATACGGATGATGGGCAACGTGAAACCGCGGAATTGGGTAGTTTGGAGAAGAAAAAGTTCCGATGGGTTTTATTTATCAATTGTCATTGATCCAGATATGCATGAAAGTGTCTGCGGATGGCGTATACTATGAGCTGTCTTCAATCATTCAAGCCTATCAATTTTGCGTGGGCTTTTGATCTGTATGGTAGAAGTGATGACGCATTGGTTGAGATTTGCTGTCGTTATTCTGGTTTAAGATGCTGCATGTCCTCGCGTATATAAACCTGGCATGATGATGCATTTCTTTTTCTCTTTTTTTTTGTATTTATGTTTTTCAGTCCGTTATATTCAAGACCCAGGGTTTGTTTGTTTCTGTTTCTGTTTCTGCTTCTCTCTTTGTCTCTTCTTTCTCTTCTTTTCCTTCTTGTTCCTTTCTCTCTCATCATCATCGTTATCGTTACCACCGCTTCCGCCGCCATTCTCATCTTCCACCACAGCAGCATCTTCTCTCTTGTCATTGCCCATTTCCACATCTCCAAGCTTCTCCTCATCCTCTCTCCCATCATCCTCCACTCTATCCACCACCACCTCTTCCTCAACAACAACTTCCTCCCTCCTCGGCCTCTTCCTCTTGCCCAGTCCACTCCTCCCAGGCTCCTCATCACTCTCGCTCTCCACAGCAAATGCCTTTCCACCTTTTTGATTCCTGCCTCCCTTGCCCTTGCCCAACAGCCGTCCGCGCAGCATGCGGTCCTCCTTTGAAGCGGCGTCCTTGCCCGCGGCCTTTGCGTCCGGCACGTACCCGACGCCTTCGTTTGGCCGCGGGCCGGAGAAGAGCTGCTCGATGTCGTCTGAGCTGATGGCTTGGTGGTGGCGGCGCGGGGCGGTTGTTGACTGGGATGCTGTTGATGAGGGCGGATTGAGTGTCTTGAGGAGGGATGTCCGGCTGGAGAGGAGGAGGGAGATTTTGTTGGAGATGGCGGCGCGGTCGGGGGCGAGGGGGAGGGGGGGAGGTTTGGAGGATGAAGAGGGCGGCATGATTGAGATTGATCCCGTTGATTGGTTCGAGTAAATGTTGGTTTTATATGTGATGTTGTGAAATATGTCGAAAGAATAGTATAGACGGATTAAAAGTTATGGAGAAAGTAGAGCTTTGGATGAATGAATAAGGAATTGGAAAGATTAGGCTTTAATATCCCTGTCATAAACTCATGGCCAAAAAAATAACGACCTAGACTTCCCATGCGATGAACAATTGGTGGAAAGCAAAAAAGTCTGCGTTGAAAAAACATCAAGGTGCTCTTTTTTTGGAGGTGCTTAAGAAAAAAAAAAAAAAGTTGTAGCGTCACTGATAGGCGGGCTTTAGCTCTGGTGGAGTCCCTTGGCGTGGGTTGCTGCTTTGGGAAATCAGCTGCATCCTTCTAGAAGGTGGTCTTGATAAAGCTTTGAGGAAACAGAAAGTAAGATGGAATAAGATGAAGTGGCCAAGGGGCCAAGAATATTATATATTATAGTTATTTCATCTAAAATCAGATTAAAAAAAAAAAAAAAAAACACCCCCATGTATTTCGCCTTCTCTGGTATCCTTCCCAAGGGCCTTTGGAGCCGCCATAAAGTTACATTCTATTGTTGGTATAAAACATCTTGATAAAGTCATGAAATTTTGATTTGCTTTTCCCTCCTCTCGGTTCGGCTCGAGTCTTTAGTATCTCGTTGCTGTCGATTCAGTCAACGTGAGGACATACGGCAAGTCGTTAGGGTCCCCGTGGTCTGCTAGGCGGATGACAGAGCCCGAGCCATTCGAGGACCTGGATCGGAAGCTGGCGGCTGATGAATGCTGGCTCGAGGTATAATAACGCTGCATTTGCGAGAAGCCGCCATTGCTGCCAACGCTGCGTGGCGTCATTGGCACGTTCCTTCTGCTACCGGGTGTGCTCGGCGCGGTGCGATACGTATTCATAGTGCGTCGTTTCATCTGCCGCTGAAATGAGCGCTGAGTGCTGGCGGTAGACGGTCGTGATATAGTTCTTGGGGTAGATGGAATCGTTTCCGCTGGAGCGTCGTTATCAATATCGCTCTCCATTGCCGCTCCCTCATTCATTCCCCCTCCTCTCCTTCTATCCTCCTCTTCCTCCTCTTCATCCTCATACATTTGATCCAAGACTGTAGGGTCCAAAGGCTGTATTGATCGTAATATTTCCGCAAAGAGGTGCATCAGCTCGCGAAATCTCCCGTCGCAGATTGGTCTTGTCGAGAAGCGAGCTGCTTCGTATCTCCCAAGAAAGTCGGCCACGGTCTCATCCAAGACGACGACCCCCAAGCTAGCGAGATGCCCAAAGTAATCTCGGAGACTCATGTTGAGCGATCTCTGCAGCAGCTCGGCGGCTTCTGGATCCAGCATCGGTGGATTAGCCTGAGACGTTGGATCTGGCGGCGCAAGTCGCAGTGCTTGCGCCTCTATTAGATTCGGAATCTCCGATATGACGGTGCCGTATTGCAAGTTGGGCAGATCCGGCGAGTTTGGAGAAGCCCAGCCGCAATGCTCAATGGTGCCCCATACCGGGCGATGCGGAGGCATTGGGATCGGCGTATCTCTATCCAGAGCCCCTTCATTCCATTCAACCAGCTTGTCCCTCATGCGCGCCTCATCCTCGTCGTCCTCCAGCATTTCGTCCCGCATCATCTCATCGTGCGTCTCAACCCTCGGCCTCGCCGCATACGCAATGGCCGAGCTCCTGCTCAGCCCGGCCACTATAATCTTGTAAACCGCCTTCTTGATGTCGCCCTTTTCGATGGGCACCCACGACTTGGGAATCGACGCCAGCACCGTCCGGTTGACGTACAGACGCACAATGTAGACGAAGCTGACAATGACCACGGTGATGACGTACGCCGACGCGATGATCCAGATGTTGTACCACTGCGCGTTGACGACGGACCGCTGGATGGCGTCGCCCGGGGTGATGAGCAACAGGCCGCAGAGGATGATGTAGAGCACGAAGTAGATGGACCGGTAGAGGATGCGCAGGAAGAGGCTGTGGTGCGCCATGGCGACGCGCCGAGAGGCTGCTCAACTGATTCGTCGCCGCCCTGCTGATTCGGATAAGGAGTACAATCGCGGTCGCATGGCTACTGCTGGTAGAGCTGCTGGTGACGCATCCGGGACGCCGTAAGTGCTGCTGGGGAGGGCAAGAAAAGGTGTGCTATCGTCATGCCATGGCGAGGAGGAAGAAAAGAGGGTGGGCCGGATGCGATCAGGAGGACAATGGCCAAGGTTGCTGCTGGTAATTAATTCCAGGTACCTCGCCAGGAGCTTGGAACGGGGTACCGCCTCGTAGGAGCGAAATGAGCAGTGATGTACAGGTACGGAACGAGCAGGCATCTGGCGCATGCAATGCAAGGTACGCGAGACCTGGTCCACTAATAATGGGTACCTTGGCCCAGTACCTGACGCTCTGCCAGGTTTCTCGGGCAAACTCTGTGGCTGAGACCTCGTGGTCTTAGTGCCATTCATTCAGTCATTGTTATTATGCAGCTGCACAAAGAGATGGTCATTGGCATTTATTGTTTGTTTAGCATTTTCGTCTTCATATATAGATATTATTCTCTTGTTTTACGATTGTTGCAAGCCATCAAACTCCGGTATCGTCCCGTGCGATATGCGACATCCATACATAATCTCCCTCAAGGGATATCCTGTTCTAATAAGTACATGGCGTGGCCTCAGCTCGTCCCCATCTCATGAAATCTTCGGTTTAATATCGGACCTGTTCCATCTCTGGCCGTCTGAATTCTCTTCGCAGTGCTGCTTTCCTCTGTGCCCAGTCATCGCTGGGTCTCGTGTCAAAGGCCACTTCCTTAGCTTTGACCATCTTCAACTCTTTCGCCTTTTCCTTCTTCGCCTCTGGCTTGCCAATGGCTTCTTTTGCAAACCGCAGGTCCGTAAGCGTAAGCCTCAAGTCAGTGCTGTAGGGTTCGAACTTGGCAACGACTTGCTCCAAGCCCGCCTTCAATTTCTGCACCAGCTCGTCCACCTCGGGGCACTTCTTTAGCCCATTGTAGTCGGTCCAATGCAGAGGGAATTGTGCTTTCAATCCCTCCACCTTCTTGATGACCGCTGTCAAAGTCCGGATGATATTCGGGACATCTCTGTGGACATTGCCATACGAGTCTTCCGCTAAACTGTGCACAGCCAGTTGGCAGAGAGCGATGGCTGCGTTGGCGGGCAATGTAGGCTCAGCATAGGGACCGCCCAAAACTGCAGCGGTGAACTGTGTACGGAAATCATGTCGAATTAGATCACCGATCCATCCAATCGACATTAACCGAGTGGCGAATTGCCAGGCTTGATCCTTCAAATGATCAGGAGAAACTGCCTCTTGTTGTTCTTTGCTGAGCACTCGGTCTCTGGCACTCTGCCATGTTTTGCGAGCTATGGGGCTAAGCTCTGAAGCGGGGGTTGAGCCAGGCTTTCGTGCAAGTCTCTCCAGAGCCTGTTCAAGACCCGTTCGCAGATTGGTGTGCTTGGCTTGACTTGTGAATATGGGGTCTTCTCTCAACGGAGCCGATGAGCGGTGCCTTTCTTCAACTTCTCCAGTCTGAGGGGCGGCTTGTGGCGCGGGCTTTCCATAAGCATCAACGTGGTCTTCGACGCTTTTCAAAGTTTCCATGCAAATTGAGTACAGTTGAGACCACATGGGCCCATCCTTGCGATCTATATCGTTGAAAATACTCCGCCTCCGTGCTTCGCAGCTTTCAGCAAGAAGGGCCAACTCCCACATGGCAAAGGCCTGTGCATCATTCTTTTGTTAGTAATGAAGACGATACCGGTGGTTGGATATGCTTACCTTGATGGAGAGCTTCTTGCTTTTTAGGCCATTCAGAAGGCTGCCGTTGGGATCCTTGGAGTCGGATGTTAGGGGATTCTCGTTCTTTAAAGGCTTCTTAACCATAAAGACTGAGAAAGCCTGATTGCCTGCCGCCCATAGAAATCCTAGGCCGACTCCTGCTAGGATACATCGGTTAATAAGGTAGATATCTAGGGGCCAGGAAGACGGAAGCATGTTGGATCTGGGCATATTGTAGAATGGCCGCAGGAACATCATGGCCCATGACCAGGCAAACGATCTCAAGAAGAAATAGTATATGACGACTGTCGCAGGAAAGGTCAAGAGAGCTACTTTGGAGCTCTCGACCATAGCCTGGGGCAGCTCTAATAGGAGGGTTTGAAGGGAGCCCGACACGATACCCAAGCTCTTTTGCTCACCCGCCTGCTTTCTCTCCAGCGAACCAAGATCCAGACGGTCGATATCACGTCTGTAGTGTTCAACGGTCTGAACCAGGGCAAAAGTAAACATGTAGCAAGTGAGGAAGAGAGGTCGCTCGTTCAGCCTGGTGCGACCCCCGCTGAAGTAATTGATCCATTGGAGATTCGTCTCTTCATCTTTTGTCCCTAGGTAGATGCTGCAATAGAGCAGGCCCGAAGCAATGTACCAGAAAGCCGTCTCGTATGTTCTGAGGGCGGCGAGCGAAGACACCAATGTATGCAGCCCGGACCCTGTCGTTTTAACGCCGACATGGTAGCTCGCAATTCGGAGAATGAGGATGGCAAGGCCACAAGAGAAGACTAGCAGCGTTCGAAAGCCCACGGGGCCAAGAGGGAACCAGGACCAGAAATCTGTGGCGATTCAAAGCGGTTTTTGTTAGAGACAGACTACCAAGCTGCTCGGGAGGAGAATTGGCTTCTTACACGAGTCCCAGCCGCCCAAGAGAATCGCTTCAATGTACGACACGGCCAACAACAGGCTAGCTGTGGAGGAGAAGCGTCGATGCAAAGCAGGCTGCAGAGTGTCCTTGTAAGGGGCTCTCCGCGTCGGTGTGCCTGCCATGATCGCGTCGCATTCCCTCTGACAACTCGAATCGCGGGTCGAGAACGGACGTGGCCGGCAGGATAAGAGATAATGAGGTGGATGGACCAGGTCGGCGATGGAGTAAATAAAATAAAAATCGCCGGCTCAGCAACCAGAGCTGGGCAGAGCTGCGCTACCGACGCGCCCAGGCCAGGGTCTATCGACAGCATCACGTGGCGATAAGCAAAGGCGGAATGGCGAGTGGCGCCTCTGATTGGAGCGCTGCCGTCCCAGTGACTTGCATGGCGTAACTCGGCGTCGCAAGACCGCCTTCCGTTACGTAGGGCCCAGCCAGCTTCATCCATCCTTCTTCCAGAAACAAGGGCCTGTATTCGCCGTTCGTTGTTTACAAGCGCTAGAATCGCATCGCATCGCATCGCATCGTATTACTTCTCGTTTGCGTCTCTCTTTACGCAGCACATCTATCGACCCGCACGGACATCAGCCTCCCCATTCCGCCTTTGCGCTCGTTTCTTTGCGCTCTGCCCTTCCTTTCAAGTCACAACGACAATGGCGTATGATCGACTCTCCAGTCTCGAGGCCGGCCAAAGCGGTGCCGGCTACACCGACGACCCTGCGTTCCAAGACCTCCAATACGAGCTGAAAAACAAACTACAGTCGCTGCTGAGCAATAACCGCAAACTTGCCAACGATGTCAACGTCCTGGGGACGAAGAAAGATACCCCTCGCCTGCGGGAGCGGGTTCACAACACAATGGAAAAGTCTCGGGAAATCTGCAAGGATATTGGCGATGGAGTGAAGAAACTACAGACTTGGGATGATTTAACTGTACGCTTACAAATATCCTGTTTCCTTGCGATGCGATCCGGAGCATGAGCTGACTCACATTGCTAGAAACAACAAAAATACGAACAGACAAAGGTCTCGAGCGATTTCCAGACTGCGCTCCAAGAGTTCCAGAGCTTGCAAAGAAGGGCGCTGGAAAAGGAGCGCGCATCCGTAACTGCAGCTCGCGAAGCGCAGGCATCCGAAATTACCGGCGACGGGGGTGAGGAACAGCTGCAGCTACAACAACAACAGCAGGTTTCGCAACTAGCCCCGCAAGATGAGGTGGATTTCCAAGAAGCTTTAATCATCGAGCGAGAAGAGGAGATTCGAAACATCGAGCAGGGCGTCGGCGACTTGAACGTGCTATTCAAGCAGGTGGCACAGATTGTTACCGAGCAGGGCCAGCAGCTCATTACAATCTCCGACAACGTGGAGAATGTTCATGAAAGCACCCGCGGCGCCGACGTAGAGACTCGCCAAGCAGCTCGATACCAAAAGGCCGCTCGCAACAAGGGCTGTTGTTTGCTGCTAATCCTGGCCGTCATTTTGACCATCGTTATTCTAGCGATTGTTGTTGGCTAAACTTGATTTGCGCAAACGATACACCGAACCAAAGCAACTTTTTTTTCTTGCTATACGGAGTTCTTTATTTCGTTTCTCTCTTTTGAATGGAGTTTATAGTACGGTTATACTCTGCCCTAGCACCACTATTAAAAGATGTATATAGTACTGAGGTAGGATTCGGATCACTTGGCATTTGTGGACTTTTTTTCTTTAGCGCGTTGAATCAAATTCTATTCATCTATTCGCATCTGGTTGTTGTTTGGAATCTACTGTCCCTCGTAGATATGGTAATGCTGCCAGTGGCTTCTGAGTGGGTTTTGATAGTTTCTGCGTCTCCTTTGGAAGCCATCTTCCTAGGATGGCCTCGTTGAGGTCGTTGAGAGCAAACGTGGATGCCCAGTATAAGAAGATTGCGCTTGGCAGGTCGGCAAAGAGGATGGGAAAGAGGGGGACTAAGAGAAGCGTCCGGCCTACTGCCGTTCGAATTCTCATAATAGGGGTTTGTGGCATCTGAGATGGATTGACGCTTAGCAAAGCCTTCAGCTGGTCCTTTGGTAGCCTGCCCCATGACGTCCGCGCAAGCAGTGCCGAGCAGATGACGGGAAGCGCATAGTAAGGGTCCATGGCTGTGAGATTTGTGAACCAGAGGCAACCACCGTCCATCAAGGATTCGTCAAGATAGCGGCGAGATAGCTCCAGTGCTGATGAAACGGCCTGGATGTCCACAAGTCCGAACGAATGGCTAAGCCATCCCGTGGGGGCGCCACAGAGCCGTCGTAGAGCTTCTGATACGATGATAAAGGGCGCCATGCTCAGGAAGGGAGCAAATGACTTCCATCTCTGCACGCCCCAGCTCTTATATATCCTTGACCGAGATCTCTCCGTCAGGCCAGCAACTCGCAATCTCCATAGCCGCTCTGCATCCTCGCCCTGGCCGTGCTTCACCGTCATGGCATGTCGCGAGCTCCAGGCCGTAACCAGCGGAGTCAATCTGTTTCTGGTGACAACGAGGCGCCGTGTGTAGTACTGAATCGGGAGTCGAAACGAGAAGTTGACGCCCACGGCTACGAGGGGGATGGAAATGTACCAGGGCAGTCCGGCGTGGTGGATAAAGGTGATGTTGTCAGCTGTCCATAAGACGGCATCTCCCACGGCGCTGAGATGAAAGCTGCGCCGTCCTGGGACAGAGCTGGGATGACTTCGCGATGTGTTATAGGCCGTTTGGATAAGACGAGATGGCGATGCCCTGCTACCGGGCACCGTAAAGCCCCTGGCTGATCTGCTGAAGGACGCCATGACCAATCATAGCTTGGGAGCTCCGAACGAGGCAGATCGACACGCTGGTGCAATTGCTCCAAACCAGCACAAGCCTCGATTTGGCGAGTGAGTGAGCATCGTCATGAGAACAAGAGCCGCTTGAATGTGATGGAGTCCCGTGAGTGGGGCCTTGGCAAATTCAGCGCCTGAGCCACATCGCTCCATAGCTGGCGCCACAGGGTCGCTCAGTGCCTGTAGTGGCTACGTAGCGCTGAGCTGTCCAGACGTAGCAAGGCATACAGGCAGGCTCCCCCACATGCTTTCTTCACCTCTCTCAACACTGGCGATGCCACCAGCTGTTCCACCCTGGCCTGTGGCATTGCGGGCATTTAAATAACCTAGCACGCAGTATTTTCGAGCCGGATTCCCAGCCAGACAGAAAACACCAAAGACACGAGAAAAAAGAACCCTTATAGCAGACGGTGCCGATTCGAAGTGGGCGGATACTTGCATGGCGGACAAATGCTCGGCAGAGGCGGCGACATGCAGCCAGCCGTCCTCTTTCTGGGGGCTTAATTCCTCCTCGATGGCTCTTTTCGCGACGATCGTCGTTACTTCGCCGTTGTTTTTGCTCCTCATTGTTCCTTTCATCGGCTCGGGGATTGGATGGCTGCTGCGGAGGAAGACGGATGGCCGACGCATACATCTGATCAACTTGATGGAGGAAGAGCACAGGAAATACTTGCATCAACACCAGGGCTCTGACAGCACGACTCCCGATAAACTGGACGCCAATGGTGAACTTCAGGCCACCCAAGACTGGCAGGGCGTTGTTGGTTTCTTCCACCCCTTCTGGTATGAATTCTCTCTCCGGGCGGCCGTTCACCCCTCCCACTTGCTGTCGTCCCTTGATAATACCCCCGTTGCATTCCATTAACATCACGTCAGCAATGCTGGAGGTGGCGGAGAGCGTGTTTTATGGGCTGCCATCCGGGCGACGCAGGATCGATGGCCAAGAGCCAAGTGCTTTGTGTATACTGGAGACCACGATGTTCCTAAAGATGCAATCATTGCGAGAGTCAAGGTGAGAACGAGCCTCAGCAACCGACCCCCCGACAAACCGCAAAGAAGCAGCTTCTGATTCAACTGATGTATAGAACCGATTCAATATCCAACTGCACGCTCCGACGGTCCAATTCCTCTACCTCTCCAAGAGAAACTGGGTTCTGGCCTCGAGATGGCCCGTCTTTACGCTTTTGGGACAGTCTCTGGGCTCAATAGTCCTGGCCTGGGATGCCTTTTCGCTGATGGTACCCGACATCTTTATTGATACCATGGGCTACGCATTTGCACTTAGCCTTTCAAAGTTCCTGTTCCGAAGTGTGCCCACCGGCGCCTATGTGCATTATCCGACGATTTCTACCGATATGCTGGAGTCTCTGGACCCCACGTCTTCCCTGGGCTCTCAAGGAGTCAATGCTGGCAAAGGCACCGGAGCCAGAGGAGCTGTGAAGAAGATATACTGGCGACTTTTTGCGGCACTGTACTCTTGGGTTGGGTCCTCCATCGATGTTGTCATGACAAATTCCACGTGGACTCAAGCCCATGTGAAGAGCCTATGGGGCCCATACCGTCTCGAAAAGGACCGGGAACATCCCATCGCAGTTGTCTATCCTCCCGTGGCCGTCAGCGAATTCGAACACGAGGTCGAAGTGTCCGCAGCGAGCGAAAAGCAACGAGAGCCGGTCCTCATCTACATTGCGCAGTTCCGCCCTGAAAAGAACCACCCGCTTATTATCCAATCCTTTGCTGATTTCGTCAAGACAAAGACACCCGCCGCAGAAAAGGCACAGCTGGTTCTCATTGGAAGCGTCCGAGATGATTCAGATTCCAAAAGGGTGTATAGGCTGCGTCTGATGGTGAACGAGCTGGGAATCAAGGACCATGTACAGTTTCACATCAATGCGTCTTGGTCAGAAATTCTCGAGTGGTCAAGGAAAGCATCTGTGGGTGTTAACGGCATGTGGAATGAGCATTTCGGAATTGGCGTTGTGGAGTACCAAGCCGCCGGTTTGATATCAGTGGTTCACGACAGTGGCGGTCCCAAGCTGGACATTGTCACAAAAGTTGACGGCGAACCAACAGGTAAAGCCCCCTTAATAATGCTCAACACACATAAAACTGACAGGATTCCCCATCTAGGTTTTCATGCGTCGAATGCAGCCGAGTTTGCGGCAGGATACGAAGCAGCACTTTCACTTCCCGACCCTCTTGCCATGCGCCTGCGTGCGAGGAAATCAGCAAAGCGATTTTCCGAGGAGGTGTTTGAAGCGCAGTGGCTGTCGCAGATGGGTCGTCTGGTGGCGCTTGGAAAGAGAAAGTAGAAGTAGAAGAAATTGGTTTTTTTTTTTTTGGCCTGTTGAGTTTCATTGCAGAGATACTAGGAACATAGAACTAGGAGATACCCCCTTTTCGTTTATTGATAGACTGGTTGGCGGAGGGTATATACTAATAGACATTGCTAGGAGGGCGATGCAGCGTCGAGGGCCGTTGAAGAAGAGATAGAGAGAGCGAGACGGAGAGATGCCGGTCAAAGAAAGATAAGTAGAGACTTTTAGCGTACAATTGTATATATAGGATAAAGCGTTGAGCATAAAGACGCTGAAGCAGACATGAAATAACCATTGTTGTATATACCCGTATCCTTCTTTCACACCGGAGAGCGCAGCATGAAACTATAAACAAGAAGAAAGTAATCCCAGCTTTATGCTAATGCTAATGGGTATCACTGCTATGTCTAACTCTAATTCATAAAATATCCATCATAACCCTTCATCTCTAATAAAAATTCCTTTTACTCCAACTACAGGGTATATCCCGCGCTGTTCTTCTGCCTAGGCTCGCTCGCCGCCTCGAACAAACCATCCGTGAACCGCCTCACAGCCTGTACAGAGCTCAGCGTTGGCCGCACCCAGCTCACATTATGGCCTCTCTTCTCCAGCCCCGCGGCTACCTCGTCGTCAAACATTTCCTCGAGCAAAACCTTGTTCGGCATGAGCTGGTCGTGTAGACGAGGTCGCTCTAGAGCTCCCGCCAGAGTGTCATCGTGCTCGTCGAGAATGTGCCACAGGACTTGGGCGGTGGCGGAGATGATGCGGGAGCCGCCGGCAGCGCCGATGACGGCGTAGAGAGTGCCGTTGGGCAAGGCAGCGATGATGGGGGTGATGGAGGAGAGAGGGCGCTTGTTGGGGCGGATGTAGTTTGCGACGGAGGGGGCAAAGCCGAATTCATTGCTGACGCCGGGAATGGAGAAGTCGTTCATTTCGTTGTTCCTGTGACAGATTTGGGTTAGCTGTGAAGCAGATGACAAGGACTGCAAGAATTGATTTCGTACAAAATGATGCCGGTTTCAGGCTCAACAATCTCGGCTCCGAAAAGGAGGTTAACGGTTGTCGTTAGGGATACGGCTATGCCAGACTTGTCGGCGGCTGCAATGTGCGAAGTGCCATGGTTCTCGGGTACATAAAACTTCTTCGGGTTGTAGTACTTGGCTGCGTGTGTCTGGTTGTCCCAGATTCTCTCATGGATAGCATCAATGTTCTTGGAGTCGAGCATTTCCCTTTCAAAGCCCTCCACATCGTCGTCTACGTATTCTGGGTCGCCGAGGCTGATTCGAGCAGCATAGGCAAAACGCATGGCTTCGGTAAGGCGGTGGCGGGACAGATCTTGATCGGACCAGTCTTGCGCGTTGTAACGCTCCATGATCTTGAGAATCTGGAGACTGACTGTCCCGCCGGCGGGAGCTCCAATGCCGTGGAGCACGAGGCCTCGATATGTGACGTTGTGGACGGGACGAGAGATAACCTTGTAATTTGCCATGTCCTCCAGGGTCATTGTTCCACCGGTGCTTTGGATGAAGTCAACTATGGTTTTGGCTGGGCATGATACGTTAGCAATTTGCAGGCTTCAATGTTGATAGCCAGCCAAGAATAAACTAACCCATTTTCCCAGAATAAAAGACTTCTCCGCCGTGTTCGGAAATCTTTTCAAGAGTACTGTCCAAAGTCATAAGCATGTCATTCTGGAGCTCGAGAGCTGAAGAGAGTGCTTACTCTGCATAGCGTTTCCGCGTCATCCAAGAACCTTCTTTGACCAAGTCACCTGGTGCAACAGATTAGCATATAATTCATTCACGTTCAAAGCATCCTCAGACAAACCATCAGGGGCAAAGTCCGTAGCCCAGTTGGGATCCTTGGTAAGAAAGGTCTCTCCGTCGGCTTTGAAAGTATTGCCCATGTAACGTATGAGATCCTTTGAAACTGCGCTACTAGTCAGATATACGAAAACTCCCAATAAGATTTTCAACTCATATTAACTCAACAGACTTACCTCGGAATCCATTGCGGGCTACGTGAATAGCTCCTTGCATGACCGTCTTCCACGGCAGGACGCCATACTTGGAGTGCATGTACTCAAGGCCTTTGATTTCGCTGGGAACGCCCACCGCGAGTCCGCCGCGAACGCTTGCGCTGACGTTGTTCTTGTACATGTCCTCAAAGGCCGCGGCCGGCGCAGCCTCTCTGAAGTCGATGGCCTCATACTCGCCGTTGGCATCGCGAAGCACGGCAAAGCCTCCGCCGCCAATGCCCGAGTGGTACATGCCAACAACGCCGACGCAAAACGTCGTCCCAACCAAGGCGTCAACGGCATTACCCTAATACAAAAAACAGAGATGAGTACAAGTTCATGAAATCGTAGATCAAAGTGGATAATGACGCTGATTGTGCTTCGGGTGAGATCTTAGCAGCTTTAGCACACGGACGTACCCCTCGCGCCAGCAAGTCTCTCCCTATGGCGCTGCATTCTCTGCTCTCACTGGCGACGCCACCGACATGGCCCGGCGTGGATTTCTGGAAGACTTCTTGTATGGCAGCCGCATCGACGGGGATGGCTTGCGGGAGAGTGAGAGCCAGGAGCAGCGACCCCAGGAAGCGAGGACCCTGAAGAAACGTTGACTCTATCCACATGTCAACAGGCTGTGGGAGATGCAAGAAATACCACGGTATATCAGAGTATAGGAGACGAGATATGTGATACGGATATTACAGACGATGTTCTGGTGAAGAGAAAAAAGGTTGAGAGGACTCACTCATTTTTGATCGAGACAAATGCCCATGGACGGTCGGCATCGGCGTCGGGACGTCGGCTGGCTCTTCCAATTATTAATGGACCCCCCCGAGAAGTTGTTACCAAATGATATTCAGGAGACGGGACAGAACCGCCTCTGCTTGTAGTGCGTTATCTCTGGTGACAGATCTGGGGCCTAGCCTCGGGGCACTTGTTCAGCTCATCCGAGTTAGATCCGCGACTGCAGCCAGGAAGGGTTCAGATACGAGCAGATAAGAGGAAGAGAGAGGGGACAGGGAGATGATACGCAGTACTTGTATGTACGTGCTATCCTGTGTAACAAGATACAATCCCAGGCCCCTGCTGATGCATCTTCTGGGGAGATTGCTATAAGTAGCAACACATTCAACAGATATTCAAAACCGCAGTTTGATGCCCGCCGCAGCATCACCTCAGCCAGACCCCGAAGCACGAACACACGACACGCTCCACACCAGGCCATGTGGATGCCCCTCGGCCAGCTCCGCTTCGGCCAGTCAGCTGGATCAAGGACGCCAGTCCCAGCAGCCGGACTCTGCCATTTTGCCTGCCAACCAGCCCTCGTGACGGACAGCGAGTTGTGTCTTAGTGCCAGGACCCCATTTTCAGTGACAAAACAAAAATGGAAATCGGAGAGTCCGCCCCGGTCGCTAAGCCGTGCTGGAGCCAATCGCGGCCACGGCGCATGTTCCTGTCGCGCAGCCAATCAGCGCCGGCCAATAGGTAACATTGGACATATGTACATACATATAATCTCTCGATAAGATAAGACATTTTTTTCTTATTCCATGGTGGAAGCAAACTACCTATGAAGACTCGGTATAAGATGAGAGTGCGAGTTATTCAGCGACGAGACATCATAGCCGTAGACTAGGAGCATCTTTTGCTACATCTATTTTCTTCAACTTGCTACGAACTGCTGCGTCGTCTATGAGAGCGCTGATACGGCCCTCGTCGTATCTCAGCATCACCACTTCATTCCTTCAGCCTCATCGACTGAGACCTCAACCCTTCCATCTCCTCCGTCCATTGGCACGCATGGCGACCGCCCAAACCTCTCCGGCTGCTTCAGCCCCCGTGGCTGCCCCAGCTGCAGCTCCCCAGACAAGCAGCAATGGCGCCAATGGCAACAGACCCAAGCGGCCCAACCCCAGCGGCAGCAATCGCAGCTGGAAGCAGAAGAAGACCAAGCGAGAGAAGAACATCACCGAAGGGTCCTCCGAAGAAGTCCTGCGGTACGACATCGAGGCGCTCCTAGAATCTCGCAGATCCGAGACCGACACACCAGCAGAGGGTGCTGAGACCGCCGAGGCGCAGCAAGACCTGCCCGCCGAGGGAACCGAGACCGACGTCGAGGTCCTCGAGCTCTCGTCCACCGGCGACGGCCTCGCCATGAGGCCCGGCTCCAACCAGGTCTACGTCGTGCCCTTCACCGTGCCCGGCGACGTCGCCCGAGTCAAAGTCTTCCGCCACCTGCGCCGCGAGAACCAGACCGTCGCCGACTTCGTCTCCATCGTGAAGCCCTCCCCGCTGCGCGACGACGCCCGCATCCAGTGCAAGTACTTTGCCACCTGCGGCGGCTGCCAGTTCCAGATGCTCGACTACGCCGAGCAGCTCCGCCGCAAGAGGCGCATCGTCGACAAGGCCTTCCGCAACTTTGCCAACCTGCCCGCCGAGCTGGTCCCCGCCATCCTCGACACCATCGGCAGCCCCCTGCAGTACGGCTACCGCACCAAGCTGACGCCGCACTTTGACGGCCCGCCGGGCTTCCACAGCAGGAGGAACAAGGGCGGCCCCAAGCCCAAGTTTGCGAGCTGCCCGGACATTGGCTTCATGCGCAAGGGCCAGCGCAAAGTCATGGACATTGAAGACTGCCCCATTGGCACCGACGTCGTCAGGCAGGGCATGAAGCGCGAGCGAGAGAGGATGCAAAACGAGTTTGGAGACTACCAGCGAGGCGCCACCATTCTGCTCCGCGAAAACACACAGCGTTATCCCACCGATGCCTCGGATGACGCTGCTGCTCCCCCCAAGCAGCAAGACCTCGCCCCCTACACCGTCCGCAACGACAGCGAGTTCGGCATCGACATCAAAACCTGCGAGACCGACTCCAAGGCCACCACCCACGAATACATCCGCAACCACCACTTCACCAACCCCGCCGGCTCCTTCTTCCAGAACAACAACTCCATCCTGCCCGTCTTCACAGACTACGTCAAGGAGCACGTCCTCCCCCCTTCTTCCCCCTCATCCATCAAGTACCTCATCGACGCCTACTCCGGCTCGGGCCTCTTCACAATCACCCTGGCCTCCGTCTTCCAGCACTCCACGGGCATCGACATCGCCGCCGACTCCATCGCTTCCGCGCGCCACAACGCCCAGCTCAACGGCCTCGGCGAGGACCGCTGCAAGTTCATCGCCGCCGACGCCGGTGAGCTCTTCAAGAACGTCTCCTACGACGCCGACGAGACGACTGTCATCCTGGACCCCCCGCGCAAAGGCTGCGACGCCGATTTCCTGGCTCAGCTGAGGCGCTTTGGACCCAAGAGGGTTGTCTATGTGAGCTGCAATGTGCATACCCAGGCTCGCGACGTGGGGGTCCTGGTGAGGGGTGAGGGAGAGGGTAAGAGATATGAGATTGAGAGCCTGAGAGGGTTTGATTTCTTCCCTCAGACGGGGCATGTTGAGGGAGTTGCTGTTCTAAACAGGGTGGAAAGCTGAAATGGAGAAAAGGGGGCGGGAAGCATTTTATAGATTTAATGATACTAGACTTCGCCTTTGGCAATGATAAAGCTACTCCTGTGATGCAATTTTGTTCATTGAATACGTAAAACAATCATGAATGCATATATATGCCTTGAGAGATACATAACAAAAAGGGATCCGCCATAATTTTTGATGCCAAAGTTTTTGCTCGCAGTAGGGTCACTAAAAAGCAAGCGTTCAGATATGATTTCAATCAACAAAGGAGAAAACAATATGAGACAAGATGTGTCCTCGTTCGTCTTCTTACTCCTGTCCCAAAAGTGCCTTTAGCGTTTGCACAGTAATCTCCAGAACCTCTGGCCTCCTAGTAAGCTTCAGAGAGTCCTTCAGAGCCTCCACGCCGCCCTCCTTGGTGACCTTTTCTCGCGCGAGTTTGCAGACCTCGGCATCTCCCGCAACCATGTTGTAGAGAGTAACTACTCCTCGATGCCTCAAACCCTCGTCCGCATCCGTACACATGCCCAGGATCACTTCGATGCCCTTTTCTCGCTGCAGCACTAGCTTCGCAACGCTCTCGTAACCTGTCAAGGAAGCCAAGGCTCCGCCCGCTGCGCTGCGGGTACCTTCATCTTCGGCGTCGGCCAGGGCCAACATTATGTGGATTCGATTCTTAGCTTGAGGGTTGCCATCTGCGTACAGGGCTATACCCTCAGGAGCTTGCATTAGATTGCAGACTAGTTCGACAGCAGCTTTGGAGACGAGGTTGTTGGAAGAGAGCATCTGCTCTTCGATCTGAGTCCAGGCATTGCTTATGATGGCGCGAGGGATTCCTTCATCTTCCATCGAAGCTAGGTTAGTCAGGGCCATGAGTCCCTCAAACGTTGGGAGCAAGTCTCGTCTCTCGGCTGCAGGATCTGGTGGGAGGATTGAGGCCAGAGGTCGAATAGCGGCACTGGCCGGGACCGATCGATTTCCTCCAAAGACGAGATTGGGATTTGTGCTAATGAGGATCTGTGCGAGGGCATGGGCGGCCATCCGACGACCTGTCTCTTCTCTTTCGGGAAAGCTCGTCCATGCAGCTAACAAGAGATTAATAACACCCTGCTGAGCTAATGAACCACGAAATGCCTTGGTCCTGGCGAATGAGTGAATGATGGATATGGTGATGGCCATGGATGCGGGCGATGCGTTCTTGCTGTGTGCAACAAGAACAGGTGTGAGACCAGCTTCAAAGACAACCTTGCACCTCTTGGCAACATGATCATCATCGTCCAAAGTGTCTGGAGCAGCCAGTTTTCCAGCTGCGTCTGCGTACGCCTTGAGCTGAGACATCTTTTTGTCCTCTTCAGAGAGAGCAGGTCGATAGCGAGTCAAGTTGAGAAAAATGCTAAGAAGGCCATATGTCGATGGTGAGCGAGGGGGTGCGTCCTTTAGCATTGCCACAAGCTTCTTGAGTAGTTGGGGATTGTTGACGATTGTTTCCTTAATCTTTGGCTGCAGTGATGAATAGGCCAGGCCCTCTATAGAATGCTGTCTTCCGTGATCCTCGTCGCGCAGAATCATCTTGGTGAACATGCCGGATAAATCTTCAATGCTAGTGACCGCAGCCTCGACTCTAGATTGGTTTGGGTCATTCGTTGATGGGTTCGAGGGTACTACCTTCATTCTGAGTCAGTCAGCCATAATCAGAATGCACATGTAGCTCTTCAAGTAGGTTATGTCTCCTTACCCTTAGCTTGGCCAAAATCACAGCGGCCAAGTGTTGGACTTGCTCAGAATGCCTTCTCATGTTGATGGAGCCACCCTCGCTGTGCACGTTGGGGTCCGCATTCATACTGCGAACCTCCCCGTCCAGGTCCTGGTCAACCACCTCCTCGAGCCACTCCACGCAGTACTTTTGTATGGCCTCTCGGCACGCCGCATTCATACAGGAAGCGTTGAGCATTTCCAAACACGCCGTTTCGACTTTTCGGCTCTTCCACTTTCTCCTCATGAGCGGGCCTAGTGCAACGAGAAACCCTTCGTTTAGGAAGAGCTCGGCGGAGAGATCGGGAACAATGGGGAAGATGGCCGCCGCGACGCAAAAGGCGACAATGTAGTCATCGTACGTGCCTCTCTTGACACGATCGAAGAAGAAGGTAGACAGCTTCTGCTTGCCATTCTCGCCTGCGGCCCTCAGGTATGCGGAGGTGACGAGAGTGGCATGGCCCCGGACAACGTCGGGCTGCCGCATGTCGAGATAGCACAGAATCGTATCTACGCAGTCACCGTCAATGAGAGCGGTGATGGAGTTGTGATCCTTGTTCTTCTCCTGCGCCTCAGCGTCATCGTTGAGCAGCTTGGTCAGCTCATTCAAGTCTTTGCACGTCTCTTCATCTTCCTGGCCGCCTTCCATCAGCCGCGCGAAGATGAGAAGCGTCTGGTCCTCGAGCGAGGCAGCCGGACCGGAATTCTGGAGCGTCTCAGCTACGGCTGCCATCTTGAGCTTGTTTCGGGTTTTGGTTGGAACAGGCTCAGGCTCAAGGCTGCATTTGCAATGTCACAAGCAATGCTATCAATGGTAATGAGCGAGTCGTGAGAGTGATGACGTTTGCTGCTGCTCTATTACGGCTTCTTGCAGGCCTGGCGGTAGGCAAAAGTGTTGAGCAGCAAAAGACTCGATGCGCTGAAGTCGTCTTGTAACGTTGAAGTTATGGCGACGTCACAGGCCAGCTTCCCCAAGACCAGATGAAACAAAAAGAAGCTCTGCAGATCCCACCAGGTGTCTGTCCCACCCTGATAGCAGTAGAAGCTTCGAACCCCACCCCCCACTGCGTCACCAGCGTATTTTAGCGTTGGGTTTCCGCCATCCGGACAGCAGCCAGTGATATCGCCAGAGCCACCACGCTGCCACGTTAAATTCTGGGCATCGTCGCTGGAGCGCCTGGAGTGCTAGGCTGCTGGAGGCGCAGATAGTCGACGCCTTTGCTGGCGCCATCAGCCAATTGACTTTGGATGGAATCCCGTCATGCCGGGTCGAGGCATTATTTGCTTAGCGAGCCTATTATTGCGTAGGTTCTACTAATCGGGAGGCAGAGTAATTCAGCTGGTAGAAGGATACAGACTGATGAATGACAGTCACGTGCTTTGGCGTTTGCTCCCCTCCAAGCCTCTTTTCATCTCGCGATCCCAAGTCAGCCTTGCAGCAGAGCAGGGCAACGGAGCTTGTCACACTCGACAGTGGCTAATCTACAGAATCCCAGCTGTTAGATGAAGCCACGCCGTCTTAGACATGTCTTGACACATCATATTCTTCTTAGGCCATCCGAATTCTAGCTGTTTGATTGAGACGCATCCATCTCTTGCTCGACAACACCAAATCGTGGAAACCCAGCATCGCATCATCAATCTCACAAATTCACATCGAAGCAGCTCCTCTGACCTCGTAGCTGTCTCCGCCAGCATACGTCCACTCCATCCATCCACTCACCGAACAAACCAGCCACAACCACCCACCGCCCGCCATGGATGCCGTCGACGTCTCGGAGCACTACGAGGTCACCTCCGTCGACAGCCCCCCCTCGCTCCTCTCCATCGTCATCGACACCAACCCACGCGCCTGGGCCGCCCTCGAATCCCGCCTCTCCCTCTCCCAGGCAATCTCCAACATCCTCGTCTTCGTCAACGCCCACCTCGCCTTCAGCAACACCAACCAGGTCGCCGTCATAGCCGCACACGTCAACCGCGCCGTATGGCTGTATCCCGCTGCTGCTGCTGCCGCTCAGAAGCCACTGGCGGCAGCAAGGGACCACTCGGGGGACGTCCAGATGCAGGATGTGTCGGCTGAAACAAACAATTCTTCTTCTTCGCCGTCGGCCAACAAGTACCCGCAGTTTGCGCAGATCGAGTCCTCCGTCTTCTCGTCTATCCAGAGCCTCATGGCCGAGACTACGGTGCAAGACCTCGACCAAGTAACGACACAGCTCTCCGGAGCGCTAACCCTCGCCCTCTGCCGCATCAACAAGGCCTCCCAAGCTCTCAGCGCGTCAGACACCACCCTCTCCAACGCTGCGCCCGTCAATTCCGCCGCCCCTCCTCCCGTCAAAAGCCGAATCGTCGTCATCTCCGTCTCAGATTCCGAACCGTCGCAATATATCCCCACCATGAATGCCGTCTTTGCGGCCGCTCACAATCAAGTCGCCATTGACACCATTGCTCTAGCCGGCGACTCAACCTTTCTCCAACAAGCATGTTTCAACACCAACGGCATCTTCCTCAAGGCGTCCAACCCTCAAGGCCTGCTGACCTACCTAATGTTTGGTCTCATCCCCGATACAGAAGCTCGCGAGTCCATCATTACGCCTGCCCATGACACTGTCGATTTTCGAACGGCCTGCTTTTGCCACGGCAGGGTCGTCGATACCGGATTTGTCTGCTCCGTCTGTCTGAGTATATTCTGCGAACCTCCAGAAAACGCTGAATGTCTCACGTGCGGTACTGTGCTGGCACTTGGTAACTACGGTGCTAAACCCGCTGTTGTACCTCGAAGGAAGAAGAAGAAGAAGAAGATTGCCAACGGTAGCGGACGTGAGGAGACGGGGAGTGCTACAGGGACGCCAAAGCCTTGATTTAATTACCGTTTTTGAAGATAATAGAGCCATAGCAGAGGTCATGATACATATTTCACACGGGCTTATTGAAAAGGCTTTTTGACGCCTTGCCTGGAAGTCCAAGTCACAAGTTAACAAGGAGAGCAAAACATTCTAATCAATTTATGTACCGATACCCAAGGTAGTATAGAGGTGGAAATCCGCCCAAACGGTCTGCAGGATCTGTCTTGGGCGTAAGATAAAGGAGTTCTGGAAAACGGTATGTCTATAGGAATACAGGGGGTAACACTATATGAATATCATACTATCATACAAAAAGAGTAACGAGGGAAACGCTGCAGCGGGTGACACAGAGGAGGAGAAGAAAAAAAGAGAAAATCCAGATTATAGAGCACGACACCAGTATCCCCCCACGCGCAAAGTGTAACTCGCTCCCATGCCCTCTACCTTGGTCTAGTCCTTGAAATGCAAAGTGGAAAAGGTCCTCCTTTTATTCCGTCTTTTGCTGATGTATTAATCCAGCTGGACTTTGCGGCCACCCTTGGCAATCTTAGCACCATCGGGGAGTCGTGACATGACGCATCGCGGCTCCTTTTCCAAGCCACCCATCGATGCGAGTGCAAAGGAGTCCGTGTTGTGAGCAAAGTATAGATAGTAGCCTCTACTAGTCTTTTTCACGGCCATGATACCGATGGCGCCTGCGGAATGGCAGTTTTTCACCCCGGGGTGGTCCATAAAGTCTTTAGCTATGAATGATTCCATGATGGCGTCCTCGTCGTCGTCCTGAACATCAATCCCAGCAGGGCCACGGCGTGTCCCATGATAGAGACGCTCAGCACATCTCTGTGACGCCATCGTGGTAGCCATGTGTTCTCCGGTGCCGCTTGTCACGGCTGCAACAGTGATCCTGTCGCTGTCATCCTCGGCACAAGGTACAACGGCTGTTCCAATGCCAACTAGAGCAGCCGGCCCCAGGCGGCCTCGATGTTTCATTCCGATGCCACCAGACGAAGATCCTGCTGCGATATGGCCGTTATCATCAATTGCAATAGCACCAATAGTGTCTGTGACCCAATCCTCATTGGCACTATCAAGTTGGAACTGGCGCTTTGCGGTTTGTGAGCCGGAATCCTCGTTTTCTTTTGATGTGTCAAGCGGACGCTTAAGACCGCGAATGCTCATCACGGAGGTATCCCTTCCTTGACTTTGATCCTTGCCAAGCTCTAAACTCTCTTGGAGCTCGCCGGAATTTTCACCGGCAAGTCTCGCTCCATCGAAAGGCGGCGCTTTCAAGTTCTCCGCCAGCTCGGTGTCATCTGGAGCAGCGTCTGCGCTTACGCCGTTTCCACGAGTGGCTTGATTGATGTTTTTGGAGTGGCGTTTCAGGCGACTGGATGAAGAATTCCGGCTCACGTTGCTCGGTGGGGTTATGGGCATCGTATGAATCGAAATTCCTGGTGTTTGTCGCGAGGGAGATCGAGCGATATTCGTTGGAGTAGAAGCTAGAGCACGCGCATATGTTGCCGGATATACTGGAGGCTCAACAATAGCATTCAACTCTAGGTTGGGTGTGCCGACATAGGGCGAATCAAGCTGACCTTCATTCCATGTCCCCGCCAAAATTGCCGCGGTGTGATCCCTAGGAAATATTTTACGAGGATCCGTCACTGCCACTGCGTCATATAGGTGCGGAGCACTGCCCGTATTCACCTTGTTAGATGCAGAGCTGACCTTGTTGTCTTTGGGGCCAACCTCGGCTCTCTTCAAGTCTTCTTGCCATTTCAGGAAACGATCCCTGGAATTTCTGGAAACGAGATACTCGTTGCCATACGTTGCCATTCCGTGTTCTTCAGCAAAACTTCTCGCTCCTTCGCCGACGAGGGCATTTGGGGGGACACGGCGGAGGCTCAGGGGTTCGTTACTTGTGTCCAAGATGAGCTTGGCCAGTGATATGGGATTCCGAACGTCTAGCAGCAACGGCAGTCTTGTTAGTAGGCAGATGATACTCGGCAGGATAAGGACAAGAGAGCCGACTGACTTGGAACGGCGCCACAGGCACCGCTACGGCCCAAATGATCAACAATTGTCGCATCACACTCGACGGTGCCGTCGATTGATAAATTGGAGCCGTAGCCGGCGTTGGTGATCTCTTTGTTCTCGAGGATCACCAGGGCAGCTTCAACTGCCTCGGTAGCAGTGGCACCGGCTTTTAGGAATTTCATGCCCATCTCGCAGGCCCTGTAAACGACTGAGTTAGAATATGCATCGCATAACAACAGGCTGGGAACTGGCACAAGGAGCAGGCTTACGCAACGCAGGCTTGAAGGTGAACATGTTCGTTTTGGTGGCTGTGGAAGCCAGCTCCGGCATGGATGAAGATTGCCGGAACGCATTTGAGCTGCTTCTGACCAAAGCCAAGAACCCGGTCGAGTGCACCGTCGGTACCACAAGTGCTGTCGTCCATTACGGGGGAATCTCCTTCATCGTCATAGCCACGGCTCATGCTTTGCTCAAGTTTTGGTTGCAAAAGAGTATGTACTGAAAATATATAACGGCGATGTCGGACAGCTTTCGATGATGAGAGGCGATATACATATACACATACGCGACAAGAGGCGGGGACAAGGAGGCGGTAGGGCGAACGGATTGATCCCACAAGAGGGACAAAGAGAAGAGAAGAGTAAGACAAAGATTATGTCCAGGAGGCTTTGATTTTTTTCGCTTCTTTCGAGAATGGTAAGAGTCAATGCCACCGCCTTTTGTTCTACCAGCCGGCAGTGCGCAGCCGCCTTTCACTGCAGACAGGCAAAGAATTGGCAGCAGACACGCAAGCGGCGAGTAAAGAAGGCCGCTACAGTGAGTCTTTGAACTTTCAAAGGCTAGAGCTGCTGTAAGTGCCTATAAGAGGAGCGGCGGATATGGCAGGCAAAGTCAAGAGGCGGGTCGAGATTAAGTTTGAGAAATCGGGCCATGAAGAGTTGCAGCGGTGAGCATGATTCTTAGCAGGTAACGACTTCCTTGCTATCAATGGACTGGTTGAAGATGTTATCGGCCGATTTTGGATGCTTCTTTTCTGGATCTGGCTTTGATTTGCTGTTGGTCGGGCTGCATTTCTCTTTCTGCAGAAGGTCTTTTGTTGTTATAGATGCCGTTTATAGAAGACCCAATTCATTCATTCATTAACCAACAATGAACCATGAATGCTTTCCAAAGGAAGTATGAGTGACTAATGCCAGAAATTAGATTTTGTGTAATTTTAGCATGCATCGCTGTATGAGTGCCCAGGCAAATACACTGACCTACCTGTGTGCAATCCACTATGAATCTGTGAAGCTATTCGCGGCAGCATGACGTCGGGCAAAAAACATGGGCAAAAGACATGGGCAGCTCGCAGCTCGCAGCTCCCCACAGCAGCGCCCCCTTAGCCACATATTCCCAGTAAACAGCTAGCCAGGCGACTTGGCGGGGCCAGCACGGTGAGATTCGTCAGAGCAACTGGACTGGAGTAGAGCTGGCGCCTCGCAGGCCCTCCGCCCCCTCTATCTTTAGCGGTCCTGCCTCTGTAGCCGGAGCCTACCTTGCCTACCTAAGCCAACTCCAGGCACGTTACGTACTCCGTCTCGACATCCGCATCTCCCCACCTGTCCCTAGACTCGAGTCCAGCTGTCAACGGGCCATTGCTGCGCTCCTCCGCCTCCAACAATCCAAGCTTCACCGTCACGACTCTGGGAGCTTGTGCCTGTGCTGCCCACCCTCTGCAATCATGGCGAACCAAACTCCCGCCGTTGTCATGGACAAGTAAGTCTTGATTCCCGCCGCGGACGCATCAGACATGCCGCCCCTCTCTCCTCTCTCCTGGATGGCTCCAGATCAACAGCTCGCAAGGTGCTAACTCGACACTCGTCCAGCGGCACGGGTTTCTCCAAGCTAGGTACTATCTCGCCCGTCCTCGCCGCCAACTGTGCTTGTCGTCTACGAAACTGCAGTCGACTGACTTGAGCTCGCTCTGCTAGGTTTTGCCGGCAACGATTCCCCTTCATTCGTCTTCCCTACCGCCATCGCGACCAAGGCTGCCAGTGGAGGTGCCGGAGGATCAGGATCGGGTCGTCCGGGCGTTGCCAATAAGCCTTCGTTCCTCACCGGAGGAGCTGGCCCCAGCGGCCACCTGAACTCGAAGCGCGGAACCGAGGACTTGGACTTTTACATCGGTGACGAGGCCATTAACGCCGCGGCCGGTCCTGGATACGGCCTCCACTACCCCATCCGCCATGGCCAGATTGAGAACTGGGTATGAGATGAGCAATTGTGGTGTTTGGGAGAGAGACATGGTCTTGTTAACAAACAATTAGGATCACATGGAGCGATTCTGGTCAAACTCCATCTTCAAGTACCTGCGAGTCGAACCCGAAGACCACTACTTCCTTCTCACCGAGCCTGTAGGTTTCCATGATGTATCTTGATGTTTGGAGGTTGCTAACATGTGGTATAGCCGCTGAACCCCCCCGAGAACCGAGAAAACACTGCCGAGATCTTCTTCGAGTCGTTCAATTGTGCCGGCATGTACATTGCGGTGCAAGCTGTTCTTGCTCTCGCGGCCTCTTGGACCTCTTCCAAGGTCTCGGATCGCTCCTTGACCGGTACCGTTATTGATTCTGGTGATGGTGTCACCCACGTCATCCCTGTCGCCGAAGGATACGTTATTGGATCCTCCATCAAGTCGATCCCCGTTGCCGGACGAGACATTACATACTTTGTCCAGTCTCTTCTGCGAGACCGTGGCGAGCCCGATTCCTCTCTGAAGACGGCCCAGGAGATCAAGGAAGAGTACTGCTACGTCTGCCCCGACATTGTCAAGGAGTTTGCCCGCTACGACCGTGACCGCAGCCGCTTTGCCAAGCACGTCGTGACCCAGCCCGGCGGTCGCCAGGTCACCGTCGACGTCGGCTACGAGCGTTTCCTGGCTCCCGAAATCTTCTTCAACCCTGAAATCTACACGTCAGATTTCCTGACCCCGCTGCCAACGGTTGTGGACGGCGTCATCCAGCAGTCCCCAATTGATGTTCGACGAGGCCTATACAAGAACATTGTGCTGTCCGGTGGAAGCACCCTCTACAAGGACTTTGGAAGACGTTTACAGCGAGACATTAAGCTGCTTGTGGATGCTAGAATCCAGGCCAGCGAGCAGCGCAGCGGCGGTGCCCGTAGTGGTGGAGTGGATGTCCAGGTCATTACTCACAAGAGACAGCGACATGGACCCTGGTTCGGCGGCAGTCTGCTCGGCCAGACTCCCGAGTTCCGATCCTACTGCCACACCAAGGCGGAGGTACGTCATACCACCTTTTTGATTGTGCTTTGAAACATGGCTAACATTCGCTTAGTATCAAGAATACGGACCTAGCATTGTGCGAAGATTTGCTCTCCTCGGTGGCCCTGGCGGTTCATAAAAGGTGGTGTTGTAAGTGGTCAAGGGAAGGCGGGGTCTTAGATTTGCGGAAGATGCGTTTTTACTTTAGTGAAAGAGGATATATGCACAATATACTACATATGTACAATTCTCTAGCATGTCCGGTCTGAACAAAGCCACCATGAAGCATGCTTCGCCTCAGCTGAGTCAAGGCAGCGGTAGCCATCATTCGTAAGTACGATGTAGCCACTGCATTTTGGCGCTGATGATGGGCCCTTGATTTGGTTGAAATGCATTTAAAAGTTTACGGCTTTACAGTTTTGAAAAGAACAAGCTGATCAAGTAGATTTCATATTTCATATTTCATATCATTAATCGCATACAAACAGCTGCCGTAATCTCGTTACCTTTACACCCCGCCATCACTTATAAGTACATATCAAATGGAAAGTCAATCCTTGCCCAACAAACAACAAACTCTTCCATGCCCACGCCCACGCCCACACCAAACCGCCAGCCCATACTCCTAGATTTGTATCTGAATCATTATCTTTTCTTGCCTTTTAACTCTCTTGTTTGTTGAGCTTTTGAACACTTTTTTTCAAGCACACAACATCTATTTGGAGGTGTCAACAACATAGCGGCCAGCAATCTTGGCCTCGTGCATCAAATCGTAGACACTCTGGAGCTGGCTCAGGCCAATGGACTTGTAAGGAACGTTGATCAGTCCTCGTGCGAAAAAGTCCAGCGCCTCGGCCGTGTCCGCTCGGTTGCCGACGTAGCTGCCCTTGATGTTGATCATGCGCACGACGGTATCGAAGACGGGAGCAGAGAGGTTGGCGTTGGCGGGGAGACCAATGCAGACCAGGACGCCCTTTGAGCGCAGATAGCATGTGGCCTGCTGGAAGGGCTTCTCCTGCACGGCGACGAGCAGCGCGCCGTAGGGGCCCTCGCCGTCGGGCGTGGCGGCCTTTACGTCGGCGACGATGTCCTTGCTCTTTGTGAAGTCGATAAAGGTGGTGGCGCCGAGCTTGAGGCACAGGTCGCGCTTCTCGTCGCCGGCGTCAATGGCGATGGCGTGGATGCCCATGGCCTTGGCGTACTGGATGGCGATGCTGCCGAGGCCGCCGCCGGCACCGACAATGGCGATTGTCTGGCCGGGCCGCACGAGCGACTCCTTGATGCCCTTGTAGACGGTGATGCCCGCGCAGAGGATGGGCGCAACGGCCTCGAGGTTGGTGCCCTTGGGGATGCGCGCAACGTGGGCGGCTTTGGCAATGGCGTACTCCTGGAACGTGCCGTCGACGGTGTAGCCCGACAGCAGGGCCTTTTTGCAGAGCGACTCGTCGCTGTTCTGGCAGTAGGAGCAGCTGAGGCACGAGCCGTTGAGCCACTTGATGCCGGCGAGGTCGCCGAGCTCAATGTCGGTGACGAGGCTGCCGCGGGCGACGACGACGCCGGCGCCCTCGTGGCCGCCAACGAGGGGCAAGGGTTTTGTGTCGAGGGGCCAGTCGCCCATCATGGCGTGGAGGTCGGTGTGGCAGACGCCCGAGTACTTTACGTTGATGAGAACCTCATCGGGGCCGGGCTGCTGGACGGGGATTCGCTTGTAGGTGGCGGCTGGGAATGAAGGTTAGCTAAAAGGAATTGATATGGGGGACGTGGTGATGGAGACGTACGTCCGCCGACTTTTTCGACGACTTGTGCCCATTGCTCGGTTGGAAGATTGAGGCTGCCCATGATGGATGGAAGGTGTGTGTATTAGGGAATTGACTTTTGTGTATGAGTCTATAATGTGGAAACGAGTCAATTGAGTGAATGGAGAGTTGTTGATGATGAAAAGGAGATGTAGACAGGAACAGCTGGATGGAGGTGACGAGCAGATGTGATTTATATAAACCTTTTTTTTTCCATTAGCCTAGCTCAGCTATAGCTACAGATGCAGTACAGCCCAAGAGGAGTGATATCATCTCATTCCAACTTGGCCTGTATGTCACTCTCTTCTTTCGTCTTCGTCTCTGCCCGTTCTCGGCTGGACGGACCGATCCATGACTGGGTAGCAATCAAATGGCAAGCAGGGGCAGCTTCATCACTAGGCCGATGGTGGAGTGGCTATTCGGCCAGACACAATCTTGTTAGTGTGAAGAGTCACAGCATTTCACGAAAGAATAGCAGCTATACAGGTCGCGATAGTATAAACCACGCGGCAGCCGGTTGCTAGTTCTGGGATTTTCTCGGTCGAGCGACGCCGGGGCCCGGATAACTGGGGCGGAGGGGGAAAGGGCTCAAGGTGGAGTGGAGCGGATTCGCCCATCATGCCATGCCGACATCATGCCATCAAGCCATTGATATCAGATGCCCACCAACTCATGCAGCCTGTAGCCAGAGAGGGAAAAAAAAAAGCAAGCCACATCCTCATGCCCGTGGCCAAATCGATTGAATGCTTTTTCGCCCCCGCTGGCCCTTTGTTTAGGGCATTCTGGTTTCTTTTTTTTCCGTGGACGATGCAGCTTTGTTGATGGGACCCCCACTCTCGGGGACGGCCTCATCGGACAATCCTGAGCTGTTTTGGCACTGTCGAATGTTGTCTTGGTCTGCCGTTGGGCGGCGTTTCTGATGCTTCTATTTCACTACGATGATAGAGAAACGCCGTTCGGAATTGATACGTCACTACGTTTTATCTCGCTATTCAGCTAGATTGTGCAAGGCGTGGGTGTATCATTCGCACGTTTTCTGCTTCTCCGTCCGCGGCTTATACGAGGCTTCACCTCCCGAGCTGCCTCTTGACGGTGCATACACAAGTTTCCACAAAATAGCTGAAGAGCGCCAAGAAGCAGCGCTAGGCGTAACGGAATTGATTCAGAGAATGTAGGCACGGCCTTGGTGTCCACCTTCAGGATCCTTCCTATAGCTGCCACATCCAATCGTTTAAAGCAAGGAATAGACCTACAAGCTCCGCCCTCTTCTCCTCCGCCTAGCTCTCCGCTAGCAGCTTTACACTTTCGACTACAAGTTCAAGTGCCCGATACACAGCTACAGAAGAGATTGGATGCTGAGCGGCAATCACGGGCAAAAGTGGGCTTTGCGCCACAGTGTCCCGCGAAGTGAAACGGCAAGATGAGGGGATGAAGCTCCAGATGCATTGTAGCGTTTTACAGAATTTTTAACCATTAATTCATATCATCACTCAATACGGGGCCAAGGGAAGGGGAATCAATGAGAGGATAAGAGGCAAACGGCCTAGACTAGGGCATCCAATTGCCGTGACACTTACGCGAGTCCGGGGAAGAGGGCGAGTGATGGCGTGGGGTAATCTGATGGATGGCCAGATGGAAACGGAGATGAAGACGGAGATCCTTGACAGCCACTGGGTATTCGTCTAGCTTATACACATAAGCTGGGGCTTCATTGTTTATGCTGCGCTGTCCTGGTGACCAAGTGGCCCGGGGAGTGCCGTAGCGGGAGATGCCGTAGTGTAGATGCACAAGATACACCACAGCCAAAGAAAAGACAGAGAAGAGCCAGTCGGGCACGTACCTGACTCGAGAACAACACGGAACGCCGTTGAGTTCCTATTCCAGCAAGACCACAGCCATCTCCAAGGCTGCTCCAGATCGCCAACTCCATTCTTTTTCCTCTCGTCCTCTTACAAAGCCTGCCGTGTTCATATTAGCGTCCCCCATTACCCCATGTTATCCTCCCTTTCCCCCACAAACATCCTTCTTGCTCAACCAACAGATTCTTCTCGTCCTTTGATCGATTTCATAGCCCAAACCATGCCTACAAATACATCCTAGCACCAAAAAAAGAACCAACAAGCCACGGGCATTCTACCCCATACAATTATAGAAAACGGACCGCAAGCCCAGCCCGTTCCGCCGATAGATGCGGGACCCGATACGCCTCTTTTTTCGCTCGCTCGAACGGAATCCTCTCAAGAGCCTCTCCTCTCCGCTAGGCCTCTTTTACTAGTTAAAGTTATGCACCTAATCTTCTCCATATCTATGCTATCTGTTTTACCCCAGCTTTCCTACTGCCATCTCACCTTGTAAGAAAACAATCTGGGGTGCATTGATTGGATTGCCTGCTATTGATAGAAGGGCGCCAAGCTGTGTTTCATGGGGGGGAGGCGTCAGTCCGGCGATGCGGATGAAAGATTCGTTAGATGCGGGGAAAACGGAGCCCTTGAGCTTAGAGCATGAGGTGTCAGCTCCATCAATTTTTGGTTTGGTAGGGATTTGCCTCGCAAAGAAAATGTTTTGTTGAGGTTTGTCGTCGTAATGGGCTCCATAGAGCTGGCCTGTGTCGAGTAATGCTGGTCACAAGGCATCCATATTATGTTGGAAGGCGTATCGGTGGTTCCGGCGTGTCTGCGATATATCTCCCAGTAACCAAGGGCCAGCATCTATTAAATCTGCAATTCAATCTCTCGGCATATTGCCCTTCTCAGCGGTGGTTGCGCCAGATTAATGGTGCCGTCCATCTGCCCGTCCATGCATTCCCGCAGTCATCCAACTGGAATCTCTTGTTAGAACTGCTATACGATATCCTCCTTGATTCCCTCAACACGTTTACATCTACAACCGGCCTTGCTCTACTCTCCTCGCCCTGCCGTTCACGACGAGAAAGTTCTTGTCTGCTCAATCCCGCATACTAGTCACTGTGGAAAGGCAAGCTGACACCTCGACGATTAGATCCCATTAGAGTATCGACTTCACAGCCCGCGTGGAAGCTTATAATTGGAACTTGAAAGATTCATTATTTCATTAAAGAACAGACGCTCGAAATATCCCGTCATGTGTGCCTAGTTGCCTCGCAACATCTTATTTCGTTTCCTCCTCTGCACCTTTTTTCTTTATTTACGCAGTAGCAGCAACCTCGACTGACTGAGGGACGCCGTCGGCAGTGGCAGAGTTGATCTTCTTGCCGGTCTTGTAGATCTTCTCCAAGACGGTCTCGTAGGGCAGGCTGGTGGTGACGACTGCGGTCTGTTTCTCGAGGGAAACCTCGTAGCTATCGACGCCTGGAAAAGTGAAACTGTCAGCTACTGCTGCTGTTGCAACAACGAAGAGGGAGAAAATGATGCCAGAGGGTAACATACCGTCGAGCTTCTTGAGGACACGGTCAATGGCGCCAGAGCAGCCGCCGCAGGTCATGGTGACATCGAACTGGTAGGTGTGAGGGGAGGCCATTTTTGCAGATGGGGAGTTTTGTAAAGGTTGAAGTTTTAAGTTGGTGAAAGAGGTTCGTTGTTGTAGATATGGCTTGATTGATTATCTGTCTGTTTGGGAAGAAAAGTTGCGAGGTCCAACACTTGTTCTTATAAAGATTGCACCGCTGACCACCCGCCGGATTAAATCAGATTAATAATTGATCCTTTTTCGCGCTGCTATCGCAGCCGCCCAACAAAAACCCCACCAGAAACAAGGGAAGGTCCAAAACAAGTGAGCAAGTTTCACGCCGCGGCTGACTCCTTCTTAGCGGGGTAGCCAGATTCTGCGTACCCGGTACCTACCTAGGCGGGAGATGTAGCGTTGGCTTTACGCTTGAACCAGCGCAAGCGTTGTCTCGAGATAAAAGTAGCTGGTACTTGCATCTCCCCCTTGGGACACAAACAGTTACAGCGAGGCCCGTGGCGCAATCTGCGCTTCTGTGACGAGCACCGGCTGCTGCCGAGACGTGAAACGCAGCAGGAGGCGACTCGAGGAGGACAGAATCGACAATAAGGAGGCAGCGTTTGTCAATACGGATAAGAGTAGTCAATCATCTCTGCATTCCTTTACTTTTTCTAAAACTTGCTCACATCACAAGGAGAGAAACTATTGTTTTGTTTGGTTCCTCGCTTCCCCTTTTCCCACTGTGTTACTGATGTCGAATATTGTTCTCGCCCAATTCTGATACAAGTGCTGCGGTATTTGTGCCGGATGCATATTCGCGGAGGATTACACGCCAATAGAATCACAGACGAGAACAAGGGATGCCATGTTCGGCACAAAGAGCGCAACGCTTGTGTCAGCTTCGATAATGATTGGTAACCATTGATATCTACATCACTCGTAATTACACAAACCTGTAGCAATCCGTAGTGATGCAAGATTCAAACACAGCAAATAAAGTTAACAAGAAAAAAAAAGAAGCATGTCATTATGCACGCCTAGGCTATGCTGTCGTTGCTATATAAAAGAAATCGCCCTATAATACACGCAAAAAACAAGCTTATTCATAGCCCATCATCGCATTTCCCCCCCTTTGCTTTTCAGAACCGCGCCTCGACCTTGTCCCGCGTCTCCTGCAGCGCCCAGTCGTTCCTCGCCGTCTTGCTCATCACCTCATCCGCCTGCTCCTTGGTGAAGCCCTTTGCCTCCACCGCCGGGTTGTAGCCCAACTTGTTCGCCTTGCCCACCGTCTCCGAGTCCACCACGGCCGCAGCCTCGCCATCCGCGCGCCTCAGAATCGTCACCACCACGGCGCCGCCCAGCCCCAGGTTGTGCGCCATGGCGAACCTCGTGTTGGGCACGGCGCGGTTGTTGGCCCAGCCGCGCAGGTGCCAGACCAGCTCGGCGCACTGCGCAATGCCCGTCGCGCCCAGCGGATGGCCCTTGGAGGTGAGGCCGCCCGACGGGTTGATGACATACTTGCCGCCGTAGGTGATGTCGCCGTTGCGCACCAGCTCGTGCGCCTTGCCCTTGTCGCTGAGCCCCAGCGCGTCAATCACAATCAGCTCGTTGGTGCTGAAGCAGTCGTGCAGCTCCACCACCTGCACGTCGCGCGGCGTGATGCCCGCCTCGGCCGTGGCCTCCTTGACGGCGTGCTGGATCATCTCGTAGCCCAGCAGGTTGATGTCGCTGCGCGAAAACAGGCTCGGCCCGTCCGTCGCCAGCGACTGGCCCGCGATCAGCACCGCCTGCGACTTGAGGTGCGGCTGCTGGTCCAGAAACGCCTGCGAGACGAGAATCGCCGCCGCGCCGCCGTCCGACGTCGGGCAGCACTGCAGCTTGGTCAGGGGCTCGTAGATGGTGGGCGACTGCAGGATCTCGTCCAGCGTGTACACCTGCTGGAACTGCGAGTACGGGTTGTTGGGCGAGTGGGCGTGGTTGACGCGCGCAATCTCGGCAAAGTCCTCGGCCCTGGCGCCGTACTTCTCCATGTACTCCCTGCCGCCGTTGCCAAACAGCTGCGCGGTGCCCGGCGCGTTGGTGATGCCGCGCGTCTCGGCCATCTGCTTGACAAACGTGCCCGTCGGGCTCTCGCGGTCCTTCCAGAAGCTCTGCAGGCTGCCCGGGTTCATCTTCTCAAAGCCCACCACCATGACGCAGTCGTTCATGCCGCTGGCGATGAACTGGCGGCCCATGGCCATGCCCGTCGACCCCGTCGAGCAGTTGTTGTTGACGTTGTAGACGGGGATCTTGGTCAGGCCAAACTGGTAAAAGACGCGCTGGCCGGCGGTGCTGTCGCCGTAGCAGTAGCAGGCGATGCCCTGCTCGACGTCGTCGTAGTTGATTTGCGCGTCCAGCAGCGCCTTGACGCCGGCCTCGAAGCCCAGCTCCGTGTAGTCGACCTTGCCCCGGGGCTTGATGAACTTTGTCATGCCCACGCCGAGGATGTAGACGGGCGCCTTTTGTTTAGGAGCCATGGCTGTGAAACGTCTGTTTTATTTATATTTGCTTATTGATGGCTCACGTAAAACGTGTAATGAAAGATGCTGCGTTCTTTTAGCAGTGTCGCCGCCCCTTGTATATATATCAAGCTGCCATTGCCTGCGGAGTACACGGAGTATATGCATCCCTTGCCGGCGAGAATGCGGGGAGGTGCGCTGATCTCTACTCCGGGACGCCATGCCGAGGTTCGTCTGGCGAGCGGCCCGTGGTGTCCGTATTACCCGTTTCAGCCAAAAGTTCCTATACTGGACTGGCCATCAGACATGGTGCCTCTTGTGGCAGGCCGAGCACGTGTGAGCTCTTCGCTGCCATCTGAATCAGGAAATAAGTTTGACTTGCTACGGGTTTGCGTATAGACCAGCCGAGGTGTAGCGAGGTAAATTACCTATGCCTCGTAGCCGTGTATACTGCTGAAGAATATAGCTGGTTGCTTGGTCTTTTCGGCAAAATCGGGGCTTTTGGCCAGGAGTGGCATAAGTCACCGACCGAGCATCCCAGACTTTTTAAAAATTGCACCAGGCTCATGTCTTACAAAAGAAAAAGAGGCCATAACAGTATTTGTAACAGGAGAAAGAAAAAGGCTGCTTATATAAATGGACATTTCTTTCAGCAAGTTCCAAGTCATGTGACGTAATCCCTAAACCCACAGCCGGAGTTGTTATGGGCCTTTTTTTTCTGCCATGGAATTTTACATCGAGAAAATTAATGGTCCCGAGTCTGACCGGCCGAGTGGCACGGCTCCGAAGGGGGGTCATATAATGTGACCGCGTATTCGGCCGAGTGGACAAACTCATTCAGAACATTTGCCCGTGTGGGCTTTGCAATGAAATGGAAATGAATAGAAAAGGGAGAAAAAGTATTTAAAGAGGGTAAATCAACAATTTTTTTTTTTAGCATTCGTAGAAATCAAATAACGGGCAAAGAAACATTTTTCCCAAAAGCCGACTTGAGCACCCTTCATTGAAGCTATCTTAACATCTGCTCCAAGATTCACTTACACGCCTTCACTTGTCCTCATTACACTCTCAAATTAATCACCAACATCTTATCTCGAATACACCTACCGCAATCAAATAAAAAATGCACATCTTCATCTCCGGAGCCACCGGCCGCAACGGCCGCCTCATCCTCGCCGAGGCCCTCTCCCACAACCACACCGTCACCGTCCTCGCCCGCGATCCATCCTCCCTCACACCACACCCGAATCTCACAATCATCCAAGGTGCGTGACAAACAAAAAACATGCCCCTTTTTATTCTACTATTTTCCTCTGAAATTCCCAATTCCACACAAGAAAGAAAGCTAATCTCGCACATTACAGGAACGCCAACCTCCCTCCAAGACGTGCAAACCGCCCTCTCAACACCATCCCCCCCCTCCGCCATCCTCACAACCCTCAACCAGCGCCGCGTATCCGACAACCCCTTCTCGGCACTGCACCCCGACACGCCCCCGGACCTGCTCACCTCCACCGCGCGGGTCCTCCTCTCCGGCATTGCAAACACAGCCTTTTCCGAGACCCCCAAAATCATCATCAACTCCCTCTTTGGCGCGCGCGAATCCATGGACAACATGGGCTGGCTCTTCCGCTCCGTGCTGACTCACAGCACAATGAAGATTGCCATCAAGGACCACAACAACATGGACGAGTTGGTTCGTAAAAGCGGGATTCCGTTTGTCTTTGCGAGGCCGGCGAGGCTGACCGAGGGTCCTGCTGAGGCGGTCCGGGTCTGGCCGGATGATGGGCAGGGTGTAGGCTGGAATGCGGCCATTAGCAGGGCTAGCTTGGCTGAGTGGATGGTCAAGGCAGCTGAGGCGAGCGAGTGGGATGGCAAGTCCCCGGTGCTGACAAAATAGGATGCAAGGATTGCGGTTACAAGCCAGGTTGTTGTGGAGGGGATTGTGTTCTTCTCTCCTCTTCTTTCCTAGAATAGATAGTATCTCTCAGACAATACATCAGAATAGGCAGTCAGTCACATGTTAAAGAAGCAGCAAAAAGACAGAAGCAAAAAGAACCCCCGTCATACATATTGCTATGCCGTACGGGTGCTAACCCTCTTTTACCTAGCCATGCGTCCTTCAAGTATTGTACAAAAACAGCTGAAACAGTAAATCCTTCCCCCCCAAAAGTCACGCGCATATGGGTATCTCCTCTCTCTCTCCCCCCTCTTCTTTCTCGCGACGACCATCCGAAATTCGACAGTCGCCTTGCTCAAAGAGCCCAATTCTCACTTATCTCTCATACCAAGCAATTTCTCTCCGGAGCAAAGGAAACCAGTAACCAGATTCATCACTCATCCTCATCCAAGCCGTAAATAACACAAAACAGCGGATAAGATGAAAGATTTACACGGAAAATAAAATACCACAAAGCCTCTGCAGAGACTTGGTATCAATCCCAACCATCCCACATGATCCAACCGCCAAATTCTTGGGTGTGATCCGACATGCCTCCCATGCCGTACCCTTGCTGTATATACGGCATCCTGCCATGAGCGTACGCATCGCGTTGGTATTCATTGACATTACCCAATGATGGGTTTCGAAGTTTCTCCGTCGTCATATTGGTGGCTCTCAAACAAGCATTCAGCAGGTCAAACATGGTATTCGTAATCTCCTCGCTTCTAACATCGGCTTTTCTCACGCTCTCCAGAACAACAGCGACGCAGAGAATGTCCTTGAGGTCGCTGCCACGAACCTGCCCAACGAGCAGTTCGATTATTTTTTGCACCGTGCTGATGAGCCGTGACGGCGACCAAAGCATCAAGTCATCTGGGACATAGGTTGGGAATGGAATGTACGACGGCACATCATCCGAGGGCCCCGGCGAAGCCCTGAGTCCTTGCTGAGCGAGCATGCTGCTGTTGGCAGAAGGACGAATAGCCGATTTGATAAAATAGCACACGCTCAGCGAAGCCTGGATAATGTCTCGCTTCAACAGCTGCATATACATTTGATAAATGTCGTCAAAATGCGGCAAGGTGGGGTCCAGCTCGTCGAGGTATTTCAATATCACCATGCATGATCGAAGATACGCCCGTGAGATTAGCGTCGGCGCCTCGGGGGCTGCCATGGCAAATGGTCGATACAACGCCAGCAGTGGGCGTCGCACATGCATATCGAGAATGACCCGGTTCCGCCAGAGTCTGCTCTTTCCAATATCATTGAGAGCGTGCCGGGGAAAGATGTAGTTGATATCTTCAATGAATCGCTCCAGCTTCCCGCCCACATCCAGCACCTCCTGGTAGTCACGGATGGTGTCGATGCGATTAATCATGTGAGCCACCTTCATCCGAGTGGGGAGGGTCATGGACGCATAGACTTGCATCTGACTATCTGTTACTTGATCCAAGGGCCTCGAGGGCGGCAGCTCAGTCATCTCTGGAAAGAGCTCGCTGTCGTCCAGATTTCGCGGCGGCCGACAGGTATAGTCGCCCTCACGAACGAGACAGGGCATATTTGCGAGAATTGACATGTACAAGTCCATGTCTAGGACCGTGAACCACAGCCTCCTTCTAATCTCGCCGTGGAATGGGGTCATTCGCGGCTCGAATTCTGAGGGATCTCTGTGAAGGCCCATGGACATGGCCATGCGGACCACGAACCCCAAGTGGTTCCAGGAATCCTGCGGGCGTGTGATGATCATCCTCTGTGCGAGCAGCAGAAGCACCTCGGCCTGCAACGTAGCAAGCTCAACAAGCTGTTTACCCTTTAAGCTGTCCAACCAAATCCTAACCAGTGCACATGCGGTCGGGATGTGCACGCCTTCTATGCGCTCGGTAGCTAGGCCCCTGGATTTGGATTCATATCTAGACGAAACTGCTATCACGGAGAGCATCTGCGGGAGGAAATGCTCTGGCTGCGGCTTGCCCTCCCAGTATTGATTGTACTGTTCCGCAAAGGTCGGGACGTGAATGATTCTATACTGGGTCTCTGATGTTTCGATATACGCAGTCACCAGTCTATCACAGATGGACTTTTTCGGCAGGATATCCGTCATTCTCTTGTGGATTGGCATCATGGAGTCCACAAAGACGGTGATTGGGGTCAACGCCTTGGCCGACTCGCTTCGTATGTGCTTGTGTAGGATTTCAAAGCTGGGGAAAGGCTCTCGCTGGCAGTTGTGAGTTACATATGCCTTTGCATCGTCAAACTAAACAAGCAAATATCAAGTCAGCCATTTTATCGCTATACTAGGGGTCATGAATCAAAAGCACGTCCTCTAGTCGCCTGCTTATTTGATTTACATCCAAACACCCATCCATACTTACCAGATTCAATAGCACTCGAGGGTCGTTTTGCCCAAAATATCGCGTTCGCAAGGCATCGCGCTTCACCGTCAACCCCCGTATAGTCTCTGGAGCTGCCGCAACTATCCTGGGCCCGCCAAGGTCGGATCTGCTCGTGCTTCGCACAAGAACATGCTTTTCCAGTCGTTCCATTCGTATGGAAAGGTCTTCGAGCATCGGCAGGCTCGTAGAATCGGTAGGTCTTGACGATCTGGCCGCAGAAGGAGCTTCGTTGTATGGACTACTGGCCATGGGAGGGATAGTGCTGTGCGAAAAGTTGCGCTTGGCCGGCCGGCTGGGCTCAGCAGCCTCTGCATCTGAGCCGTCGGACAGGTTGCCCGACTCCTGATCCGGCGCGTACTTGCATTCGCGGTTCGCCTTGTGGCATTGTGAGCAGGGACAGGCACGGTCGCAGCGAAGCTTGCGCTTGCGACACTCGGTGCATGACTTGACGGGCCTCGGTCGTTTGACGCTGCGCTGGGCAGGCTGCTGTTGTTGCTGTTGCTGCTTCTGCGCCTGTTGGTGAAGCTGTTGCTGCGACGACTGTGTCACCAGGCCGAGATGCTGGTGCGGCAGCTGTCGCGGCGAGGGCTGCTGAGACATTGAGGAAGTGTCGTAGGGACTCGCTCCGTCACTCGGGTTGGAAGCATCAACGCCCACGGCGGCGGGCGAGGGCGCCACTCCCGCGTCCGTGATGGAAGGATACGTATGCATTGAAGCCATCTGGCGGGCACGGCTGGCATAGAATAGCGCAGAGACGGGGGGGGATATGGGGATGGGAGATTGTATATTAACGGCCAAACGGCCGAGTGATTCGGCCGAATCGGAGCAGAAGACGGTGGAGGACAAGATTGAAAGCAGTATCGACTCTCGACTAGCGGAGAAACCTTGCGATGTCAAGGAGACGATACAGGTCGCTTATCAAAATCCGGTAGCACGCCGAGCATAGCGACAAGGCAGTGAGAGTAACAGGAGCTGTGAGATAAGGCAGAGGGAAGGGAGGGGGATTGGAGAGGATTGGAGGCTGTGGCTTGAAAAAAGAGAGACTGTTCTGACTCTCTTCCTTTTTCCTTGTGCTCACACACCACACTCTCGTCTATCTTTGTCTCTCTCTCGTCTCTCACACAGACCGAGCGAGTGATTGGTCAACGAATAGCCCGTTTCAGCAATTCCTCCACGCAGCTAATGTGCGTCTTCGCGGGCTTGCGTCTCCCAATTGGGCAAAAGAACAGCAAAGATCTCGTTTCTCAAACAAGCTGCGATCTGGCGGTTCGGGCGCATGTCAGTCAGTGTACCATATGTATGTATGTATGTATGTACGTAGTGTATGTATGATGAGACGGACGGTGGGTGTGAGGTTGTGATCGGCGTGGGTTGGACCCCATGTCAGAGCCAAAGCTAAGCTGCACGCTCGGAGTACTCCGTACCTATTATTCTCCGCCCTTTTTTTGGTCCCCAGCCAGGCTTCTATTTTTCCTCGAGCCAGCGCATGCCTAGCAGCGAATTTTCTGGAGCCGTCGGTAGCTTGCAGACGCAAACTGCACACCACGGGCTGGTCTTAGCGAGACTGGGCTGCTCGGCCGAACCATGGCCCTGCCCTGGCCTTGCTTTTTGCTTTTGCTGCTGCAGAACGTCAAGCGTCGCCGGTCTGTGTGGGCGGGGCCCAGGTCCGGAGCTACTGCGCGACGGCCAGGAATGGCTTCGACCGGGCACAAAGTCAAGGTCAAAAAGGAGTCGACTTTGATCTTGGTTGGGCCAGGACCCGATCATCAGACGCCGCGCTGGGGATTCAGGCCAGCCCAGGCAGCGCCACGGCCACGTGACGGCGGAATTTCCCAGCAACAACGTGTGTCCCAGCGCTGACCCTGATGGACTGCGATGAGAATCCCTAGTATTGTATGTCTGATGGGTGAGATAGATCTCCTATCGGCAGTTGCCAGTGACAGCACACTTGGCGGTTGAAACAGCCTTTTGCGCTGGACAAGGCAGACAAGCATTCGGCCGGCTCCATCAGGCAATTAAGGTTGCCATTGCTCCGACGCTTATACACGCAGCCGTACCACAGTCATCTGGAGCGCCAGCCAGAGTAAGATGCTCGTACTACAGTATCATCTACCTCTAGATTTCTAGGTACAGAAGTAGTTCTACTTACCTTACTGCTTTGTATACCGATATCCAACGGTGAATGCATGTATACGAGTACGGACAAGGGGACCAGCCACAAAGAGTACCTATCCCATGGCCCGTCTGGCATATCGCCGGTCTGGCTGGGGTCTTTGGTCGAAAAATCAAATCTGGTCTGTGCAAGACCCAGCAAGCTGTCACAGGTATGGAGCTTTCAGGTATGGAGCTTTATGCCTCCACGGTAGCATTCTGGGCCGGTACCTAGTGGCAGAGAGGTTGGTGGTACTGGAGCAAAGCAAGCCGGAGTATCAAGTCGTAGTAGCATCGACTGCATCTTGGTAGAGCTGCACTAACACGGAAATGCCACTTGACAGCACCACCGACCGCTACCAGGTTCTAGCCCAGCTCGAATCAGCTCTGCCCTCCCGTACGCATATATAAGTACATGTACACGGCTGTCTCATGCCCCAAGCATCCAAAGCCAATCACTCAATTGCTCGAGATCGTCCTCTCCTGTCAGCAGCACGGCAAGTTCCTCAAAAGTATGAAATCCCGCTAGCCCCAGCACTAGCAGCGCCGCATCCCTGAACGCTGCTCAGCGCCTTGCAGCCGCAAAGAGCAAGGGGGTCCGGCGGCTCGTGCGCGGGTGGGTTGCTGCCGGAGCAACGTCAGAAGAAAATCGAGTCTGGGTGTCAAAAGTCGTCTGTTCTGTAGGTAGGCAGTAGTGCTCCGTAGTGCTGGAGATCGATATAAGCGGAAACATTGCCGTGCCTGCAGCACCGCCGGGGCACTTGGCCGTTTTGGAGCAGCATTTCCTGGGTCAACGCACCAAAGAGTCGAAAGGGAGCAGGCACAACTTTTTTCTTTTTTTCTTTTTTTCCATTGCTGACACGGTTTGCTCGGTATGAGTAAGAAAAAAGGGCTGAGAGATGGTCAAGAGCAGCAACAAAAGTCTCTCCAGAATGGCAACGCAGCGGCAGTTACCGTGGCCTTCTTCCACATTCATTTAGTAGTACATACATACCTACTAGCAGTCTCCAAATGCCTAGCACAGGGCTAAGGAGCCAAACCTCCGATTGTCTCTGCTCTGCAGCGCCCACATCAGCTACGACTAATATCGAACACACCACCAGCTTAGCCTCGGAGCAGCTCTCTGTTAGTGCTGTTTTAGCAGCAGCAGTCCTAGCCGAGTCCTAGCTGAGCCCTTTTGTCGCTATGGAGCCTCGCTCTTCCCGGCCGAGTGCTACGACACGCCGGGTCGGACGAATGGCCATGCAGCTATTCGCACGACGCCGAGCAGTGGTGGCTCTGGCCTATGCAAGACACGTATCTCGGCTGGGAGGGGGATCGTCGATGCAACCAAGGCGGTGCCGGCTGCGACTGCTGGTGGCATTTGACGTATATGTGCCTCCATGTAGGCGTTATAGCATTGCATGCCTGCGTGGAATAGGCAACTTGGAGCAGCGGCATATGCATCTCTGAGGCAGCAGCTTTTCAGCATCGCCAGCATCGCCAGCATCACCGCTCCAGGCAAAGCTCCGGCCCATCTCCTCGGTTACGCGTACTTCACTCGCAAACAGCAGCAATGCCGCTCCTTGTTCCAGATAGTCCTCGGTCTCGCATAGCTCACGACGCAGACACAAAACCCACTTCCTTTTGCCAGACCGAGTCACATATCCGCTCCCCGTCAACCTCACAAAGTACCTGGTCTGGCTGTCTCTCTCTCTTCCCCCCCTTTCATTCTTTTTCTCCGTTGCGGCCTCGACGTTAAGCCCTTGAGACGCAGTTCAGTTCAGCCCGCTTCTCTTTTTTATCTCTCTCTCCTCTTCTCATCGGGCAGCATGCCCATAACGGCAGAACGCGACAAGAGTTCAAATACGGGTGGCGGTCAAGGTAGGGGTCTAGAAGATACATGGCTTCAACCGTCCCTGGCTGCAGCAACAGCCACAGCTTTGGAGCAATAGCTTCATCGTCATTCCTGCAGCCACCATGTGAGAGCAGCTTAGCATGGGTCCGTACGGGACAAATCCCATTACCGACTCGGAATTTGACTCCGGAATTGCAGGCATCTCGCATCCCCCCCAAACCACATCCATGTTTCCCCCCCCTCCCCTAGCAAGAAACTCCCCGTCTTTCTCGGCTCCTCCAGGCTAAAAAGCCAAAACAAAAGATAGAGACCAAATTACGGACAAATCGGCCAATACTGACACAAACGGGAAATTCTTGTAGATATTCCGCTTGCCAAGGACTGCTAGCGTACAGCCTGTACACCAACACCTACTTGACGTCTTTTCCATGCGAGGCGCGCCCTTTTTCCACATCTCCACAGGTCGCTCTCCGCCCTATCGTCATTGTGAACCAATTCCAGCTCAGCCAGCTGGATTTAGCATTTTCCTTTGTCTTCTCCTTTCTCTTTGTTTTTCTTCTTCTTCCGTGGCGGGCGTGGCTCATCGTCATCATCATCATTCTCACCATCCTCTTCTCCGGGGAGCTAACACTTTCTCTTTTCCAGCCCGGCGCGTATAAATAGATTCCGGGCCTTTTACACAAGGTTGATGAAAGATGACGGAGTGGATCTCCTCCCCCGGCCACACTCAGCCTTTTTTTTTTGGCCCTACGAAGCCTTGACGCGATAAACGGTAGAGTGAGAAAATAGAGACGCCGTAGTGTGTTAAAAATAGGCACTATCCCAAACAAAATCAGCATGTAGCGTGCTTACCATGTAATATCAGATTATCCTACTTGTACACGCAGGAAAGCCCTGCAGTCCCCCTGATTGGGCAACGAGGAGAGATTAGCCAACTTGGTTTTGATACGCTTTTCTGTCGTTGAAGGAACAAATCTAGAGCCAGCTGCACTAGGCAAATCCCATTGTCTCTTTCAAGGCATCGCGCGCTCTTCAACAGGGTGCATGTAGCTTGAGCGCAGTTTAAATCGGTCAACATAGTAACTACTCCAACTGTTTGTTATGCCGCATGCAGCAAGTAACAGTTATTACAATCGCGTTATAATTACGTAGTCAACAAAAGCAAGCAGTCCTTGTGTTTGTTTGTCATTGCTTGCTCTGGAGCTGTTATTACAGTATTTAGTTCTCTTATAGATAAAAAAAAACATCGAGCGAATTACTCCATGCATACAATTACAGGCTTGGCACGATCAAACTCTGGCTATCAGCAGTATCGCCATTAGTAGCAACGATTAATACTACTTGTTTCCTTCTACTCCGAGGGGTCATGGATCATGCTAGATAGAGCGGCAGACGGCTCGGGAAAAGGCGAGGGCGGGTACTTGCTTATACCCGCGTATCCTTGAATCCTTCCTGCGCGTATAGTGTACCAGCTAAGGCAGTAGATGAATGCTCCCATGGTTCTATAATTAATATCCACGGTCAACTATCCTGCAGAATAGTGGTGCTTCGTCCGATATAACAACGTTTCTAACACCATCACGATCCATGCTGACCGGCTTGATGACCAGCTTGATGACCAGACAGGGTAAGCAGCCAGGGGCACATTCACGGAAGAGGTATGGATGCACGGATTCGCGGAAAAGCTCATGATCAACAACCATCCAAACAGGAGAGCAGCTACCGCCAAAGGATATCCGTTCTATATAGGTCCCTTACTCATGGCCCTGCAGCAGCATGTACTATCTACGAGTTTCGTCGTCATCTTCCTCCTCCTCTCTTGCCGCCTCATGGCCCCCCGTCTCCGTCGTATCCGCCCCAGCGCCCCGTCCAAATCCAAACATCTGCATGAACCTGCGCATGAGCCCTTGATCCTCAGCGCTCTCCGCCGCCTCATTTGTGACATCCTGCTCGAGCCCCTCATCCGTAGCATTCTGTTCGTGCTCGAGTCCAAAATCCCCAGCTTCGCCATTGCCCCATCGTTGCAATGCTAGCATTTCGCGTGCTGCAGGGTCTTCTTCATCTTCATCTTCTCCTACTCCTACTCCAGCAATTGCCCCTCTGCCTGGTTGCCCAATCAGTTCCTCCACCTGAGCAAAGAACTCCTCGAGAGCCGCCGGGGGGTGGCCCCTGGCAGACTGTCGCTCGCGCCAGGGGAGCCTGCATCCTTCAGCCGTGAAGATGTTGTCTTCCTCCGCGGGCGGCAGCGGATCGAATTCGTAGTTGGGCTGCTGGTCAAATACGTCCCATGGCAAGAGCCCCATGAGAGATGTCTCCCCATTTAAGAAGATTAATCTGGCGAGGCCCATGTCAATTTTCAGGTCGCTTGTAGCCTCTGTTTTGTCAATGTCTGCCCGATCGATGCCCTTGGCTACATCCTCCAAGAGTGACTTTGCTTCGGGGCTGTTCCATAAGTCTCCTACTTGATGCACGTATAATTGCGTCAAAAAGGGGCGGGCACCTCCCTCAGCTTTGACGCCCCAGATGGATTGTGGGATGTCAAGGTTCAATGTTTGGAATAAAGCCGAGTATAACCAGGGAACTTTCTTCATTCCATCGACGATATCTTGCCTAGCCTTCTCAGCATCGCCAACCTGTAGTCTCGCCAATACTCGACTCTGCATAAGGTATGCGGAGTCTTCTCTCTCGCCTTTCGTGTCTAATTGGCCCAAGAAATCAAGGAGCCAATCCGATTCGTGTGCCTTGAGAGCCAGAGAGTGAATCATATGCCTCATCGCATAAGGATCGCTACGGTCCAGGGAGTAGAGCAGCTTCGCCCACTCCAGTGCAGTCTTATAAGTTCCCTTCCTGATGAGGCTTTTTATGTAGTGGTATCCGGCGAGCCAGAACTGGCGGTTCTCCGGCCTTCTGAAATCCAAGCGAGCCATTCCATGCTCGAGATTTTGCTTGAATGACGAGAGCGCCACTCGGCCAAAGCTGAACAAGGCGCGCTCACAAAGCTCTGCAGAGAGGGCCATGTTCTGGTCCTGCTTTGCAACGCTGCTCACTTGGAGTAGAGTAGAGACATGGTAGGCTGCCCAGCTGGTGTCAGTAAAATGTTCAACATTAATAAAGAATTCAAAGCTCTACTCACGAAATCTTTTGAGCAAGTACACCATCCTCATGGGGTCTCCCATCTGCACCTGTACGAAAAACATGGTCTGGACGTCGTCGTAGTCCTTGTTGTGCACGAAAGTGTATTCCACTCCAGTCCCATCAGCAGTCTTGCCAAGCTCTTTCATAGACAGGCCTCCAGTCGGCCTCAGCGGCCAGTGGTCTCTTCCATGGATGAAGACGTTGCGCTTCCGAGAGCTCTCAGGCAGCTTGCGGCCATCCGTCGGCCACTTGAGGAAAGTCTCAATGTCCATCTGCTGCGGCATATTCCTTCGGCGTGTCCCGCGGCGCTGCTCCTCCTCATCCACCGCTGCCGACTCAATGATGTCCCGGCCGAATAGGTTTCGCATCTCATTGGCCACTTTGAGGTTATACGGATTGATTTTCAGAATGTTGTTGAGCGCTGAACCATTGTCCTGAGATGACCCATCCTGAACCCGCGGCTCGATTTTCAACTCTCTGATTGCTCGGTCAATCTCATCATCTTCGCTATGCTCAGCGTCCTGGGCCTGAGCCGCCGCCTTATTTTTCTTGCTCTTCTTCTTCTTCTTTTTGCTCTTCCGCGCAGCAGCTGGAGCAGCTGGCTCTTCCACAGGCGATACCGGAGCTTTTGCTTCTTGCTCTACCTCTTCGCTCTCATCACCACCGTCACCATCGTCGCCTCCGAGCGCAGCAAACAGATTGGCCCGAGGTTTTGCCACTACAGGAGCAATTTCGTCATTGCTGGCATCGCCATCGCTGCCTTCAGACTCTTGCGCAGCCTTTGCCTCTAGCTCTCTCTGCTTCTGCAGCTTGCGAAGCTGTCTTGTCGACATTTTGGATCTCTGTGAGGACCGACTTGGTTATTGTGTATGGTGCCCCTCCTTCATAAAGCGAGTGATTGCGCCAAAACCCGAAGCAAGGATCCTATGAAACGAGCTCAACGCTGAAAGAAAACAAAGCAATTGAAATGGAGGCAGTAATCGAGCAGCACAGGGACGGTTCCAAGCTATTATAGCCAACTACACAAGACAATTCGGATTGAAAGCCTTGAGCTTCATGCAATAACCAAGGCCAAGTTCCAAGCTCCAGGTTATTTGGCTACGCAGCTATTGAGAACCGGTAGGGCTCAGCTTAATATGCGTCACGCCGTCTCGAGTTCTTAGTGGGGCTGAGCGGCAAAACCCACTTCAGCCATGACTGTTGCCCGAAAGCTAGAAACTTCGAATGCTGAACTTATTCACGGATCTACGCGGCCCGATTCTGTTGGAATTACAATCGCCTTTTTACTGTGGCAGGCAATAAAGTTTGGGGCTTTTCCTTTACCTCTTCACTTTATTTGGCAACGAGCTGTGGATGCTATTACTCAGTATGAGTTATTAACTTATTAAGCTTTTTAATTGCCTGACTGCTTTGATCAGACCCGTGCTTCGCGTAGACAATAATACAGAATCATATATCCGCATGCGTTTCCCCAGCTTCATTGACCAGTATAGAAAATTCAACTCATGTTTATTTGTTTCCCACTCCTGGTGAGGTTATTTGTTCTTCGTTCATCATGTATCCTCATGATTCATGGAATACCCGCCTGTGCTCCTTTGAAACGCAATCCGAACTCCGGCATCATCATCGGGTTCCGTGACCGTTGAAAACCGTAGCTCACATCCTGAGCTAAAAGCAAATCAAATATGACTAAAAGTCTTCGTAGCTGCTACAGAGCAGTTTCGAAAGACAAACATCGCGAGATTTTGGTACATTAGTAAAAGAGAATTACGGAAAGAAAATTGCGGAGGCTCAGATCGTAGTAAGAGCCTATATAGAGGTGTTTTAGTATCACCACGCCAGTGCCTGTCTCTGGAGTTTGAGACAATTGAGGTTGTTCGTGTTGCTGTTGGTTTCACCGGGATTGAAAAGTCGCCTGGCTCTAAATGAACCTTACTGGCCAGCGGCAGTGGACTGGTATTGTGGGCGAGGGCCTCCTCGGCCGCCACGATTAAACCCGCCGCGGCTGCCTCGGTTTCCGCGACCACCACGTCCACGTCCGCGATAGTTTCGGTAGCCCCCGTCAACACTTCCCTGGCCAAAGGTCTCGATGTTCCTGCGCTGCTCTTCGCCTCGCCATTCGCGTCCGCCGGGCTTTTGGCCGTTGTTTTCAGCCCTCTCTCTGGCTTCGCTGGAGATGTTGTCAAAGAACGACCTCGACTTGTTGTATGCGACTGGGACAGCGCCTTCCAAGGGTTCAGAGCCCTCAGTCACGGGAACAGCAGGTGCCTCGCTAGCCGGAGAACCTGCAATGGCTTCCTTGACGACATCTTCCTTGTTGAACTTTGCATTTGACTGGGCAAAGTCGAAATCTGCGTCAGGAACTTCAACCTTGGCAGGGCGACCGCCCCGACCGCGGCCACGGTTGGCAATTCCACCTCGTCCTGCATTGATGCGCATCTCGTTGACCTTATTTGTCAAGTTGTCCATGGCATTACCGGCAGGGTTGCTCAGCTGCGCCATGGCCAGTGCCACAGCTGCTCTCGCTGCGCTAGTAGCATCCTGCACGCTGCTTGGTCCAGTAGCGGCTGCAGGCTGAGCGGCTTGGGCCGCCTTTTCTGCTGCAAAGGGAGGCTGGAAAGGTTTGTGTGCATATCCAGTGAGAGGCAGAGCTGGCTGGACACGATTGCCCTTGGGTCCAGTGGGGATGGCCTTGGGCGCTTCGTTTGCCTTGACGGCTCCATTTGACGCCACGTTCGTAGCCACGGCCTTGACCTCTGCAGCTGACGGCTTGGACTCCACTGGAGGAGCTGGCGCGTTGGTGGGCTGTCGTACGGGTTGAGCTTTAGGCTCTGTTGGGGGCACACCCTTGAATTTGTCTGCACCGGGTCCAATGGGAGGCGGTTTTGACGGATCTTGAGCTGATGGAGGGTTCTCAGGTGCTCGTTGGCCTTGACCAGCTTCAGCGACTGGGGGACCACCAGGACCTGGGGGGAACGCATTACCCCAAGGACCTGGGCCGCCCGGTCCAGGGGGGAAACCTTGGCTTGGAGGGAAACCTTGGCCTGGAGGAAGCCAGCCCGGAGGTGGAGGGTATGGCATGTTACCAAAGGCTGGTGCAGCCATAGGACCGGGTCCGCCTCTTCCCCAAGAGCCAGGAGGCGGAGGGCCGCCATAAAAGTTGTTGGGAGGGTAAGGATGCTGAAATCCTGGGGCTCCAGGAGGGCCGCCAGGAGGGCCGCCAGAAGGAGCTCCGGGAGGGGCGTTCTGGTTGGGTCCTTGTGCTGCAGGACGGGCTCGAGCCTTGTTATTCAAGAGTTAGAACAATATTTCAAAATGAGAGTCTGGCAACAAAGCAAGAAAAAAATCCCCTTGATAAATCAGAAGGAAGGCAACGGAAATCTCGACATGGTTTTGCGCTTTCCGACGTGACAAAAGTTTACATCCGGTATATTTCATCATGAAAGGGGAGAATGATCTTGAAAACATCAAAGGGCATCACTTACTCCGACAATGGCCGGGTCATCGGGCATAGCAGGAGGGGGCTTATTCTCCTTGATTGAGGGGTGCTCCTCGATACGCAAATCCTTCACATCGCTGCCGCGAAAGACAATGTATTCGTAGACTTGGTCTGAAGGCGCAATCTCCTCCTGAGGGGCGCCTCTGCGGCCCTCTGTGCCGAATGAGCGAACATTCTCGAGAGACACTGTTGACTCGTCCGAATTGATCTCGTGCAAAGTGCCCACGTAGCTTCACTAGAGGTCAGTGACCGTCTTTGTGAACGAGATGCATATATTCTCACCGAATATCGCTCTTGGAAATGAGTGAAATGCGGGATCTGGAGTGTCTTTTGTTAGCCCAAGGGGAACAATCAAGCGAGGAGGACCATTTGCGTACCCTAAGAATTCAGACATGGTGGGCCTGAGGCCACGTCGACCACGTAGCTAGCTGCGACCAGGGGCTATCAAAAGAAAACAGATACAAGAGTGCGCCAATGCGCCAAAGACTGACAAGAAATATTAAGGAATAGTGGTGGTAAAAGAGGAAATTGTCGCGTGAGGGAGGGGGTGGAGGTTGCGGAGAGGGAGTATTGGAGTTTGTGGGAGGAGGAAAGTTTTGTGAGGCTAATAAAAACGATTGGGTGAAAGAACTGAGAGCTCGGGAGGAACCCTGTCGTAAGCGGCCGCATCAACGCCGGCTATATGTCGGATCAGCCTCGGCAATGTACAGCATACCCCACACTTGTGCCCAGCCACCAGCTACAGTAAAGCTGGAGTCGACTGACTGGAATTCCGGTCTATTGGATGAGGACTTTACGACTGGACTGATGAGAACAATTTGCTCGTGTAAGAGAGATTTTGGACACTGAAAACGCTCTATTTAACCTGTATAGTGTAAAAAAGTGCAACCACAATAGACATAAATCATATAGCGTCGACAGGGCGTGCTGAGGAAGAGAGGGTTGCAACGCTATGTCAACCATTATTACTGTAATTATTGCCCTGCTGCTACCCGTGCTCGTATGATCTGTATGTGCAAGTCTGTATTGTGCAAAAAGCAAAGAAAAGAAAGCCAAGCAATAAGTCCAGTTAATTAAACTCCGGATCGCCCGTATAACTCCAGGCAAAGCCTTGCCTTCATCGGAACTTGCTGAAAATGACGGCAACGATCAAAAGCACCAAGATGGTAATGATGGAAATTGTAATCACTCGGTTCGTCGCCATGCTATTTACCATCAATATCTTGTGCTTTGCCATTGCCAGTGGGACATTACGTTACCTCCGAGCCATCCCCCTCAAGGTCTTGACGCTGCGGTCGACATAATTTTCGCTGTCCAAGAGGGTATCATGTGTATGGCGAATGACTTCACCTTGACGGTGCAAGTCGGCCAAGGTTTCTGCTCCAATAGCCTCTGTTTCGTTGGCGAGTCGCTGACTAGATAAAAGCCGCTGCGTGCTTCGGTCGAGTCTTTCGGTTCCTGACAGCAGCTGTTGTCGTTGTTCCAAGTTGATGTCTCCTGATGGCTCATCAGTGTACCGCGAGCCGAAGAGAGCAGCGCGGTTGGAGGAGAGACTTGTGAGCTTTCGGCGGCTCGCATCGATGTCGGATTCGTAGTTGCGGAAGCGCTGGTTAACTTTGGCTCGTGCAGATGTCGGGATATTTTGTTTTTCAAGTCGCATTTGGCCCAGCTATATTCACATGAGAGAAATATTAGCCCTGTTTATGTGTTGATACAACGGCGATAATACCAGTTCATCTGCTTCCTCCAAGGCGCGCTCAGCTTGGCTGACAGCAGCCTTGCGCGGTTCGCCGGTGAGATCAGGTATCTGATCTAGCTTTTGTGCCAGGTCGGCCTGTACAAGCTTGAGTTCGGCCTCGTAGGAGCTGAAGAGTTCCGAGCCAGCATCTGTGTCGAGAGGGTTCGCCATCTTGCTTATCGAGGCAAGGGGAGCAGCGGAGATGAATCGGAGAAGAGACGAACGGCTATCAAAAGAAAAACCCGCTATGGATTCGCAGAAAAGGAGACTCGGGACGATGGCGTTGAAGTTTGCGATGCGTGCTGCGCTTTGCTTGGCTCTTTTGACGTTGTTGAGAAATGGCCGTCTCAGATGACCGTAGAAATCGCCGTCATCGTACGTACGCACCCAATTTCGAGACAAGTCGGGCTGGGCAATATGAGGGGGTACTGTCTTGCTGCGGGCAGCCATGTACTCTCCCTGCTTGGTGCCTGCAGCGGAGTACCTTGTCTTAGCGCATATCAAAGTACTGCCAAGCAGCGGAGCCCATTTCAGCGCAAAATGACGGCTAAAGCATGGCTGAGGGACTTAGTAAGCAAATGGTCCGTGCACTCCAGGCGATATTATCTCTGCACCGCTGCATGCAGAATTTGCTTTTTTCTTCCTTTCTTCCATAAGTTGATTCTCCCGGCTGAAGAATATAAAGGCTAAGCGTCTAGACTTGTCAATGGCGCAAAGTTGAGATGCCGGGTAAATGAGATGCAGGATTTCCTACACGGCGCTTTAAAGAATTGGAGATTCGAATCCTACGTTTCCCGATCCCGTTGAGTGCTCGACATGCCAGCCACCGGCTGCTGTTAGAATTGCAAAGGCGCATAGCGGTCTCGTTACAATGTGGACTGATCCGCCCACAGCGAGGGCAGACCGACAGAGATGTCGGCCTTTGATTTCCATCAGCTGAAAGCATGTGATTATGGAGGCGAACAGAATTTTTTGCTCCACTGACAGATCTCCACGTCGAGGCACGTAATTACATGTATGTACATCAGACCACAGTTCTGCTGTATGTACCTAGAGTCTTATGCGAGTGCGTTATCGCATCCTGGTCGCTGCGCCAAGTCGTGCATGGTAATCGCCTCGTTGGCAGGCCAGGCCAGCTTGTTGATTCCGGCTGCTGCTATCTGCCACCCACTCCTCAGCCCCTGACAAGCTGTGCCGAACTCGTTGGCCTAGACGCCCAGACAGCGTTGGTAGGCGCCTACATCGAGATATGAGGTAGCATGAGCAGTGTCACAATGTCGCAGATTCAAGGTTAATTGAAAGCGTCCAGCTCCAGCCACCTGTGGCGCTAGCTCAGCCGCTTGCGTCCTCGATCGTCCAGGACCCCGGCAGCCCATTAGGAGTACATAAAGCGCAGAGGAGCCTCCTGTAAAATCCCCGACCCGGTGGCCAGATTGTCTGTTCCTGTGGTGATCCGATCCCTTGCGTTGGCGTGTATCAGCACAGGCGCAGAAACGAGTTCCTGTACCTGTACCTGTACCTGTGCCTGTACCTGTACCTCCTAGCATAGACTGCTGCACGTAACGATGCCCCTGCGAGCAGAACCGCGGCATGTGTGAGTTGTTTGATTCTCCTGCATGCTATCTACTCCCGTGTCATCGAATCAGCGCCGCTACACTTATGCAGAGTTCCATCGGTGGCGCCGGCAGGTCCTCCCCCCCTTGTCCTGGTTCGTTGTCAGGTCGAGTCTCTGACATGTGCAAATGGTCTTGGGTGGTTATTTTTTTGGGCAGCTGAAGCCTCTCCCAGCCTTAAGATCCGTTCCTCGCCTTGACCTTCATCCATCGCCACTTACACACAAGCCGTTCCCATGAGCTACTCCGTTAACAGATACTCCAGGAAGAAAGTGGCCATTGTCGGCAGCGGCTGCTCGGGCATTGCGGCGCTCTGGGCCCTGAACAGGACGTATCACGATGTCTACCTCTACGAGGCCGCAGACCGCTTGGGCGGCCACGCCAACACTGTGCAGTGGAAGGCTGGCAAGTACACGACGGACGTTGACACCGGCTTCATCGTCCTGAACACCGCGACATACCGTGAGTCAATGGAGACGACCGATTGTATTTTATTTGATCTAAACGCTCACCTTGTGTCCAGCCAATTTTCTCAATTTTCTCAGCCGGGTCGGAAAGCCTGCTACTGGAGTGCCAACCGAGCCCACTGAGATGACCTTCAGCGTATCGCGAGATCGGGGTCTCTTCGAATGGGCGAGCACGAGCTTGGGCAGCATCTTCTGCCAAAAGAGAAACCTCTTCTCTCCCAGGATGTGGAGGACGCTGTTTGACATTGTTCGCTTTAGCCAATTTGCACTAGACCTGCTCATCGACGAAGAGGAATATGAGCCGCGATATGGGGGAGAGCACATGATGAACCATGTCCACAAGACCTTGACCATTGGCGAATACCTGGAGCGGGAAGGCTATTCGGATGGCTTCCGAGACGACTATCTGATACCCATGACGGCTGCCATCTGGAGTGCCAGTCCGGATAAGTGCGCATTAGAGTTTCCTGCGACGACGCTTGTCCGCTTCCTGTTAGTCAAACACACCCTTTTGGCCATCCAGCCTGATGCTGACAGTCGATGTAGATGGAACCACCACTTGCTATCAACAGTAGCCTTACGTCCAAAGTGGCTTACACTGAAAAATGGCTCCCGATCATATATCGATGCGGTTATGAAAGGCTTTCCGTCTAATCACCTGTTTCTCAAAACTGCAGTCAAGAACGTCTCCAATGACCCGCACGGCCGCGTTCTTTTACATCTTGAAAATGGCAAGACTGAAGTATATGACCATGTCATCTTGGCGACTCATGGTGACCAAGCGCTGTCCATCCTCGGTACCTCTGCTACAGAGCAGGAGCGCTCAATCTTGTCTTGCTTTCAAACATCACAAAACGAAGCAGTGCTGCATTCAGATGTGTCGCTGATGCCACGCAATAAGAAGGCATGGTCAAGCTGGAACTTTCTTACAACTTCTTCTTCTTCTACGAAAAAGGCCATGATGGACAAGGTCTGCTTGACATATAACATGAACATCCTGCAGCACATTCCAAGAAATCCATTTGGGGACGTTTTGGTCACTCTGAATCCCATCCAGCGTCCTGACCCAAGCAAAGTCCAGGGGACTTTTCGCTATAGTCATCCTCTATACACTCCGTCGGCTGTGCGTGCACAAAAGATGCTGCGCTACATACAGGACAGGAGAGGAATCAGCTATATCGGTGCGTGGACCGGATATGGATTCCACGAAGATGGTTTCACCAGCGGCTTGCAGGTGGCTCAGGATCATCTGGGTGCTAAGCTCCCCTTTGAGATGCGAGACTCTACCTATAGTCGTGGAAGGGTTCCGAGGCTAGGGTTGCTGGACCAACTACTGCGACTTATCATTCTGGCCATCCAAGTGTTCGTCATCCAGGTGCTTGAGAGGCTAGCACAATCTGGAAGGCAGAAAGTGGTGAAACCTCTTGCCAATGGCATCCAAAAGAGATTTGGACGTCAAAAAATGGCATAAAGTCTTGATGGATGTTGAAAAAGCGTCTTCTTCTTTCTTTTTGATCTTTTTTTTTTTTTTTTTAGAGATATTCCCATTGCGTATGGATTAGCCTGGGCTTCATATTGATACGACGACACGACCAGCAATGCTGCGATCCAAGATTGACAGTCAAACATTAAAATTTAACAATAGATAGTAATTAGTACAAATACCAAAACTTGAGTTCAACTACCGACAGATGAATGTTTATGGATATGGCTATTTCACGAAAGTCTGACATGTGATGCCCCATTCGGCGATATCAGCCTGCTTCACCAATTCTTTAGCTAGCCCACAACGCCAACATAGGACATTCTAATCCAGACTACCGTTACCATCATTGAACTCGACCACATCAGACCTCAAAGCAATGGGGCACGTGTTAATTGCATTCCTGGTAGAGTCGAACTCCTGGAGCCAATTCAGCCCGTGCCGAACCGCTGCCCCACCATGAGATGTCACGCCACTGAGCGCTATCAGATTAGAGATGTTAGCGCCAAATTCAAGCTTACATGTAACATTGAAGAATTGCTACCTCTTCAACCGTTTGCAAATATCGCAACGCAGCAAAAATGAACAACGCATTGCGCCTTGTGCGCACCAGTCCTCCACGAACAGCAAGCTCATCGTCACAATGGGCTTGCTTTTTCTGCCAGAATGCCCGGCCCCAGAGCCGTCGACCCAATTTCGCAGAGTTCCGCCGCAATCTCTCCATCTCAAGACCTCGTCGAGAACCCCAGACGCCGCCTCGGCAGCAGGCGAATGACGCCTATATGGAAAACATTCGGGCGCAGTACAATGAAAAGAATAAGACCTCAACGTATGGGAGACTTTTCTTTGTCTGAGCGGGCAATTCGTGTGGAGAAAGACTAGGCTCATATGTTCTGCAGCTACTGGACCCTCAGCGCGATAATTGGCTTTCTTGGCCTGGCATACGGCGCTGTGCCCCTCTACAAAATGGTTTGTTAAAGATTTCAAGCCATCAATGGAATTGGATCAATGAGCTAATTTGGCTGCAGATATGCCAAACCACTGGCTGGGGAGGCACACCGATCCGCGCCTATGGCCTGGGCGGCGACGAAGGCGAAGACCTCTCCACTCGCCTTGTCCCCGTCACCTCTGCGAAGCGAATCAAAGTCACCTTCAACGCTGCCGTATCTGACGTCCTCCCGTGGAAGTTTGTCCCCCAGCAGCGAGAGGTCCGAGTCCTGCCCGGCGAGACGGCCCTGGCATTCTACAAGGCGACGAACCTCGGCGATAAAGACATCATTGGCGTGGCAACATACAGCGTAACGCCGGGCCAATGTGCAGGCTACTTTAGCAAGATCCAGTGCTTCTGCTTTGAAGAGCAGAGATTAAACGCTGGCGAGACGGTTGATATGCCTGTATTCTTCTACTTGGATCCCGACCTGTTGAACGATGTCAACATGAAGGGCGTCGAAACCGTAACCTTGAACTATACATTCTTTAGTAAGTTTTTACGACACCTCGACCCATCTCCGTCCATTTTCGGTTACTGACTTCAAGTAGAAGCGAGATATGACAACAATGGCAGATTCACCCCTCCTGCCTCCAACTAAATGGCCTTGAAGATCTATGCCTTGTATAACACATACTTTCCATGCGGCGTTGCGGCCTCTCTATGACGATATGATGCATAGACGACCGAGGAGTTTAAAATAAAAAAAACTGTATATTATTACTAAATGGAAGCAAAAACATACATAGCTAGCGTACAAAATAAACAAACCCGTATTCCGCTCATAAACGCCAGTTGCAGACCCCTTACAGACTCTATCTCAATAGCTTATCTCGCATCTCTAATTGCAGGCGATCTGCCATTAGCACTCTCAAAATGACTAAGCACGCTCTTTTAGAGACTATCGCCTCCAAAGGCTAAGCGTCACATAGGGCAGACCAAATCACGTGCATATCCACAGCCCGCCAAAACCGTCGCCCACCAATTTGACGACCAATTTTCCACACGCCGATTTTGTGCTGGAGATTTTTTTTTTCTTCTCTTCTCTCCTCATCACCCAACGCCAGACAACAGGATTTCCTCGTCGCCAAAAATCCAACCGCCAAAATGGTCAAGCTGAACAAGAGTGAGTTTAGCTTTCATATCCAAACTTAATTGGTAGAATACTTTGAATTAACAAAAATACAACAGACCTTCACTCTTCCCGAAGCAAGAGCCGCCGTGCTCACTTCAAGGCTGGCTCTGGCGAGCGCCGTACCATCATGAGCGCCCCTCTCAGCAAGGAGCTCCGTGAGAAGTACAACGTATGTTGAACCTACCAAACAAAAGAGAAAATTTCCGCGAAAAAAAAAAAAAACTAACATTTTCGCGCCAATAGGTCCGCAGCATCCCCATCCGCAAGGACGACGAGGTCACCATCGTCCGTGGCTCTAACAAAGGCCGCGAGGGCAAGGTCACCTCCGTCTACCGTCTCAAGTACGTGATCCACGTCGAGCGTGTCACCCGCGACAAGGCCAGCGGCCAGAGCGTCCCTCTGGGCATCCACCCCTCCAACGTCGTCGTCACCAAGCTCAAGCTTGACAAGGACCGTGAGAGCATCCTGGCCCGCTCCAAGGTTGGCCGTGAGCTCCGCGCTCCCAACAAGGTCTCTGCTTAAATGCAGAACCACTTGGACAACAAAAAACCAAAAAAGGGAACGGGACGATGGAGGTGAATAATTTTTTTTCTTCAGCTTACACAATTCTTCCATGTGATGCATCCATGGCACAATGACGGGAACAAGGGAATGGGCATTTGATCCGGCGTTTTTTTAGCGATACCCGAGACCACCCTGCAGGTCCGGCGTTCATCAGCAGGGTAGATGAATCGAGAATTTTACGATTCTCAATGGCCGTTTCACCAACTTGTTGTGTGAAATGCTCCATGGGAGGTGTTTCCCGAAGCTTTGTGTCCCCTCTCTACTTTCTTTCTGCTACTGTCTCGATGAGACATTGTGAACTTGACATACTCTTGTCGAGGGGCTGTCACAACCCGGCCTTTGTAGACTGCCATGAGTCTTGGCTTTTGAAGCTCTTGAAGAGTGAAGCAAGATGCGGCATATCAACAGGTAGGTCGGTTGCTCGCTTCGTAGTATGATGTGAATCCCGCTAGATAATCTCCGCGTCGACCACAATGACTGATGGTTTTCGAGGTATACGACTGGCGAAGAATAAACCCCGACTGAGACTCATACCACGAGTCTCTATCGCTTGCTGAAGATTTCTGCTTGCCTTCTCTGCAACGAAGTTAGAAATTTGATAGTAAGGAACAAATCGTAGACAAGCTGTTTGGAGCAGTTGCTTGACGATGCTACGTGCTTCTCGGGTTGTCGAATAGGACACAGTGCGAATAAATTCACTAGTACACACCTGTGAGTACATACCTAGGTTAGACATCATCTTTATCATTACTGGTCTGCTTCCTTGATCATGTTGGATTTGGAGCCAAAAGACAAAAGATATTTAGCAAAGCAAAAGCAATATTATTGATTATAAGCAAAATGAGATTCCCCCAAAGGCCAAATTACCTGCGTGTTAGCAGTTGGCCGGCCACTGAAGAAAACACCATTTCTACCTGTAGCAAACTATACTCTGTACAAAACCTCCCACGGCTGAACATAGCCTCATGATTATTTACATGCCAACGTATTACATCTATCATACAAAGGAACTCTAACAATAAGCGACGCGCCCTGAGTCTGTTAAAAAGCAATAATTTTACCGCTCTTTTTGGCCACGAATAAATGCCGAGATTGACATGGTATTATTCTCAGGTGATTCATCGTTGATAAAGAAGGCGGTAACAAAGTCGAAAGGAAATAATGCCGAAATCTCGTAATCTTCATGATAGGTATTCATACAATCCGTAAATGTGCTCATTATAAGAGATGATTCTGCTGAATCTTGATTGAGCTGCTCTCTGCAGTACTATGAAGCCGTACTGTCGTGTTCTCAAATCGCCGAAGACCGCTTTTTCGATCCTTGAACGCCTAGATATGTATTGAGCTTGCCGTCTCCAGGAGGTCTGTTTTCAATCTGTCTCTCCACCACGGAGTTCACCGATCCGCCTTCATTGGAATTTCCCGATTTACTGGCTTGCTCTCGGGAAGCAGAGTTGATATTGGTGGCTGTAGGCGCAAGAGATGCAGTGGCGTGGCCGCTATAGTGAGGCAGAACGCCTTGAGCTGTGGTAGACGAAACTGTTCCGGGAACTGCGTTGCCACTCGAAGTACCGCGTTTCATCATCTCATGCCAGATGCCGCTGCGAGGTCTTGAGCTATAAATACTCTGTGTTAGTCGAATCGCGATGTAGGAGAGTAATGTACGAACCGAGTTTGACGTAAAGAATTACGTCCTTTGAACACAATGTTTTTCTCATCGTTTTCGTCGGGACTGTCGCTCTCAGAGCGAGCATTGGGACTGTCAGCTATAGTCACCTCATGACGACTTCCGTCATAGACTTTCTTTCCTGTATCTTGACGGGAACGATGAACAACCAGCATATCGCTATCTCGACTGGGGGCCGTGGATTTCTGAGATGAGCCGGATTCAGTTGAGGTACCCATTGCACCTCGCCCATATGGATGCGGAGTACGTCGAGACGATTGGAAAGGATCACCTTCGGTTTCACCGTTTCTGCCACAGCTTGCAGTCTCAGTCACTTTGGCCATGACGGATTTAAATTTCCGACTGAGGCCCGAATCGTTGTCGGGAGATTGACTGCTGTCTGGCGAAGGTGGATAAAAGTCCTTGCCATCGAACTTGGGAAGGCCACTTTGCAGATGGTGAGGAGCGTCGCCCCAGTACATGTGACGAGCTCGGAGTTCGTCCTCAGTCAATTGTCGAGGGTAAACGTAATCTGTATCCCGAGCTTGCTCAGCGCTCATCCCAGGGGGCAGCTCTCCCACAAGATAAGGCTTGGGAGACACACTCTCCTCATACATGGGTCGAATATTGACAGAACGAGGCAATTCGTCCCTGGCAAATTGAGTTTCTACTGCGCGAGGGTGAAATGGAGGAGCCAGCGCCGCAGTGACAGGCAAAGCTGATGATTTCTTGCTGGCACTAGTTTCATCGGCTGCACCCAAAGACTGTACTTTAGGGGCAGCTTGAATGCTAGCACCGTCATGGTTAGAAGGGAAGACAATTCTCTGGCTTTTTGGTTTTCCCTTGTCAGTTCGCACAATCGAGGCTTCGTCAGGGAGACTGGAAAAGCTGTCGGCGCTGTTTTCTGGCTTTGCGCTGCTACTGGTCACTGGAGATTTTGATTGATCATCGTCTGCGGATGCTGAACCACTTAACTCGTCCTGCGATTGATCCTTTGTAAGGCCTCTGTTTTCATTGGCAGCCTGTTCATCTTGAATCTTCTCAAAGTGCTCGATGGAGTGACGCAACGACTGCGCATGAAGTTCCATGGTTCGCTCATCAATCTGATGCTTGTTGTATTGTAACTGGTCCTCCGTCCACTTGAGAGAAGCTCGAAGCACCGAAAGTTGTCTCTTGGTTATCTGGCTGGCTCGGATAGAGGACTGATGTTGTCCAGCAGAGAGGGCAAAATTCGGTGCCGTAGGGTATGGCTGCATGGGAAGCGGCACGCCAGCTGCCTGAGCTTGGGGCATCTGTCCATTGCTCTGAGACAAAGGAGACATAATATGACTGGGGATAAACCTCTGGCCAGCTGCCATGGGTGACAACATTGGGGGTCCCAAGAATCCGTGATGTGGTCCCAAGGCATAGGGGTGAAAAGAACTTCCAGAGGGCACCATCCATTGTCCATTGTGGATATGAGGCCGTGTTGGATCGCAATGGTCAGAGGCAACAACCCGAGTTGGTGTTGCGTTCTCCGAAGTCCCAGTTTCACTTTGCCGGTCATTATTTGCTGAGTTCGGCGGTGGCGGCGGCACTGCCACGAGACCTGGAACATGGCTCATGGGGTGAGGAGCCATTCCCATGGCTCCGCCAATATTGAACCCTACATGCCAGGGCATAACAGGATACGGGGCTGGTCCTGTTGGCATAGGTACCATTCCAGGAGCGAAGCTCGGAATCATAGCATGCGGAGGAAAAAAGCCAAAGGGCTGCGGCATAGCAAACTGGCCTTGCTGGAGAGACTCTCGGCTGGGTTGGTGACTGTTGTTGGTAGCTGCCTCCATGGGAGATTTTTCTCTGGGCCACCTAGCTGTGGGTGATGGAGAACCTCGTGTATTTGGTACTATGCGACCACCTGCTGTAACTCGAACATGAGTCGGCGACACAACTGCTCGGTAGAATCGTTGGAAACCTTCATCTTTCTGAGCAGCTAAGCCAGCCGGCGCAGAGATGGGCTGTGCTCCGACGGCATCTGAACCAGTGCGGCCACGGTATCTCCATTCAGACTCAGTACCATCTAGCTGTCTAGCCCCTTCTCCACGACGAGGAGAAGAATTATCCACACCGCCAGAGATCTTAGTTGGCTCTTCCATGATGTGAGGAAGTGAGCGTTCAAGAGGCAGTCGTAATACTTCGCCTAAAGTGATTCCAGCCGGTTAGCAAAGGCACTAGAGTATCTGCAAGAGAGGATTTTACCAAGGTCTTGATCTTGGCGAAGCTTCGCTTGGAGCTGGCCGTATAGTCCTCTCCCGACAGGTGCCTTCTTAAGACGGAGAAGCTCGTGAGGCGTATAGGTTTGGACGGCCATTGCTGGTTTCAAAACGACGGCAGAAAATGCAAATAGGAAAATCTTCCCAAGAGAGGGAAGCAACAGAAATGAGGAACAGTAGAAGTCGCGAAGAAAGTAGTCGCAGATGAGTGCAAGTCGGAACAAGCACAGTTGTAGCTGGAATCTGTTCTGGCGAGTATGCGATTAGCAAATCGTAGGCAAAAGGAGATAGAACTCTGCAGCTGCAGGTAGGAAAGAGAGGAAATAGAATGCCATCCACAGGTGCATACAGAGTTGCAGAGCATAAAGGGAAGAATAGCCTTACCAAACGAGTGCCAAGTGAGCACAAATATGCATACAAAGCCTTACAAAGCAAGCGTCCAACGAGAGGAAGGGGATCGAGCGGCGAGAAACTGAAGCTGTCTGGCGATCAAAAGAGTGCAGTTGAAGTTGAGTAGAAGTGGAGTGGTGTGTGAAGAAAGCAAATCGAGCACGAAATGAGCACCGATGAGCTGCCCTACCTTGGTACCCAGGATCAGGTACCTTCCAAGGCCTGCAAAAGCCGAGTTAGTATATGCGAGAAGGAACGTATTTGAGGATAGCCGAGTCAGTCTGTACTTGCCAATGAGATGAGATGAGCTAAAGCAGGAAGCTGCGCTGATCGATCTGGGAAACTGCGAGGCACATGGAGCTGTTCTTCAAGCGAAAGGCGGGTGACGTCGTCGCCTGATATTTGTCAGCGTAGAATATCAAGGAGTTCAAGGTCATGAAGCTCAGTATCCGAATAAATAGATAGAAGCTTGGCGCTGATGCGCCGATTATCAGCGTTTGGATGCTACTGAAATGGAAAGTCAGGGACCTGGCGGCGGGCAGGAGCCAACGTGGAGCAGGAGATGTCGAGCAGGAACCAAGAAATGATGGTCAGTCAAGAAAGATGACGTGTATCCAAATAACCTCGGCTGAGTAGCGAGAATCTCTGTTGTTAAACAAGAAGTGTATTCTTGTTGGGAGAACGGAAGATATCTGGAAAGTACATCTGGCCGCAGTGTGGTTGAGAAACTTGAACGGGAAGTGCAGTGCATGGAGGAGAAGGAACTGTGGGTGGCCAATTGATATCCTACCGAGAAAAAAAAAACACCACGAAGCGAGTCTTTGCTCGTTGCCCCGGTGCTGCGCGTTATACACGCCTGGAGACGTGACAGCTTGTTTCATATTACAAGCAAAGCTTTTCCTACTTGATCAACAATCGTGGAGACGGGCTGCCGGACGCATGCCGGCTCGGCGGACCTGCAACTCCCGGAGACATAACAATGCTGTGAATTGATTGCCCGTAGAAAAGCAATTGAAGGAAATCTCAGAAAACTTGCTCAAACCGGTGCACCTAAATTCAGTGACTTGGTTCTTGGACGTCAATTGAGTTGTGCTGCCTCCAGGTTCGTGATATTCTGGTCCTGGTGGACCACATATTTGTATGTAAAATGGGTGGGCTTTGAAGTACCGAGCGACGCTTTCTGAACGGTAGCTGACGACCCAAATAGCCAATGAGTACATTGATAGGCCAACTGCTGTAAGGGCTCTGCTGGAGTGAGCTGATTGTGCTTTGCCAACATGAAACAGTCGATGAATAGCTGCAGATGAGCAAGTTTAAATTGACTCGCGTGATGGGCTGATTTATCACGATCTTCTCACTTTGATCAAGTCTAAATAAAGACATTAGCTTTTGAATACAAAGTAGAGGTAATATTGAAGCTGCATGAGCAAATTAGGCCTAATGCCATTCATCATCAATGACTCCCTTGATCGCGTAGAGGAAAGCTGCCAGTGAGGTGATTTTCAAAGCACAAGCAGTCGGCCACTCTTATGTGGCCTAGCTTTCCCATTACTGCCTTGCCGAAACTTAGTAGAGGAGCTATTGTTCCTAAAGCAATGTCCATATGCAAGATACTCGTCAAGTCGAGAAAACAGTGCATGGTCGCAAATATGGTAGCCGCTCAGTCAGTGTTCACATTTATACGCCGACATTCTTCATGTATTAACCCACGATAGCTGCCATCATTTTAGGATATTCGTTAGTAGGAAAGGTCCCCCCTCCATTAATTCCAATGCAGGCCTAGCTATTCCAGAAAGGACATGTCAGACTCTGTGTTTGTAGCAGATGAGAAATTACCTAGCGAGATACTATATGACTGTAGTCATGATTGAGATGGAAGCTAAAGTATATTTTCAAGTCCAATAATATGCTTCATATGCCATTCTGCGATAAAAAAGCCAAGAAAAATAGATCAAGCTCCCAGTCACCGCTCTAAAAGCTTGAGATCCAACATCAATTCCTCATTCCGCCGGTCAGGCCAGGTAGATTATGCCACAAACACACCTTGCCATCTATTGGTGATAAAACTCTTCTGGAAGAATGCTTGAATCTGTCAAGCCTAAAGTAAATGTACTCAAGATCTAGATGCCCCATAGCCGACCAGTCGCATTTGTAACCACAGAGTGTTGCTCTCACTATTTCTATCACCTATGACCGTACTGTTAACAAACGAGAGAGCCAGATACGCTCGAGTCATACACATTCTCAGTACTCGTTGATGATACTAAGGATCGTTCAAGCCTATTTGACGGCTACCTACCTAGGTAGGCATCCAAAAAAAAAAAAAAAATCTAAAAAAAAATTGAGGCGATTTTGCTGCAAGATGTGCAGACACGAAAATTTTTTCAGGCAAGGAGGTCAATGGAGTGGGCGATAAATTTGATCGAGTGAGAAAGCAAAGAAAAATAAAGTGAAAAAGTACCTGCATTCAATAGCAATTTAGGTAAAAAAACCCTTGCTATTGTCAAATGTGCGCCGGCTGTCACGCTTTACCGAAATGGCTACCAGCCGTCTCAAATCAATGAAGCATTCAAATTTCTTCTCTGCTTCTATTTTAAGGACGTAGCGTCAAGCTTTCTGACTTTGAGAAATATGTGGAAAAAAAAAAAAAGATGTAGTGGTCGCGAAATTGCTCTTCAAATTCGTGGCTTTGCTATATAGCTCAGGGAGCGAACTCTGGAGCGCTTATGGTATTTGTTAGTCGTAGCAGCTGGAAACTGAAGAACTCTTGGGTAGCTTGTAGTTGAGGAATTCACGTGAAGAAGGAGTAATCAGAATAATTGCCATTGTATTGGAGCTCGCAGATTGCCGTGTATGTATGTAAACCTTTCCCCCAGTATCTCGTGAGTTCAGGTGCAAATTGCTGCCATAGCTGCTGTTTTGGATTAGACAGTTTCACATGCCAAAGATCCATCCCAGTACAGATAGATGCGCTAATTTATACCATAGCTGTAATCACAACTACTAGTACCCAATAACTGCGTGTTAGATACCCCACTGGAGAAAAGAATTGAACCCGGGGGGCTTAGACAGTACCTAGGTAGGCTGCTTTGTGCTATAGAGAGAGGTGTGCAGCACTGGTTTAAAGAGATCAATTAATGCTACATGTCCTAATCCCGCCATTGCCAAATCCCTTGTGCCACCAGACATCTCTTTCCGTTACCAATTTAGGTTACACACTAGCTTTTGATAGGCTCTTGTCGACAGCCGAGCATGTAAGAGGTCCCCGCACGTCCAAAGGACAAATGGATCGCAAAAAAGCCTCCTTCGCCTGATGCTACCCCGCCGTTACCTGTCATTAGCTGCCCTAGTGCTGGAGACGTTGTGAAGCTACTGTACGAAGATGGTGCTTGTGGAACCTCCGCGTGGAGCCGCTGACTTTGTCCTCGGCAACCAAGACGTTGGAGGGAGGAACCGAGCCAGTTCTACGGCCCGCGGTAGATTGACAGCTGCGTAGGATTGCCCGGGAGCTGAAGCTGAGAGCGGATGGATCACTCGGGGCTAAATACATCATAGACAGGGGAAATCTGGTTTATAAATACTTTGGTGGTCCGCCAAGTTGCGAGACGGAAATTGACTTTTGGCTAGACTGCTAGATGATACAAGGTTAGCTGACTGCTTAATCACTCAGCCATAAATCCACCCGTATCCGACACCGCCATTGTTTCTTGACCCCAAGAGTCATTCTCGTTGTATCTCTTCTCCTTACATACTATCTCCGTTTGGCACTCTCCTTTCTGTGTAATTAGCCCCAAACTTACGATACTCCCGCCATGGCGCCTCTCAAGCCGTACTGGAAACAGCCCTCCCACCCCGACGTCCAAGATGTCGTCGTCAGCGGAGCCGACTTCATGACCAAGAGCCTTTCAAAAGTGACTGTGCCGCCATTTGGCCTGTTCGCCAAATTTGAGTTTCCTCCTTGCGATGTGGCCGACAAGGCGACCTACGCTACGGTGCAGATGGGGAAGGATGAGCACCTGAATCTCAACAGCGACTTGCTCTACATTAACCACTCTTGCGAGCCATCTCTTGTCAGTTGAGCCAATCATTGGGATAGTGAACAAGACCTGTCACGAGATCTAATAACAAGTTTGGCTGTTAATGTTTACTTGCAGCACTTTGATATGGGGAGCATGAGGATTGTGGCTGGCCCCAAGGGCCTCCGTCCTGGAGATGAACTTACAGTTAGTAACGCCATATTCATCATTGCTCCACCACCATCATGATACGGATTCGGAATTGTTTATCCTGATTGTTCTACTTGTTATAGTTTTTTTACCCCTCAACTGAATGGGACATGGCTCAGCCATTCGACTGCTTCTGTGGCAAGCCCACTTGCAAAAGGGTCATCTCCGGCGCCAAGGATATGCCCTTTGAGCTGCTCAAAGGCCTCTGGCTCAACGACCACATCCACGACCTTCTTGAAGAGCAAGCTTCTTCTCAGCAATACCAGCTTGGCTCAGTGCCTGGGAATGATGGTGGCGTGCGTTCCGCCCAGCTGCCAGAAGCTGTCTTGAATGGTCGGGCAGAGAAGCTCAACGGTACGGATGCCAATGTCGATACTCAGGGCCTTGGATTATTGCGACGCGGAGTAACTTCACGGGAGATGAGCGGCGAGATGGGCGGCGATACTACCGTCAGGGTTTAATGGTAGTGGCCTCTACGTTCAAGACTGGTTGCGTCATTGAAATGGAGGTCTGGTAGCTCATAAGGATTCAACATCCAAAAGGCTACCAACTGATTTTATTTTCATCATTCATATTATTTGCCAGGACATTTTCAGAAAATTGGAGGAGAAAAAAATTTACTTGGATTGCTCACTGAAGGAGGAAATGTTATCTAAAATCTATCTATGGAAGGGCAGAGGAAAAAAAAAAGAGAGAGAGAGAGAGAAAGGCAAAAAACTATATAATACAAATTTTTCAACAATGTCTGATTCATACCTCACTTCCGGTGATATGTCTTTTCCCATTCTTCGCGTTCCAAAAAGCGGCGTACGTTGAAAGCTCGTGTGAACCGCCATGCCTCTGTATCGGCCATATTCCAGGCTTCAAGTGAAGTGCGCGTCTCAGTCCCATTGATGAATGACTTGCTCATCATGACGACTTGCTTGGCGCGATAGAGAAGAGCCTGTTCATGAGCGACTGCTTTGGCCCTGTCTGGTTCTTCTTCGTCTTTGAGCAAGCGTATAGCCGGCACCGGGCTTCGAGACTTTCCGTCATCCATGCCCTTGTCGGGAATGGTAAATCCAAAGTGCCAGTCCAGATCACTGGGTATTTCATCATCTGCAAGAAGCCACAGAAAATGCGCAGAGTCTGCCTCACCAGCTACCAGCTCTTTAAATCGTACCACTCTGCGACTTGACGTTACGCCGGAGCCGAGATAAGCTTGGGTAACGGCGCTGAGCCACGTATCTCGAGGCGATTCAAGAATCCAAGTGACATTGATGGACTCCCGAAGATTGTTCACCAATGCAAAAGACCATGGATGCGGAACTGCCCCGATTGTAAAAACGTCAGGCGAGTTGCGGAAGCGGAGGCGGGGAAGCGTAGTGACGGCCATGGGGGATGCCACGCATGGATAGCATTTGGGTAAATTCGGAGGACAAGACGATAGCATAGGGCTTTCAGGGCAGGACGCCAGAGACTCGGCCAGCTTTGAAGCACCGGCTAGCATGGCTGTGGCGTGCTCTGGATGGGGCTTCATGACTTCGATACCCTCAGGGAAGCTATTCTGCCAAATGACTAGAAGATGGTAGTTGATAAGTTTGTTGAGATTGTGGAGAGTATCAGCCCTATCATCCTTTTTGATGACCTTGGCATATTTGGTTTCGATAATGTTGGGGCTATAATAAGCAAGCGGCGTGCTTGTATTATTTACTGCTACTGCAGTGTCTAAAAGAGCCGTCGTGGCACTCGTAGTTTCTTGTATGTGCTCCATTTGTAAAACAGACTGCAATGCTGAATGCACATCAGCTTTTTGGCCAACGATGAATGAATTGTCGAGGTCTTTCCATCTCATCAAGCTTGGGAATACTCCGGTGCTCAAAAATGGTAGCAGTTGATCTTGCTGAGAAACGATTGGGAACACTGCGAATTCTGATAGTATACCTCCACCCATAGCATCCCAGGCGAGCCATCGCATGACATCTCCCCTCAGCTCCGAGGTTAATGGCATCCGTTGTACTTGGTCATAGAAGGAATTGTTCATAGCATCGGCAGCACTTAGCACAACCGGCCGGAATCCTTTTGCCCACCAGGCACGGCGCCATGTCAAGAGCAGCTCGTTTTCAGCATCCCTCTCATCCACCGTCGCCTGCTTGTCCGTGTCATGATAACAATAGATGGGCTGTCGAGTCTTTTGAGGAGGGAGTAGTGTCCACTCAGCATCGAGTGTAATTGAGCTTGAAAACGAGGTCGAAAGAGACCGCTCATCCTCCAGCCATGATGAGCCATTGTGCTTGATAATCTTTTGTTGCAGATGAAGAGGTGGTGGTTGATGAGACGGTGCGACGAATTGCTCGGGAGGCTCATCGTCGATATGAGGAGGGGGTTCTTGTAACTTGGATTCGGATTCGGAGAAGCTTAGCAAAGCCGGGGTTGTTGACGACAAGTTGCCAAGAAAAAGGATCGCAAGAATAGCCGAGAGAACTAATATCACAGGAAGTCGACGGGGGGCAAGTCGAGGGATTGGCTTGCCCCACGCCCAAGACTGGCTGCGCATAATCTGGTGCTTGTAGCTTGCACGATACAGTCAACAAGTCCCATGCAAGCCATGCGCAGCTAACAGTAGCGAGATCGGCAGCAGCGGCACGCCCCGCCTAGACCGGAGCCTTGTTGGAAACTTCGATATGGAGCAGCATGGATGGCATTGCCCATCTGTAGGGAGAATGCGCAACGCGTGAATCCGATGCTTGGCGGTTTCGAGTCGCGTGGAGTCTTGATTTCCTGTGGCGAGGGCGGTGGAAAGTGGCGCATTGCCGTGGCGTTGAGTCTGTACCTGGGCTTGCACAAGAACTGCTTATAATGGCGAGGTACCGAGGCATCAATACGATGCTAGCGGCTTCTTCTCCCGCGCCTAACGCAAGGAGCGGAGAGCTATCAAGTGCTCGGTGCCCCGTCTATTCTAAGAGCCTCCCGGCATCAGCAGCTTCACAGCTACCATCTCGCTAGAATCAGACAAAAAACCGCTTTGCCTTGACAGCTTCCGCTTCATACTATTGGAAGCGCCTGTGCAAATCACACGCTAATGCCGACCCACGTCTCAGTGGCCAGCGTTTCTTTGTAAGATGTAAGAGCCGCCAAATCAGAGGCCCAGCGATCAATCATGACCGCATAGCTTGGCAGTGCTCGTACTTGTTTGTGCATATAAACGCCCAGTCGGCCAGCACTAGACTTTCTTTCGCATGTAGCAGGCAGCAGCGCCAATCCCCCACCAGGCTGAATCGTCTCTTTTGTTTCCGGGCGATTATCCTACCCAAGCCGAATATCTCTTGGCTCGCATCTAGACATCTGCCCATACCTATTTTACTGCGTCTTCGCGCTTCTGGATATACACCTGGCGTATCCAACATGCAGCATTCCTTGCCGGCCGTCGCATAGACTGGGACAGCCAGCGCTCATTCACAACTATATATAGGTGCGTGCGCATATCGTCGACCGGAACACATGTAAAGTCGCACGCCAGACTTGACGAGGAAATCCGCCTTACCGAGAGAGTTTCTCTTCTTGATTGGCAATTCCCCTGCTATGCCAGGGCATCATAGTCATTCTGACGAACCTCTGGCATTTACCGGGCTCAGACCGAAGTGCTGAATGTACGAACAGATGCGCTAGCTTGTTTGCAGCCGCCTGAGCTGGTGAATTCTGTCTTCTCTTCGTAGGTACTTCGTCCTCTGAATTTATCGATAAAAAGCCCTCCACGCCTCCCCAATACTGCCGACCTCCTCCACACTTGCCACCAGCGGCATCTACCACCCAGCATATCTCTTTTTGGACTCTGGAGCGCTTCTTCTTCTACTTCCTCTTGTTTTCCCTTTCTATCTCTTCCGATCACTCTATTAAATAATAGATTTTACCAACGTCATCTTCTCGAACCAACGCCGGACGAACAGCGAGGAGTAGCGAGTTATGCATCTTACTCACATTTGACAGCCGCCGGATCCTTCGATCAAGCCTTCAATCATGGGCTTGAAGCAGTTTAACCAAGATCTAGCCGCATCCAAAGAAATCTCGATCAGCGCCGCCGTGTCAAACATTCGACGAGGGGATTCTGATGGCGAGGCCGTCTTCACCTGGTCGTCGTCCAATGACGTCGCAACATCTCTTGATGTTCAGATTCTTGTTCTCGGTGAGCACAACCATCTCTGGCTTCTACTATGGAGACAACTAAAAGCTAATGGTGCGCAGATGTCGACTCATATCCTAAGGGTTCGAGCGTCATGATATTCACAGAATCAGATCACTCCACCGTAAATGTCTCTTCTCTACTTGAACGCCTATCGTCCTCTCTTGCGAACAAGAACATTGAGACAATCATCAAAGCTGTTGCGGAGAAACTATCTGCCAAGTTAGAGCTCGCCGATGATGCGCGTGGAGACACCGATTCGGACAGCGTGCCTGACTTAGACGACTACGAAGAATCGGAGTCAGAATACGATGGCGACGACGACGACGACAACGACGACGACTTGCATGAAGCTTCCTTACTTCCAGCTTCCTCCATCGCATTACCAGATCGACCTATTGAAGCTGCAATCTCTATCAGACAATTAAAGAGAGATTTACGGACTGCCCAATCGGCTGGCATCTCGGTAGGAGTCTTTCCAAGAAGACAGCTTCGAAATGCCGAGTTCTTTTCTCTGTCTCTTCGGGTGGTGAAGCTTGGCATCCCAGAGCATGCTCTTGAGGCTTGGGGCCTTGAAGATGACGAATATTTAGTTCTCCTGTGCCGACTTCCGTCACGTTATCCGACTGTTTCAGAGATTTGTAATGCGACTTTCGAAGACTGGAAGCCACAGTTTCGCTTTGGGAAATGTTCAAGGCCCAAACCATCCACTGAGACTTCCCGTCTCGCCTTTTTGATGACAGCTGATGGGACCAGGGACAACCGAGAAGCTGACAGGACCAGCAAAAAGAGCGGTGATGAAGTTGCCAGCGGAGGATTTACTCCTCTTTACATGTCAAATTCAATCAACATGCTGATGAACGCCGACTTTCTCAAGCTGTTGCGTATGAGACGTAAAGATGGATTATCGTGGGACGGGGCTATTCGCCGTCAAAAGTTGCTCGCTAAGGGAGGGCATGACGGTTTAAAAGATCTATCTAAAGATGACACATCTGACAGCTTGGTATTCGAAGGTTCGATGCCATCTTTACGCCACGATTACGCCTTGGACGACGCGGAAAAACTCAGCCTCCCCATGATTGCTATGCAATTTGCCTTGCGGCGCCTTGTTCGTTGTACCAAGTATTGCATGGTTTGTCACCAAAGATTGGAAGATGAGTTCGAAGCTCTCAAACCCTACGTCTGCAGTAACCCCCTCTGCATCTATCAATTTGTTTCGCTTGGGCTCGGAGCAAGCACTGAACATGAAATTATCCACAATCCTTACGTTGTCGACATCTTGATCAGTTTTTTCGCTTCGGCCCTCGCACATCCCAATTCTTTGCGGCAATACCCCACTGGTCTCAATTTAAAATCTGCGAGCACCGGATCGAGGGCCAAGCCATTGCAGCATTCTGTTGCTGAAGCTTGCTTCCTTGAAAGATCAATCCGTCTCAATCCAACCGATTATTCCAACCATTGCAGTATCAAAGTAGGAGATACAATCTTAGTAGTCATTGATGGCGTGGAACCGAGCCCAAGCATGCCAATACTCAATGGAAGTAAGTAGCTAGCCCCCTTTTTCTTTCTTTTCTTTTTTGTATTCTCCACTCCCTTCCTAGGCACCGACGCCCATCCCCTTGAATCATTTTCAGCTAGCCTCTTCTAACTTATTCTTTTTTTACAGATCTCGAGAGACATGTTTGTAAGGTGACGAACATTACTGCCAACATCTGCTCTATTGAGATCGTGACAACCATGACAGGCCCTGTCAACGTTCTCACCTTACCAGAAGAAGAAAACCCTACGCAAGCCTCGAATCCTGTAAAAGAATGGGTAAAAGTCTTGGTTTTTCAGTATTCCAAAGACGTTGATGATCTTGATGAGTCCGAACGAACAGCTGCCCTAAGTTTAATACTTCGCGGAATCCCACCTGTGCTGGATATGAGGGCTTATATATTAAGCAATCCCAGCAAAGGCCTTGCGTCTTGGAGCCGTATCGACAAAAATGCGCTTACCCTTCTCCAGTGGATCATATCGTCCAATAGGTCTCTGATCCTTCAAGACGATGCAGTGCCTAATCTAGCCGGCTCATCAGATGAGTCAGATGACCTCGAGAAAGCTGAAGCTGTAAATCCCAACAAAGTGCAGGGTATGCCGAGCCATTGGATGCAATTTCGATTTCTGCAAGGGACTCCAGAACGAGAACGACTTTTTATGAAAGAGTTGACTACTGTGTCGCAATCTAAGAGCCCTGAAAAGTGGTATCCATCGATATTTGCTTGGCATGGCAGTGCCCTTTGCAATTGGCATAGTATCATACGAACAGGGCTTGATTTCGCGACTATTGCATGTGGACGCGCATATGGAAATGGAGTGTACATGAGCAAAAGCTTCGAGGTGAGCATAGGGTACAGCAGTAGAATACCAAACCCCCGGAATCCATCTGGTCTGCATGCTGTAAGTTTATTCTCTTCATATTTATGCTTGCTCTACTCATTCTACTCTCTTCTCGGAACAATTGCTGATAATTTTTCTGTCACAGGAAAATTACTGGCCCAATTCGGTTCTCAGGCCGAGTTCTGCTATTTCTATTTGCGAAGTAGTTAATCGAACGAAGGAATTTGTAAGCATTTCGCCTCACTATGTGGTCAACAAGATCGAATGGATTCAATGCAGATATCTATTCGTTGCTGTAGATCCGCAGCCACGAGCCACGCAGCAACCCTTTCCAACGAAGCCTAAAGAAGCCTGTGTCGGATACATAACTCAATGCCCATCAAATCAGCTCCTCGCACCTAGGGACAAACCAGTTAAGATTCCATTATCGGCAGTTCCGTCGAATCGTCAGCGTTTTCATTTGGATGATCTTTTACAATCTAAAACCAAGGAAGCGCCGATTATGCCGCTTGATGACCATGGTGAGACAGATCACGAGCTCCTTTTGGACTCTGACGACGAAATCATTGGCAACAGGCGTAAGCGCCGGAATTCATCAATAGGTTCGTCTGATAGGCGAAGCACGAGACTAAAATCTGCAGATTCTGAAGTTCCAGGTGGTGAAGGTGATTTAATCCGACTAAAGACCAAATTTACGTCCGGTAGCCTAGATCTACAAACCCTCCCAAAACTTCCAGAGCCAACCTGGGCTTCAACTTCCCCATCAGCACTCAGGAACTTGAACCATGCCATCAAAGAGATGCATCAGATACAAAGCAGTGAAGACATTGCGTGTCTCGGGTGGTATATCGATTTCAATAACCTGAACAATGTTTTTCACTGGATTGTAGAGCTACACAGCTTTGATTTGGATCTTCCTCTTGCTCAAGACATGGAGAAAACGGGTTTCACCAGTATCGTGCTTGAATTCCGATTTGGTACCAGCTTCCCGTTCTCTCCTCCATTTGTTCGGGTTGTGCGTCCAAGATTTTTACCTTTTGCACAAGGGGGCGGCGGTCATATTACGGCCGGAGGAGCCATTTGTTCCGAGATTCTCACTAACTCGGGATGGTCGGCTGTTATGTCGATTGAGAAGGTGCTCATACAGATTCGTCTGGGCTTGACGGAGTCAGATCCTCCTGCTAGATTGGAAATGACGAACGTGAGGAGCGACACGAGAGATTACTCCATCGGTGAGGCAGTCGATGCGTACCAACGAGCTGCAAGATCACATGGTTGGAGTATTCCGGAAGATTTGCAACAAATTGGACAACTTTGGGTAGCGAAGAATGATTAGAGGGAGTTGTAAAGGTCTAGATGTAACCAGTGGTGCTTAACAAACAGGTTGAATATTACATATTGATAGCGGTAGTACTAGTTCAGTAATAGAATGTTGAAGCGGTAGAAGGAACAAAAATAATAGAAATGTGTGCCAATGTTTATATGTCTCTTAGCACATGCTTGGCTACGGTGGCTACCCATCTCCAGGAACCTGAGTAGATAGTGAAGGATATCACTTGGAGATTAAGACTTATCTCCTATGAACCGGCCAAGAAGTCAAATACTGAAGAACAACATTTTCTTTCTTCTAAATTGTATCTTTATGGCTAATGGCAGCAAGGGGTATGATGCAACAGAGGACCTTCCGTTCTCAAGATGGAAATTTCAGTGCACAGCTTCTCTCGTTAATCTACGAGGGTTAAGATTTGATGAAACTAAATATATATAGAACAGATGGAATAATAGCGTGCTGTCATTCTTCACAAGCTATGAAGGCTCTGCTTGTACACAAGTCGCTCATTCGTAGAGTTTCTCTAACTATAGATACATCGCTGATCATCTTGCTAAAGGCCAGTGGCCTAGCTAGTAAACTAATATCATGGATAAGTCTCAGCAATTAATAAAGCTGCTGGACAATATTACTGTTGAGATTCTCTTCCCATGATCTGGATTGGTTATGAGATAGCCGGAGAACGCTGGCCAAGTTTTCCAACGCCTGTGGCAACGATGCCAACTGATTGAACCGAGCAAGATCGTTTTCAAAGGCCGTCTTAGGTGGAGCTTGCTCTGCAATGCTAGCCTTGGTGGCCTGAAGTGCCTCGATGGGAAAGAGTGCAATTCTCGTCGCCACGCTGTCGACATGCTGATGAAGAGCCTTGACTGTGGGATACACAGAGTTGACCCAGCCTACGCGGGCTGCTTCAGAAGCACTGACTTGAGCGGCGGCAAGCAGATATTCCGAAGCACGTCCAGGACCAATGAGCCTTACTAGCTGTTGGAGACCTCCGACGTGGATCACTCCGACGGCTGCTTCAGGGGCGCCGAATTGTGCCTGTGGACCGGCAAATCGCATGTCCATTCTGAGCAGATGCTCGTCTCCGGCGCCCCAGGCTCGGCCGTTTGTCTCGCCGATGAAGATGACGGGCGTTGTCAAGAGGAGGTCCAGATTTGCAAAGTATGTGTCCACGAGAGCAGAGACATTGCGTCCTGGGATGCCATTCGGCGAAAAGAGGTTGAAGTCAAGAGTAGAGGCCCAGAAGTCGGGGCTGTCGCTGTCGAAAACTACGACTTTGGTGTCGTTTTGATCTTGTAGGCTGAGCATGAAGGCGTTGAATGCGGTGATGACGTTGGCGTCCCATAGATTGATGGGGGGGTTGGAGATTGTGATGCGCTTGGCGCTGCAGGAATCGTTGATGCATGACTGTTTGAGGATCTGGGCTCCTACCAAGCTGTGCCAGATTTGGGCCATGGAGAGGTAGAGGACAATGCTATTGAGAGTTTGGAAGACCGGCATGTTGAGTAGATGATGAAATGATGTAGGTGTTTTACAATTAGAAGCATTGGGAAGCTGCAGCTTATATCAAGACGATGTCTATACGCCAATGGCTTTCATCATGTTGCTATTTGTAATGAAGTCTAGAAGCTTTGGCATGTTAGTAATGCTTCAGAATTATTTGCGGTTGAGAGCTAGATTTTCTTAGCATCTCTCTATAGACGATTTTAACGTAATCTCCAAGAAATCGGCAATTGACAGTTATTTGTATGCTAATCGCTTTAGGAAAGTGCACATCTTAGCTCTATAAGTGTTGATACGATGCGTCCACATAAGCAATGCCTCCAAGTCTAATTTCAGCTGATCTATTTGTAAGCAACTTGGTGTGGCTGGGAGCAGAGATCATCTAAACTGATAATTTAGCTGACACCAATCTTGTCTCCTTTTTGAATAGAAGTTACCATTGTGGTGATGTTTACAAATCGGCTTCAGCCCAAAGGGAATGTCTCGTATGCGGTAACATTTGGAGACGTAACTGGGCTTGTGGATGTGTCTACAACCCTGTCTACCTTGGCTGAGGCGGATTCAAGCTGGACCCTCGGAAAAACGTCCAAGCCCCCCCTTTCAAGAAAAGCCAATTCGTCCCGAATTGATCCAAGTCCTTTTCATCCATTCAGTCATCAATTTGCTCAGTTGGTCGCTTGCGTGGCCTTCCCCTGCCTCGCTTTCGTGGTTGAACGGTGGCTCGGTCGGGTTCCTCAATAATTTCTTCCGTTGTGGCATCCAGCCTTGTCGTGTTTTTCTAGCCTGTGACATGTTTCATTGTCTCAAACATTCTGTCCATTTCGTGTGTCTTAGTCTCCAATTTCTTCTCTGGTTTCTTCAGTGCGTTGGTTGTATCTTGTTGGTTTCGGGCTACTTCGGTTCTTCAAATTCTTCAGTGACTTGATATCCTTGCGCTTCGAGTTCAGCCTCGACCTCTGTGGCTTTGTCGTCATTGACATCCACACACAGCTTCATTTGCCGAAAGGGAACGAGCTGATGAATCAATGGCATCCTATGCACAAAATGACAGACAGCAGCAGAGACGACCTTATCAACCAAACATGGGCAGAAACGTCAATGGGGGTACAAGCCAGTTTCGACCATACAGATCACAAAGCACAAACAATCAACGAAACCAGAACTACCAGCCATCCGACAACAGACGACAACAGATAACAACAGACGACAACAGATGACAACAGACGACAACAGATGACAACAGACGACAACAGACAACAACAGACAACAACAGATAATAACAGACGACAACAGACGACAACAGACAACAACAGACGATAATAGATAATAACAGATAACAACAGACGACAATAGACGACAATAGACGACAATAGACGACAACAGACGACAACAGACGACAACAGACGACAACAGACGATAACAGACGATAACAGATGATAATAGATGACAATAGATGATAACAGATAATAATAGATAATAACAGATGATAACAGACGACAACAGACGACAACAGACGATAAGGTCGATGATATAAGGATACTAAACGAGAAACATTTTGGCGAAACGGACGATATTATAATCGCCAACCGCGCCAAATCAACAGACGACGTTATCGCAGATGATCCAGATTTGAAGATGCCATGCATGCTGTAAAAGTTCCAGTATTAAGCCACAGGAAAAATCGGGCCAGGATACTGATAAAGCGGCCTTGTGTTTTTCGCTACTATTGTTTTTCGAATGCCCGGCTCTGCATCTTTTGTAAACAAGATGATGTTTTTTTTTTCCTCCAGGTGCTGTAATCCAATATCTGTTTTAAATACAGTGATTGGACTCCGAACGTTCTTATTTGGCCGACCAAGGCTCTCTTCGAGGGTGTCCTTCTCACGGAATCCATCAGCATAACGACGGCCTAAATCGTACTGGATAACGGTATCGCTAATGGTTATGTCTCCCAACAGTAATTCTTTGTCCATGGCATTTGGGACACCGTCACAGATTCCCGTAAGCGATAGAAGTTTGATGCGCGGGTGGCTAGAGCGGAGTGCTTGCCGCTGTGGTTTTACCTGAGTTGCATAGAAGCGTGATAACAATATTAAACGCTTCCATATAGCCCGTCGGGTATGTATTGAGACCTTTGATAGCCCGGCTGAGGGGATCTCCATCATCATCCTAGAAACCATCGAGTACAAGGCAAACATCATTGTATTCAACATCTTTGGTGCAAACGATTGCGATTTCGAAGTCTTCGCGACTTGTTGGGCATGCCACCTCACGAGTTGCCATATTGGCTTTTGCGTAATCGTCCGTTCTTTTTGGCACGAGTAGAAATAAGCACCGTCTAAGAGAGATGTCAAGACACTATGCTTATAGAGTAGATATGCGACGTTACACAATGATAGGCTGTGTGAATATTCCATGTATGATTGGCTGTAGAAGGAGAGGAGGAAATGAGGCTTTATGCATCCATGAGGCTGTTTCTCAGATGCCTGTAGCCAATCAACTGGGCAGATTGCTTCCCCTCTACTGATCGCATATAGCCAATAGCAGTCATCATACAGAATCTTCGCTGCATATTCCAGTGAATGGCCGCGGGGTAAGAGCAAATCTGTTTTCTTTTGATCAGTCGCAACACCCAACCTAATACTTGTCCAAATAAGCCCAATATCTTGGAAGCGTCAATTTACATTTCCTCGGCCATAGTTTCGCAGCCTCCTGCTAGATTAAAGTAATATTGCAATAGCGCACTACCACCTTTTAAAACATCCTCACTGATGTAGAACGTCATGTCTCCCTTAAAATCTTCAGAGCAGATGTCCAGATGGGAGACGAAAAGTCCTTATGGAATAACACCACACCATTTGGCTCATGTACCAGAAGACACAGCATATAACATGAGAAGATTTCTAGGTGCTTCATCTGGTAATGACAAAAAGGAGGAAGTTCGGGATCGGGAATCTAGAGTTCAGGCATTTGTCCGGGAATTTAACACTCTGTTTGACACTCGGGCTAACACTCAGTTTGGCACTTAGTCTGACACTCAGCTTAACCCTCTGTTTAACACTCGGTTTAACACTCGGTCTAACGCAAGGGAAGCGAAAATACGGGGTTTCAAAGATGTCCAAACTAAGCCTGACCCAGAAAAGGAGCTGCATCTATCATATCTGGTTGACGATCTGGTGAATAATATAATTCACCTACAGCCCGATGATCAAACATGTGAGACAACTTTGACGCTTCTTCCGCAATTTCTCTTGCTCTTTGCAATGAGAGGACATTCCCAGGCGAAAATCCCCGCCGAGGTTGATTTGTGGCTTTTTGTAGAGAAAAATCGCCAGTAAGTTTACCATGAAAATATATTCACTTCGAGAGAAGAATTTTAATGTAAAATAAATGACAGGCATATAAACGACTCAGTCAAGCACAAATTGTTGGCACGAGAAAGTATCCCGAATGCCCAATCATCTATGGCTTCAATTGACCATTACATATTCCAGATTAGGGCGCAGCGTACACAAGAAAGTCAAGATGCCGTTGGTCAATCACTAGAGAATGCGAAGGAGATGATCACGCACCTGGTTTGGTCGCCCAGTTGTCTAGACTGCAGCTACACCAGCCTACAGAAGAAGCTCAACATGATTCGACAAGCTCAAGAGCTTATTCGAGCCTGACGGCGACTAAATCTAAGGCACTTCCCGTATCTTTTTCTGTCCTTGAGACAGAGTCATATAAATGGCTTCTTATGAAGCTACGCAGCGAAATCCTGTTGGCATCACCCGGAGACAAGGTGCTCGATGCCATCAGACAAGATATCATCGGCCATGTCTTGATGAATTGTAAGGAAGAGGATTATATCTTCATGGCCCCCTCTAAAATGATATTTACTATGGATTGGGACATATTATTGTTTCTGGAGGAACAAAAGTATTCAATAAGTCACCCAGACTCGGTGGATTGGGTGATAAATATAACTGGAACTTGCGACGACGGACAGGCTCTGACATTGGCGCAATACTTGAAGCAGACTTGGCCATCAATAGGAGCAGTCATTCTAAAGATGGTTAAGAACGTCATCGCCATCGGGACCTACAATGTGCAAATGTGTAATTTTTAATGACAATACCACAAAGTGAAGTCGCTAACCTTTCTCTTCTTCCTACTAGATGATGTTCCTGGGGTGGCGGCGTTATCCGCCTCTATCAGACAACAAAAATTTAAGCTCGAGGTAAATTCTGATATAAGTCTTATTGTAGAAGCAGGAGAAGTACTTGCTTGGATTGGCGCAGCGTTGCGGGCATCTCCTTACAATGATAGACTGGCATACTGCAGCCCAGTTATCACTTGGCTCGATACGTCCAACTGCAGCATTGATTTCATGGTTGAAGAAGTCCCACAGCAGACCGTTGTTTCCAATGGCCAATGCTGGCATCGCATGTTTAAAAATGCAGTTATAGCTAAAGGGTTTCCCATTCGACGGAAATCTGAGGCGCGCGCTGGTCTTGAGATCCCACTCAACATCATGGCAGGCCTGGTTCGAACCAAGAGGATTGAGCAGTTTAATGGAAAGGACTTTATCAAGGGCTTTTCTGCAATGTTGGTACCCAAAAAACGATCAAGCGATACCATCATTTGGCACTATGTTTACAAACAGGATGGAAGCTATATTTCATTCTTGGATAACTCTGGAGCCCATGAGGAACAAGTTACCAACACCGATGTTGAGACGAGCCGGCATGTTGTTGGGTGGTGTATGGAGGCAGAGATTTATGCTGGTAGGTCTGATAGCCTGCGACAATGAAGGACAAACCTATGCTAATATGTGCTTGTCTATAGGATCTTCAAAGGCTAACCCCGTCAACTGCTCAGATTTGCCCAAACCCCAGTCTGGTGGTCTTTTCTCCAGTATGTCTGTATCTATGGGAAGATACATTACGGGTGGCTCTCCTTATATGCTGGGAGTTAAAGACATACCTATCCATATATCAGAAGATGGCTATATTCCAAAACTGAAGTGGATTTCCAAAAAGTTTGTGTTGCTGTGGGATGAAGCCAATAAGCGCGGATGGCTAGTTAACGGCACCACCGCGTTACTTCACCTTGTTCGTGCATCACTTGATCACGATAGTAAAGACGAATTTAGCTCTGCATTCCTTTTCAAAAAAGAGCTCATCCAGGAATCAGAAGATCCTTTCAAAACACATTCAGCTACACATGTCCTCATCAATGAAGTTAATAGAAAACTTCCTATATACAGGAACCGAGACGGATACATTCAATTCGAGGATCGCGTCGAACACATGCATAGCGTCCTTGAACGACTCATCAACTACCAAAAATGTGTAAGTGGAGACTTGAAAGAATTTAGAAGCCACCCGCGGCGAAACTTGGAAGGATGGGACTTTAGAGACCTGGCGACAAATCACGATCCCCTTCATTCTCGCGTAACGATGCTAGCCCCTGAAGGCAAAGGATGGGTTGACTTCGTCAGAGCTACACATACAATAACACTGTTTGGAAGCGGTTTTGGTGATTTAATTCAGACCACTCCAACAAAGAATTGCAAGTACTGGTCTCGCCTTCCTGAAAATAAATACTACCTTGCAGTCGCCATCCCCGATTTGAGAAGAATACTAGAAATCCATGGCAAAGATAACGACAGAAGTGTTGAGATCGCCGAAGAAATTATATGGCACAGCCCTGGAGAGCTTTTTCCATCTTGCCAATGCAAAACCTCACTAACAAAAGACCATTGCGATCCGGTACAGACGCTTTTCCCCGCCAAACTGGCGGCCATATTACTGCCTAGGGATTCTCTACCTTTGAAAAACCATGGTGCTTTTATCTTCGGATACAATCCTCTTTTCGATTGGGTTTGGGGGGACACGGGCGATCCTCAGGAGACGGGAAGTTCAGTGTCTCTACAACCTCTTAAGCAAGCGGTTAATAACGACGATACAAGGACAAAGTCGACACCGTCAACGAAAGTATCGATAATGAAAAATCCGTCAGTTCACCTCTCCAAAACATTTCTGCCGTCTCAGACAAATAGAAGAGCAACAAAAACTTGCGTCCAAAAGCAGTACACCGTTGGCATAATCTGCCCCATGCCCAAAGAGCTTATGGCTGTCCGGATATTGTTCGACGAATACCACAAAGACGTAAATACTGCAAAAGAAGACACCAACCACTATACCCTGGGTCGAATAGGATGCCACAATGTTGTGGCAACCTGTCTTCCGTCTGGAATATATGGAACGAATTCTGCTGCTGTTACAGCGTCGTGTATGAAATCCAGCTTTCCAAAAGTCAGGTTCTGCCTTTTAGTAGGCATTGGGGGCGGCGTGTCTTCTGATAAGAACGATGTACGTTTGGGGGACGTTGTTGTCAGCCATCCAGAACGCAGCTTGCCAGGGGTGATCCAGTATGATCTTGGCAAGGCGCTTCAGAACAACGTTTTCGAGTTGACTGGTACATTACGGCCGCCTCCGCAGGTCTTACTGAGTGCCATTAGTCACCTAAAATCAAATCCAAAACCTGATGGATCTCTTATCAAGTATCTGAAGGACATTGAGAAGCGCAGAAAGGAGTATCGCCGCCCTATTCAAGATCAGGGTCATTGTTTTGGGACGACATCTGGAGACTCCACAGCGAAGAAAGCATCTCTTAATGAGGTCAGTAACGAAACGGGAATTCGGCTTAGACCAAATCACCCAGTGATACATTACGGGCTCATCGCATCTGGTAACCTCGTCATCAAAGACATGCTTACCAGAGATCGACTGGCAAGCGAGTACGGCGCGATTTGTTTTGAGATGGAGGCAGCAGGTGTTATGAATGTGTTGCCGTGTCTAGTGATTCGAGGAATTTCTGACTATGCAAACTCCCAGAAGAACGACATTTGGCAAGAATATGCCGCAGCTGCCGCAGCTTCGTATGCCAAATTACTTCTATGTGTGGTGAAGCCCGCTTGAGGATGTGGATGAGCGTGGCTTATAGCGCCGCGGAAAAGGAAGTCTTCGCCGGCTGAGTTGTCATCGTGCTCAATGAAAAGATGAGAGTCATAAACAGGGAATACTGTATGTTGTCTATGTGCCTGAGTGTTATGACTGTATGGAGATGATGTTCCTTACTAATGTAACCTTGCACTTATATAGCAGAAGCGTATCTATAGAAATAGGGAAGACTTATCGAGCGTCCCAATTCTATGATCCAGCAGTCTAGCTAACATCCATACATGAATATAGGCTATTGAGTGCTACATCTGCTACATCTGCTACATCTGCTACGTCTGCTACGTCTGCTACGTCTGCTACGTCTGCTACGTCTGCTACGTCTGCTACGTCTGCTACTGCTGCTACGTCTGCTACTGCTGCTACTGCTGCTACTGCTGCTACTTATGTACTTTATTTGGAAATGCTAATAATAATTGAGACCGAGACTGAGGCCATGATTTGGTCATCTATTTATAAATGCTTCCCATGCATCCGCGATCAAATCAAAGCCGAAATAATCGACCAGCCTTAGAATGCCATAACGCTAGACACGTCAGTCCATTGCGAATTTGGCCAGTACACTCTAGCTCTCGAGCCTACAAGCGAAGTGAGTTTTCTCTCATCTCTCTCCTTATCCCCTTCGCTATTTCCAATAGAATAGAGTCTTTTATCGACCTTCGCTGTGAACTCAGATTCATCGATATCGTACCCATTGTCTGGGTGTTTTTACATTCATAATGGAAAAGGTTCCAGCAGAGGTTATGTTCCGGCAATCAGATGTGTCAGTTCCCGTGCCAGATCCCGATTTTCTTCGGGTACATTTTCAAGTATCCAAGATCCTCCAAGTAAGTGGCATTAGAGAGAGATTGCACCATGCTTTATGAGAAAACAAATACAATACCACATATGGCATCGACTCCCATGGTTCAACAGAACTAGGGCGTATCATGATAAGCGAATAGCTGATGGATATTTAGAAACTTTACGTCTTGACATTTATTGATGAGTGACGTTTTTAAGACCAAGTCAAGCTGCGTGGGTGCAAATGGTATTGCGTCTGCTTGATGGATTTGGAAACTAGGTACTGGATCGTTCTAATTTAGTTGATAATGAGAAATGTTAGGCATGCATTTACTCTTAACAACGGGTGAAACGTAGCTGTAAGTCATGACCCAAGCCATCGCTGATCGCTGGTCTCCAAAGCAACATCATCGGCGAGAGAGTCACATGTGTCTTCCTCCCCTTTCTTGAAAAGATCTGAAAGCACGTCCACCAACACCAGATAGAAGCCAGATAGAGCTCCTATACCCGAGTTAATATAGGCCTACTCAATATGGCACAAGCATACCTATAGATCCAATGTAATCTCCATCTCTATTTCGTTGTATACGGTTCTTAGCTAGTAAGAGAGTTGATTGCAATATATAGGCAAAACAACGAATTCATGTTACAACGCATCAGACGTTTAATTATACAATGGTCTGACTTTTAGCAGCCAAGTATGCTTCAGTAGTTGTTTATAAACAAGAGAAAGCAAGTCATGTACACCACTGCAATGAGTTTCCTAATTAATGCCGCTATGGCAGTGTCGTAGTATTCTAAACTTTTACAACATGATACAGCATGTGCTATTACGTAGCCAGTCGGGAAATTGGATGGAACTCATTCCCTTTGCAGGGGAACCAATACATTAGTCACTAGAGATTTGGTTGTCATGGGGGCTGTATTGGCACATGACTTACAATTTCTCTTGTCCTCTGGCGTTGCTTTTTCGGTTTATAGAGTTCTTACCTGCGATAATCAGCGCAATAAATATTGCTAGGATTGTATAATTGCATATTAGCGAGGGGGAAATGACAACAGACTACATGCTTTATATACAAGCAAGTTTCTTCAATGACGAGGGATTTTCTTGAATTAACCGGTCACGGCTCAAAAATCTTGTAATCTCTCTCACTAGGTGAGAGCACCCTAACTCTCTTGACCCCGTCTGATTGCATCTCGGCCTTTCGCTTCTGCTGCTTCTCATCCTCCCTCTCTTGTTTCATTGTCTGGACTAGATGCCAGGCGTCGCTTGCAAGAGCTTCGGCCACGGTTGGTCTATCTCGTGGCTCCCAAGCCAACATTTTTTGCAAAAGATCAATGAACGGGGTTAGCTTAGAAAGCCTAGTCACTTGACTCTGAAGCCACTCGTGGTCATCTTTTGTGGCGATTTTCCGATTAGGTGGTGTTCCAAACGCATATATCCACGAAGAAGCTATTGCCCAGATGTCGAGTTTTATCCCGTCCAGGTCTGTTGTTGCCCCCCCGTTCTGCCATACTTCAGGTGCGACACAAATATTTGCCCCACTAGACATCATTTTCTCTACCCGCCTCATGGAGAGGGATAGAACGACTTTTTGTGTCGAAAGAGTTTCAGAATCCAGGCGTAAATTGTCACCCATAATGAGCAGGGACCGGGGCTGAATATTCCCATGAACAAGTTGTTGGTCATGCAGTTCGGCAAGGGCTAATAACGTCTGATGGAGATATAGAAGGCGCTTATCAACGCCCAACTTGGACCAAGGGAGGTCCAGGAAGTTGTATGAGGCCAGCGGCATCGAATAATAGGTATAGTGACACTCCGTGCGTACATTAGAACCCTGCGAATAAAAAAGGCAAGGAGGAGAGGCCTGGTGATCGCACCAGACATCAATAACGCCAAGTATGCCGCTCTTTTGCGTGTCTTTGATCTGGAGAGCCATTTGCAGTTGAGTCATGATTGTGTCTTTATTGCGCAGTTTCCCGATAGCAACAGGTTGTCCAGTGTAAATATTGACGCCGGTAATAATCTCAGTTGTCGGAATTTGCTGGTGTAGCCATATATTCCATCTGGTTCTAGTGTACGAAGAACCCTTTGGGATAAAGTTAAACAGACGCGAAGGGACTAGACCGTGGTATATACTCTTTATTTGTTTATTCATATGCGTGATAAACCGATAGTTAGTCTCCGGACTTTGTGCGTTGAATTTCAAAAGAAAGCGGTACGGGCCAATACGAATGTAGTTGCGCTCTCTTCGCAAAACACACGTTGTGCTGTTGCCCCATTCATCTAGGCGAAGTTCCAGGTCATTATCGTAGATATCGCCTTGCTCGTATATGATTGGTCGATCACAGAGTGTCTTGAGCATGAGTACGCCTGTATTCGTGTGAAAGGAAATACTGGCATGGAAGTCTTTGATGTATTTACGAACAGCCTTTGAAGCTGGTGTTGCGCCGGGAGGGCAAAGAAGCAAGGGTGGATCGTCACGCCGCAGGCCTTTGTCCAGCATAGCCGGCGGTGTGCCTGCACCAATCTCCCATCCAAAATGATTCAAATCCAAGCCAGCGTCGTCGGAATCAGGATCATCGGCTAATAGCGGCAGTGATAGTTGATATCCGATGGAGTCTTCATCACTGGCGAGATGTGGCGGTGACGCCTTCGCCTGGATGAGCTCAAACAGGAGAGTGGCGGCGTCGTTGGCAGCAGAGAAAGTGATAAAGGGGATGTCAACTGCCGAGACATTGGCATTGACTGCCATTGTGCAGTTTCTATTATGAGGACATATAATCTTATAGAGGTACCTCCTATACAGAGTAGCCTTGCCTTTTGGGCATCCGCCGATAATACATCTCAAATACTAAATGCGTAATCCTCAGACACGTCAACGCGGGTTGGTCACGTGGTCACGTGCGCAACTCCGCACCAGGCAGCCTCCCTGGCCTCTAATGCGCCTCTACTCTGACAGAACAACAGGCCACTATTATCAGAATAGAAGCCGTAAAATTTGATTTAACTACGCAACTCTCTACTTTTCTGGGAAAATGGCCAAGAGAAAATCTACCGCAAGTCCAGCTTTGCCACGCAAGAGGACGAAGCTGGACCAGCCGACCGAAACACCAAGTCTTCAAACTCTCGATACCGATGCAACGGCTGCCTCTTCTTCTTCACCGTCTCCGTCAACTCTGCAACGAGCCCTAAAACGCAAGAGATCAGAGAGCAACCCGATTGACAGCCAAGATGAATCGGATACAAGCATCAGCACGAAACGGACCAGGACTGAGAGTCCGAGAGAGCCATCGCCTAATTCCAATTACGGGGACATTCTGTTACATGACGATTACCCAGAATTACAAGCGCACATTTACTGGGAGGAGACGGACTTGACCGAGGAGGCGAGGCGGTATAGGGAAATTACCACACTGTACTCGCAGGGCTATGTGGGTGGCTGCTCATGTGGGAAAATGCACATGGCTATTGGTCGGAAATCGTGGCATTACCCAGGTCAAGAACCAGAACTAGATGATGAGCCAGACGAACCATTTCCAGAAGCAGACCAAGCATACGCACAACAAAGCTCTGCATCTGTATACCGAAGCCGAGGCCGACAGCCGTTACTCAGCCCAGAGCTTTCCGACAATGAGATTAATGCTGGCAACAGTCAATCCATTTCTGCGCCAATCAATGTCTCTACTTCGCGGGGATCTTCGACTACACCAGACTTGCAAGTACCCGTTGTTGCAGAAATACCAGATGTTTCCCCCAACACTTCGCTCATCGTCACACCTACGGTGGACCTTGGCCGAGTCTCGCGTCAACGCAACGTGAAAAAGTCAACCCCGCGACGCGAAACACGCAGGAAGAACAAAGACAAGATAGGCAAAGGGAAAAAAGACAAGACAGGCAAAGGGAAAAAAGATAAGACTGTCCAGCAACAGCCTCGGAACCGGAAACGAGAGACCACAACCGCAGCTGAAGAGTCAGCTGCCTTAAGACGGTCATCGAGGAGAAATGCTCAAGCCCAGTTATGGTTCTTAGATGACAGGGGCAAGGCTTGCGAAGCAGCAGTATCTTCAACATGACAAGCATATGTTGAGGGAGACTTGAAGACTTGAGTACCAGTTGGGTTAGAGGAGGGCATACCCGTTAACCTGGCAGGGCCGGGGGCAGCGGGCAGCTTTCATTCCTCTAACATGAACTGACTACCTCTTTAGGCCTTTGTTTGATGCCACTTACATGACACCTATCTAGACATGGTCGCTAATCTGACAGGGTCGGAGGCAGCGGCGCAGTCTAAAGGTAGATTTTAGGTCTGGCATCACAAGGTAAAGAGGTTTTAAAGGCATGGTCGTTAATCCGGCAGGGCTGGAGGCAGCGGCGAAGTCTTTAAAGGGCTCAAGTATAAAGCTCCTTTCATATGGTACTGTGTTGTTTTCTCCCTTTTCTTTTTGCTATTTTTTATGATGATGATATATTTATACCCAGGCAAAGCGCAGGAGTTGGTACGGTAGAAATCTCTTTGAAGTTTTTCATATATCCCCGTTGGTCACTCAAAGTGAAACCAATGGGCAAAGGCAATTAACTTGTTTTTTCCCTTCTCTGTGCGAAAGTACATTGAGAAGGTAGGCTTGTACACTTTTCTCTTGGTTCATTCTTAGTGACCTACTATTTGGCGTAACCTTGCAAAAGCTGGGCATGGGCAGTTTCAATGCCAAGATCGGAATGAGAAGCTGGATATCTAGATTCTAGATTTTCTAACTAAGCTAGCTACTTAGCAATCAGCTATTAAATATCAATGGCCAAGTACTGTGTTCAAGGATTTGATTGGACCTCAAGAGGCTAAGACATGGCTGTATGTGACAGAAGGCTACAAAGCTAGACACGTAAAAGCACTCAACAGTCAACAAGATGAGACAAATTTCCGGCGACATAGCTTTTACCCATGTTTTTATTCATTACTTCTTTTCTCTATATTTGAACTTTTTTTCTTCTAATTGAATCAGCATTTCGCTTACATGGATAGATCAGGTCCATACATGAGATCTTCCCACTCGACGTCGAATAAATGATACCAGCACAAATGGGCGCGCAAGCACAGACATCTCGGGAAACCCATCCAAAGTCTACGATCCATTTTACTTTCTATGTATAATTCTCTTTTTTACATGTTATGCACGATTTTTTTGGCTTTTCTTTCCTTCGTAACTTCCCTGATTTTCCGAAGAGAGCGCCGTGGGATGGATGGTTTGCCAGCTGCTGCTGCTTCGTTTGACAAAAATGTCAACGTTTGCTATGCGTAAAGTGAAATAAGAAAAGACCAGAGCAAAGCACAGTGCCGCGAGGCCTGGCTGCGTAGCTCGGTATGCGTGGCATGGCCCGCAAATGAATAGTGAAATCTCCCAGTTTCAGATCCTAACCACCAAGATCTTATGAGATCAGTCGCATGGGTCGAGCAGGGATAGATAGCTCAGTAGGGTCGATCAAGGAAATGCGGGAGAGTATATATTTGGTAAACAGGGGGTGCAAGATGAAGAAAATGGCTACACCTTTTCCCATGAAGTAAACTCCAAATGGAAGTAAGTCTCGTGGTCAAAACAAATGTAAATTGACAGCTCAAGAGACAACGGGTGTGTTCATGAAGCAAAAAGGGGAGTAAAGAGAGGGAGGGAGAGAATGTAGAAAGAAAAATAAATCAACCCAGACCAAATGACCATAAAATCTCAACTGCCCCAGCAGATTTGCCCGTTTCTGTTTACTCCCTTTATCAGCACTTGGAATGACGATATTGCAGTGATTCATGGCTGATCCAGTAAAAACCAATTAGCAGCTCTCCGTCAAGGCCCACGCCTAGACGTATTGGAACAGCGCGCTAATAGATTCTCCATGGTGGACGCGGCGGATAGCCTCAGCAAACACTGGCGAAATATCAAGCACTTCCAATTTGGGGCACAGACGACGATGCTCCTCCTGCGGGACCGAGTTGGTTACGATGATGCTATCAATCGCAGAGGCATTGACGCGGGCAATGGCATCCCCACTGAAGACGCCGTGGGTGATGAGAGCGTAAACTCTAGTTGCGCCCTCTCGCTTCAGCAGCTTAGCAGCGCGAGTAATGGTATTGGCCGTATCGGCAAGATCGTCGACCAAGATACAGACACGGTTGGCAATGTCACCAACAAGCATCATGCTGGCATTGCGATGGTTTGTAAACTTGATGGGACGACGTTCCTAAATGGTATAAAACATGAGTTTCGATCAAGCAGGTTGTGGGGTTGTATTACCTTGTGAATCAGTGCAAAGTCCATGTTGAGGCTGTCTGCAATGGCAGTAGCTCGCTTTGCACCACCGGCGTCGGGCGAGACGATGACGGCCTCTTTGTAGTCGGATATATGGGTCTGGATATAGTTTTGGATAAGGAATTTACCGTAAAGATTATCGACGGGAATGTCGAAAAATCCTTGGTATTGAGGATCGTGGAGGTCCATGGTAATGATGTGATCAGCGCCAGCGCAAGTAAGAAGATCAGCAACAAGAGTGCCAGCCTGGGCAACCCATTGCTTGTACCCCGGTTTGGGTTGGAACCCCTTGATATTGGTAGGGTTCTCGTAATCGTGAGTCGTAAAGCTTCGTTGTGAGATGTCGGGGTATACTCCATGGCCATTGGAGGAGCCGACGCTCGAAATGGTATCCGATCGCTTTGGCAATGAGTCGCCGTTAACTTCTCGAGGGCTGTTCTCAGCGATGGAGCTCTTGGAGAGCTTTTCTGTAAGGCCGTTGACGCCGTTTGTGAGTCCGGCACTTCGTGGGCCGCCCGGCCGCGGTGTAGGAGGGACGCTTTCAAAGGTGTAGTCCTTCTTGGATGATTCGGACGACCTGGATAGAGGGGCGCCGGCTTTGTTATATGGCCAGTCAGGCTGCCTCGAGTAAGGGAAGAGAGGCACCACGGCGGTCACCCGCTTGGCGGAGCCAATTTTGCAAGCCGAAATCATGATGCAAAGGTCGATGAGGTTGTCGTTGACATTGCCAGAGCCAGACTGGATAATGTAGACGTCCTTGCCACGGACAGAGTCCTTGATCTCGCATCGGCTCTCGCCACCAGAGAACTTGGAGAGAATGCGATCACAGGCCGGGATGCCCAGGAAGTTGCAGACATTCTCTGTCATTTGAGGGTGGGAGTTGCCTCCCAAGACGACAATGTTTCGAACCATGGCGGCGGTGTCGAAGACAAGCAGTCAAAAGCGAATTGTCGGAGAGGAGGAGGAGGAGGAGGAGGAGTCTCCAATTGAGGATTGCGCAATGAGCCGCAGATCCTGTAATTTGGAGGTGTCGCGTGAGGGCTTGAGCAGCAACTCGTTTTTTCCTGCTAGACCCGCTGGCTGGCAAGTGGGGAGCAAGAAGAAGGCGACGTCAGAGAGCCAGAGCCGTGGTCCTTTGCCGATTGCGGCCGAAGTTGGAGATGCACGGGGCGGGATCTCAAAAGAGCGCACAAATCAGCAACGGCGATGACGGTGAGGCCACAAAGGCAGCAGCAGCAAAGGGGCCGGGGAGTAATGCTAGAGCAGCATGGTGACGAGATAAACAAGAGAGAAGAAGGAACCAAAAGAGAAGAGGAAGAGAAGAAGAATAAAAACTGGAGGTGAGGAGAGAGGCTCTGAGTCAGGACGCCGATTCGACAACTGGCAGGAGGGCGGAACTCAAAAAAAGAAAAATTTCTATTGCGCATTGGCAAAAAAAAATCCTTAGCTGCATCTCCGCTGCCGAAACGTGCATGAGTGGGGTCTGCTTCAGCGAGATGCAGTTCGTCCAGGGCAGGCTGCAGGGCCGTTACAGGGCTAAACGTGCTGTAAATGAAACAGTGCCAGCGCCTTTCCCCGCTGCCGCTGCTTGGGGACCCCTCCACTTGGTACTTGCTGTTCAGCGGCGCACTGTATGCGATACTGTACGGACAGCCGTCCAACACAGCTGAAAAAGGTACCTGCTACGGGAGACACTGTGAAAAATTCATACATGTGAAAGTACAGAGTACGAGAGAGGAACTTGGGGAAGGGTCCTCAGAGTAGTACTACTAGTAGTAGTACAGTTAGCGGCTCAAACGCTGAGGCGGCCTGAAAGTTGAAAACGCCATCTGGGCGATTCGTATAAGGGTTCAGCGGCTGTTGTACTTTACTCCAACCGCTTTATAACTTGATGCAGCAAATGAAAAGGCTTCAAATTCCAAGACATACATGATAATTTAAGTGAATTTCGAGGAACATGATTAAATAGCAAAGATTTTGGTGTAATTTGGCGTAACCACAGAGTACTTCGACAGCTACAATAACCTGTGGCCGAGCTACGGAGTCGAAATAATAGTCCTCACTGGCCGAGTAGCCGAAAGGCGGGAAAGAACCCGATTACTAGGCGACGTTGGAATTGCGGCTGGGAGACTTTCTCGGCCGCCACGGAAAGGTTCGAGTCGCTGCTCACAAGTACAGCTTGTAGAGTTTGTAGATTCCTACCTACCTGTGCCTAGTCGTGACGGTACTAGAGCCATCAAGGTTGAGAATTGCGCAATTGCTGCTCCCGTCATCAGAGCCGTTCGTCTCATCGGTGTGCAACAGACTCTGCTGTTGGCTGAGCACCAAGAGAATCCGATATGCACCGGAACCAAAGAGTGCTTTGACACGCACTTATTTGATAGCGGCTGGGTTGGACAGGTACACCATTCCCCAAGAGGAAGTAATTAAGATGGACAATACAGTACGGGTTTAGCACATAAGTCAAGCTCGTGAGGCATTTGCCGTCCTGTTCTTTCCAAGGGTCTGCCATGTACAAGCCTTACCAGCCGTACTCTGGCTAAACTGATGCTGAGATACAGATTCCCAGCAACATATTTGGGATGTTGGAACCTGGGCACAAAGCTATCAAGTACTCAGTTCAACGTACTTCACAGCATCTGGCTTGAGTATTTCACTCCGTGGCGATGAGTTGTCTCATCTATCTTCAATTAATTCTCCATCACCGCTAGTTTTCACTGCCTGCATGTGATAATCCATGTCCAAGGCAAACAACGTCTTGGATCCCCAACTTTTCAAGCCCTGCATATTGGATGCATGTACCTATTATTGGAGGGCTGTGCAGAAACTCACACTGTACTGTACGACCACCGCTAATGCTCCAGCAACGCAGGAAATTTCTAGCGGCGCGTGTCTGGCGGTCAGCTAGAGCCAAAACGTATGAGGGGCAATTAGCGCTGCTCTGATTGGGCTGCCTGTTTTCTAGCAAAAAATGCTGGCTTCCAAGCTTTTCTTGAATCACATGGCGATTCGACCAGCGTATTGGCGATATCTGTGCTGAGACGTCTCTTCTTTACTTGAAACTGAAAAAGGAAAACATACATCATCTTATACAAGGATTATTATCGTCTCGAAAACGGCCATCGGCTCTTCGGGGCTGTGACTTCTCGGCTTGTCGTCTCTTTTCTGCAACATATACTCGCCGGCAAAATGAAGGTCATCGAGGCTCAGAATGCTGTACTCAGTAATTATGAAGTACTTCAGCATCTGTCCCAGCAAAAGAACCTCTACAAGCTGAGGAAACGGCGTGGCCCTCCTAATCTAGAGACGGTCGTGAGAGAGGTTAGTCAAGATGAGATTTCAGTAATCAAGGCCCTTTGTGACTGATGATTCATAGCTCATTCAATATCTACAATCCTATCCCAACCCTCTAAGTCAGAAGCCCAGCGCATACACTCCCAACTGCATCTCTCAGTTACTTGAACGCCTGAGCCCATATGAGCTCTCCAAGGGCGAAGTCGTCATGATCCTCAACCTACGGCCGGCTTCGGTGGCAGCGCTAAACACCGTCATTGAAGAGATGGCGGAGCGCTTCAGCGATGAGCAGCAGGAGGAAATGGTCAACATCATCCTGGAGGTCTTGGGCCAGTTCGAGCCATCAGCCAATGCAAATGGCAATGCAGACGACGCTGCGGAAGATGCAAATGCTTGATGAGACCTTTTACGATTACAGCTACCAGCACGAGGTTCTATTTTTTGGGGGTACATGAGCAAACAATAATTGGCTTTGCTATCTAAAATCACGCCAAAGACAACGCTGAACCGACACGCCTCACATTATCGTACAACCACCCTCACTCTGTCCTCCTCCCTCTGTCGTCGTCGCAATGGCCGTCTTGCAGATGTCCTCAAAGGCCGGCCTTATCAACTCTCCCGTTACGGCCGAGCATTCGACATAACGATCTGCCCTCATCTCCTGGGCCATCCGATAGGCGTCTTGCGGATATATAATGCCATTTGGGTCATCTTCAGACCGCAAGTCTCTCTTCAGCCCCATTATTACCACTGGCAAGAAATCTCTGCGCGAAAAGGCTTGCTTGACTTCGTTGATCCACTAATAGCGATTACACGATTTGTTAAATACTCTCTAGGTGGATAGATAGGGAATCAATGAGACAAAAAAAAATAAAGATAACGCAACACTAACATATCGTTTCATGTTGATGAGGCTCAGGCGCTGGCTGATATCGTAGCAGATGATGATGACATCCGGATCCAGCAGCCGCCAGTTTTCCGGGCTGGAAGTGTCGTAAAACTCAAAACGATATCTGTTTGATGACATGTTCACTGTAAATGTGTATGGCTGGTCAATGTCACGCAGGAGCGGTATCGGATTGATCTCGTCTCCAGCCTTCACTCTCCTGCATCATGCAGTTCCGTCAGTGAAATGTTCGTTACCCTATGAAAAACACCTGTACGCACGAGAGAAACGTTGTTTTGCCGCATTTTTCATCTCCCACGAGAAGCAGTCTGACAACTGAATCTTCCATCCTGTTTGAGGAAGAAATTATGATTCAGCTGAAGGGAGAAGAAGAAAAGAGACGGCATCGGGAGAGGTTGCAATGAAGCAGATAGACGGAGACGCAGATGCGCTCAGTAATAGCGTTGACATCCCAAGTGGCGCTTCTTATCGCGCTAAGCCACAATTTTCATGCTGTCAAGCCACACCTTCATTGACCCAAAAAAGTAAGTAGCCCACACTTCATTGAGTCGACAAAGAAAAACTCCCCAATCAGTAATTAAAAGGGAAAAAGAAAGAGTCCCTATTTTGATATGGAAATATCATAGACTCTTATACTCACTCACTACATGCGACCTTTCCATCTAGGGAGTCTAGGCCGCAAAATTTGTGGAGGTGCCCCAAAAAGCTGGCCTGGTACGGCCAGAGAAGGATTTCACTGCCGCTTCTCAACCGTCAACAATTTGGAACTGATTCGTGAGAGGAGAGCCAAGATGGCGGATCAGGGGAACTACAACAACTGGACCAAAGCTGGTTTAATCCAGCGAGTAAAAGAACTAGAGAAGGAGTTGAGAGCGGCATCAAACAATGAAATTCCTCAAGCGGCGCCTGAAGAACAGCATCAGCAGCAAGCAGCAGATGGAGAATTAGTCCAGCCGGCCAAAAAGCCCAAAGGCAAGAAAAAGATGGACCCATCCAAGTATTCCACCCGCTTCATCGCCCTGAAACTAGCATACCTGGGCAAAAACTTTGGCGGCTTCGAGTTCCAGGCTCAGGGCAACCAGCCGGCCATTGAGGAGGAGTTGTGGAACGCCCTCACCAAGGCATGCCTCATCTTCCCGGAAGACGAGAATGTGGTCAACTTTGATTGCTGCGAGTACTCCAAGTGTGGACGGACAGATCGCGGCGTCAGTGCCTTTGGACAAGTCATTGGGCTGAGAGTACGGAGTAACAGGCCGTTGCCTAAGAAGCAGCCAGAGATGGACGAGGAGGCAGATTTGGCAAAGGAGGAGGAAGGGCATGAGGCTGCTGGGGATGGCCAAACTAAAAAGCAGAGCAAGCCAAAAGCACCACCAAAGCCATTTGACGATATCCGCGATGAGATCCCTTACCCCCATGTTCTCAACCGCCTGCTGCCCAAGGAAATCCGCATCCTGGCCTGGTGTCCAGCACCGCCTCCCGACTTCTCCGCCCGCTTCTCATGTCGAGAGCGCCAGTATCGATACTTTTTCACACAGCCCGCCTTTGCCCCTATGCCATCTCTCATCGAAGACTCAGCCGCCGCAAAGAAAGGGGATCAAGACGAGAAGCTCATGAAGCCGGGCTGGCTGGACATTGAAGCCATGCGCGACGCGGCAAAGCGGTACGAAGGCGAGCACGACTTCCGCAACCTCTGCAAGGTCGACCCAGCGAAGCAAATCACAAACTTCAAGAGGCGCATGTTCGAGTCGGACATTGTCGAGGTCAAGGACGCAGCATCAGCTTTGCCATATCTCAAAGCCGCTGGTTTCGCCCCGGAGAACTTGGATCTCTCTTCCGGCGAGGCATTCCCCAAAGTCTATTACTTCCACGTCCGCGGCTCAGCCTTTCTATGGCACCAAATCCGCCACATGGTGGCCGTGCTCTTCCTCGTCGGTCAAGGCCTTGAAAAGCCCTCGCTCATCAGCGAGCTGCTCGACATCGAGAAGAACCCGCGCAGACCAAACTACGTCATGGCCGACGAAGTGCCCCTCGTGCTCTGGGACTGCATCTTCCCGAGCGATCTCAACGACTCCATAGCGCCGCAACGAAAAGACGACGCCCTGAAATGGATCTATGTCGGCGAGGATGGACCCAGCGGCCGCTTTGGCCAGTTCGGCATCATGGACGACGCATGGCAAATGTGGCGTGGACGAAAGATGGACGAGATCCTCGCGGGCCAGCTGCTGCAGCACATTTCGCAGCAAGGAAACAACGGCACCACTGCCGCTGCGGTGGGCAAAGCCGCACCCGGCATCGCCAATAGCACAAAGGTCTTTGAGGGAGGAAACAATGGAAGGCTGAGCGGCAAGTATCCCGGCGTGATGAACATGAAGCTGCTGGAGTCGGCAGACGAGCAGAATGACAAGTATGCGAAGCGAAAGGGGTATGCGGACGCAGAGGACATGAGGGCGAAGAAGGGGATGAAGTCGAACAAGACGGAAGAGGGTGATGCCGTCATGGCTGATGAGTAGAGGTAGAAAAGAAAAAAACAAGAGTGCGTTGTATGGGGTATATATAGATTCTAACTAATTCTAGGATACACATCTCTCAAAACAAAACTGGCATGTCCTGTGCATCTCTTCTTGGGATACAATCATTTCATTTCTCATTGGCCATCACTCTGTTATCCTCTCCCCTCCCCTCATACAAACACTCCCTCACACCCCTCCACACCGTCTCGACAATCTTCCTCTTGGGCAACAAGCCCGGAAACACCACCACAACATCCTCCTCTCCCTCCACCACCACAACGAGGTAATACCGCACCTCGAAGCCCCGAAACGCCTCATTCACCAAGATGTCCTGAATCTTCTCCGTCGGAATAAACCGCGTCGCCGCGCTGGCCAGATACGTTGCCGGGCTCTCGCTCGTCTGCACGCCCAGCCCGCGCAGCACCAGCAAACTCTCCTCCTTGTGCACCCGCAAGCTGAGCGCGTAAAAGACCGCCCCCGCGACAGGGACAAGCACAGGCAGGGTTACCGAGGCGGCAATGCTAGCGAGGAGCTTGCCGCTGGGGGTATCCTGGAACGTATCGAGGAGGAATATTATGCGGTCGAGGGAGAGCAGCGGCGGAAGAGACAAGGGTGAAAAGGGCGTTGGTGCTGCGCCAAAGGAGCTGCGCTCTTGGACCCATCGCGCATAGATGATGAGCAGCGTGACGAGGGAGAGGAAGATGCGCAGGAAGAGGAGGAGCAGCCATAGGAGGCGCAGAGGCAGCGTTTGAGGTGGGAGAGTGGTGACGGTGTATTCGGCGGTTGTGGGAGAAGGGCGGCGGATGCGCAGACGAGGGGCGGTGGTGAGCATGGCCGAAGGTTATGTCTGAGTTGTATGGGCAGTTTTGGTTATATTCTTGCAAATGAGCAATCCATGTATTGTTTCATTCGTTTCGCTTCGCTTTTATTCGTTTCGGGCGTAATGAATGGAGGAGGAAAGACTGCAACCATTCTATAAAGAGAGACGGCCGGATTCAATGGCCTTGAGCATTCGCATACGGCATGAGTTGACGCATATACAGCATCAAATCAATGTGCTGTGCTATCGCAGTGTCAATTCCATTTTCCCGTGGTGATGGATGGCATGAAGTTGAAGCTCTATTGTTAGTGGTAGCACATGTCATTCCAAGCTCCAGCACAGCTCCCCGGCCAAACGATTCCCCGCCCCCCATCAAACCCTTTATAAGCCCAAAAATGCTCCCCTGTTACCGGCTGTAATGGTCAAACGGTGAAGGCTCTCACTCAACACTCACCTTTCCCACACCCACCCCCGTCAGATCCCCTCCGTTCGACGCCCAGCCCGAACGCCGCGGTGGCTGCGCGCTCGCATGGGTAACCTGCGATTTGCCGCGCTGCCCTAAGCAATGGAGATGACACTTGAGGGAGGTTTCACTCTGCAGAGGACTCTCCCCCGTCGCGTGGCGGGCTGGATTACGATCGCGGAGGGCGTGGGTTGGATGGGCGAGACGGAGAATGCCGACATCATTTTTTTGATCTTTTTTTTTTCGTTTACTTTTTTTTTTGACCTGTATTACTTTTAAACAGTATCTAAAAAAATCATAGTTGCATCAAGAGACTATTCATTTTTCATTTGAAATCAATCACAAAGCGCAAAAAACACTGCAATGCAGTCAAATCGCGGCAGTTGAACCCCACCCTCCACAGCATCTTCTCCCACGCACCACTTACATGAAGCCATCACCACCGCCTATAGAGTTACCTAATCAAATACAAAAGCTTTGCTCTCGCGCATGAAGCATCATCACATCACGCATCATTGAAAAAGGATCCAAATGTGCAAAATAAAAGATACATCTGTTATTTTGCTGCAGCTACCTCACTCAATACAAAAAGAAGAATGCAAACGCAAATACATAGTATTGCCGCGAGGCAGCATTATATAGAACGCTCAGTCTGTTCGGCACAGCCGCATCTCGTGTAGCACTTTATGCAATCTGTCTCGCATGTGTGCGTGTGAGCGCACGTTTTTTCTCCTCTTTTTTCTTTTTTCCCCTTTCTCTTAGACGTCGCCGTCTTCCACCCTTTCACATGTTTTTGTTTTGTTCCGAATCAATCCGTCATCAGTCATGAAGAAATAAAGTACCAAGTTTGAAAAAAGGGAAAAAGAAAAGTCTCCAAGCCAGGATATACATTGCCCCGTGAGCACATGTAAGAGTCTAAACCCCTCGCATGGCCATCTATCCAAGAAGAGAAAAAGAAGAGAAGCCCTCCGATGCATATATCACAAAAACTCAACGTCTTAACCGAGAAACGGAGGAAAGGAAATTATCTGCTTAGAATTGCACGGATGCAATAAAGACAGTCGACATAGAGCAAACAGAGAGGAAGAAGAAGAAGAAGAGAAAGAGAAAGAGGAGTAAGAGAAACGAAACAAATATAGAGATAGTCGTCACACTATTCCAGAAACCAAGTCCTTCCATATCACACCAGGATTTTTTGCTTGCAACATGCTGCTAATAGGCACTCGCATCCCGAAAAAAAAAGTAAAGAAAGCTAATAAACAGAAAGATGAAAGAATAACAAAGATATAAAAGTCGCTGTGTGGCGAAAAAGGGCGTCGTTTAGCCATGGTGCGATCCATTCATTAAAACATCCCGCTAGACAGCTTCCTACCATGCCCCTCAATTGGGGATCGAACGACATCTCGATCATACAAGACAGGAGGCGGCAAGCCCGCCACGGGAGATCGAAGATGGCCCATGCCGGTCGCATCGCCGAAAGCCTCGAGCGGTGACCTGATGATGCTAATAGCTCCATCCTTGCGGCTGCGGCTGCCCGAGCGGAGGCGTTCGGTAGCTTTGCTCATGCGACCAGAGAGACTGCCCTCTCCCAGACTGCGGCCTCGGTTGTGTCCCTTGACAGGTGGCTCGGGGGGAGAAAGCACGGGCACCATGCCATCGTTGGGGGCAACTGCCATGGGCTCCTCCATCTCGTCGTCATCCATGACAATCTCAATCATGCCCGAGGCCACTGTCCCGGCGACGGGAGGCTGTCGTCGGACATGTGGCAAGGGGGGTGGTGGGGGAGGAGGAGGGACTGCCAGATGCTGCAACTCTTTCAGAAAAGTAAGGGGCGCCGAAGGAGGTGGCGGCGGCGGCGGAGGCACCAGATCGCTCCTCTGTCGGCGCCATTCCGTCTCAACAATATCATCGAGGCCCCTGCCCTCATTGGCACTTCCCTTTCTCATGAAGCGGGGGTTTTGCGATGGTTCATCAGGGATTGGCGCAGACATGCTTCGCGGGATCATAGGTCGAGTTGGTGGTTGGTAAACCGTCGAGGGCAGCTGGTAGACTGTTGATGGTAACAATGTCAGTGGCGGCGGCGGCGGCGGCTGCGGCGGCTGTTGCTGCTGCTCTTCCTCTTCTTCCCTTTGTGCCGCCTTCTTCTTTTCCAAAATGTATTGCGGAGAGTATTTAGGCGAACTCTGTGGGGAATACTTTTGGGAGAACGTTGTAGGAACTGGAGGTGGCGGCAGCTCTTCATCCTCCTCCTCATCTGTCTGGAGAATGAGTCTCATCGCCTTTGGCGTAGCAGGCAGACCAATCTGTGGCCCATTTCTAGCATACATGCTCCTCGGAGGCTCTGTTGCCGAGCGAGGAGGGAGATCATCAGGCTCATCATCAGCTTCTACCAGAGGAGGAGGCTTCCTAGGGGATACTATGTCGCTAGGATGGGGGATTTGAGGGCCCAGTTGTCGCTTTGCAAGAGATTTTCGTCGTTCCTCGAGCTCTCGCGCGGCTTGTTCCTTCTTCCGCTGTCGTTCATCCTTCATCTTTCGCAAATCGCCGGCGTGCTCTGTAGATGCAGCTCGGATATGAGGCAACAGCGGGGCTGGGCCGCGATCGTCACTAATTGCCGCTTCCTTTCGGCGGCTTTCTGGGTTTTCACGTCGACTCATGGCAGGAGAACTACCAATGAGGCCAACGCTCCGACTGTGCTTGGCTCTAAAGTCTTCCTGGGCTTGCATAGCCTTCCTAAAGTCTTCTTCGTCTTCCGACCCCTGGTAATGCAAGGCCGTGGCCGACAGTGGCACTGGTGACGTTGGTGACCGCGGAGCCGATCTGCTTCGCCCATGGCTTCGTCCACGAGTATCCAAAGGTGGCAAGGTCGTCTTTCCGCTCTTTGACACGCTCGCCTTTCGAATCGTCAAGGGCTCAACCGTATTCTCGAAATTACGAGTGCTGAGGATAGCCAAATCTTCCGGAGACATTGGGACAGGGGATGTGGGAGACCTTTTTGGTTTGGTCCAAGATCTAGCCGAGCCTCTACCACGTTCTTCAGATGGGTCGCGCGATTTGGCTCGTCGCTCTCGGCTGGTATGACGGCCAGTGGATGGATCCCTTTTCCGGTCCTTGCTCCCATTTCTACTTCCAGTTCCTCTGGAGTAATACTGGGCCGCTTCCAGGCTGTGGATGTAATCATCCTTGTGGCGAGGGTTAGATCGGTGACTACGGCCAGCGCTTGAGTTGGATGTGATGGAACCCGCCACAGAACCTCCGAGAGGCGCAGTACTGGGACCAGTGCCACGGCGACGAGTTGGCCAGTGGTAGCGGCTAGATGCAGCGTTTGATTGTTCAGGAGACATCGTATCATCCAATTGTGCCATGGGCTGCAGTTGCAGATGCAAATGCGCGGGAATCCGGTCCCGGGAGCCGTTTCGCTGTGCTGAGTGGACTTCCTGTAGTCTGCTCATAATCGAGCGGTCGGGAGACGGAGGCCGCTCGTTTGTATATTCGCCCGCATATCCCTGAACGACAGACGGGAACTTTTCTCTCATCATCATCGGACTAGCTGTAGCAGCACGCTGCATCGCAAGTCCCGTCGTCATGTTGTCTTGGGCTGCAGAGGACTTGCGAGAGTGGCTTGCTCGCTGCTGCTCCTGGGGCGTGTTAACGGGCTGGATGACAGCTCCGATATTCTTCAGACTATTCCTGTCAAAGGCAGACTCTCCAATCGAGGGCAAGCGGCCACGATTGAACGTTTGGCCGCCGCCAGCGCGAGCTGATGTTGGCGTATTGAACCGGCTATTGTTCGACGGGCGAAGAAACGCAGTCGCAGGGTCATAAGCACCACTTGGAGAGATGGCCGACTCCGCAATCGGCGTAACTCCAGCTGCAATGGGGGTTTGGCCTCCATCAGCCTGCGAGTAAAACTTGGCCTTTTTGCTCTGATCGCCAAACGACGTAACCAGCTTCAGCGCTGATGCTTTAGCGACGCTACGCTGAGGACCCAACTGGATTCCTGGGGGTGACAATGGAGGGCTCAGCACCTCAGGGATACTCGGCGTGACGTTTTGGAAGCTAAGTTGCGCAGCTGACGGTGAGGTCCAAGGCTCTGAAGATTCCTGGTCGGTACATGCAAAGCAGCGAATCGCCAACTGTTGCTGGCCATGCTTAATCGCCCATTCACCCCATTTCTTGACAATGGCAACTTGGCGCTCCCAGACGCTGGGGAAAGCTACGCAAGTGAGAATGAGAGCCTCCATATACATCTTGTGCGAGATGTAGATTTCAATGGCATCATTAAAGTCGCCCATGCCAAGCATAATCGTCACCGCAACGTGGACATCGCCGTTCTCCAGGAGACGCTGGACATAGACGCGACCGAGCTTTTGCTGAGACGCGTGTCCGCCAATGGAACTCAGCGCCAACAGCATCCAGTCTGATGAGGTCATATTCTGGGAGCTGGCGGCTACAATGCCTGAGTCGAAATCACCTAACCACTTGGCAAGTAATATGCGGTTTGCTGATCCGGCGGGATAGCGGCTCATTTCGTCGCGAATAAGGTCGTCCACTTCTTTGTTCCATCCGAAGATGGTGTTGAGCATCTGTCGGCGCAAATCGTCATTGGTGAGATGAGGGTAGTTTGATGGTATGGGGTGTTTGTACGGAAGGTCGCTCAAGCGCGAACGAGTATACTTGAACAGATCCTGCACCTTGGTGTCATCGGCAGGACTCCTCGGCACCTCATTTCTCAGACGAGAGGGTCGAAGTTTAGATTTGGATGAGGCCAACGACGGAGCGCTTGTGGTAGGGAGCGAGTATCCCATCGAGTAGTTGTCCAGCTCCTGCCCCTGCCCCTGCCGTCCCACGGTGGAAGTTTTCAAGGACGATCCGGCAGAGATGTATGTTCCCTCCGTCTTGGCCCGCGATCTTAGTGATCCCGCCGGCCTACCGGGCGTGCGTGAACCTGCCGAAGACTTTGACAAGGATGACATGCCGCTGCGGCTAGAGGCTGGGCTACCCGTCTCATAAACTTCATTGCTAGGTATCTCGGGGGCATTGTGCTTTACTAGGCGTTGGAAAGGAGATAGATGATCATCGTCGCTTTCGGAGACGCCCATCTCCAGGGGTATGGAGCTTGACTCGGACTCTGACGTATGAATTGTCGTAGCAGAGTGTACTGATCTGCCTCCTGTTTCTTCAGAAGTGGGAGGAGATGGCGGAAGTACGCCTGCGGGATGCTGTACATTGGCTACCATGATGGCTGGAGAGTTGAGATCGAACTGCTGTACAGTGTTATTCGGCCCGAGGGTAAAGAGGCTCGCTCCGGGGCCATAGAGAGCCACGCCTTTTACATGCTCCAGGGTTGGGATAGAGTCCCTAGTAACATGCCTTGTTCTTACGTCCCACGAAAACGTCTCTCTGATTATCACGTTAGCACAAGAACCGCCACCAAAAGCAAGAGGCCGCGCGCGTAGGCTGTGGCAGGCTGGGTGAAGGGGGACACATACGAGTCTGAGAACTGGATCACACGACCGTTCTTGGACCATCCCATCCAATTGGGGCCGGCTTGATAGTTTTCATTTCTCCGAAGCGCCCTGACTACCTTGGGTTCCTCTGCGTTGTACGACTTGGCCACGCTCCAGACCCGCAGGTCGCCGTCGTGCATCTGGACAGCCAGCATGTCTGACTTTTGCTTTGAGGATGATGCGTGCCAGGCAAGCGTGACAATGGGCGATGGTCCTCTCGAGGTGGTCAGGTTGTGTAAGATGGTGAAGCGAGGCTGTAATGTCGCGATTAAAAGTGACCCATTTTGATAGCTAGATGTCGACTCAGTAAGTAATGGACTTTAGATGCTGGCATTCGATTACATACCCAATGGCAAAGGTTCGGCAGTCAGACGACGGAGCCAGTGCCGTCACTGCAATCTGATCTATCGTCCTAGCTGAGATGTGCTCGGACGTGGTAGGCTCAAAGAGGATGATATTTCCTTGGGTATTGCCTATACAGCCAATGTATTAGTTGATGCCTGCCAGATGGTGCGGTATTCGTGAGCCGTCTCTTACCAAATGCTACGTTTCCATTTCGCATCCAAGCGGCAACCGTGAGCGTCTCGTACGAAACGAAACGAGAAATCTCATCACCAGTCATCAAATCCCACACAATAGCCGTCTGCCCAGCGTCATAGCTCACGACAAAGCGGCCAGCGCCGATTTCACTCTGGTTGTCCACTGCAATCAGTTGGATATCGTCCACATGGCGAGAGAATCTTCGCTCAATGGTGAGAGTATCGTGGTGGCAGCACACTATTGACGGTCCTTGGGCGTAGAGGAAGACGGATGCCGTGGCGGCCGAGGGGATGAAGTATTTGAGGTCCTTTGCCGTTGGCATTTTGGGGGCTTCCGGTGGTGATGGACGGCCTCGTGCGGTCGATGATTTACCGGACCGGTTGGAAACGGTGTGGTTATGTGATGCGGACGACATGGCTGCGATGGTGCTGTCAAATCGTCCACGATGGCCAGCAGTATCGGGCCCGAAATTATATTGACCGATCTAGTCGGCCTGGCACCTCTGCGTCTGCAGGGACAGTCTTGCCCCAAAAAAATGCAAAGCACACTAAGCTCGTGAGACAGTACCAGATCCGGTGTCACAATCCTATTGCCAGTCCAAAAGTCCGACTCTCGAGGAGCGCTCTCTGGGCGGCAAGCTGCGCGTGTTTTAGGTATCAACCATCACATGGAACCCAGCTACTGCCCGCTCCCGGACACACAAGCTTCAGCAGCGATGCAATCAACCAGATATATGTCTTTCTCTCGGGCCGTCGACAGATGGGAAGCAAGTTATCAAGAGGGTATTGGACTCGGTAAGAATGATTGTCGAATTGGTCGATTGTTGGTAAGGAATCAAGGTATCAAGTATGTCGTCGAAGAGGGTTTGAAGATGCAAGGCTTAGCCACAGAAGGCTGCGACAAGGCAAAACGGACAAGAAAAGGTCAGGCAGCCTTAACGGAAGAGGGCGGCGTCACAGCTTTGCATATAAGAGAGCACTTGTAGGCAAAAGGAACGAATGTTTCTGTGATATGCCGGAGAATGTTAGGGGAGGGGCTGATCTGATTAGCTCGGCGCTTGTTCGAGCCGCCTAGGGATGCTCCTGTTCGAGGATTAGGAGTTGCGGATGATGCAGGCGGATGCAGGAGAGGTTTGGCAGGATGCAGAATGGTGGTCACCCGGTTAGGAAGTCTGCAAGCGAGGAGAGCTTCTCTTTGTCCGCTCAGGCTTGCTTGTTTCCTCTTCTGCTACTGTTCCCAAGCCTGGTGAGACGGCCAAGATCAGGACGTAAAAGGAAGAGGAGGAGGAGGAGAAGCAAGCGTAAAAAAAAAATGAAGATAAAAAAGAGAGAAATACGGAGCTGGTAGAGAGGAGAGGTGTGGCCCTGGTCCAGATTCTAGTCCAGGATTAGGCGCAAGACACACACCACTCACACGCGGTGAGGCAGGTAGCTGCTTAGCAGTATCTGGACAGGTTGGCGAGCAGGATGAGAAACTGGAGGTACGAACGGTTCTCGCAGCAGTCGCACCAAGGCCCAAGTAACAAGACCTGGCCGGGGTCTGGTGTGATGGGTCCGATGGAGAGCCAGACGAGCATGGCGCCTATGCGGCCTTGACGAGGCCTGTCAATGGACGGGGTTGGCTGCCATATAAAATTAGAGTGCAAAAGCTGCTAACGGCGGCCGTCTTTGGAATGGAGCGGAGCCGGTCCGGCAGCCAGAGACAGGCCACGGCGACCAATGCGCGTCGAGGCTGCAAAACGCTTGTGCCTACAGATGCTCATGCATGGCGCCCATGTTTCGACTATCTGCAGCATCACGGCTCGCAAACGTCCAGAACCTTACAGTAGCTGCAACTGCAACTGCAACTGTACCTCCCTCGCTACCGAGCACCGGTACCGAGTCGGGCTGCCAACCACGCTGCAACGCTGCCATTGTCGTCATTCCAGTCCGGGGCCAGACACTCTTTTTCCTCGACCTCTCTTCATCCTCTTTTTGGCCCCGGCGAGCCGCCCAGATAGTCGCCTCCTACGCGCGTACGTCCGCAGTGGACCCAGCTAAGCATTGACGAGGCGAAAATAGTCTGGCGAGGCAAATGGCGATTGCGAGCCAACTAGGCATCATGGGCTCAGATCCTCAGACGGACAAATTGACGACAGGTGATGTACAGGCGCTAGCGGGCTGCGTACCGCTGGAGTAAAGGTGCCCTTGTTGAGGCCCTTGCTTAGCCTCGCACCCCGGGCAAGACATTCGATATCAACCTATCAGGGCCTCTGAGAGCAGCGAGGACTTGGGCGAATAGCTGGCGTCTGATTGCAGTTGCATTCTTGTTCGTGTTTGTACAGTATTGCTTGCTAGTAATCTTGCTAGTAGTCTTGCTACAGCAGTAATGGTGATGCTGCTTATACATGCAAGTGTGTATATGCACTCCGTATCCCATGTTCCCGCGCGGATGCACGAAAGGACGGCGTTGGTGACAAGTGCTTGTATCTGCAGAATCTTAGACTCGGTGTCTATGCATCCATCTCCTGCCATACAGGTACACGAGTGCTACTGAACCTACCACGAGAAGCGAGTGCCCTCGGCTCCTCTCCTTACCCCGACTTGCGGCGCCATTGACCGTTCCACCGCCGGCGATCTGGCCTCTGTGCGAGCATTTCTGAGTGATTGAGCGGTGCCTTGCAGGGGAGGAAACGGTGCAGCCTGCGTGGTGAGACCTGCAGCGAGCACCGGCGCCGTACAGCATCGTGTCTTGTCCTGGGCCGGCGATTGTCCTCCACAATGGGCGCTGGGGCACGCATCGACGCGAGCGGCCCCTTTGGTCTCATTCGCGCGTCTGCGCTGCTCTGCATTGCCTCATCTCGCCTCGCCGCAGCGCTCGCAACTGATCGTCCGTCTCGCCGTGGCCAGCCATCCATATCGCGGTGGTTGTTGGAGCCAGAGAGGGTCAAGCGCAGATGCATGGCTGGAGCAGCGATTTTGGGGCTGCGGTCGAGAGCGGGGCGGCGAGGGCCTGTGGCTCAATGGCAGCAGCCGTCGAAGCGCCGAGGTGTGTCGCGGCCGCTGATTGGACGCGCCAAATGCAGGTGCGCGCCGCAGCCTGGCCAATCGGCGGCTCGATCACGCCTGGCCGCAGGGGTCCAATCGCTGTATCCCGGCCCGCTAAGCTGCGCCGCAGGGATCAGGGGTGCACCACCAAAACTCCAGTCGTCGTCTATACTGTACTGTACTTCTTACTTGTCCTGGCAGCATGACTTCCAGGTTGCAATCCAGTCAACAGCAGTCTCGGTGCGCATAACTGCGGCATCCAGCAATCAAACGCCTGCCGCCATATCGCGACATGCTCGAATCACAAACCACCAGGCTCGCACATCCTTGTCCCTCCTGCCTCTATCGCGGCTGCACCTGTTTGCCGGCTTGTATCAGATGATTGCTGAGACAGATGGATTTCAGCTTGCATCCGGTTTCTCTTATTTATCACCTTTCCCCGAGTTCTGTTTCTTGCTAGCCTCTCCTTGAATCAGCGCGCTAACACATTTCTCCAGCAAGCTTGTCCGCCGTCTCCGCAATCACATCTCTCCGGCTGCTCTTGTAGCATCTGCCTCTCTTCTCATTTGCTTCGCAAAGCAAACCCCTGGTGATCCTGCCGCGGCAGGGAATCTCTCTTTACAAGACTATCCTAGCAAAGCGACATGCCCGGTTCAGTCTGGCAATGGAGACTCTGTTGCTCGTATCTTACTCTTGCGCGGTAACAAAATGCCGAAAACACACGTGCGACATGCTTTGCAATGTCTTAGACTCTTTACCAAAGCAAGCTCCGTATGCGCAGTCATCCAGCCATCCGCTATACGTGGGATCGCGCTCTCTTCACATGCGTGCTACGCATTCCAGGTCAACCACCACAATTGCCAGTAGACTAAACTATTGTTATAGTAAATTACTTCCATCTTACGCAACGCCACGACGGGAAGGATTCAAGACAAGCAGATATCACACTGTTAGGCAGCAAAAATCGATCCCAGCCCAAGTGGGTGATGGCCACTTGAGACATACAAGTAGGCGCCATCGATGCTGGTCTCAGCGACCAACGACAAGTTTACTAAATTGGGAATCCATTGAGGCCCAACGACGACATATCCGCTGACTTATACGGAAGACTATCTCGCTTTCTTGCCGCACCCTGTCGGACTGTGACCTTGTGACGCAGCTTCTGGCCTTGCCTCTTTGCGTTCTCGTCACACTCAACGTCCAAAAGTCTCGTGCTCGGAGCGCCACTCCGTGGAAGGGATTAATTAAATTGCTGCCAAGCACGGCACGACCACGTTTTCTACTCCGAGACAAGACAGGGAGCCCAAAACGCGAGGACCACATGCTCGAAGACGCGGCATAATGGAGGGTCATAATTGATGACAATTTTCCCTCCCAGCTGTACCGACTTACATCCATGAGCCAGTCCTCAAATAAGACGCTTCCTTTTACTGTCGGGTAGCGGAATCTCTTCCGAGATACTGTTGAACGTTGATGCAGGGCCTACGGGCAACTGTTATCGTCGGTGTCACATCAGAGCGGAGAGTCTTGAAATACGGTGAAGCAGACGACATCAGGAGCCAAGACAACCATGACGTGGGGAGCGTCCGAGCCACCCTTGCCAGACAACATGCCTTGTGTGGCAACTTGCTGCGGCTGTTGGCATATCCGGTCTCGCTTCGGCCGTCGAGAAACACAATCGACTAGCCAGGACGTCTGCGAGTCGGTATCACTCAGCTTCCGACTACGCAGTCCAGCTTCGGGCTCCAGATCTAATTCTCGCCGTGATATCGTGCCTTGCTTTGTAAGACTGTCTAATTTGTGCACATTTACTTCATCTAGGACTATACATGGAAACTTTCGGTGACATTCATCTAATGTTCCAGCCGTGCTTTCAGCTGTTACATCCAGCCAGCTTTTTCAGCCGACGTTCAGGCCAACAGGCCCGAGCTTGGAGAGATTTTTTAACCAAACATTTCGTAGATAAATATGTAGGATTCTGTTGGGTGAATCTCCCTACCAACTCTGAGGTCATTCTAAGAGCCTATTGGTTTGAAGCATCAGTTACCCTTTGCTACTTGGCAGAAGAAATATGCAAAATCGATACTTTTGAGAGTCTTATTCCCAAACCTAAAAGTGATCTCCAGTAGAGGACCAGTATTGATGACTGAACCATCATTTACACTGCAAAATATCAAGTCCCGAGACATCTCGCCTCTGCTGCAGCAAAAGGAAACGACTTTGTTCTCCTTGATCCGTCGGATTTCTCGCCAACCCAAACATGTCGAAGTCACACAAAAAAAAAAAAAAAAAAGGACAAGGAAACAAGATTTTCATGCTCTGTATGATTGCTGAACACTGCAAAACACTCATCAAATGTTTATTGTGCAATAGATGTCTTTTTCTAATACAATCTCTGGAAGTTTGTGAAATCGAGGCTCATCTTTCACATGCACATTCTTTTTCGTGTCCACTTGGCGATGGCCCTTATCATGTGTTGATAGATTGAGCCTCTCTAGAAACAATTTGGAGAGAATCCTTTCTCAAGTATCCTTCTTCTACCCTCCTTCCATATCTTGCGGTTGGTAAGGCTTCTCATGGCGATCCCACATTGCAACAATCCAAGTCCTTGTAAGTGTTTGCCGGACTCAATTTATGAGAATGCTTGGCCGAATCCCTCGCTAATCAGAGCAAGAAAGGAGGTATTTCACTAGAGGATGCCAAGAAAATGGGAGAAGAGAAGCTCGGCTACGGCAAAGAAGGATTAATTTATGTTTCGTATGAAGTACCTGTCAAGTAGGATGCAACATGCTATGCCACTGCTACCTCCAAAACTAACCACAGGCATTCTTCGAGTGTATTTAGCTATAAGGGGGCCATTAACATTCAAGATAGATACTGGAAGGTCTATAAGAACCCTTTCTCAATCGCCACACCCACTAAATCGACCTGACTCCGTGGGTATGTTGGAACAAATGTCTTCTCTGGCTGTAACATTGCCTCCACTTCCTTGTATGGAAGACGAAAACCTCGGTCTGATGAGCAAGAAGCAGAATAGTTGGTGAATCAAACCTCATGTCGTTGCAACTAGAAGCGTTTACTCGTATGAAGGATATGTACTTTTATTCGCGTGAAGGAGCTTGGCCCTCTTGGCTAAAGAAGAAAAAAAGACAAGTCAAAGCAACATATATTACTTTAACATTACTTTTACGCCTTCACAATAGCAACACACTTGGCAATCCAGGTAGCTAGTTCTCCTTGCTCTATCTGTGGCAACCTCGTCATGACATTCTTCACTACTTGAAGGAACTCGTATGCCGATGAGCGTGAATCGTATGAGTCGTCTCGTGTGAACTCCTCGTCACAATACAGAGAGATCATCGGAATGGTAAAGGCAGTTCGACATTATGTTTAGAACAAGGATATGCAAGCTATAAGATATTCTCAGTACAAGCGAGAATCCTCCATCCTCATGAGGATCCTACAGGCATCCAAATAGAACTTGACCGTAATAAACGCTACGTCCAAAGACGTTTGTACAATACATCACCTTTCAGAAGCCACGAATCACACTCCAGACATTACAGGTGCTAAAAGCGAAAATACAGATTGCAACATGTCAAATCAAGATAAAAACACCCCTTCCATCGGCGACGGATCAAGTTTGTATTCTCTTGGCCAAACGAGATGACAAAAAGACGCTCCATTCAAACAATTTCGCTTCCCATCTCAACCAAATAAAATAGTGCCATCACACCCACTCACTATCAATCTAGGCACCATCAAATACAGATATAACGGCGCTTGGAAGAAGGCGCTGTGATATCAGACATCATATAGCGCAACCCCTCTCCCCTCCCGCACACACCACATCTCGAACGCCCAACATCAAAAGCACATGCATCAGATTCTCAGGGCGTAAATCACACTCAGCCCGTATCAACCATGTATCATAGGCCACAGCCCAGTCTCAGCTTCTCCCAAAGGATCCCCCAGCGTCGCAATCACGGGCCAAGCTGTGACAAGAGAAGCGCCACGGACATGAAGCTCAGATCACGACACCTGGAGATGTGACGGGGACCCTGGGCCTTTGGGTCCTCTCGCAGCAGCAAAAGTTGCCGCCGCTTAAGAGCAATCACAGCCATTCACGCGCGGCATCACATGGGGCGTATAAATTAGACGGCGCTCAAAAACAGTCACAACTTACCTATCGGACGATACGAAGAGAAGAAGAGAGCACTAGTTATCTAGCTAAAAGACCAAGACCATGTTTACTTCGCATAACGCGGTCGGTTTGAAAAGCCCCCCATTGTTGAGTCAGAGATGCTAATTATAATGCCTCAATGAGCTCTTTGTATTGGGCATGACAGCGAGCTCAAGTGATCAAAGCTTCAAATAAGCTACAAAGGCACATGATTCGTCAAATCTCCATCGCATCTCCTCTCCACGTGGTTGGCTGATTTACAGCCAACCAGATGCATTTGCCACCGTAACATCCGGCGACTATCTGCAGCGAATAAGGTAGCGGTAACGCAGTGCTACAAGCCCATTGGCCACACGAAAGCCGAACACCCAAGTAAAGCCCGCTTTGACAGCCCCCCAATCCACTTAATAGGGCAGAAGATCAGCGGGGAAGAAGATTGAACCCTTCAAACAGGCAGAACTTCTTTCACTGTCCGTTTGGGAAACCTTCACGTGCCATCGCTGAGTGGACAGATGGAAATCCCGAGGGAACGAACCAGCAGCCAGTGATGGCCAAGTACAATGTACCTATACACCCCCATAGATGGAGTACAACGTTGCTGTCACATCTTTAAATAAAGAGAAAAAATGTCGGGGTTCAACCCCACAGTGAGGGAACCAGTTACCAAGCTGGGAAGGCGTCCAAAGAAAGAAACTCGCAAAAGAAAATAAGACGGAGACCAACCAATCTTGACAGTCAGACAAAAAGAACCAAAGCAAAAAAAAAAAAGTCGGATGCCCAAATGGTAGCATCAGCGACACACCCCAGTAACACATCACATTCAGGTACACACTCTAATGTTCGGAGCGCAGTAAGAAAGTGAAAAGAGAAGCTGCATGCATGCAGTTCAGCCCCCCTTCACAGCACACACTCACACTCACACACCACAGGAGGATTATTATGCATGCCCCGAACCTCGTCACCCAGCTAGTGCCGACCAAGCCCGATGGCCGGCTTGTTCCTGTCCAGCAACCACTCCAAAGCAGGCGGAGTAATACAAACCTACTTCTGTACATACTTGCAAGTAAGCTGGGCTGAGCGAGTTGCGCAAGACCAACCAAGTAAGCCCGCTACAAAGGGCTGACGGCCAATATTATTCCGTCTTGCTCTTTTGGGGCCAGAAAATAATCAGAAGCACCGCAGCAGCATTGAGACAAGAATAGCAAGCGTCTAGTGTTCCCTTGGTAATCAGCTCTCTCTCAGCCAGACCGCAACTCTTCTTCCACACCGACCATCTCAGCTGTAACAGCACATGTATGCCAGCACAGCTAGAACCCACTCGGTGTGCAAGGATATTCATGCACGAGGAAGAAGGAAGAAAAAAAAAGGCACAGCAAATGAAAATACCACGTCGAGTGTGTGCGACGCACGCAATTTAGCGAGATAAGGTGCAGTGCGTGCAAGAGTAAATAGTGTGCCTCGTACCAGCACCAGCGCAAAAGCCTTGGCTGCATCGATCGTGCCTACATCGTACATGAGACAAGCATATGGGAGGGAGGGGTTGGGACCACTTACAGCAAAGACTTGGCTATCACGGGCAGCGCATTCCGGCGAGCCGCCTGCTGTAAGGCAAGTTGTGTTTTTGTTAATATCGCCCTGCATGAAGGGGGGAACCTAATTTATTTACTTTCTGAGAGCTCTCTCTCCCTGCGTGTGAAAGCTCACAAAGTGTACAACACACCAATTCAGCTAGAAAAGCAAAAAGGGATTGAAAGGGAAAAAAGTGACTGGTGATAAAAATCAAAACAAGGCAGGAAAAAAAAGGTTTATAGACGCCCTGCATAGATTGGCACTTGTAAGGTCAGGCAGCTACAGGTACACTTGATAGCTGTAAAAACCAAGCTTTCTCAGCCCGCTAATGAAAAAGTATACTATTTAGCGATCCAACCAAGATTGACAGTCAGCCACAAGAGCGAATCCTTTCGCAATCAATTACTCATATAACACGTCGCATTGAAACAAAAAAAAGAAAATACCTGTATTGAAAATGTAAGAATGACCAAAGTAAAAGGGGAAAAAAACAAAACAAAACGTAATCCCAGCGGCCGCCCAGAAACACTGTAGCGCACGAAGTAACACTCTTTACTTTTCTTACCACTGCATGAATTATTGCTCGTGTTTCGCACTATTCAATGTAAAAAGAAAAGAAACCCAAGGGTAAACAACACTCCCCTCCACGAAAAGCAATATCGGAAAACAATCCCGAAAAGGGAAATAATATCAACAAAAACAACACACAAGATGCCGACCGCCAGAGCGCGTTAGCTTCAGCTAAACTCGCACAAAACTTCCATGTGAAATTCGGCCCTCTCTCATCCGGGGGGAGGCGCTTCCCTTGGCAAACAATTTGAAGCGAAAATTGGGAGCGAGGGAGAACGCCACAAGTGTCGCACCGCATAGGGTCGGTGAGCGCAACCCTGCAGTGTGGCGCTTTTTTCTCATTCATGCTGAAAAAGAGAGAAAGTCGGTGACAGACAGCCCGTGTGTTGCTTTGCTTCTTTTCAGCTCCCCAGCTGGGGGGGCTTTTCGTTGGGATCGGGATTTTGGGCGAACCAAAATCCGGGTGGCTGCAAGCTTCGTTTGTCGCTGTTTGCTTCCCTTTGGTTCGGAACAGGAAGCGCCGGGCCTAAATTACCAGGTGTGGGAAATTAGAGTAGGCATCAATGTCGGCATTTTCCTTCAGAACTCATTCAGCCCATTCAGCCATTCATTCATTCACGCATGTGGCGCTGGGCACTGTGGTTGAAACTCAAAAAAAATAGAGGCTGCAGACCGCGTGGCGCCCACCTGGAAGAGCGGGTAAACCACATGGCAGTTGCACAGTTTCAATAAGAGGAGACGCGGAGAGATGGAATCAAATTGCTTGTTTTGAATAGAACTAGTGATAGTATTCATCAAAAATGGGGGGTATCTTGTCAAAAGAAAAGCTATCTAAACTATGCTAAAAGTAATCGCCATGTTATGCCCTGTGTTCCCAGTCCGTCGTAACGGAGGAGTAATGCTAATGTTCCCAACGCCAAGTAAGAAAAAACACTGTTGTGTGTGTGATATTGTTCCCAAGTAGCCCTGATCGCTCTTCCTCGTCAGAAGAGGGTATCCCTAATAAAAATGAAATCCCACGCTATGATCGCTGATAAAAGAAAAAACAAATAAACTCCCAGATAATGCCGTCATAAGTATTAAATCGGAGTAATAAGAAGAAGAAGAGCACAAAAGAAAGGATAAAGTGTGTTCCGGGGGGTATCAAGTGAAGGTTTGCTGAAATGCGCTGTTGGCGCCGGAATAGAAGGGAAGAGAAAAGAAAAGCCGGATTAGGCCGATATCTTTTGTTTAACCGATTTGGCCGCGGTAATTGGCAGAGTTCGGTTGAACTGTGATGGAAAGAGGAAAAAAAGCAGGTAAAAGTGCCCCGGCTGTGGGGGAGGGGTGAGGATGAGTCAGATTGTGTTCGGACCGCTGGTAACTCCCGCCGGTGCCCCGATTTCTTCCTTCAAGCGCTGTAAATCCTTTGATAGCGCCAAAAAACGATGCTGCAGTGGCTGTGCTAAAAACAGTCATAGAAAAAGTGTCGTAAAGTCGTGAGACAGTGCAGATGCTGTCAGTCTATTAGGAGGCTTTTTGAGTAATAAAGCCGTGAATTAGAAGAGAGAAGAGCCCATACGCCCGCGCATGACCCGAGAGCAGTGGCGTAGATTTACTCGGAGATGGGAGTCATGGAGGAAAGCTTGGACTTGGGGCTCTTCTTGGAGCTAACGTGAGCTCGGCTCTTCTTCTTGGCGGCCAGCTTGCGGCGCTCCTTCTCGAGCATGACCTGGCGGACAGCCTCGCGCTGGACAGCAGCCAGCTTCTCGCGCTGGGCCTCGAGGACCTCGAAGTCGGTCATGCGAGGAGGCGACTGCATCATGATGGGGGAAGACGAGGCGCTGGAGCTGGCGATGCTGTGGCTGTCGTCGTCGAAGGGGTCAGACAGGAGGAGGTCGTCGTCGGAGAGGAAAGAAGTGGCGCGCTCCTCGCGGCCAAACTCGGACAGAGACTCGCGTCGGGGCCACGAGGGGAATGCGCAGGAGGCATCGCGGGTGCTGCGCAGGTTGGAGGGGCTGATGTCGATGGCGGCGGACATTGCGCTCGCCGAGCTGTATGAGCTGTATGAACCGAACATTGTGAAATGTGGTTGATGTGGTTGATGTGTGGAGAGTGGTGGAAGTGGTTTGCAGATCAGGATGGCCCGAATCTGGGGTTGAGATGGTTTTTAAGTGTTGTGCGTGTTGATAAAAGCCGGCTCGGTAGACAATAGGAGTTGGCTCGGCTTCTAGCTATTGATGGCGGCGGAAGCGTGGGGTGTTGGTGTTGGTGCGTGGGTGGGTGGCTGCAAGCAAGATGGCCCAAGAGGATGGTGGCTATGGGATGATGATGATGGAAGAGAGGATTGCAGATGATATATGTTGCTGACCACGGATGGCACGGTGAGATGGATCGTCGAGACGAATGTTTGCTATGGCCGAGGAAGCTGGAGAGAGGGAAGCCCGTGGCACTTATATCGCCCATCACGGGCGGGCACGAGTGAATCATCTGGGAGCTGGGCCGGGGGCGTGCGCGAAGGGGGCCGATGGGCGAGATGGGGGAGAATGGGGGCGCCGTTTGGAAGCACAAGGGCCAGGGAGGGGCGTGGCAGCAAGGGATTTGGCATTGCGGCGCCGGGCTGGGGGTTTTATCAAAGCACAAGGGCAAAAGGGCAATCAAAGAGGTTGCAGCCATTGCGTCCACGCCCCCCCTGGCCCTTGTGCTGGTCCTGGAGCTCCGACCGGCTATGCTGCTTCGGCTTTGCAACTTGAGATGAGAGACAGCAAGACCCGACGCCACGACACCGACACGACACGTTTGAGGCGCCAGCCAGCCAGCCAGTGCAGCAGCCCAGCCCAGCCCAGCCCTATGCGTGCGCGCATCCAAAACGGAGACGAGCCGGACACGCACCGTCACACACAAATGGCGGTGTTCGGGAATTCTGACCGCCACTGCCTGTGCTCTGCGTGTGCGCTGGCGCTGATTGGGCTGGCCAAGCAGGTTATCGGGCGGCGCACGGGGGGAAAGAGGGAAGATACGGAGCGATTTCGTATCAAGTGGCACACGAGCAACTCGAGCAGCTACTAGCTCTCCGGAACGGCATCTGCCCGCCAACTGAGAGACACGACCCAAGACAAAGAGAAAAGCAGGATTCACTCAACCAGCCAGCCCGGGAAACCGCCGCGAGAAGTGCGTGTCTCGTTGGAATATACAAGCACTTGTAATAGGTATAGACGGGCAAACCAACCAAACGGCTCCGCCGGGCGTGCCCTAAAAGCAAGCTCCAGCTTGGGGAGGTCATGTTGCATCTGGGGATGACTATGCGCTTTGTTTGACCGGTCGCTCCATTCAAGTTTACGCCCCAGCTTTGCTTTTGCTTTTTCCTTCTTCACTCGTTGCTACGTACCTAATGTACCTAGTCATCAAAAAGAAAAGACAAAAAAAAAAAGACAAAAAAAAAAGCATCCATTCTGCTTGCCCTGGTCGCGCGCATGGTTGGGCACCGCGGCACACCGCCCCAGCTTTCCGGTCAGCCAGCCCAAGCAGGGAGACCTGGCACCAGCAACCCCCCCCCAGGCCCTGCGACACAGCAGCCAAGTTTTCCCGGCGGATGGCCTTCCCCGGCATTCCGTCTTGCTGGATCTGCCACCGCCGTCTCAGCGCACGTCCCGCCCTCGGTCTGGGGAATCTGGCAAAAAGCCATCTCGCGGGTTGGCCTTTTTTTTGTTTTGCTTTTTCGCCTATTTGCTAGTATAGTTGCTAGCTAATAGGTGCCCCCTTCAAAAGGGATATGTGCAATCTGATATATCGCAAAGTCTAGCTACGAGTCTAACACCGCGTAGTAGAGCCGCTGCTATCGGCGGAGGTCAAAGGCATATCCGCCGACGTGTAGTCAAAAACTCTCTCCGCACTCCAGGACCCGTACGCTATCCAATCTCTTTTTGACGAGCAGACGAAACAAGAAGGAAAGAAAGCTTAGTGCTAGAGTTTTTTTTTTTTCGCTGCTTGGCTTGTAGTGCTTATCAAAGCAAAGTATGGCCGAAAAAAGCAACCGTTGTAACAAGGACCCCAAAAGATCAATGTGCACAAGAACCCCCAGAAAGACACATGCCCGAAACGGACAGATCTTAGTGGCCAGAACGAAGCTCGGCCGCGCTCTCCCCGAGAAAAGATTACCGTGGAAGAAGTGAGATAAGAAAAATGCTAGAGGAAACGGGCCGCAACGGAGAATAGCCGTCGCTGGTGCCACCCGAAAAGACGCACACAAACGACCAGCAACCTGGGAAGAGAATAAGATCAATCCATACCACCTACTGCTAATTACGGAGTAATCCCACGCTCTCCGTCTCAACGGCCTGCCTGCCCAGCGATTAGTTTGAATGGCATCATCAGCACCAAAGAAGCATGGGACCCAAGTTTGACGGCTCTTCCAGTATTCTATTCGGGGGTATGATCTGAGGAGAGCCCCAGGTGCGCGGTAACGGATTGCACAGCACCCGTGCCCCAGCATCACACACTGGTTGGGTCACGGAAGCGTATCTGGGTAGGTGATACCGTAATGAGACCAGACAGGATGAACAGCAAAACGGCTGACGGAGTGACTTTGCGAGCGAGGGGGGCATGACAAGCTCGTGCTCTCAAAGTCTGCCTATTCCTGCTGTGCTGGCGCTGGGGGTGGGCGATAGCCGGTCCCGACACTCCCCTAGCCCTCCAAGCCCAACCGTCTTCTGTAGAGCAGCCAGACGGCCACCACCATCTGGTCGGCGCGCGTATAGATGGGTAGATTAGTATACTACGGGCATACGAAGCGGTCGAGTGGTACACGAGTCGCAGCTGCGCGTAGCCCGTCCACGTAGGTACCTGCCTGGCAGGCAGCATGTCCAGTGTGTACAAGTATGACGGCGGGATACGGAGCCTGGAATCCCACGCCCAGCCAACCACGGCCGCAAGATTCCAGCTCTGCGACGTGATTCTCTCGCCGTGGTGGCCTTTCTGGACGGCTGCCCTCCCACCGGCTGCGTGCGCGCCCTGCCATTGGCCGCGGCCCGCCAGGCGGTCAAGCAGCGGCGTGCTGTGTCGCAGCCCGATAAGTGTCCTTCTGATCGCAGCAGATACATGATAAGGCACCCTCGCGATACCGTGACACGCTGTTCCTTTTGGCGCCAGCCTATACATGGCCGGGTACATGCTGCTAGGCTGGCGGCCTGCTGCGGCGGTGCGGTGTCCACGGCGGTCCTGCTAGTACCGACCAGGCTCTTTGGAGGTACCCAGCATCCATTTTCCTAGGCGCCTGGACAGCCAGCTCACCGTGCTTTCGCGAGGGAGGGGAGGGGAACGAGGGAAAACGGCCAGCTGGCGGCTTGTTCCCCTCATCGGCGCTCTTCAAATGCTCGGGGGGGTGAGTCAGGTCTTTGCGCACCGCCATTTCGGCTCCTCTTCTCCAATCGACTCGCTGGACCAATAACGGAGCACACAAGGACGAAACAAGCCACGAGAATAATCTGGAGAGAACAGTTGAGCAGGAGACGAGCGAACCGGCGGGCTTGTGCTATTCCTGGGGGAAGAGGAGCAGCCGCAGCGTATCGCGAAAGTCCCCGCCAAGGGCTGTGCGATGACAGCACCAGCACATCTGACACACCCCCCGGACTCAAGTGTATATAAGAGACAACGAGAGAGAGAGCCTGACATCGGAGGTTGCAATCGACAATCCTTACGGTACACACTGCTTTCTATTCTGAGACTGAGGATTTTGCCGCTTACTGTTCGGGAATGGATAGGGAATGCGATGGATTTGCACAGTCAGATTCATTAATCTGGCATCCCAGCATTCCGGGACCCTTGTGCTACGTAGCATTCCCGCGGTTCTTGCGTATTGATATCACGATTACTAAGGGCTTGTCTGCCCGTGTTTGCCCTACCAGTATTTGTAAGGGCGAGAGTTGAGTAAGAAGAGAGTGGTGCTGTAAACGCTCCCACTTACAAAACCCACCTATTACGGAATCTGCCAGTATTAGAACCGTCAAAACCCCCCACGATATAGGCAGCGATGCCGTCCGGAACTAAAAAGCAGCACAATGCACGTACTCATGCACTCGCGACCCGTAACTGCCGCAGGCCACATCTATGGTCCCCTCCCCCAGCAGTCTCGATTCTTCCATTTGGAAAAAGATGACATATTCCACAGCTGCTTGCTGTGACGTCAGTGAGTACGGAAGAGTCATGCCACCGTGGTTGACGTGATGCATGCCCGTGCTGGTGGTATTTGGTATAGGGTACCAGATCTTTTCTCGCCCCGACCGCCGGAATTGCAAATACTACCGTGCTACCGAAGAGAAGATTATCAAGGCAGCGGTAATCAAGCATTCCAAATGCTTTCCCAATGTGTAAACAGACCTATTTTATCGCCAGGGAGCGGGAGATCCCTTGCCGGGGGGAGGGAAAAGGGCTGCTCCTTGCTTCAAGGGTCGCCTCCTTCAGTGAGCATTGCAACGGTGATGATGACAAGAGGTAGGGTCTGCGAGCCCACATTTTGTCCACCGCGATCAGATGCAAAAAAGAAGATTTCAATTAAACTACAAGTAGAAAAATTTTCACACAAATTTTACAAAAATCCACTTGCCGGTGGAAAAAAAAAAAAAAGAGTCCAGCCCTCTCATCTTTTTTTAAACCCCCAGTCTGCCATGTTGGCCATGCATAGTGGGCTCCCGGCATCTCGCTTGTCGCCCAGCCATCTCCATATATCGGGCCCCTTCACCTTAGAAGCATGTTGGGAAAGGGGGGGGTGTGTTTTACCACTGCATGGATTCTGACTTGTGGCATCTACTGTTATCAGACGGAGTCACTGCATCTTGCAGCG